CTAGGTACAGGGTAACCGTCTTTCAGAACCGTCACGTATAAAGGAAGACAAAGGCCCGTCGGATTCTGCAGCAAACAGCTCTCTCGCCTCTCGCGTATCCAGCTCTTGCAAACCTCCACAATGTTCTCCAAGCTCACTGTCTTCGCCACGCTTGCCCTCCCTCTTCTTGCGGCCGCCACACCCACTGCCAGGAATTCGCAGCCCACCACGGCGTGCTGTGACAGCACCGAGTCTGTACGTCTGCCCCACTTTGCATAAGTTGCCGGAGAGTCGCTGACCATCAATATTGCTCTTGCAGGCCAACTCTGCGGCGGGTGCTGCCATCCTCGCCGGGCTGGGCGTCGTCGTGCAGGACGTGACCGGTCTCATTGGCCTGGACTGCAGCCCGATCACCGCCGTGGGTGTCGGGGACGGCAATGCATGCAGCAGCCAGACTGTCTCCTGCTCTAATGGTATCATCGTGAGTATTTCCTTCCCTTGGACTGCGGAGCTTGCACTCATGCTGGTTGCATATAGGGCGGCATTGGCATTGGCTGCGCCCCCATTACCCTCTAAGCTCGTCTCGTCTTCATCTCGAGCGAGCAGTGTCAGCATCATTGTACTATAGTATAAGTTGACTGGCGGGTGTTGTATAACATCGAATGTACAGATGTGAATCGAAAGTGTTGCATAGTAGCATCATGCGTGAACAGCTTCGGTGAACGTGCCTGCGGCGAGGGACATGCGGCGTATAGTACACTCCTTTGCATGCACTATTCCATAATCAAACCGAGTGCTTCGCAGCATGATGAGAGGTATAAACAATTTACAGATATCGGATAGAATCAATTCCCAAGCTCCTCCTGGCATGAATGATTGCCACGAGCTCCTTCATGCACTCTTCCAGAATGACGACGTTGTCCAGCAGCTGCGATAGCGTCACTTGCGTCACCTTCCTCTCCTGCTCCTCCTGCTCCTCCTGCCTCTCCTCCTTCGCGCGCACAAGGTCGCTGGCAAGGCTTGTATCGCCCCACTGGCCCGAGGCAAACGCATCCGCTTCGTCCTCGTTCCACTTCTTCATCGGCTTCGCCGGCTGCCAGGGTCCATCCGACGGCACAGGCGCAAGGTACGGCTCGACAGCGATGGCGGCCGTCCGCTGGTAGTGGGGCCCGAATGGGCTCGCTTCGAGAGCCTTGTGCGCGCCGCGCGGCGTCAGCGACCCGGTCGACGTCTGAGCCTGCTTGGATCGCTTCTTGGGCGTGAAGATCGACACGAAGCTCGCGCTCTTGCTCTTCGCCTTTGGGCGCGACGTGGCGTCCGCGGGGGCCGTCGGCGGCGGGGGGACTGCGCGGGCGAAGACGCTGCCCTCGACGTCGAGCGCGAGCGTCAGCGCGTCGGTCAGGTTCTCGGAGAAGAGCAGGCCCTGCCGCCGTTCGAGCAGGAAGCGGTCAAAGTCCTCGACTAGTGTGCGGTACCGCTCGAGCTGCTGGACGAGCCCCTGGAAGATCGTGTACACGACCGGTTTCGTGCGCTCGTCGATAGCAGACGTCGCGAGCGGTGCTGTGCGTACCGCGAGGTCGTCGTTGATGCGCCAGTCAATTGACCGGTCGTCGCCGTCATCTTTATGCCTAATGAGCGAAGACCACATGTCTAGTGTGGGAGCGTCTTTGTTATCGCTCTCGGTAAAGGCCAGCCAGCCCGCAAGAGATCGGTCAGGGCAGATCGCCAGCGTGGCCAGGACCCCAGTCAGTGACATGTTCAGTTCTGGCGTGTTAGCGAAGAACCTCCGCAGTCCGTCAACCAACGAAGAGAGCATCGGGTCACTGGGGTTCAACCTGTGCTTCAGCTTCTCCCGCTCTTTCAGGTCCATGTCGATGTAGAAGCACGGCTGCGATTCGATATTTGTGAGAGCATCGCGCAGGTAGTGGTCATACCCAGTGCTGAACACATCCTCGGTGTGGTTTGGGTTTAGGCGAGACACAAGGCCGAGGTACAAGTTCATCTCGCGCTCGTGAGCCCAGAAAGTGGCTTCCGGCTGTACGAAGAGGATACTCGTCCCTGACGGCTTTGGGTCGATCATGAAAGCATCGGTATCTGCGCCTGGGTATACGAAGACTTCGTCCTCGTCGTCGTCCATCTTGGTAGGGTCTATTGGAGGAAGTAAGGAGACCGGTTGTGGGAAGCTTGTGGCGAATGGGTCGTGAATGACGACTAGTAGCCTTTCCGCCGATAGTCGGCAGTACTGCTGTAGCATGGTATGGAGTAGCTGCATTGCGGCCGTCATGGTAGCCTGAGATGCTGATCGAAGTGAACTCAAGAGAAGGTCCTTAAGCGTGAAGCGTCCCATCGATGTAAAGTACCCGGACTGCTGGTGGGCGTGTGGTGCCTCAATCTCCAGCAGGGCCATCGCCGCACTCTTCCGTCGCCGCGACTTGGCAGCTCGTGTCGACTCAGACGTCGGGGGAGCATTAGTGCTGAGGTCCAGAGTGGTGCGGTGTCGGGGCATGCGGGAGCGGGTAAAATCCTCGGTATTGTCCTCGCTTGTGAGAAATTCGACGAGCAAGTTCCCGAGCTGCCCGTTCTCGAGCGTGCGAATCATGATCTCGATATATGACATGACTGCAACGGCGCTGCCGTCTGAGTCTGAGCATTCGAGGATGGATGGGTAGAGCACATTCTCCAGAAAAACTCTCCGGACAGCATCCAGAATGGACTGGACAATTGCCGAGCCAAGCAGGGTGGAAGGGTCAAAGGATCCGTCGGGCATCTCTTGTATGACATTTCGACGGAGAACGTCCTGCAGAAACTCCAGGAGCTTTAAAAAATGGTCCAGCCGGGACCTGAAGTCTGCGTTTGACGAATCCTCGATACCCATGTATCGTCTGTTCTCCCGCTCAATCTCTTCCTTCTCCTTCACCTCCTCGGAGATCTCGACTGCACTTCCACCGAGGATCATGCCAGAAGATGGTGTCAACTCTGTTTGCACTGGTGGACGAACTTCGAGCTTCGTTGGTAATATCGAGTAAACAGCAGCCAGGCCAGCAGCAAGAACGTCAGAGAAGTCGCCGTCCAGAATGTATTCCGCCAGCGCCAAAGCCGCATCGTTTGTGGGATCGTTGCCAGAGGATAGAGTGGACGTGGAAGAGGACAAATCGTTTGAGCTCTGCGAAGGTTCGATTGATGTCATTGCAACGTCCATGAGGAAGAGAAGACCAGCACGAGCGAAATCGCCAATCTGGCCCTCACGATGTACGAAACGGAGAAGATAGTTGAAAAGCAGGAATTCGTATTCTGGTTTCCTCGTTGCGGATGACGCGGCGGTGGTATCATCTTGCAGCGAAGTGTCCTGTTCGGAAGGCATCTCGCCGGTCAAGGCCGGAGTTGCTCCACTGTTTTCCTCCTGGGTAGCAGGAGGCTCTTCTTCCTCGTCTTCTTCATCTTCCTCTTCCACGGCAAAGAGAGGCTCTGGTCTGTACCAGTGTTTGTCATGGAAGAAGATCATAAGGAGTTCTCGGTAATGTCGGATGCGGCTGCAAAGAATACATAGAAGGTTCACCACTGCAGACCGTCAGAGTTTGGGGCTGCTTGCAGGGCTATTGGACCTACGATCCACTTCGTACTCCGAAGGCTGACTCCTCATGTTAGTTCCTGCTGCACCGACGACTCGGTTCCGGCCATCTAGCTGTTCTTGAATATCGTCACCGACGCAGTTCCGGAGAAGCCTTAAAACAGCCTTGTGTACTGCAGAATGGACGAGGAACTGTTCATCAAGGAGGACGACCATGTTCTGAACAGCTCGCAGAACTTCGGCTTGGATTCCGACTGGCCTATCTAATTCGCTGAGCTTCACGAGGGTGCCAAGGATATCTATTCATATTTGAGCGAGTGTGGCTTGTAGCGAAACAGGTACTGACCATTCTTGAGCAAGTATTCGAGACAAACACCAGTACCGCTACATTTAAGAGGTATTCATTTCAACACCGCGCATATCCCTGCTGCGACATACCCCTCTTCTGTACGTGTCGATTCCCACACAAGCGCGTCCACCACGGATTGTAGGTGCGCTGGTACATCGGTCGCTTTGATCCCCCGCGCGAGTTGTCGTTCATCGGGGTGCTCTAGGGTGTTCTGAAATGCAGATAGAGGTGCGGCTTTGAGTAGTGTATGATACAGCCCAAAAGTCGATACATACCTTGATTGATGTCCATGACTTGTGAAACTCCTGCGCGTGGTCAATCTAGCAGTGACTGCAGTCAGTCTAGTTTATTACGCAGGGAGTCATTTAAGTATGCGCGCACTAACTTCAACTTTAGCGGATGGTTGAAGCCCTGACCTCAGGAATTTAGAGAAATAGTCCATCCCTTAGTGGACGAGGATGGACGGCGGTTGCAACTGGAGGCGCCTCCGCGGCACTCACGCGTATAACTGAGCGCTTCCGACGCGAGACGGTATCAGCTGGCGGTCACACTCACTGTGGATTCGGTCACGGTCGAGCAGCGTGCTGGTCATGCATCGATATCGAAATGCATTCCGGTCCTTGACCTCTGTCCACCATCGCCAGCCCTTTTCGCCCAGCCGGTTGCACGCCAGGAAAATGGCCTCCGTCAACCTCTCCACCGAACGCTTCTTCGCCGATCGCGACACCCCCGTGTGCAGCCTCGGCATAGCCAAGTCGTTCGCACAACTCAGGTATATAGAGCTCGTTGTCTGTACAGCTATTTATCTCACGAGAATTGCTGCACAGCTCAAAGGAGAAAAAGTATGCCCACTACATTGGCGAGGCCTCTTGGGCGGGTGCTCGCGTCATCCAGGAACAGACTACCCCGCAGGCATGCAAGCTTTACGATCTGCTCATCCTGACTTTCAGCAAGGACGGCAAGCTCGCTGATCTCGCCGGCTTGAAGCAGCAGTCTGGAGTCCCGGACGACGATTGGAGCGGTCTCCTGCAATATACCACGCAGGTTAGCCTGCTTCTATCGTTTGTTTACAAACACTATCTCTGATCGCGTAGGTATTGAGCAACCTGGTAAACTTCCGAAGCTTTGGCTTCACCAAAATTATTCCCCGTGTGCCAGAGGGCAGCTTCCTCGCGGTCGTAGAGAAGTCTGCCAACGCCAAACAAGCCCTTGCGTTATGGAATGAGGTATGGTTACTGGCTCGCCTGCAGGTTCTATATGCTCATCTACCACATCTGTGCAGCTGAAAGACCATATCTATCAGCTCATTCCGGAATCAAGCAACTACATCGGCAAACGTCAAGAGGGCCACGTCTCGAACTATTATCTCGGTCACCCGCCGACGGACCTCGAGGTTGCAGCCGTTCAGGCCGCCGCTGAGAAATTTGGTGTCGATGTTCTCAATACTCGGTCAGTCATATTTAAACACGCGATGTCTTCATCACAATACTAACTAGCTTGATTCAAGTGTCAAGAAGGACGGCCCCGCAGACTTCACTCTACTTGTGGCTTCCGTTGAATCAAAGTCCTCGACACACGAGTTCGAGATCGGTAACAACAAGGGCAAACTCACGATTCAGTATGGCGACCATTCTGAGGCGCTGGCGAAGGTCAACGCTGCGCTTAAGAAGGTTTATGGCACCCATCCTGGTTTGCATTCTAGATCGCTGACAGCTTGGTTAACTAGGCTAAAGATTTCGTCGCGAACGAGCACCAGGCGGCCATGCTCGAAGGCTACATCAAGTCGTGCGTAGACTAATTTTGGCCGGGTGAAACACATCTAAATGGCATCGTACAGGTTCGAGAGTGGCTCCATCCCAGACCACAAAGCCGGCTCGCGCGAATGGGTCAAAGACATTGGTCCCGTCGTGGAAAGCTATCTCGGTTTCATCGAGACCTATGTCGACCCGTACGGTGGACGCGCCGAGTGGGAAGGCTTCACAGCTATCGTCGACAAGGCACTTAGTGCCAGATATGAGGTGCTCGTGAATAGAGCACCAGAGCTGATCAAGGTTCTGCCCTGGGGCAAAGATTTTGAAGTCGACATTTTCCGCAAGCCTGATTTCACGGCGCTGAATATTGTAACGTTTGCCACTGGAGGTATCCCGGCTGGAATCAACGTAAGTTATCGATATTGAATGTACTTAGAGGTGATGCTCACAAGTGCTTAAGATTCCCGTATGTGTAGATAAACTATGCTGTGTCGAGGTGAGGCTAACACGGTCGATGCTAGAACTACTACGATATCCGTGAGTCGACGGGCTTTAAGAACGTGTCTCTGGCAGTAAGTACATGGAACAGCTTCCTTGCATCTGACCTTTTGACGCGGACCCGCAGAACATCCTGGCGGCGAAGGCTCCCAGTAAGCCAACTTCATCTGATTCTCGCGACGAATCTAGTTTCAATGACCACCGCTAGATGAGGAGCTTACTTTCATCCACCCTTCTGACGTTGATGTTTACAACAAGTGGGACAACCGCGCGTTCGAACTCCAAGTTGCCAACCATGAGCTTCTGGGTCACGGTACGGGCAAGCTGTTTGAGGAACGGGAAGACGGCTCGAAGAACTTCGATCCCGCGAAGGTATACATCCCGTTCTGTCATACGTGACCGTACTCAATAGTTGCGCAGGTCATTAACCCACTCACAGGCAAGCCGATGTCAGTTCGATCTGACTGCACCAGGAAATACATATTAACGAATCTATCGCAGTACATCATGGTATAAGCCTGGTCAGACCCCGGGCTCTGTGCTTGGCGAAGTCTCTTCATCTATGGAAGAGTGCCGCGCAGAGACAGTGGCGCTGTACCGTAGGTTACCACTTTCCATACTACTGTACCTAGGCTGATTTTCGTGCATCCAGTTGTGAGCGACCGCGATATCCTCAAAATCTTCAAGTACGAGGACGAGCAAGACGTTGAAGAAATCCAATACGTTACCTTCCTCATCATGGCTCGCGCCGGTCTTAAGGCTCTGGAGTACTATGACCCCGCAAAGAAGAAGCATGGACAGGCACACATGCAGGCTCGGTGCGTCTCATCTCTTCTCGTCTCTATGTCCTATCTCACAAGACTGCCTTAGCCTGGGTATCACCCAACACCTGATCAAATCCGGCGTCGCCCGCCTCGAAGAAGTTCGGGGTACCGACGGCAGCCTCGAGAACATCTACGTGCGCGTCGACCGCGAGGCGGTTCTCAAGCGCGGACGCAAGGCCGCGGGCGAGCTGCTCGTTGAGCTACAGGTGCGCAAGAGCACGGCGGATGGTGCGGGTGCGCGGGCGTTCTACACCGAGCTGACGACGCCGTTCCCCGGCTGGGACGGCGAGATCCGCGACGTCGTCCTCAGGAAGAAGCAGCCGCGCAAGGTGTTCGTGCAGCCGAACACGCTCGTGGAAAACGGCGAGGTCGTCCTCAAGGAATACTCCACCACGCTTGAGGGTGTCATTGAGAGCTTCATCGAGCGGAACCTCTAATGCACAGACTTAATCTAGAACCGCAATTTGTATCATTAGCCGAGATGCCTGATCACTCACCGACTGGACCCCAAGTAGGCTCACATCTTGAGTGGTAACTATGTGACATCACGCGTAGTGAGTGGAGAACGAGTACGGCAAAGCAAGAGACATAGAAAGAGTGGCTTGTGCGCGTCCCACCGGCAGCGTGAGGGCCTCAGATTTGAGCACACCGCTCCCTCGGACTCACTCGCGACGCGTATACCCGGAGAAGCCTCGACCGCAATGGGGCTCCGGCAGCGTGCTGAGGCTGGTATACTGACGCAAGCAGCGTTGTGTAGAAAGGGTGTGCAATAGTAATGGGATATCAAGGGCATGATGGATACACTATGGGTATACATTAAATGGATCTACTTGTGACGAATGATCAGATGCTTCCATGTGCAAGAGTTATGGCAATGTTCGTGGGTCTGAATGGCAGCATATAAGAGGGGCATTTAACTCTGGGGGGAAAGCATCATAGACGTACCAATGTATGTCCAAGGGATGTATATGGTAGAAGAGATAGCACGATACCCTTTTTTGCTTTTATCTATAACGTCTCGCGTATGAGTGCAACGATAACCGTGACACTAGAGGGATGTCAGCGACGAGATGCTGATCAGGGTTCACCATGGAAGGCTCACTCGTCAATTTTCTGTGCAACCGAAAGGTCAGTTAAAAATATACACTTAATGGCGAGCCACCTACCCCTCCTCGGAAGTACATGCCCTCCCTTGCAGCCGCGCGCTCGAAGGGACTGACGCGCTTCTTGTTGTGCATACAGAGGGTCGCATAGCTGATGATGCGTTCTGCCATCGTCTGCACGTGTGCGTCCTCATCTTCTCGCACGAAGTTATATGGCTAGAAGCAGCACAATCAAAAAGAAGTTAAAACCCGTATGAGCATACGTACTTCACCCTGCGCCTGGCCCACAGGAAATTTCGTCGAGGGAGGCGCATGCGTGTATTGACGTGCGACCAGCGAGCATATTTGGATCAGTTCAGTTGGGAAGACGTTATCTGAGAGTCCGTCAGTCTGATCGGGCGGGTCAGTACAGCTGAAGAGTTAATGAAAACGCGGTAGAACTAACGAAGAGAATAACCAAGTCGCCGTCTCGCAGTTTCATGGAGACATTATCGGCTTCACTAGCCGCGTCGGAACATGCTCCCCCGCGCAGACGAGCCGACCGCGGGAGCTTAGCTAATTGTCTGGCACGCGTTGTTAACCGAACAGTAAAGGGGGTAGATGAACGTAGACCGTACTTTGGACAGTTGAAGAAGTGTGTCTGAGGCTGCTGGAAGTGTATCACCTGGGAAGAACGGATGACGCAGAAACCGCTGTCTCCTAGACTACGTAACGTTCGAGGTGAGACATGCTGCAGAAAGCGTCGCGGTAAAAGCGTACTTTGCAGCCCGTAATTGTCCTGAGGACGCGTTCAGGTTTACGATGCAAGCAGTGCTCGATCCTGGCGAGTATGTCAGTTCCAATCGGTTCGCAACTAAGACTCCTGACGGACCTGCAGCCACATCTCGTTCCCTTAGAACACCTCCGTGAGCCAGGTCCATGCACTCCATCGGTGTCAACTCCCAACCTTCCACTTGCTGTCGCTCTTCGTAATCCTGCGTGGGATCAATCTCCGGCTCGCCGGCCCAGCCCAGCCTTGCATACCGATGCGCGTGATACATGAGTGCCTGCGAGAAGAGCGAAGGGTCTACTCCAGAGTCTGTCCAGCCACCGACGCCGTCGGCTATGCCCAGCGATACTCCCTGGAAAGCGGCCAGCAGGACAGGAGAGATAAGCCATACATGCAGTGTGTAGACAGAGAGAGACATCTACCGACTGGCTGCGCATCTAAGAAAAAATGAGTTTAAACATATTCTTGCTTGCTGAGAAATATGCCAGCGTACCTCTTGAATGTAGAAGAAGTCCTCGCCAATGTGCGTCCCCAGGCCACCGTTGGGTCGGGAGAGTACGTGGTCCCTCCAGCGACCAATTTCACTATCGCTCGCAAAGGGTGACCCAATGAGTTTTCGTGACTTTGGTGGCTGTGGCTTCCCTGCCCAGCTGGCACCAACATGAAAGCGGTATGGCCTTGGCAGGGCCGTGGACATCGCGCGTAACCGACATGGCCGCAAGCTGAGGGATACTTTGGCTGCGGGGCGTGTCCGAGAGGCCTGGATGAGGGCGGATGGAATAGGCAGATGTCCCATAGGACTTTGAGCAGAAATGGGCAGAAATGGGCGAAGGTAGCGAAGGGTGGTGAGGTCAGGGAGCAAAGGGAGTACGGGCTGATAACCTTGCAGTCTTGCACGCGATCACCGTTGACGCGGAGGCTGGATTTGATCGAGGAACGCCGCGTGGCCTCGGATCAAAGCGAGCTCCTCTCCGACCCAGAGGCGCAAAGTCGAAGCTCTTCAACGCTCTGGACAAGTCTTGCAAAGCATTTCAGCATGTTTCCACCCTGTATCATTCACACCACACCTCGAATGCATTGCACGATAAGCAGAGAATAGTCGTGTCGCTGCTCCAATTAAATGCTGTGTATTCTATTACTACGTGCCACCCCATCTTTTCCAATCAAACGACGAGTCCGAGTCCGAGCTCTTCCGCTTTTTCTTCGTAGCACTACTCCAGCCTTGCGCCTGGAATTCCGACGGCTCTCCTGTATTGACAGGCGCAATGTCTGTGGCGGACCCGCGCACGCCAAGATGGAAGCCCGCACTAGAGGTCCGGCCCCTCGTCGCGTCCTCCTTCAGATAAGCATTCAACTTTGTCTGGACCGTATCTGCATGCAGCCGGACAGGTGTCCCAGAGCTTTTTCGCAGCATCGCCCTGTCGGGTCCCCCGATTGTCAATTTTAGACTAGGCGGTAGGGGTGGGACTGGAAGTGTGGATATTGGCCTCGTAGGCTTCGTGGAACGAGGGGGTATCGGGAGCCTAGACTTTGGGATTTCCGGTTCGATATCGTCCTGCGAGCTATCCTCGGCAGATACACGTCGCATTTTGCGCGGCCCATTCGTGAGTCCGGATTGTTCTACTTGGGACTCACGAAGGTTGAAGGCATCCTCGAACATCTTTCTTGAAAAGGGATTGACGGTAGACTTCGTCGTTCGGGGCGTCTTGTCTTTTGCGGCCTGTGTCTTGTCGATTGCGAGCCTGCTCTTGAGCATGCTGAAGACTGCACCAACAGATTCCGTAGCTCTCTGGCTCGTGACTAGAGCCGTTGAAGACAGAGGTTGCTCATCAACGCTGATGCGTGACCGAGGCCTGTTCGTATCAGCTTCGCCAGAGATCTCGGAGCGCATTGTCTCAAGCACTGCCCAGGGAGGAGGCTCGCGGAATAGTCGTTGCGAGCTTTGATCGGCTGTTGGATTAGGGTGCCTTGCTGCGATTGACTTTGCGCGATTCGCGGGCGAAATAGACGTGGTGTGATTGTAGATTTCACCGAACTTCGGAAGCACCGGCGGTAAGGACGAAGTCTCGCTGGAGGCATAGAACACGGTTGCAGCCGCCCTCGAAGCATGTCGCCGAGCTTCGTCAGCTGCTATTCGCTCATGGTCATTGGCATGCTGGCGCAGCGGTCCCGCATGCTGGCCGTAAGCTAAATGGGACGGGCAATCAGAAATGGACTTTAAGTATTGGTCCGGACTCCGGACTCCGGACGTACCAGCTCTTCCAGTAGAACCCGGTTTCGCCCTGAGCATACTTGCAGATCTGAGGGGGCTGACTCTTCTGTGCTCCAAGGAATCGACATGCAAGAGGAACGGCTGTGGATGTGGGTAGATAGATACGCCTTGGCAAACGCGGGAGATCTCGTCTAGTGTGTCCAGTGCATTAAAGAGCGAAGCAGGATGGTAGAGTTTAGGGTCGCCATCAGGGCGGAACGGGGTATTGCGGTCTACGGGTCGGGTATATTTGGTTCCTGTAAGATCTGTAGCACACTATGTGTCATTTATGGATAGGAAGAAATGATCAAACGGACGCACCGACCACACTGAGGAGAGGAAACAGTTGAAGACTGGGTATCACATCCTTGTCTATGTGTATGCAGTGACGGAAAGACAGCATCCTGAGAGCCCAAGGGCCAGAGAGCGCAGCCGAATGCAAAGATGAGTCTACCCGTTTCACAAGGGTCTTCGCCAGCGTTCTGACCCCCCAAGACGTCAAGGACGTGGCACTGGCATCCAAAGCGGTTAAAGCATGAAGCTGTCCAAGCTGTACGATAGTGTCGTCGTTTAGCTCACAACAAGCTGGCAATTCTACAACTGTGACTAGAGCGAAATGTGGGTTGGAAGGGATAATTTGAAGCAGAGGAAGATACGGGTCCGCTAGGGGAATCTTGTATGTCCGGAAGTGCTCTGGAAGACCACCATACAGCTGGACTAACGTTGCCCAGAGACGTGGATCCACCGTCCCAAGGATTTCATGTTCAGATGTAGGCGGGTCACTTTGATATGCCGAGATGAGCTCCCGAAGTAAGTCGCGGTCACCTTCTGCTGTCGGCGGATGGTAGGGCAGCCGTATGGGTCCAAGTACGTGCAGCTGATCCGGATATTCAGACAGTATTCTAATGCATAAAGACTGGAGTGAGGGTATGTATGCCAGAGGGCCGTTCGCAGAGGCAGCTTGAGAAGTTTCGTAGGGCGCGCGTACGGCAATGTTCTTGTATGAATATTTGACAACCGTCGTGCAAGATTCGTCTGAAGTAACAGAACGCCTGGGCTGCCAAAGGGTGATTCGCTGGCTCATTGGGAAGAGTAGTTGTCAACTTGTCGTACTCGCGAATGCAGCCGCGACGATATCATCATGGACATTGGACGGGAAGTAGGAGTATTTAAGTTACCACGACTCCACGAGACTGACGCGGGCACGTGAATATCACATGATCACGCCTTATTCTTTTATCCAAGTACAGTTCCTTGGGACACTCCACTTTCTGCCCTCGCACAGCCTGTAGGGCCTATCACTACCACTTTACTGTATATAATACATCTATATCTATATGCCATCAGAAGCTCAGAGCCATCCGGTATTGTAGCGTAGGTGGGGGAGCAAAAAGCCTCGAAAATTGTCAAGCGCGCCGGTTTCAGTGATGCTGCGACCGTCACCAGAGTCGCACAGTCAACCTAAAATTCGCGAAAATATTCTTTAATACTCCGATTTATGCCCCATTCATGTGAAAAATGTGTTTCATGCTCAGGTGATAAGTGTCGAGCTGGAATACATCAGAGATGATTCCACTGAGCTTAGGCGTGACTGAGGCGTGACAAGGTTGACTGCCGCGTGACTGCCGCGTCTGCCAAGACTGCTGGTACAGGTCACAAATTATCACCCTTGTCACATCAGTCACCCTGTCCCAAGGAGTGGTAGCCGCTATCCTGGACCACCTCCGTCTTGTGTCCTTCGCCTTGACTTCAGCTTTCGTCTTTTCGCCTTGCAGCTTTCCACTGAGGTATTTCATATGTTGTAGTAATATAATGCGATTTATTTAGTATTTATATGCGAGAAACATACGAAGGGGAAGCGAATATTGATCAGGTGTCCCAAGGAGTGGTCCTACACTGTACTGCGTGCGAAATTTAACCAAATACGTTAAAATATATGCTTCCGAACAAAAAAGGCCGCTCAACATTCGGTGTGACTAGCACATCAAGCGGCTTTCCCCCTCCCTCTCTTCCCCAAAGCCGGATACCTCAGTTGCATTTCTCTAGCTTGATTTCCCTCTTTGTCGCGGGTACAAAACATGGTGTCGACGGTCCCATCTTGTAGGTTTTTTTCTCCAGCGCCATCCCCTTGCACTCATCTTCGTCCAACTTCTCCAGCAACTACACTATCTCTCGCTCCCGTTAAAGGTCGTCCGCAATATGCGGGGCCACCGCTGTTCAAGTCGGTTGCTCCCCCGCCTAGCCCCGTATTGGAGACTGCTGTAAGGCGGTTCATGGCACGCGACGCACGAAAAATCTTCGAGGCACACTGGGAAGAGGCGAAAAAGCGGTTTGGCGCATGGAATGCTGGACTCACTTTGCGGTCGTTTATAGAGAAGAATCTCAAGGTAGGCAACACGTGTCAGCCAGCAAGGATGGTCTACCTTACGCACTCTTCCTAGGAAATTGACTTGGACCCTTGGGCGCAAGCAGCAAGGGATGAGGGCGCGGACATGAACAACCTCCGGCTGCGTTATACGGGGTCAAATAGCCCACTCTCGTACGATTGCCTCTTGGTTTTCTGTCAGCTGGCTCCTACGACGCGCAACCCCGCTCTCTTCCATCTCGAGTCCAAGACCTTGATACCAGTGAGCGACAGCGTCATACTCTTCCGCAAAGGCCAGTGGCATTACGCTGCTCGTGCACCAATACCCGGACAAGAACGTCAGCTGGAAGACTGGGAATACGTAAGGTGTCTCACGGCTCGCTTCACACTCCCATGGACAGATCCACCAGCGGAAGAACACGGTAGCACTATGGATACGGGGGCTTGAAGCGGTTTGCTTGGGTGGTTATTCACGTGCATTTTTCTGGACACTTGGGCTTCTGCATATTGTATCGATAGCACTCAGCTGCAGCTAATACCATACAGTACTGTACCACTTGAATCCAAAGGGGGCTAGGAGAGGTGACGGGAAATCCGGAGTCTCATGACGCTTGCCCGACGTGGAGGGTTTTGTACAGCATGACAAGCAGTGGACAGATCTGAGCATCATGGAAACTGGCATCAGGACGTGGAGATAGTGGCTCGCTCACTCGCCAAGCGGACATGGTGTCGTTGCAGCTGCAAGTTTTGCAGAGTTCGTGCAGACTTTTCTGCCCGAAGCTGGGTGACGGCGTCGAGCGTAGGGCCGCAAGAACAAATATCAAGCATGGCCACCGTCCGTGAAATGAAATGCCATCAAATCAAACAGAAGCAGTGAAAAGAAGGGACATCCGCATAGAGACGAAATTCCCACGGCTCGGACACTCAGGCATCGACGGCTGAGGGCAAGATCTTCATCCTTCCCTATCCCAGGTCGCCTGTCGTGTCTCTCCCTCCTTCGTCTTCCGCCTTCACCCGTCTTGAATTTTCTAACTGAGACCCAACACAAGCTGTTGCAGGTCGTTTTCACTCATTAATACGTTCACACATAATCTCACCTGGAGACGCCCTGTCCGGTTGACTCTCGAAATCCCGCACGCTTACCTGTAAAGAACACACCGTGATACTCACCTCCGCCCTCGACCAAGACCCTCCGCCATGTCCGGCCACATGCCGTATGGCCAGCAGCCTGGCCAAAATCCCTTTTCAGAGGCATCGTCGCCCTACTCACAGCCGTCGCATCAATACTCCATGGACTCCGTTGGCAGCGACATGTACAACAGTCGAAACGCCAGCGCCGTCCCTCTGAACGACCCTAATGGCTACTATAGTCATTCTGGACAGTATACGCCGCAGTGTGAGTCCCTGCTTCTTTGTGTATGGATACCTCAGCGCTTTACGCTGTCGCATGTGATGCGTTGTTGTACTATGCGGCGACGTGTATGACATGGCGACACCTCAACAATGACCACTGCAAGATACCCTGTCGCTGTCTTGGACTTTCCTGCCTCTTCAAAATGTTGACCATTGTGTTTTACAGCGGCCGGTGCGAGCTCGGAAGATATGCACGACTTCGAACGACACTACGCTGAGTCGATCACCTCCCATATGAGCACGAGCACCGCTGGATTCGCAGGGAATCCATTCTCTGATATTCCCGGCTCGAGCGAACCATTTCCTGCATGGACCGCTGAGCGGCAAGCACCCATCTCCACTGAGGAAATCGAGGACATCTTTTTGGACCTCGCCCAAAAATTTGGCTTCCAGAAGGATAACATGCGGAATATGGTATGAATTGCCGCACGACTTAATGCATATATGGATTGAATGTATCGGATTGTAGTTCGACTTCCTCATGACCTTGCTCGATTCGAGAGCATCACGGATGACGCCCAACCAGGCACTCTTGACTGTCCACGCCGATTACATTGGTGGACAACACGCAAACTACAGAAAGTGGTATTTCGCCGCGCAACTGAACTTGGATGATGCCGTCGGTCAGTACAACAACCCGGGCCTACAACGCCTCCGCAGCGTGAAGGGTGGCAACGCAAAGCCGAAGTCCCTCGATAGCGCGCTGAACCGCTGGCGTAATGCTATGAACAACATGAGTCAGTATGACCGCCTCCGTCAGGTTGCCCTCTACCTGCTCTGCTGGGGTGAAGCTGGGAACGTTCGATTCACTCCAGAGTGTCTCTGCTTCATCTTCAAGTGCGCCGACGACTACTATCGGAGCCCCGAGTGCCAGAATAAGGTCGACCCGGTTCCCGAAGGTCTCTACCTTGAACAGGTCATCAAGCCGCTCTATCGTTTCATACGCGATCAGGGTTATGAAGTTATCGATGGCAAGTTCGTTCGTAAGGAGAAGGATCACGACCAGATCATTGGTTACGACGACATTAATCAGCTCTTCTGGTACCCAGAGGGTATCGCCAGGATTGTCCTATCCAGTGGTGTACGTGCTTCGATTTCTGGTCGAGCTTGTGTGTTGATCTGCATTACAGCAACGCCTCGTGGACTTCCCACCAGCACAGCGATGGTTAAAGCTCAGTCAAGTTGACTGGAGCAAGGTTTTCTTCAAGACCTACTTCGAGAAGCGTTCTATCGCTCACTTACTGGTCAACTTTAACCGTATCTGGATCTTGCACGTCGCAGTATACTGGTTCTATACCGCCTACCACTCACCCAAGGTGTATGCACCTGCAGACAAGCAGTCCCCCTCTGCACCCATGACTTGGTCTGCAACCGCCCTGGGTGGTGCTGTTGCCACGTTGATCATGATTGCAGCCACCATCGCAGAATTTTCCTACGTCCCGACGACTTGGAACAACGCCTCCCACCTTACTGCTCGTCTCATCTTCCTCGTCATCGTACTCGCACTCACCGGTGGTCCGACTGTCTATGTCGCTATGGTCGATGGCCGTCCCGCGCCGTCGAATATACCGCTTATTGTGGCGATTGTTCAGTTCTTCATCTCGGTTGTCGCTACCGTGGCATTTTCCCTGATTCCGTCTGGCCGTATGTTCGGGGATCGCGTCGCGGGCAAGTCGCGCAAATATCTTGCTTCGCAGACCTTCACTGCCTCGTACCCGACACTAACGACCTCGGCGAGGACGGCGTCCATCATGCTTTGGCTCCTGGTATTCGGCTGCAAGTTCACGGAATCTTTCTTCTTCTTGACTTCGTCGTTCAGTGCCCCGATCGCAGTCATGGCTCGTACCAAGGTCCAGAACTGTAACGACAAAATCTTTGGAAACGCTCTCTGCTCCAACCAAGTGCCATTCGCGCTTACGATCATGTATATCATGGACCTGGTCTTGTTCTTCTTGGACACGTATCTCTGGTATATCATCTGGGTCGTCATTTTCGCCATCGGTCGCTCCTTTGCTCTCGGTCTGTCTATTTGGACACCCTGGAGAGAAGTGTACACCAGGATGCCCAAGCGTATTTACGCCAAGCTTCTGGCAACGGCTGAGATGGAAGTCAAGTACAAGCCCAAGGTATGTTTTTTTTTCGCTCTTTGCGGATCGTAAAACTAACATCGTATAGGTTCTTGTTTCTCAGATCTGGAACGCCATCATCATCTCGATGTACCGGGAGCATTTGCTGTCTATTGACCATGTACAGCGGCTCCTCTACCACCAGACCGACGGCCCGAACGGAAGCCGTACTCTTCGTGCCCCGCCGTTTTTCACCAACAACAACGGCAACAGCGGCGAGTTCTTCCCGAAGGGCGGCGAAGCCGAGCGTCGCATCTCGTTTTTCGCATCGTCTCTCACTATTGCTGTCCCCGATCCTTTGCCCATCGATGCCATGCCCACGTTCACTGTCCTCGTCCCACACTACTCCGAGAAGATCTTACTCAGTCTGCGCGAGATTATCCGGGAGCAAGACCAGAACACTCGCGTTACTTTGCTCGAGTATCTCAAGCAGCTGCATCCTATCGAGTGGGACAACTTCGTGAAGGATACCAAGATCCTTGCGGAGGAATCGGGGTCTTTCGATGGCACGGCCAGTACACCTAACGAGAAGTCGAAACAGCGCGCGGACGACTTGCCATTCTACTGCATCGGTTTCAAGACTTCGGCTCCGGAGTACACTCTCCGCACTCGAATTTGGGCATCCCTGCGCTTTCAGACTCTGTACCGCACCGTCTCCGGCATGATGAACTATTCGAAGGCGATCAAGCTGCTCTATCGTGTAGAGAACCCGCAGATCGTACAGAGGTTTGCCGGCAACACCGATCGCCTTGAGCGCGAGCTGGAGCGTATGGCTCGCCGCAAGTTCAAGTTCACTGTCTCCATGCAACGATTCGCCAAATTCAACAAGGAGGAGCAAGAGAATGCGGAGTTCCTTCTGCGTGCGTATCCAGACCTGCAGATCGCATACCTGGACGAAGAGCCTGGTGCACGTGGCGAAGCACGCTTGTACTCCATCGTCATCGACGGACACTCCGAGATCGATCCCGATACCGGCAAGCGGAAGCCCAAGTTCAAGATTGAACTTCCTGGTAACCCTATTCTTGGAGACGGCAAATCGGACAACCAGAACCACGCCATTATCTTCTACCGTGGCGAGTATCTACAACTCATCGACGCCAACCAGGATAACTACTTGGAGGAGTGTATCAAGATCCGGAATATTCTTGGCGAGTTTGAGGAGTTCAACCTTTCGAACCAGAGCCCGTACGCGCAGTGGGGTCACAAGGAGTTCGCCAAACACCCGGTCGCCATCGTCGGTACTCGAGAGTACATTTTCTCAGAGAATATCGGTGTGCTCGGTGACATCGCCGCTGGAAAGGAACAGACGTTTGGTACTATGACCCCCCGTTGCCTAGCCTGGATTGGTGGCAAGTTGCACTATGGCCACCCTGACTTCTTGAACGCGGCATTTATGACCACTCGTGGTGGTGTCTCTAAGGCGCAGAAGGGTCTGCATCTGAACGAGGATATTTTCGCTGGTATGACCGCCATGAGCCGAGGCGGGCGAATCAAGCATTCTGAGTACTACCAGTGCGGCAAAGGTCGAGATCTTGGTTTCGGTACTATCCTCGGTTTCCAGACGAAGCTCGGTATCGGTATGGGTGAGCAGATGCTCAGTCGCGAGTATTACTACCTCGGCACACAACTCCCCATGGATCGGTTCTTATCGTTCTACTACGGTCACCCCGGATTCCACATCAACAACATCTTGGTCATCTACTCTATCCAGATCTTCATGTTGACGCGTGCGTGATCCCGCGCATCTCATTTTGACTGTGGCTTACTGGTCTTTTAGTGGTCTATATTGGCACTTTGAACAAGCAGCTCGCCATCTGCAAGGTCGATTCACATGGCAACGTTCTGCCCGGCCAGCCGGGTTGCTACAACCTCATTCCCGTGTTCGACTGGATCAAACGGTGTATCGAGTCTATCTTCTTGGTGTTCTTCATTGCTTTCTTGCCGCTGTTCTTGCAAGGTTGGTATCAATCCCACTACCCCCGCAACGTCTTGCTGATCGATTTGCAGAATTGCTGGAACGCGGAACCGGCAAGGCGCTCATCCGTCTCGGGAAGCACTTTCTATCGCTTTCTCCAATCTTCGAGGTTTTCTCCACTCAAATCTACTCACAATCCATTCTCAGCAATTTGACGTTCGGTGGTGCTCGCTATATCGCTACCGGACGTGGTTTTGCCACAACCCGACTGTCTTTCACCGTTCTCTACTCAAGATTCGCGGGTCCTAGCATCTACATGGGTATGCGGAATGTCTTGATGTTGCTCTACGCGACGATGGCCATCTGGACGCCCTTCCTCATCTACTTCTGGTTCTCTGTTATGTCACTTTGCGTTGCACCTTTCATCTTCAATCCTCACCAGTTCAACTTCGCGGACTTCATCATTGACTACCGGGAGTTCCTGCGGTGGATGTCTCGTGGCAACTCGCGGCACAAGGCGAGCTCGTGGTATGGCTACTGCCGTCTCTCGCGCACGATGATTACGGGTTACAAGAAGAAGAAACTGGGTCATCCCTCCGAGAAGCTCTCCGGTGATGTACCTCGTGCGCCGTGGCGTGCGGTCCTGTTCTCGGAGGTCATCTGGCCGATCTGCCAGTCGATCATCTTTGTGGTGGCCTACATGTTCGTCAAGTCCTTCCCGAACCAGAACGGCCAACAGAACCCGAGCCCGCTCATCCGTATCGCTGTTATCGCTATTGGCCCTGTCGTTTGGAATGCTGCAGTGCTCCTTGCGCTGTTCTTCCTGTCTCTCTTCCTCGGACCCGTCTTCGGCTCTGTCAAGAAGTTCCCGTCCGTCATCGCCGCTCTTGCTCATTTCCTTTCATTGGTTGGCCTGGTTGCCTTCTTTGAGTTTTTCGTAAGTCCGTTTGTCATAGCATTGCCCAGGCTTTCCTGAAACCATGTTCTACTATCAGTGGTTCTTGGAACTTTGGGATGCTTCTCACGCCGTATTGGGCATCATCTCTATCATTGCCATCCAGCGCGCTATCCAGAAGATCCTTATCTCCGTCTTCCTTTCCCGTGAATTCAAGCACGACGAGACGAATTTGGCCTGGTGGTCTGGAAAGTGGTACGGTCGTGGTCTTGGCACTTCGGCCATCTCGCAGCCTGCTCGCGAATACGTTGTCAAGATCGTAGAGATGTCTCTGTGGACTTCTGACTTCTTGCTCGGCCATATCCTTTTGATTATCATGACGCCGCCTATCTTCATACCCTTCATTGACAGGTTGCACTCTACAATGCTCTGTGAGTCCTGCGATTAGCATTCCTCTGATTTGTGTCTAAACTCTCTTTAGACTGGTTGCGTCCGTCAAAGCAGATCCGGTCACCACTGTTCTCCACCAAGCAGAAGCGCCAGCGTAGATGGATCGTACGTTCTCCAAGGTGGTGTTTCGTGGACCTCTCTCTCAATGCCTCTCACAGGTCTTCAAATATACTTTTGTCTACCTGGTTGTCGTCGCACTTTTGGCTGCTCTGGTCGTCTTGCGTATGTTTTACTCACCGCTCTAATACTGGCCCTCGTCTGACCACCTTCTGCAGCCGCTCTGTTCCGTGACAGGATCACCCTCAACTGCACAGTTTGCCAGAACATTTAATGATAGTCCATTCGCTGCTTCCGCGGAATATGACTTGCAATTTACGCTCGCATCGCTTTCAATAGCATACTCACCCGCCTCGCCCGCACATTGTATATCCATCTATCGGCAGGTTACATCACGGATATTTTCTGTAATACCACCCATCATCTTAGATCTATCTCGACCATTGGTTCAGCTAGTGCTGTGGCTACAGGAAGAAAAACTCCTGACACGTAGGCATCGCAGGCTACAGAAGCTTGAGTATCTGGGTGACGAAGGCATGTCTACACTCACCAGTCCGGGGCTCGTGGCGGTCGACCTCGTCAGATTCAACCCGGTGTGATTCGCGTTAGTGTTCTTGTTGCCGAGCACAGGAGTCTCCTTCGCTTCCTTGATCTCCCTCAGCTCCTTGGTATCAACGGTCTTCATTTCCAGGGTCTTCTGCAAGGAGCGGCGCTGGCTCTGAATGTCAGCACACAAACCACTCGACTGCGAACGTTGAGTGTACCTTCAGCTCCTTAGTCTGTTTCCTCATAGCTTTAATAATGCTGTTGTTCTCCTTGTTTCGCAGAGACAGTTCCCTCGCTTTGATGTCCTCCTCGCGCTTCTTGTATTGCGACACCTCCTCCGTGAGGCTCACGATAATCGTTTGCAGCTGTTGTACCGTCGCCGACGCAGAGCCCTCAGCGAAGGTGTGCATCGCCTGGCGGAGCTCAATGTTCTCCTTCTCGAGCGCGTTGCAGCGTTCAAAGGCTGCCATCGCCATCTCCTGCATCTCTTGCACGTTCTGCGCGAGGGACTTCCAGGCCTCGCCCTCCTCCCTCGTCCTCTTCAGGTCACACTCTAAGACGATGTTCGCCGCCTTGAGTTTGGCATGCTCCTGGACGAGTTCTGCGTCCGCCTACACAACGTGCTGTGAGCTCGTGTACACTCACGACGTGAAAGGGCGCACTGCTTACCTCGCCGAGGGTGCTCACATACTGCGTCAGCAGACGAGCTTGCTTCGCGGCTGCCTGGGCAGTTGTCGTGAGTGCTTCGACCTGCACCTGAAGTTGTATGACCGTCTTCAACGCCTCGGATTGACTAGCAGGTGCGGGCCGACCGCTGCTCTCGTTCCCGATGTGCGACGACGTCGTCGTAAGTGGCTCGGACGCTGACTCTCTCATGGCTGAGACACTGGCTGCTTTCGTGGGCCTTGTTCGCGAGCCGGAAGGTGCACCGAAGTTCAGTCCATGCTGCAGAGCGGCAGCCCTGCTAGTACTGCTAGGAGGCTGGCGGTCAGCCGCGCAGGCTCAGGACACGAACGTCAGCCTCGATCAAGATGAGAGCTCGGTACCGTCTGCGGACAAGTATTCAGCGGTCCGGTATATAAACTTCATTCATTCAGCGCATGGAGATATTCCTGGACACACATTTTATCAGGGTGGATGTCCGAGGAAGTGATGGAGGGGTAGCGGGCGCATCAAGCGACATGAACTGAGTCGAGTCGGTCATCTCAGCGATGGTGTGTGTCCCTGCGATTGGCTCTTAATCGCCGGCTGACTCCCGTTTTGCTGGTCTCCTGTGTGCGACTTGTTTGTCCAAAGTCAACAGCACATCAGCCCCAGAAGGCAGCCCCGAGCACGGTGATAACTCCGCCGACAGCAGCTCTTCGCATTGTTTTGCATTGTGGGTGTTCGGACCCGTGGTGGACGCGTGTTTACGGAACGACACGGCGGTGCACGAACTAGAATACACAGCTGTATGTAAAAAACCATGAGACAGTCTTCTTCCGCTACAAACGCGGCTTCCGCCACAGTGCGTCTACTTTCTCTCATGGCTCCGAACTGCGTCCCTCACCCTGACATAGTTGCTCCAAAGGACTTTCCACTCAGACTCGAGAGTGCCCTCACCAGCCTTACCTATGCCGGCCGGACCATCCGCGGCGACGCCAACCCAGCCAAGCGCTCGCTCGTAGCATTCCATCGCTTTCTCCTTCGACCCAGGGGCGTCAGACGCCTCGGCCAGCACGCCCATAAGAGACCAGGCCTCTGCAGCCGTGCGGCGTGAGTCTCGTAGGAGACTGCGTGCTGGCTTCCGCATAGAGACCGATTTGGTGTAAGCAGAGGTCAGCGCCGCTTCCGATGACGGCGGGTGAGGGATCTTAGACTGAGGTGCGTCGGGATGGATGGGTGGCAGGCCGGTCAGGGTGAGGGCGACACGTTCAGCAGACTCTGCAGCACGTGTAAGCCATTCAATCGAAGCGACTGGTTTGTTGCGGAGTGCATAAAGGACCTCCGCGAGGTGGATTGAAAGAAGCGAAGATCGGTGGAGGACATACAACGCATGGAGAGCCTGGGGTGGTGACGCCGCCTGTAGAGACTCGGGTTGCGGGATTGTCCGCAAGAGCTCGAGAGACTGCTCTTCAAGGATTTGCGCTTGACGCAGCTGCCCTGAAGTTGCGTAGAAGGCGGAGAGGGAGACGAGGAGCGAGAGGAAGGTACGCTGAGTCAGGGGCTCGGAGGGTAGTGTGTTTGGGATGACAAGTTTACCGGCAGCCTCCGCCGGTGACTGCTTGCCCTGCAGGAGGTCAAGCGCACGAGTCCACCAGGTCATGGCTTCGTCCTTGTCGCCGAGCCTTCTGTTAATATCTCCGAGTTTGAGAGCAGTGCGTGCTGCCAAAACACCCTGGCCAGGCTGAGCAGCCCATACTCTTTCGTATTCGGCTCGAGCTTCGAAGAGTGCATCTCGCGTGCCCATCCGCTCCATGATGTCCGCATGTCGCGCAAGGAGGTCACCGATCGTCTGAACATGTAGCTTGCCCGACGCTATTCGTCCCTCGGCTATCCGTAGAGCGGTTTTGACGAACTCTTGAGCATATTCGAGTCTTCCTTCCACGACGTTCAGTCCCCCCGCACCAGAACCACCTCGGCCGGTGAACGCGTTCGATCCAATGACGCTCGCACCTGAACCTGTACCCCAGATTTGTGCCATCCACGCGGCGCGGAGGGAATGGCGAACAAAGTATCCCAAGGCCGGATCTGTTCCTCCTTTCTCTCCTCCCGTCCACTTCTCTGCCTCTAAATGCCATTGCCACCTCCGTGTCTCTCCATCAGGTTCAGGAGCGAGTTCAACGTGTTCCACCCACTGGTGTGTACCCTCAAACGCAGCATATAGCGTCACCGATACTGTCAAGAGGCCGACGGCGGAGTATTTGAGGAAGCGTTTGAAGACGCCAAAGGTAAAGACGGTGTTCTGGATGAAATGCTCCTGAATTGGCGAAGGGGATATAGGATCAGGTGGGGTGTGGGTAGACTGCTCCCTAGAGTTTGACTGAAATCTGCGACACGCTCGCTGTGTGCTGTATGTTGTGCGCCGAGGCAGAGCAAACGTTGCCCGTCGCACGCCTCGAGACAACATTTGGTTGGGACCAAGGGGCCAATGACGCCCTCGTGCGGGTAAACAGATCGTAATTAGCGTTACTCAAGCGCGCTTCGCGTTTGCTTTCCGGGACCGCGCCACTGCAGTAGTAGTCGCCCTTTCCCCTCTTGTCGTTCTCAACCACTCTTCAGGCTGTCTCTGCACCCTCCAGCTCGCCTTTAACTCGCCATGAAATTCTACATTGATGATCTCCCTGTATGCTCGTCTGTGTCTTCCTGTTGGACTTGAGCTGAGCTGAGCTGTGTAGGTAATTTTCCCTTATGACCGGATATACCCAGGTGCGTTCGTGCACCGACGATGCTCTTGTCGTAATTTAACCCCCAACCGCATGCAGAACAATACTCGTATATGTGCGACTTGAAGCGGACACTCGATGCAGGCGTATGCGTCTCGTCCAATTTACCTTCCGGACGGACGCCTTACTTAACAACCTCAGGGTCACTGTGTACTCGAGATGCCGTCAGGAACCGGCAAGACCGTGTCATTGTTGTCGCTGATTGTATCATATCAACAAGTGAGTCTATGCACGCGTATGTCGGAGCTGACTTGATATATCTGCATACTAGTTCTATCCTGCACGACGGAAGCTCATTTACTGCTCACGAACGGTTCCTGAGATCGAGAAGGCCCTTGCTGAGCTAAAACGTCTCATGGAGTATCGGCTCTCTATCGCTGAGACAGAAGAACAACAAGCAAAGGAGAGAGGATTCTATGGCCTCGGTCTAACCAGCAGGAAGAATCTGTGTATACACCCTGAAGTGGGTCGCAGTCGCGCACTGAGTTTGAATGGGAACACATGAGATGTACTCACGCTGGGTTGCAGGTTTCAAAGGAGAAGAAGGGCAGGGTTGTCGATGCGCGATGTCGAGACCTCACGAACAGCGCGGTCTGCCAGAAGGGCCGAGACAACCCCGGCTCTGTCGACCTCTGCGATTGGCATGAGGTTTGCTTCCATCCACATCCCGTCGACGACGATCTGACTCAGAGTAGAACCTTGGTAAACTCGAACCTGGCAACTTGATTCCTCCTGGCATATGGACGCTGGCAGACGTCCTCCAGTACGGCCGTGACAACGTTGTTTGTCCATATTTCCTCGTGCGACGAATGGTGAGTAAGTATCAATGTATATTTGCATTGTACTCACTGTTTCCCGGACACCTAGATGGCCTTCGTCGACGTCGTCATCTACTCGTTCCACTACCTTCTCGACCCTAAGGTCGCGGAGCAAGTCTCCAAAGAGATGTCAAAGGACTCTATTGTCGTCTTCGATGAAGCGCACAACATCGGTAAGAGACGAAGCGCTATGGACGCGGCGAAGCATAGCTGTGAACCTTATACCTCTAGATAACGTCTGTATTGAATCGCTTAGCATTGATCTCACAAGACCGATGCTCGACTCGGCAGCCAGGAGCGTCACGCGCCTGGGAGACAAGATCGAGGAGTAAGACTGCTCACTCATAGGAAGCCCATCACGCCCTGACCTGCTGACTGCTCTCCAGAATTAAGCGCACCGACGCATCAAAGTTACAGGACGAATATGCAAAACTCGTGGAGGGGTTACAGGAGGCTGCGACTGATGAAGATTCACTTGTGGCGAATCCTGGTGAATTCGCCGCCTTTCCTCCCACCCTCGTCTCTGACGTAGGCTCTGCTCATAGTGCTTCCCGAAGATCTCCTGACAGAGGCTATTCCTGGGAACATTCGTAAGGCAGAACATTTCGTGGCGTTCCTCAAGCGCTTTGTTGAGTACCTCAAGGTTTGTGGGCGTTCGTCGGTATCAATGGCCGCCGTGCTCTGCTGACGCTTTTTGTACTAGGTTTGTTTCACCTATAACACGCTCAAATTTGTCCTGATGGGTAAGCTGGCATCCAGACGCGCATGCGTGTGCTGCACGTTGTGGCCGAGACACCGCTATCATTCCTCCAGCACCTAAAGGACATTACGTATATCGAGCGTAGGCCGCTGCGGTTCGTGCGGGAAGCCTCTAGTCAAGCAGTTTGCTAACCCTGTGTTGTCAGCTTCTGTGCGGAGCGCCTTCAATCACTTGTTCGCACCCTGGAATTGAACCGCTTGGACGAATTCTCCGCATTGCAAAAAGTCGCAAGCTTTGCCACCCTTGTCGCCACGTACGAGAAAGGTGCATCTGCTCTCACGCGAGGAATGTTTGCCTTTTCGCTAACTTGTCTCTCAGGCTTCCTGCTTATTCTTGAGCCGTTCGAGACAGACAATGCTACCGTGCCGAACCCTATCTTTCACTTCACGTAAGCTTGTCATAGCTACTCTTTCCGTCTGCTTATGCTTATCGAAGCTTCCAGTTGTTTGGATCCTTCGATAGCGATTAAAACTGTCTTCGAGCGTTTCAGCAGCGTAGTCATCACATCTGGGACGATTTCGCCATTGGATATGTACCCGAAGATGCTCCAATTTACCCCCGTCATTCAAGAATCATATTCGATGACCCTGACGCGCAACTCATTCTTGCCCCTGGTGAGTGCGCTTGATGTGCTATCACGGATACGAAACCATGCCGACGCTCTGCTGCAGGTCATTACTCGAGGCAGTGACCAAGTTGCTATCAGCTCACGCTTCGAGGTCAGGAACGATCCAGCAGTAGTACGTAACTTCGGTAGTATCCTCATCGAGTACAGCAAGATTGTACCGGACGGAATCGTGGCATTCTTCCCCAGCTATCTGTACATGGAGAGCATAGTCGCAGCCTGGAATGACATGGTACGCTTTTCCGTCATTCATGACCTCATCCCTCGGCCGCTCACCCTGCGTCCAGGGCATTCTAAACGAAGTCTGGAAATACAAGCTCATCTTTGTGGAGACGCCGGACGCCAATGAGACAAGCATCGCGCTTGAAAACTACCGTAGGGTAAGAATGATGGCCCTGTCGCGAGTTCCGCTGTTCTCATCCGAAGCTTACACTTTGACCAGGCATGCGATAACGGCCGTGGTGCGGTTCTTCTCTCCGTGGCACGCGGTAAGGTGTCAGAAGGTATTGATTTTGATCACAACTATGGTCGCGCGGTCATCATGTTTGGGTCAGTGCCGGAAATCCCGAAATAATTGCTCGCTGCTGATGCACTCGCTCATGATGCAGTGTCCCGTACCAGTACACCGAGAGTCGCATACTGAAGGCTAGGCTGGAATACTTGCGCGACACCTACCGCATACGAGAGTCAGAGTTTCTCGGCTTCGACGCTATGCGTAACGCGGCGCAATGTGTCGGGCGTGTGTTGCGTGGTAAGACGGATTGGGGTTTGATGGTGTTTGCGGACAAGGTACGTCTACTGTTAGCCTTTCCGAACGCTGCTCACCTGCGACCCCAAGAGGTTTGCCCGCGCAGACAAGCGAGCCAAGCTCCCTCGTTGGATTAACCAGTACATCACAGAGACGGCCTCAAATCTGTCAACAGACATGGCCATCACCCTGTCGAAGCTGTTCATGCGCACCATCTCCCAGAATCCGAACGAGAATCAGACCGGGATCTCTCTCTGGACGCTCGAGGACGTTGAGCGACAGCAGGCGAAGCAGAAGGAATTAGCTCTAGAAGCGGAGAAGCAACAGCCAGAAACAGTACAAGACGACGACGAATACGGGGACGGTGGTCTAGACGACAATACGCTGGCGACAATAGACCTAGATATATAGGGGGCCGAAACGCATTTTGTTCATCTCTCTCAAGAGGTGCTACCTGCAGCGGCCTCCCTCGCGTCTTCTTCATTGCACTTGTCGCATTTTCCTGAGAACTAGAGGGTGCATTAGTGTTATAGCAAGGGGCACAGTAGACTTGAGTTCCGTACGTCTTTATATAGGCGTTCAGGTTTACTGTGAGCAGTGCCCGTCAGCCTTGCAGCATCAGATACATTCATGTGGCAGACGTACGTCCAGTACCGACGACAACTGCAGTGGTCGTGAATTCTCCTATTTTGGCATTCTTCGGGCCTTGGGTGGAATCGGCTGTTGAAGCAGTCGGCTTGGTGGCAGTCGACCTTCGTCTCGCCGACGAAGATAATGTCCTTGCATCTATCATACTGGTGGAATCTGAGTTGCCGGTGACACATCTGGGTCCACAACGTTAGACAACCCGGAAAGGATCGATCGACGACATTGTGAGACAACAGGACGGCTCACAGTGGCGGGGGACGCTGGTCGTCGGCGGAGGTAGGAGATGTGCGAGGGGTGGGTTGCGGTGGGTCAGCGGCCGGTCAGCTCTCGCAGGGGCCTTAAGTCTATCAGTGCCCGGCCATTTCATCTCGATCGAGGGCTAACCAGATTGATATTTATTCGAACGCCTGCACTTTTCTGTTCGTCCTTGACGGCACGTAATCACCCTTGCGAAGGGTGGGAAGATGCAATACGTCTTGACCAGGGTCTACACGAGGGTCGCACAAATTTTTAAGTTGCGGACCGTCTTGTCTCTCATTTTAATGTGTACCCTGAGTGGAACTTGCATGTCGGGCGCGTCCGACATTCGATTCCGAATAACCTACAAGCAGCCCTGCGACTTTGATGTTCACATCCAAGCTCACACCGGCGCGCGGCGAGGAAGCCCCGCTGTTGAAACATGAGCCCGATTATTCGGTGCGCCCCGACGATCTCGCGGAACCGCTCCTCGGTGCCTGCAAGGTGTTCTTCCTTCTCTGGGCCGTGCTCAAGATCTTCGCCTCGCGCACATCCATGTCGTTCATTTGATACCGGGCAGGATGAGACAGCAGGGTACACATGTGCCTCAACCACCCATGCCAAATCCAGCCTCCATCAAATTTCGGTAACCGCGCTCATCCCCGACTTGTTTGCGATTCAACGACGCAATCCAGCCGCAGGACGAGAGGACAATGCAAGACGGCTTGGATCACTAAGACACAATGAGGTTATGCTTTATTTTGTTGCTATTGATGAGAATTGACTCTCGCCTAGGTGCTCATACCTGTCGCAAAGTCGCGCCGCGCAGTGGACAGGCGCGCGTTCGCAGTCCTTCCTCAACGGGACAAGCCTCTCGTCCTCAACCTATTGCTATCCCCAACACACGTAATACGCTCGTTTTCCATGATGCTTTTGCTGAGTACAGGTCTCTCCATTTTACCCGGAGACGAGGCTGTAGCCGTCGCCAAGCTGGACGGCAAGCTTTCAGGGCATGCATTTCTCTCCATATTGAATATCCGTCGTTTTCGCATACATCCCCGGACGCGCCACTTACACAGGGACTAGAGCACTCCTTCTCGCCACCCTGCCACTTCCACGGCTAGCCGTCTATGGGATCCGGCTGAACGCTAGCCAGGGAGTCCTATCGCTCAGTCCAAAGGCGCTGTGCGTCTGCGATTCTATACACGCTGCCACCCTCAGGCCAACCACCGTGAGCAAGAACTGCCGTAAGGTTCCCATCCCTCGTCCCACCTCAGCGGCCTTCCTTGCAACCCCATATCATGTCTACAAGGTCACCTGTGCCTAGGGCCGACTGCAGCGCCCCGAGATAGGCAAGGGCAGTTCGCAAACAGTCCTACAATGCCGCAGCCGTGGCCATTATTCCGGTTCGATAATACCCTTCACCACGGCCCAGCCCCGCCCCAGTCTCACCGGAATCTTCCAAGACATGCGTCTCCGATACGTTTATTTGCCAGGGCCATCTGGCAACTCGCAACAAGCCGAGCATTCTCGAGGTCTCGTCAGCGTCCCCTTCCTAGTACCGCCTTCCGGAACAAACACGGGAGCAGAGCAGAAAAAGCTTGTATCATCATAGCCGACAGACTTGTCCTGGATGGAAAGATCCACGTGCCCGAATCTCGACACTCGGACATAGTTCCCCAGCGCAGTCGCTCTCGCTGACCGACCGCTCCCGACTTCCTCGGCAACGAGACTTCTCCAAGCTACAGCTACCATGTCGACAGTGCCCAACCACGGCTCCTACCGATTTCTTGGGCTTGGTCAGCCCGGGGATCGACCCATGGGCCGCGACCTAGGTTCCCTTCCTACGAGGATTTCTCGGTCTTCTGACAATTCAGAGGCTTCGCCCCGCCGCTTGTACACTAACGGCCACATGGAATAAGCCAACGAAGGCATTCGCACTTCCGGGGAGAAGGATCCTCCCCAGGTGAGAGAATTCATCTTCCCCCCAAAGAACAAACACTAATACGTTCTCGTCACCTGCTCGTCTCACCGTCTTGTGGCCTGCACTGAATTTATCAAACCCTGAGACCAGGCCTGGGAGCACGGGAGGTGGACCTCCATCTGTATGTTCCAGTTTTTACCCCGTGTCTCAGAGATGCAGCTAGAAGCGATCCACGGCCGTAGTGCACGACTTCCCAGGGCATTGTGGTGTTTTCCAGACTTTCGAGGCTAACGAGATAAATTTATAACTCTCTCCCGACGCCGGCACCTTCTTGTCGAGATCCTCCGTAAAGCACAGAGATCGTCCGATGTCGATTTTCCTCCCCGCATTTTTTTTTCCAATTATTGAATAGTCTGCGCTTGCTTGCAAAGCCAAATGCAAAATGTCCGGGACGTGACCCAAAACGACCCGAATATCCACATCCCGAGGTCTGGACATCATGCCATGCCCTGAAGCTCAGCTCAGCAAATGCTAAGCAGTGCTAAGCAAGCGAGGGATCGCGCACGGTCATTTGCCGCGCTGATCGCGGCACAGTAAGCTCCCGCGCTTGCTATGCAACCTCAGTAGGGGACATGCCGACTCAGCTCAGTCTCGTGAAGTCGCCACCGAACGATTCCATCTCTATCGGGCGCCGCCTCCCCGTGAACACCCGCCGCTCGTGGCAGATCGGCGCGAGGCACCACATTGACAAACCAGGATCGGGTAGAGTGGTAATGCTCATGTAATACGGCGCGTGAGTCGGGCGAGGATTAGATCATTAGTCGTATATGACGTCTGCACACAAAAGTAGTACAAAGATATAGAGAGAAAGACGGATAGGAATATCTAGACGGCCTCGCCGATGCTATGATGCCTCGCTCGACATACGCGTGAGGTCTTCTTGAATAACTTCAACTACACTCCGTATTGGCTCGCCCTTGACGACCTTCTTGACCTCTTCTGCGTCAAGGGTCTCATGTTCTACGAGCGCGGCAGCGAGCTGAGGTGCAATGGAATCGGCAAGAGTGAAACATTCAGGTGGCGTGTGCACTTACAAGATGCAATTCCTCCTCTTTCGACCTCAATAGAGAAAGAACGCGGGATTCGCCACTCGTCAGGATCCTATACAAAGGTGCAGTAGGCATATCAGCACAGGGTCAGGGAGAAGAGACTAGAGATAGTGCGGAAGTAATGTAAAGCGGGCAACGCCCGCGTTGCTTCACATACATCGACCGCAAGTACGGGAAGGCCCGACCATGAATGAATGTGACGTACTTGCGGACTTCTGCTTCTATCTCATCCTGCTTCGAAGGACTGATGGGGCTATCCCGGTCACTGTAGTACACAGGGCCAATCTTCGACGAGAATCCCCATTTCTGTGGTAGCGAAGAGACAAAAATAATAGCGGTCAGTAGTTTTCCAAGGCAGCAAACACTAGTCGCGTACCTTGACCATAGATCTCGCGATGTGCGTGGCTTTTGTGATGTCAGAAGACGCACCACTTGTTACGTTCTCGGCGCCATACGCTGCGAAGGCCAATGAGGATTAGTGTATTACGGGAATTGAATTGCATACCGAGCTCCTCGGCAACACGGCCACCCATGCACACGTCAATGTCAGCCAAGTATTCCTTGAACGATCGGGAGTACATGTCATCTTCGGGAAGTTGGCTGGTCTATGATTCAATGAGGCATTAATTTCATACACACGGACAAGGTTACGCACCACTCCGAGCGCGTGTCCGCGGGGAACACAAGTAACCTTGTGAAGCGGCATTGCGCCGTCCGTGTACAGCGCAACTAGCGCATGACCACCCTGACAGTCAATTGAGTTTGCGTGTGAGCAATAGCCTGAGATTACAGAGGACCTACCTCGTGGTATGCGGTCATTTTCTTGACATGGTCGCTGATGAATGCGCTCTTGCGCTCGGCGCCCATGACAATGCGATCCTACAAGCATAGTAAATAAACGGGGCCGAACGTGAGAAGCAGCGCGGATCACCTTTGCCCACTCGAAATGCTTAAGGTTCACGGCAGAAGCACCATCCCTTGAGGCCTGGACAGCAGCCATACTACGTAAAGTAAGTGAGTCGTGTATCTGGAGATTGCTACCGGAGGCTCACTTGACCATGTTCTGAAGATCAGCACCGGAGAAACCTGGCGTGCCTCGTGCGAGAACCATTAGGTTAACCTCTGTGGGGGGCGGACTATCAGCACTGCGGCGGAAGATATCAAGAACAGTCAAAAATACCTGGATCGGTGACGATGTTCTGCATGTGGTGTTTAAGGATCTGGGTACGCCCACGAACATCGGGCAGCGGGACCGCTATGTGTCTATCGAAACGACCGGGACGAACTAGAGCGCTATGAACGAAGTCAGCACAGCACACACCCAGAACAATGGAAGCCATCGATATACTCACGGGTCCAAACTATCCGGGAAGTTAGTAGCGCCAATAACGATGATGCCTTCATTCTGAAGGAAGCCATCCATCTCCGTCAGAAGCTGGTTCAGAGTCTGCCTCATGTACTGGGAGTCGCGGCTAGTGCGCTTTCCGCCAACAGCATCCAATTCGTCGATGAATATGATGGCAGGCTGCTTCTTGCGGGCAGCAGCGAACAATTCACGCATGCGCTTTGCACCAACCCCAACGAACATCTCGTCAAACTCTGAGCTAGGAGGAAGGTCAATAAACGCGGTTATAAAAAAAAAGCTGAGCACTTACCCGGAGGCGAAGAGGAAGGCAACGCCAGCTTCACCAGCAACCGCACGAGCGAGCATAGTCTTTCCAGTGCCTGGGGGACCTGTCAGAAGAATACCCTTAGGAAGCTTTCCGCCAAGAGCCGTAAAGTTCGTCGGGTCCTTCAAGAACATGACAACCTCTTGGAGCTCCTGATAGCGAGAAGAGCGACGTGAGCATATGAAAGCTACATAGGAGAGCGCTGACATACATCCTTTGCCTCATCGACGCCATGCACATCGCTGAATTTGTAGGTCTTGCCAGCAGCAGGCTCAAACTCAGCCTGCCGAGGGCCAGCCTTGAGTAAGCCAGAGTTCTCAAGCAGAACAGAGAATACGACGAGCATGACTAGATAATTTAGAAATGAGTAGGTAGAGCTTGAGCCAGAGATACAGTCGGATACATACAGAAAGTAAAGACAGCCGAGTACACCAGGAATCTGACCAAGCGGGGGATCCACGAGCCTTTCGCTGCCACGTATATAACATGAGCAAAGTTTCTGAACAAGTTCTTGGGAGACGTACGTTCAGCCAAGGTGACCACAATGGGGTTGTTCGGTACGCCTGCGCCAGTAGACAAAGCTGCAGCAATCTTTGACATATCCGAGCTTAGAGGTCCAGTCGAAGTTTGTGTTTTTGCCGTCCCTACGCTAGCTAAAACCGATTGAGCTACGTCTTGGCTCGAAGATGGTATTGAAGTCGTTGCTGAAGTGAAGGAAGGACCGGAAGTGCTAGCCGAGGAGGTAGTAGCAGACGCAGGATCACCCGCGGTTGCATCGTTCTCAATAGTTGAGGCAGCTACAGCTGCAGAACCCAGTAGAGAGTCTCTTCGACGAACAGCAGCGTTGATAGATGACTCCAAACCGTTCTTCATCAGTGCCGTGAGATAGAGTCGGAATGCCGTGTCAGAGCGCAGCAGGGAGCTAGTGGGATCCTGGTGGAGAGTTAAGAGGGTCCCAGTTCAGATAGACGAACAACGCACGAATTCACACATCCTTTCCCAGCGAGAGATGATCACATCGTACCCAGCCTTGACGTTCGTACTAAGTAGAGCCTCGAACAACGCGACTTGTTTCTCGACATCGTGAGGACTCGCGTCAGCAGCGGCTTCGATAGCAGCAATGTTAGCAACGACTTGTGGGGGAGGGACAGGTGTGGGTTTCCGTGGCGCGAAGATAGATGACAGAGACAGTGCACGGGTCGGGGTTGCGGGCAGGAGTTGCTTAGGGCATCCTCGAAGCAAACTTGACGTGTGAAGGAGCGTTATGCGAGAAGAGGTTGTGGACAGATTCCGGAATGGAATGCATGAGCTGAACGCTGGCCGCTGTGCACGTAGCGGAGTGCGTAGCAGACCGACCATCTGCAGACGCGAACTCTGATTAATAGTGTTCCGCTTCGCAGGCCAAGCGGGAAACTGACGATGATAGAACTCATCCTGCGAGGATGGCCAGCCGGAGCTGCAGCGCCGACGACGACAAGGCCAGGTGTGGAGGACGAGAAAAAGTCGGGAGAGTGAGAAACGAAAAGTTGCGGGATAGAGCGCAAACCCAGGCCTCACGTGCCACGACACTCACGCAAGCCCACGGCATTCCCCGGCACGATTCCTTTGTGGCGTCAAGCGCCTCACGCTTAACCCTTTGCAAGCTTGCTCATGTCCGTACCAAAGCGGACAAGAATTTGTAAAATATTGTACTAACAAACAAATCGGACTGGAGTTGCATACTTTATGTAACTCGGTTACTTATGTATTACTGTGCTACCGAGCGGTCGCCGTAGAAGTGAGCACTGGCCGGCGAACGATATTAGACGAGTTGACTCTCAAACTCATTTTGGGTCAGCATACACAACCAGGAATAATTCTTACAATATATGTGTCCCGAAGGCCAATAAGCCCGTAACACTTTGCATCCCAGACATGTACAGGCTCCGGCGTCTCACGCGAAACCCTAACCTGAATATCATGACGCCAACGTTGTGCGCCGAGGCCGCCGAGCTCCAAATATTGTCGCAGTACTGCCGGGTACAGCTTCCCCAGAATGTCCTTCAGAGCTCATGTGCCCCTGCCCGTCTTCATCTCATCATGTCGCAGAAACATGGCGACTTGACCACGGTGATCCCGCCGACAGACCTGCAAGCCCCTCAGCAGCGTGCGATATTCGAGCATGTCTTTCGCAGACTGGCATCGCACAGGAACAAAGCCGAAATCTACGCCACAAACGAGTGTTTTCTCTCTGCCAGAGACAGGGATGTCATGGAGACCATCAGAGAGGCCCATGTGACCGAACTGAACCGGTGGGCGCAGGAGTTGCTGGTTCACACGTGGACTGCGTGTCAGGAGCCGGGCGGAGGTGAATAGCAGCATTCGTACAATCTGTGTCGCAGCTACCGACCATGATGACCCTACGCAGGGCAATGTCCGACGCTAGATGCGCTCGCTGATACGTCTACCATCGGTCTACCGGCGCTGCCGGATGAAAGGCACATCAACCAAGTCTTACAAACCGTTCTCTTTCTCCATTTGACCGCGGCCAAGGCGTACCATGCGCATACTCGGACCTTCATATCCTATTTCGTGCACGTGGACGAAGATGCTGTCGCCGCTACACTCAAGAACCCGGAGCGCGCGGTGAAAGAGGCGGAGCGGAAGACGAAGACGCAGCGCGCCAAGGAGCAGCACGCCGCGCGCAACAAGACCCTCCGTAGAGTCGGCATGGGCGTGGCGGCTGTCGGAGGCGGTGTCCTCATCGGCATCACAGGGGGCCTCGCCGCGCCTCTGGTCGGCGCCGGCGTCACCACGGTGCTTGGATGGCTCGGTGTCGGAGGCACCGCCGCGGGCCTGCTGGCGAGCGGGCTTGCAGGCTCCTCCGTCGTGTGCGGAGCGCTCTTTGGCGCGTATGGCTCGAAAAAGTCCGCAGAGACGGTCGGACGGTTCACGAAGGAGGTCCAGGACCTGGCTATTATCCCCGTGTCGCAACCTCGGGAGACTCTCGCGGTCCGGCTGTGCGTCAGCGGCTGGCTGGACTCGCCCGAAGATGTCACCGCGCCCTGGACAGTCCTGGACGGCGACGACACTTTTGCGCTGCGGTGGGCACGTCTGTCTTACACATCTCCACGAGACGTCTCCCTGACATCTTTTGCGCAGGAGGTCGAAGCGCTGACGCAGCTCTCCGACGCCCTTACAGCGCTGGTAAAAACTGAAGCGATGCGCTATGTTCAGGCCCAGATAATCAAACGAACAGTCTTCGCCGCTCTGTTCGCAGCGCTTTCGCCCGCAGTGTGGGTCAAGATCTTGCGAGTCATCGGTGTGTCGTCCCTATCAATCATGCAATGGCAGCGCCTGACAAGCGGACGCTCCCAGACAACCCCTGGATGTCCGCAAAATCGCTCGCTGCCAAGGCGGGGCGCGTGCTCGGAACGCTGCTGGCGCAGCGCGTTCTCGGCAGCCGCCCGGTCACTCTTGTGGGCTACTCCCTCGGGTCGCTGGTGATATTCGAGGCCCTCCAACACCTCGCGAAATTCTCGCCATCCGAAACGCAGGTCGCAGGCCTGGTCCAGGACGTCTATTTGTTTGGAGCGCCGGTGCCCGCCGACGAAGGCGCGTGGGCTGCAGCGAGGCGAGTCGTCTCCGGACGCCTCATCAACGGCTATGCGACGCGGGACTACATCCTGGCGGTCCTAGCTCGGGCGTCACACATGAGCTGGGGCATGGCTGGATTGCAGCCGGTACAAGTGCAAGGCGTCGAAAACGTCGACTTCACCGAAGAAGTGGACGGTCATTTGAAATGGTGCGCCATGGTCGGGCGATGTCTGCAACTTTGTGATGCGCCGGGGGTTGTAGACTTGGAGGTTAAGGCGCAGCTGGAGCGCCGGGCACGGAAGATCACAGCGACTACAGAAATGAGTCAAAGCGACGCTGAGAAAATTATCGAGGCTGGCCCGGGTGACGAGCCGAAGATGCCTCCTGAGAACCTGAGTCGCGTCAAGTAGGGATTGAACATTGTTTCACGGATAATTCATGATAGAAATGCATCAGTAGCACATATTGTATGTACTTATCAAGAAGTCCACTGTGCTAAAGTCCGAGCGTAAAAGCAGATACAAGGTCTGTAAACAGGAAAGTCGCGGCAACGAAACACACACGATGAAACATCTAGAATAGTGATCTCAACAGCGACGACAAGCTTGATAGATTGATACCCGCCGACTTGAGCAATTGCTGCAAAAGGATGTGAGCCGCTTGCGAAATGGAGATGTCCCGAGCAACTTACGGCGAGATCACTAGAGCTAATAGGGCAATCAAAACTCGCAGAGTTCTTAATCGTCGGCTTGATTGGTATGAACAGCACTTTGAAGTCAAGCTGTCTCATGTGGATTAGCGCTGACAACATTGCAATGCACTCAACGACGCTTACGTCAATTTCATAGCTGATTGTCAACGGGGAAGCCGCTGAACCCAGGAGGCCACACTTGGTGGCAATATCCTCGAGGATCTTAAACTGGGGGTCAATGGCAAACGTGTAGTTCAGTGTGAAAGGTAACGTGAAATTCGTCTGCGCTTTGCTCTTGATGTCCAGTCCATTCAGGATGCCACCGCCGACATCGGTATTGTTGATAGGGTAGAATAGCTATGACACAGCTTATAATGTCGAGATCCCCGAGAAGCAGCTAGCCTCACCTTTGCATCGATGGTGCTGAACTTGACAGAGAAGTAGTTCGGGTTATTGACACTAAACCCGACAGTGAGATTACGCTGAGACGCTATAGTGTATGTAGACTGACGAGATGGGCACTTGTAGATTGATTAAAGCGCCATCGCTTTGGAGCTGGAGCTAGAAGAATTGCGGGCGGGTCGATATGGAGGAAGGGTGGACAAAAACAACACTCACAGTACTCCCGTTTGTCACAGGGGTAATATTTCCAATCTCAACATCTGGTGGTGCAATCCACTAGAAGGGGGTCAGGTGCTTGAGACATGTCCAATATTCAGGGGACATACCAGGAGCAGGGAGAGAACAATGCTGATCAGAAGGAAGAGGAAGATGAGGAGTGTGCAGCAGAAGAACCGTCCGCAACACCGGACACCGCCGCCTGCAGTCCACAGATTCCCTTGATGCTCATGTCTCCAACGCTTCACGGCTCGTGGAGATCGCCTATACCAGGAAAGTTAGGTCGATTTCGAGAATTATGATCAACGCCGTAGGTACCTGGCAGGCAATTCTCTAGTCGCATAAGCACCGTTATCCTTCTCCTTTGCGGGGGGAGCGGGCGCAGCAATTTCATCCCTGTAGTCTGCGTCCTGATAACCCCCTTGCTCGTAAGACCTGTGCGGCGGGGCATTGTAATACGGATCGAATGTTCCTTCCGCCTGATGCTCGTAGTACTGCTGAGGCGGGTAGGTATCGTTGCGCCCCTGGTATTGGTCGTAAGACATGTTTGACAATATGGGGGTTAAGCGGTGTAAATCGTCGTCAGTGAAGCTCTTTACAAGGTGGTCGTGGTGGTTGCGTCCAGCGCTCTGGTTACTGCGGGGAACAGCCTCTGGCGCCACCTTTCTGCGGCGGACGCAGGCGCTCGCATCCCACGTGGCTTCCACGAAGACAGCCGAAATGTGACGGCATTTCCCTCGAAAGCTTTTCCGAATCCTAGCAATGCCACCGCGAAAACATTGGCCCTTCACATGTGCTTCCCCCGAGGCAGAGGGCCATGACGAAAGTGAACATAACCCGCAACCAAACATTGGAACTCATCTCTCAGGAGTCTAGCAAATGCACAGTAGTTATATTTGAACAGTATGATCGTAGCGACAAACAGGAGGTGGCGAGCGAACAACAATGCGAAGAGTCCGTGAAGAGGGCATGCAGATTAAAGGTCGTCGTCCTCCTCAGGGAGGGGGACAGCCTCGGCCTGTGGAACTCTGCGTTAGCGAGCTGCGGAAATTGCGGAAATTTGGCCACACGTACCTGTGCCAACTCCCTCGAATACTGCTCCATCAATTGTGGGTCAACTTCCACCTCGGCGGGCTTGAGTGCTGGCGCAGCGACGAACTCGAGGCTGGGGTTGCTGGGGACAACAAAGTCAGCCACTAGTGAAGATCAATCGATCCCCCGATATGCAACGTACCCAACAAGCTTGCGAGCGAGCCACAAGAATGGCTTCTCGAAGTTGTAGTTCGACTTGGCAGAGATCTCGAAGTATTGGATGTTTTTCTTTCGGTGGAAGGTCACATGGGAGGTCTTGACCTTGCGCTCCTATAGTTGAGAAAAATGGTGCTGAGCATGCCATGGTCATCCCCTTCGTTTGACGCGTCGCTTACCTTGACATCCACCTTGTTACCGCACAGTACAATGGGAATGTTCTCGCAGACACGCTCGAGATCACGGTGCCAGTTGGGGACATTCTTGTAGGTGATACGGGAGGTGACATCAAACATGATGATGCCGCACTGGCCCTGGATGTAGTAGCCATCACGGAGACCACCGAATTTCTCCTGGCCAGCAGTATCCCAAACGTTGAAGCAAATGGTACCGAAGTTGGTGGAGAAAGATAGGGGGTGGACCTCGACACCAAGAGTAGCTGGATAGCCACACGACGTTAGTAGGCGCGCCAATGACCGTCGTAAAGAGGGACGTACCAATGTACTTCTTTTCGAATTCGCCGGTCAAGTGGCGCTATAGGTATATTAAGTATCAGTACACGATCTTCCGAGATCGAAGCTCAGACGACCCGACGCACCTTGACAAAGGTAGTTTTACCAGTGCCACCGTCGCCGACTACGGAACATCACCAAGCCCATATCGTGACGCAAGCAGTAGCCAAGACGACAAGAGGCGCGGAAGATACGCAAGTTTGCAGTACATGCCGCATCGATGAGAGAAAAACGAATGAGGGGCGTAAACATCAGCACGGTCCACTAACACGAGCTATAGCCGACGTACCGAGCACGAGCTTGAAAGTAGGGATAGTGGTCTGGTCGGTCATTATGTTTCTAAGACGACGAGAGCGAGAAGAGAGAGGAAAGGAGGAAATGGGAGAGCAAGATGAAGGCTGCAGACAAGGCTGAATTTACGGCCACTGCTTTGAAAGTCTGCTCATTATGTAAGCGGCACGTGATTGGTCAACGACCGCGACGCGTCCGGGATCGTCATAGTGACTCTCTGTGGTTAGGGGCATTCATAATTACAACTTGAACGTTCAGTATTCGCTGCGCTCCGCGACTGCTGTCTTCGTGGTTGCGGTTCTGCAGGCGTGAAATATCAAGCTCAAAATCTTCGATTTTACTCGCTAGATGAATGCAGGTCAGGCAGAGAACGGCGCATAGGGTGCGGCGTGAAGCGGAAGCGGCTATAGGGCTCGATCGAGGAGAATGACGAAATAGGGGCGGTCGAAAGGCATATAAGATGAGGGGTGGGAGAGGTGGGGCGAGCAAGACAGGGATAAGAAAGTTATTTCTTAGAGGACATCTGCGTTGTAGTATGGTATGGTATGGTAATGGTAATGGTAATATAGTAGTTTTGATAGTAATTTGATGTTCAGTTTATCGATTCGAGCTCGAGCTCGCACGCGATTCGCGCACTGAACTTAAGGTCGGAATCTTCATTCGGGACTTCGATCCTGTGCTCGATTCACTCTCAAATATGAAGACATATTGTTTAATCATAAGTTCACTCAATATGTCAGAAATAGCGTTTTCTGATGATATTTATACAATCAGCTAGTGATCATGCTTTCGGTCGTATTAAAGGGAGCTCATGAAGCCAGTTAAATGCCAATTGTTTGCAATTTCGTCCAACTTGTCTTATTCCACTTGTGACAAGCGTGAATCGCAATTTACTAGGGCCAAATAAAAGCTGGGAAGCCCGACATATAGAGTAAAGCGCGCGGAAAAAGTAAATTAGACTCATCTTACTTGCACGAAACGACTTCCGAATCGACCTCGCAAATCGAACTTTGGACACTTCCGTTGACTGTCTCTGAGCAGAGGGATGAATAATAATATTTTTATTTATTTATTATTGTCTGAGGAACATGTGCATAGTTGCATCTTGAAAACCCTTTGGCGAATGTATATAATCGCATGTTGTTGCAGACGAGAATCCCATTACATTTAATATTGGGACAGTCTGGGACACTGCGTCTGCGTGCGCAGGGGAGTTTTGATTGTGTGCTATCTTCAAAATTGCTGGTGAGACCTATAAAGTTCAGTCAGCATTATGAAGAAGGACTTCTGCTTGCCTTGCATTCAACTTGCAGCGAGGCAAAATGCACGTTCTTTGAACACGACGCTATCGTGAAATGATGACGTGGTTTACATTTCGACATGTCCGACCGCCCCGGATGGAATGGCTATCCGGGCGCCATGTAACTCGGGTGCTGTAGACAGTACCGCGTTCATCGTTAGATGTACTATTTGGCTAGCGGTACCAATACAACATCTTTCAAGGTATCTTGCTCTCATGTCTGAGGCGTCTCGCCGTCTCTAACTGCTGTTAGCTCGCTGGAGGTAAAGTGAGCGTATCGGAGATACTTGTGTGGATGATCTACGGCCGTGCCGAATGAGCAACCGCTCGGCCAGGAGCTGCCACAGGCCAGATGAAACGGAAGGATGCCGAACCGCTAGACTGCGGCACCCAACGGCTTCCCACAGTTAGTTTACTAAGAACGCTCCAACAAAGCTATCCGCGCATTGATTCTCCCGGAAGCTGAAAGCTGCTGTCTGGTGGTGATGGCAAGCGAGCAGTGAGAGAGGTTTGAACTCTGAGCCGTGCCAAAGAGATAACGCAGATCTGGAGCCGGAGGCCCGGAGGGAACCAATAACTTAGGTCTGAAGCGGCAAGCCGGCTTGGCTCGGCCCGACAAATGTTTTCAAGCCCAGCGCAAGTGCAGCCACAAACGGAAGCCCGGCACTGCTCGTGACCTTGATGTGCCGACGAGTACCGCCGACGTGCCGGGCAGAGGGCCCACATTGGTCTTCACGCGAAGTCGAGTCTGCAAAGATGAGGATTCCCTCCAGGCTTTCTTCCTTGCTCCCATCTCGTGCTCCTCGCTGACTGTCGGTCCCCCCTTTCACGAAAGTGCCTCTGGCCTCAGTACTTGGTTGTCCCACACGAGCACACCATGGCAGACATGGAGAAGTCTCAAAGCACTCCCACTAGTCCTGTTGCGGCCTCCGTGGGCGAGAACGTTGCTACAGCAAAGCGTCATGAACCGGGACAGTCTTGGAAGCAGAACGAGGAGCACGTTCTACCTCACAACCGTATCGGCATCGTCTTCTTTGGTCTCATGGCTTGTACGTTCCTCGCTGCTCTTGATCAGGTACGCCGCCGCACTTCCCTTGGTTTTGGATATGTAGGCTTATCATATCATCTAGACTATCGTGGCTACTGCTCTGCCCACCATCGTTGCTAAGCTTGGTGGAGGCTCTGAGTATTCTTGGGTAGGAAGGTTAGCATCTGCCTTGGGATGCGCGACATTGCATTTTCGTCTGACCACTACTCTACAGCGCCTATCTCTTGGCAGCCGCTGCCCTTGGCCCTCTCTACGGTAAGGCTTCCGATATCATAGGTATGTAGACCGATCTTCCAGGCCCGCGACGAACTGCTGACACTATTATTTGAAGGTCGAAAACCCATCTTGTATGCTTGCATCGTTATCTTCCTGGTAGGTTCTCATGCACACATACTTCGTTACATGGGTTTACAAATCTTTGCCGTCAGTTTGGTTCCGCCATGTGTGGAGCTGCTCAGACTATGATATGGCTCGTCGTTTGCCGCGCGGTTCAAGGAATTGGAGGTGGAGGTATTATCCAGATGGTGCAGATCACCATTTCTGATATCGTATCGCTGGAAGAGTAAGTCCTCCCAGTTTCATTGTTTTGTTTAATAGCGGCTAACCTTAAATATCAGGCGTGGAAAGTACGGTGGTTTCCTTGGAGCGACGTGGGGTATTGCCAGGTAGGTATGTCACTTTCAATCGACAGTCATAAATAACAAGCCTCCTCTCAGCGTTATCGGACCTCTTCTAGGCGGAGTGAGTTTATCTTTTGTTCGACTCTTGATACGTTGTACCCATTGAATTTTCAGGTCTTCACGGACCATGTCTCCTGGAGATGGTGTTTTTTCATCAATCTACCAACCGGCGGTATTGCCTTCGCTATCTTGTTCTTCTTCCTCAATTTGAACCCTCACCGCGGCAAGACATTCCGAGAACACGTCGCTGAGTTTGACTTTCTGGGCCTAGCTCTCATTGTCAGCGGTATTGTCTGTGTCTTGATTGGCTTCAACTTCAGTGAAACAAGCTGTATGTGCATTCAGCCCACTGTTTCCCGCACTGTGCGCTCATGGCTCCGCTTAGGGTCTACGGCGCAAACTATCGCTCCACTCGTGATCGGCGTTGTCTTGCTTATTCTCGGTGCTCTAAACGAGATCTTCACTTCCCGGTCACCTATCGTGCCTCCGCGTCTTTTCAAGGTTTGTACCAGCTCTTATTGATTATGAAGGCAGCTCAATAAACGTCGCGTGTTCTAGGTCCGAACCACAGCCTTTCTCCTGATTTCTGTCTTCTTGCATGCTTTGGCTTTCTTCGGAGGTAAGCCGCGACTCTTGCTCGTTTGCTGATCGCGCTCTAAGCTGACGCGTTTGTCTAGGCGCGTATTATCTTCCCGTTTACTTCCAGGTTCTTGGCTCGTCCGCCACCGTAGCCGGTGTATGGCAAGTGTTCTGCACAATTAAGTCAATTTCAGCGGGAGGACTAACAATGACTGCTTAGGATGCTGCCTTACTCTCTTTGCTCGGCTCTCATATCGGCCGTGTCTGGGCAGTTCGTGACGAGGACCGGACGTTGGCGGCCTGTTATGTGGTTTTCGTGGGTTATCATTGTCCTTGGATACGGTCTTATGATTCAGTTGGATGACCGGTCTAACGCGTACGTACATATACCGTCCAGACTTGATCTTAACGACTGACCTCTGCTACTTATAGTGCTGAGAAAGTCCTGTACTTACTTATTGCCGCAGTCGGTATTGGCTGTCTCTTCCAGGTGTGTATGCCCCTGATCTGTTCCTTTGCATATGGCTTAATTCAAGCTGTACAGACGCCATTGATCGGTCTTCAGGCTGCTATGCCTTTGAAGGATATGGCTACCAGCACAGCGACCTTCACTTTCCTTCGGTAAACAGGGTTATAGCAATCCCATGTACATTACGCTCATCCATTCTGCAGGACTTTGGGCGGTACTGTTGGTATCTCCATCGGCCAGGCTATCATATCCGGGGTGAGTCTCCTGTTTGGAACATCTCTGCGCCCTTCGCTAAAGCATCGGGATCTTCCACAGTTCCTCCGCCGCAAGGTCGCTCAGATTCCGAACCTTGATATTGATACCTCGCCGGCGGCTCTCAACCAGATCGTGCGGCAAATAAAAGACATCCCTGTATGTATGCTGTGCCATGGATACAAATTCGTCGCTTACTCTGCGTCAATCTGCAGGATGTAAGCACCCGCCAGGCGCTCATGCATGCCTATACGACATCGATCAATAAGATTTGGCTTATCAACACGCCCATCCTTGGTGTAGGGCTTCTGCTGGGTGCGTCTGTCCCATCACCCTTTCTTGAAGCTTCTGAATGCTGATTGCGAATGCCTTTTAATCCGCAGTGCTTTTCCTCCGGCCGTACACCCTGAAGCGCATTGTCGTCAAAGGCGAGCGTCCAAAACAGCCTGACGTTGAGGCGGGTGAGGTCAACAAGACTGAGAAGGTTCTCGATACCGATGCATCTCAGATGGAGGCCGCACCCGCCCCTGGCGGAAACGAAACCTCTGAGGAGCGCAGATCAATTAGCAAGACACGTCCGTCGACGGCTGAGGGCGATGACACTGGCACTGTTCACACCGAGCCCGAAGTCAAGAAACAATGATCTACGAGTAGATTGAAATGAAAACGAGTTAACGATTCATCAATATCTTTGGGCGGAATGCTATCTCCTAAGCCGTAGACTTTCTCATTGCTGCACCTTGTCATTCCTGATTTTAATGATCTTCATGTGTAGCTCTGCACGTCCGAATGCCATGTCTATTACATACCAGATGCTCAATAGATCCAGCTACTCTTTGCTGCAACCATCACAATGTGCAGTAGGTGAGACATGGGTGCCGTGGCTCAGGGTCTGATAGATGTACGAACAGCCTATGCTGTCAAGGGCTGATTCTACAGCGCCTGGCGGGCCTTTGTTGCTGCTCGGAAACCTTATGTAGTTCGCCAAGCTGTCGAAAGTGTGATGGCGGTCAGCTCCTGTCAAACTTACTGGATGCATAGCGTTAAACGTGGATTGACCCAAGCAGGTCGCGGAAAGTTCTCAAGGCTGGCCGCGGCTAAGCACAGCAACAGAGACATGTTCTCACTGCAAAGAATCCATTGCACTGGAAACGGAGTCGACGGTGAGAAACGTGATCCGACAGGGTGGGCCGGCGCGTCGGAGTACACAGCTTAAACGGGCCCGCAGGCGGCCGTTCGCCGCTCGCGTACCTCGGATGGCGGGGCACGGGAAGCGCCAGGGGACACTGTCAGCATCATGATCCAGGACGAGAAGGCTGCCCACCGGAGTGGACATCGGCAGAAACAAGTCAGGGGGCACAGCAAGGACAAGCTGCGGGAAACGGGAGGCGGAAATCTGAGCTGTCCGGAGGGCGACAGCGGAACGGAACAGGCTCGGCGGGCCAACCAGGGCGGCCAGAGTGGAATGAAATACGTCGGCGTCGAGTAGCATCGTGGTCGTCGGCGGCTGTGGGCAGGGAAACCCGCTCGACGCTCATTGAGCGCGGATGAGACGATAAATAGCGTTTGTGCGGTTAGTGATGCAGGGTCCAATCGGCGTTCAACTGGCGTATGCTCGGCGCACGGATGGCGAACAATCACGCCCGAGAGCGTTCGCAGCGCCTGAGTCGGTTACAGCATCTGGGTAGAACCGTCAAGGGCTATGGACGCCGAAATGGTGCTGCCGACACGGAGTGCGCATACTGGTCAGTGGGGGAGGCGTGAAGAGGGTGCGAACACAAACATAAGTATGATGTAGAGCTGGGTTATTCGGGGTGCTGTACAGGTATCCCGGGGGTGACGATTGTTCTGGAGTTGCACGTTGTGTGTGCTTGTGCTGGTTGTTGAGAACGAGGGTGAGCGGAGGTGAACTCGGTCGATCTGGCTGAGAGCTCTCTGATTGCCGCCGTGTACATAGCAGGTCGGTTGACACACTCTGGCACCAACTACTCCCGCGGGCTTTCCCACACCGCTTTTGTTCCTCTTTCGACACCCTGTCTCCCCACCAGTACCTGCCCGCCATTTAACTCGACGGTCCTGTCGAGCTGCCCCAAGATGCCGTCGTCCTCAGCCATGCCCGCAGAACATCCCGCTCCTCACTCTCAGCAGCAGCAGGAGCTACCCCAACAGCAGATAAAGGTGTGCTCTTCGTGTCACCATCCACTTTCCGGTGACTCGGCGACGACGCCATTCCTACTGCACGATGGAGAAGACGCCAGCGATACCAGTATCGTCTGTCCGCCATGTCGAAATCGGATCCTTGCCGCGAGGATGGAAGCTCCTCCCGTATCAGCCGCGAGAGGCGAGGTTCTGTTCGCCCAGGTGGAAAGAGAGCTTCGTCGCCGCGCGGCTTCTTTGCAGGCTGGCGGCAACGAGGCAGACACACTGCACACACCAGCCGACCCTATCACCACTTGCCCCATAGAGCAGCCTCAACAACAGCAACAGCAAGTTTCTCGTGACGATGACGATGTTGAAATGGACTCTCCTGTTACTGCCCGACTGCAGCTCATCCTTGCCTCATCTGAGTCGTTCCAGAGGCCATCCTTTGTCGAAGGATCGTCGTATGGCTCTTTGTCTACCCGCAAGGCACTCACGCTCGTCGTCAATCACGGCGCTGCCTCCAATCAAGGCCAAGCGCTCGCATCCTCGACCAACGTCTCTCACTCCCCGCTTTCTGCGAGTCACTGGGCGTCCCCGACCAGGGATCGTGCTCAGCTACTACACCATCTGTCTGCGCACCCGGATCCTCTTGTCGACATCACCCGTCTCCGTGTCCGGTCACAAGGACACCACTGTTTATATCCCGGTGCTATTTTTCAAGGTACCCAAAAAAGCGGCCGGAACAGCTACGACGTCAGCGTGACTATTGTGGTCAGTATATTTCCAGGATAGTCTCGTCGCCGAGGTCTGTTTCTAAAGTGATGCCTTCTTTTAGGATGTCGATTTCTCCCTCTCCCACCTCTGCGGATACCTTCGCATACGCGGCTTGACAGATGACTGGCCAGAACTCACCACCTACTTTGACGCAGAAATCATTGGTAGCCGCTATGGTTTCTTGACCAAGAACTGGGGTGCAACCGAGCAAGAAGACATGGTCCACTGGGGCCGCTTCCCTGCTTTCCGACACGTCCGCCATGAGCTCAAGAGGCCGCATTTGACTATGAAAGACGCTGACCGGGGAGCCGTCTTCATGAGGTGGAAGGAGAAGTTCCTAGTTCCCGATCACCGGGTGCAGGATATTAGTGGTGCTAGCTTTGCAGGTGAATCATGCTCCGACGTCGCTATGCTTCAGGCCTACAACGGCATTTGATTTGATTAATGAGGCTCATCGGCTTCTTTGACAGGCTTTTATTATGTCTGTGTGGACTTCAACCCACAGCCCACCCACGCCACACTCGATAGCCCACTCACTCCCACCTTGGAAGACCTGCCCGAGGCCTCATCTCCTGTGCACTCGTCTCTTCCCAAACCCGAGGTCGTTTCCCCCCGCCTCAGACGGGAGTCTACCAACCGAGGCTCTCGGAGGACGATGCGTTCACCCTCGTCCTGCAGAGCTGTGCACACGCCCGTGGCTACCATGAGCGGGTTCTACTTCCATCAACACTCGGAGCCGTGAGTCGATTGGACATTCTAGCACTCGCATAGCGCTGACTGTTTCGATGTAGATACCAACAGCTTTCTCTTGTCCATGTTCCTGAGCATACTAGCTCCAGCTTTGAGTTCCGGTAGGGTGCGCGCGCGGCCCGTCTGATGCCAAAAGACCTGGGGCATTCCTGGTCGTTTGCGTGCCTGCTTCGCACGTGCAACGATACCTTTCATCTCGCATCAGTTTCGTACGCCTTTGGTCGCATATTTCCGCTTTTATGTTTCGGTCCGATTAGGACGTCTGCTTGCCTTTTTCTTGTCCCTATCGCTGTTAATCACCTCTCGTTTGCTGGATATCCTCCTCCTCTCCGTACGCTGTGTTGTCCCGTTTGCATAGTCTTTCGATAAACTGTACTATCTGTTTTGCACTGTACTATCTCACATAAAATATCTGCACTTAGTCTAATCCCTACGCTTTCCAAGCGAACCACATGGAGTAAGCGAGCGTCTGGTTACCGGCAAGCGCCGAAGTTCCTCTGGAGGCAGGGGTGCGACTTGTCTAGTCCCTGCTTGTATCCCGGCCAGTAGGGCCTCAGCCTTCTCATCTTCGCTTTCTTTTCTCCTTTGTCCTCACCGACGGCCAGGCCATGTCTCACTCACACTCTTCCAACTCTTCCAACAACATCGTCGGTACGCACTACCGCGTTGGGAAGAAAATCGGAGAGGGTTCCTTTGGTGTCATCTTTGAAGGTATGTGCTATCCCGGCATCTTCTCTACGAGTCGTGTAAATTAATTCCTCTTACCTCTATAGGCACGAATTTGCTCAACTCCCAGACCGTTGCTATCAAATTTGTGCGCGTCCTCTGTTGCGAGCAACCACGCCAAGCTCCACCGCTCACTTCCATCATTATCCTAGGAACCGAGGAAAGCTGAGGCACCGCAACTACGGGACGAATGTCGTTCATATCGTATATTGGCCGGATGCCGTCAGTTTTGCTTCTTGTGCTCTCAAGCATGCACTTCTGACCCCGGCAATGTTCACTGACAACAGCGGGGATACCCCAAATATACCATTTCGGGCAGGAGGGGCTCCATAATATTCTCGTTATTGACCTGTTAGGTCCGAGTCTTGAAGATCTTTTCGACATGTGCGGGCGCAAATTCTCCATCAAGACTGTTTGCATGGCCGCACGGCAGATGGTATGTCTGTACTCGAGATTCTCGAACTTCTTCTATTGCCGCGTCATCCTCAACGCCTCGCTTTGCCCTGCCTATAGATCACGCGCGTACAGACGATACACGATAAGAATCTCATCTACCGAGACATCAAGCCAGACAATTTCTTAATAGGTCGGCCAGGAACCAAGAATGCGAACGGTGGGTCAAGAGCGCGCATATACGCTTTATACGTGCTCATGCAGTCAATCACAGTGATCCATGTAGTTGACTTCGGTATGGCTAAGCAATACCGAGATCCCAAGACTAAGCAGCACATTCCCTACCGGGAGCGCAAGTCGCTCAGCGGTACGGCACGTTACATGAGTATCAACACGCATCTTGGACGAGGTTTGCAGCCCGTCTCTACGATGCTTGTCCCCGTGCGCTGATGCGGACATCTTCAATATTAGAACAATCACGTCGTGACGATCTTGAATCACTAGGACATGTCTTCATGTACTTTCTACGAGGCAGCCTTCCATGGCAGGGCCTTAAAGCTGCGACTAACAAGCAGAAGTACGAGAAGATCGGTGAGAAGAAACAAACTACCCCGATCAAAGAGCTATGCGAAGGCTTCCCGGGTACGCTTGCTGCCGAAGGCACTCCAATCCAACGCTGATCATCCATCGTAGAGGAGTTCGGGATCTATCTCAACTACGTTCGCAAACTTGGTTTTGAAGAGACGCCTGATTATGACTTTTTACGGGAGTTGTTTGCCAAGATCTTGAAGAACAATGGCGATGTTGAAGACAGTGTATATGACTGGAACTCACTGAATGGTGCGTCTTCTATATAGCGCTATTCTATACCCGCGCTAACGACTTGCGGTATATAGGTGGCAAAGGCTGGGAGGCCTCAGTTGTACGTTATCCGTTGCTGCTTTCTTGGCATAGCATTCGCTGAACGCGTTACATGTCAGGGACAAAATCAAATATTGGCGCAGATCCAGAATACGCCATCCACCCCAACGCCTGACCGCAGGAAAGACACCAACCGAGACGATCGACGACGTGCCTCGCAGGCGGCGGCTGGGCCAGGTGTCCTACCACCTTCTCCTGCTATGGTTCGCCAAGGTTCGCGACAACAACAATCTCGCCAAGTACCCCAAGCTCTTCTTCCTGGTAGCGGTAATGCGCCGGGACAGGTAACGCCTCTGTCAGCCGCCGCACATGTCGATGTACCGGTAGGATCATCGAACCGCCGGACGAGTCAACCAGGGACACCTCAGCACCCGTATGCCAACGCAGGCTACGATTCGTATGGTCGAGGCGAGAATACCGTGGAAGAATATTCGGCGACCCAGCAGCAGTACGGCCGTGCCTCGCCCATGGTCTCCAGCGTTGGTGCCGCGCCGCCCGCAGTGTCCAACGTTCGTGCGATGGGTGGCGAGCATGGCATCGCCAACGGCGGCGACTTTCATGGTCAGACGACTGAAGAGCGGCCAAAGAACACTCTGTGGCAGATCCTGACATGTAGATGTGGCTGAGCCTAAGTTTGCTGTCCTCTCGCAAATGACGCTCCTTTCTGTTTTCTCATCATGGATTTTTGGTACGGCTACAACCTGGGTCATACGTCCACTTTCTTTCTTACACTCGGATACCTCTGCATTGTTTCATCATTCTACATGCTGATTTGCTGTCGCCCTCCCCATCCTGGATCCGCACCGTACTAACCCTCTACCTTCTTTACGATCGCTTAATAATATATATATATATATACAATCATGACACATGTGCACTTGCATGTGAAGTAGTTCAGCAGCTGCTGGTAATGAAATACATGGTGATTCGCAAGAAATACGCGCGATTTCGAGAGATTATACACGTGCATACGCAGAATTATGAGAACCGCCCTGCTGGTCCGTCTTAGCCGTGTGATCCACTATTCATTGCTGGCTATAGTAGCCATTCCCTGAGTCCTGCCGGTCAGGCTTATTGTTCCAATGAGATCTTGGCCCGTTCGCGCCGTAATGGTGCTGGCGAGGGGCGGAGGGCATGGAACGGGCCCTGTGCACATCTGTACGCCCGGAAGGGTCGTGAAGGGAATGTGAGCGCGGAGACACATGGTTGTATCGTCCTCTTCTAGACCCCCTCGCGGGATGGAAGTCGTGGCGCCCACCATGATGTGCACTGCGAAACACTTCCGCCTTCTGCTGGATTTGGTCGGGCGGCAGATGATGAAAGTGTGGCATATTTTCGTTGTTCTCCGCGCCATAATGCTGGCTCCGTCTTTCGTCGCCCTCTCTCGCCATGGCACCGTTGCGCACAGGGGTCGTCGCGCGAGGAAGCGGGAGTGAAATCTAGACGGTAACTGATGTAGGAGAGTTGATTATGAGATTCTGAAAGAGAACACTTACACTTGGGGTTCGTGGTGACATCGACTGAGCAACAAAATCGCCCTCGTCCCTGGTAGCCTCCGCTGGCGTGTCTGCTGCTCGAATGTACTGCTCCGAGCAGTGGCGGATCGACTGAACGACGTCCGCCAATGCGTCCGCGACAGAACCAACTCGAGCACTGATCCTCTCAGCTTCCGCCCCCTGAATTTCCTGGGCGTTCTCCATATGTCTCTTGACCTGACGCTCGAGATCTGCCATCCTAAATTCCATGGTCCGTGCACGCTCCTCTGACTGGGTTTTGCATACTTTCAGCTCCTGCAGCTGGACGTCTTGCTCTTTGACCCTGCGCTCCAACTTTTCGTTGGCGGCGAGGAGGGCATTCGCCCGATTCTCCTGCTCCTGCGCCTTGCAATTTGCACCACCTAGCAAGCTATCTTGCTCGCGAATCCTACGATTCGCGTCGTGCAGCTTCTCCTCTAAGTCTCCAAACCTGTCCAAGCGCAACTCCTGCTCGGAAAACCGCCGACCATACCGTAAGTTGGTTTCCTCGAGCTCTGTTACCCGTCTTGAGAGGGCGCCGGTGGCTTGACGGAGGACGTCTTCAACAATTCGCGAAAGCTCTGATGCCAACATCGGCTCAATCGAAGGTAAGGGTGGTTCTACAATAGCCGATTGCGTCACCGAAGGAGCTGACGGCCGACTCTCAGCCACAGGAACGGCCGGGAGAGTTGCCTCTGAGCAAGCAGTGATCGACGAGCCTGCGTCCCCGAGAGGCGTGATGGAGGGAGTTATATCTGCGGGGGAGACTGGCGAGGCTGTGTTTACGCGATGGAAAGATAGCATAGGGTTCGGCAAGCGGCCGATCAAAGGCACATCTGACTGTGGCTCTGCTGTCGCGGGTTCCGTCTGTGGAAACATAGCTGCTCGAGCAGTAGATGAAGATCTCACCGCATGGGGGATGGACGGTGAAGGGATAGCTACGGGGCCAAGAGATCTAGTTGATGCTATTTCAGATGCAATGGTGCTGACGGCGGCTATCTCTTGCGGGGCAGCACTCGCAGCAGTCCTCCCAGGCGGACGACCTCGAGCTCCTCTGATGACCGATTTTGAGGCTGGCCTCCGGCACGGCACGTTGTGGGAGGAACCTGCTTCGGATACAGCTGGTCGCTCAGTCTGTGCTCTTGCTGAAACAAGTTTTTTGGAGACCTTGCGCCTTTTGCTCGGTGGAGGACTGCCTTTGGCGTTGGTATGTGGTCGCTCCGGAGACTCAGACACGATTCGCCGACCCTTCACCCGGATGGCTAGTTTTCCGACAATGGAAGCCCGGGCGTCATTGGCGCTATTCAGGGCGTCAACGAGCTGGGTAGCGGCTGTGTGGGGGTCGTCATTGGCTTCTGTCTCTATTAAGTTGCCCTGCACGAAAGCTATTAACGTTGAGACCATGAAACCATGTATTCGAATACGCACCGACTGCACAGACGATCGATTCTTTGAAGAGATATTTGGGCTAGTGCGAGTACTACTCAAGGACGTTCTAGTCTTCATAGCTGGCAGCGGCACGCAGACATACACCTCCTGGCGCGTGGACGACAGTTGTTTGAACGACCTAGTGGATGCGGGAGACTCCGAACTCGTCTTCAAAACCGATAAAGGCGACGATTCGGCCGATTGGGCGTTTCCGGCTGCGGTTGATGGCTGGTCCACTTTGTCCCGTCCGACCACAACGATGCCTTCCTCCTGGATTGCGGAGGTCATTGTCGTAGCGGATGAAGGTCGTAGAGGCGTGGCCTGGTGCTTCCGATACCGTCTCACAGCCTTGGACGCACGACAGACCGCAAGGCCTCCTGCCGTCTATGACTTAGGGTTCAGTCAACTAGTACACGTGTAGCACAGAAGAAGCTACTTACAACATCACTGATCCCAATGTGGTCGTCGTCGCTGTTGCTGTTGTGGCCGCTGTCGTTGCCGTTGCCGTTGTTGTGGTCGTTGTTGTGGTCGCGATCGTGGTCGGGTTCATCGTACCATCCTCGTCGAGTGTCCGTATTCAATGGTTTGCAAGCCATGTATCGCTGTGCTACGAAAACAAGCCTGTTATTGCGTTGGATGGCCTCACCTGTCCGCTCGGCTGCTTGCAAATCGGAAATGCTTCCCTTGAAGTCTGTCTTGACTCCGATGTGCATTTTATGCCAGTCCTCCCCTCCGCCCTTGAACTTCAGAAGTGCCTCAGCAGCATGGATACCAGAGTTCAGGAGATCCCTGAGACACTTCGATCCGTGGCATGGCTTGCAGTAGAAAACTTCGAATGTTGGTCCATTGTATCCGCACTTGCACTTGCGTTTCTTGTATCCAGGCTGGTAAGAATGACAACAAGACCTGCCCAATATAGAGTGCGTACCACAGCTGACCTTTCGCCTCTCATCTGCTGAAGCTTACACGCCGCCTCAAAGATCTTCAGCTGAGTGCACTCTTGAAAATCGCTGGAAACTACATTAATACGTGCAGCATTCTCGGTACAAGTTAGCACTCGCCTTTCTAGTAGTTCAGAATATCGAGGTCCAGCTGCTTGTATGACAGAGAGAAGCGCCGCAGCTTCATTACGATCCCGCAATAGACCTGAGAACGGGCGGCATTGCCCAGGCTCCATATTTCCGCAGCCACAAGTCCTTCCCTCAATATAGCATAGAGAGCACACCATAGATCCGTCTCCAAGCTGTGGCTCCTCAGGGCCGTCCCCAATGTCGTCTCTCGCATTCAAGGGTCGACAGTCGTTACCACATTCGAAGTAGCTCTGGAAAATGTCAGCGCCGCAGAAGTCGCAGCAAAAGTTTGCGAGCGACTCGGGCTCCGTAGCCTGAGAAGCTTTCTGCGTAGGCTTCAGCTTCCGCTTCGACGGCGTCCGCACGTTGAATATAGCAGATAGGTCGGCGCAGCTAGACTCAGTGGGAGATGTGGCGCGGGATAGGATGGTAGGTAACTTCCTATGTGCGAGACTGTATTCCTCGTAAAGGACGAGATCGAACATGTCGATCAATTCGGCCAAATCTTTCGCCAGACGCGAGATATCGTCGCCGAGATGGCCATTAGGTTCAGCAAACGCAGTTAGCGACATTGCCGCCGTCATATGTGTGGACAAGGAAGGCATAGGCCCGATATTCGGAGGGTAAGGCGCGTTCCAACTGTGGTCCAGGGATTGAGCTACGGATTGCAAGGCTTTAATCTGGACTGCACGTTGGAGCAACGTGCGGTACAATATGTATTTGACGCGGTACTGCTCAGGGCGACAGACACTGAATAATTTGATCAAGATCAGAGCGTGTTTGATCAGCACAACACACACCGTCTATATATCGGTAGCTCATGGTGAAATGCCGTCTGTAGACCTCTCAGAGTCATCCGCGACCAGGACGTTTTCACCGTCAGTCCACCGTGGTTGACCACCTGGTGGCAGCTCCGTGGTGGTACAAGTACGAGGTCGCCTAATTTTTGCTCCGCTACGTACACCGAGAAGGGAGCAGCCGCGAATTCATCGACAGTGACCGTATGTTCCTCCCAGTCAAGTTCCCGGCCGATTTGCTTCTGGAAGAACTCGCCAGCCGCAGGCGCGTCGGAAGAAGCTGTCATGAACCAGAAAGACGACCCGCCCTCTTCGGTATAGCACATAATGTTCTGACCCGAAGAGGCGCACAAGTCTTTATGACAAGGAGTGAATGTGTCCCCAATTCCAAGATAGCACATCAAAGATTCCACGCCTTCCTGGGGGTGGGAGCTGTCAGAGCAGCGAGGATAGGTGGCCATACATGCTCTTACAGATTCAGTCAAATTCTGAAACAAGTCAGTTGGGCCGTTGGGACGGAGCACAGACGGCAGTATTTCGTCGCTGGCGACCCAGTCTCTCCATTGCGGCGGACACGGTGCGTCTTTGCCGTACAGGAGCTCTTCTTCTGTATCTGAGATGGCAATCAATTAGCGTGTATGTTGCGCGCAAGAGTCACTTGGCGCCACCTTCAGATTGACCACGCAGCACTCGCTTTCGGGACCATTGGATGAACTTCTCCAACGTGATCACTTTGTCTGAGACGTTCCGTACATTGCGAACGCGCCATTCTGCGATAGCGGGGAATCAGGGCAATGTGACCACGAGAAAGTGGCGCATACCATGGTCACCACAGTGCTTCAGCAGCCAATCCATATTGAAGAGCTCTTTGGGCCAGTTCTGATGTTTGTGCCAGTCTTCAATGATCAGTGGAACTCCTTCTATCTCATAGCGCTCTAATTCGGACAGTAGCGTTTTGTGTGGAAGAAGAGCGGATACACGCCTGACATGCTTGAAGTTTCCGCGATTCAAAAGACTTTGCAATGTCCAGTCCTTAGACGAGATCTTGGGTAGTACGTCGACAGGTGGCGTGGGCCGCAGCGTTCTAGACATACGGATTACTGCAAGATGAGGCGACTTTCTCTTTGTAGGGGGCCTCATGGAGGCTTCGAGCATGGCAGCGTCATTCGCGTAGTCTAGATCCGTTTGCATGAGCGACCGCCGTATCCTTTCCATTTGGAATGCACGGTGCAGCTATCCCTCCAGCGAGCTGTAGGGCTAGTTTGATTAACAGCTGTGCACCTCTGCGTATCCAAAGAGAGACTGACACGTCCGCAGGAGTTTGCTCAAACCGAGGCTAAAGAGATGGAAATGAGCAAGTTCGCCGACAGGTAAATGGGCGTCTAGTGTTGGATGGTCACGCTCACGACTGTCACTTAGCCGTCACAACTCACAGCAGCCCCTAGCTTGTGGCGTGCGTGTTCGTGTCTACTTAGCCAGGTTTCGTGTTTCTTATTTGCGATGGAGGGGGTCATTATGGCTAGAATATGTAACTTGAACTTCGTGACGTGATCTTAATACAATGGGTTGAGGAAGTGTAACCAACTAGCTGAGCAACTTGAAGAACTTGAAGACAAAGCCAAAGCGCATAATCACCATACATGTGTGCGGCTCCTGCGCGTCATTAAAGGTAGCTTAAAGGTTGCTTCCCGATCGAGATTAGTACAAACCGGTGACGAGGAATTTGCAGCACGCGTCCAGCGTTTTTCTCGACGCCGAGGGTATCGAGCTCTGAGTCGGCGCTTTGTTGTTCTCAACCTTTCATCTCACTCTTGTTGTCTGGCCGCGCACCACCTGCGGACTGTCCGCTTGATCGCTCACAGCCGCAACCGCCCAGTCTACTATGACAACATCAGATTCCCCACCTATAGTAACATCGTCCAGCCCGGCGACAACACATGAAGCAGCGGTACGAGCCGCAAATCCTGCAGCGCTGAGCAACGTGGGCGCAATACCTCCTGCAGAGGCGAGTTCTTTGCTGAGTAGATTCCTAAATGAAAAGTAAGTCTTAGGGCGCACTCTCCGTGCTCGGGTTGCTGAACGCTGTCAAGCTAGCCCGTACTTCCAAGCGGGCTTCGGTCTTATGGTGCGCTTCATACTTGAATGTGGAAGGATCCACTAATCCGTTTCCAGGGTGTAGGCGTGGGCTTAACACTACTTCGTCAAGCAATCGTTGTGTCTACTGTTGCGCTTCGCCGGCGGATGCTTGTCTCCCTCGAAATTAACAACAAAGACCCGTCCTATAACTGGTTCCTCGCGTGGATGTCCAAGCAGACGCAAGACGCAACAACGTCTGGAAGAGGAATAATGCGAGCATGGACACGCAGCCATCAGCTCAGCGTACAGACGCTACACGAGCAACTAAAAAATGGAAGCTCGGCCGTCTCGTTCAAACTTGTTGCCGGAACGGGGACACATTTGTTGAGGTATAAGCAAGCATGGGTCCAGGTATGTCTGTGCTTTAACACACTTCATTGACTTTGTTCAAATGTTGCGTAGGTGAAACGGGAACGAGAAACACGCTCGCAGCATCTCATGTCCGGTGTACCATGGGAGACCGTGACCTTGACCACGCTATCCCGGGATCGTGGTATCTTCCCGCAACTTCTGTCTGAGGCGCGGGACATGGCCATGCAGGGAAACGAAGGCAAACTGGTTATCCAGACCCCTTGGGGTATTGAATGGCGCCCGTTCGGTCAGCCACGACGCAAACGGCCATTGAAGAGTGTCGTGCTGCACGAAGGCACCGCGGAGAAAATTGAAGAAGACGTAAAAGCTTTCCTTCGCCGACGTCAATGGTACGCTGATAGAGGTGAGATTCGCGTTCAAATCCCGGGTTCTCGTTCTCGTCTCAGCAAGCCGCAGGCATTCCGTACCGGCGAGGGTACCTCCTTCACGGCCCACCTGGTTCTGGGAAGTCTTCGTTCATACAGGCTTTGGCGGGGTCTTTGTCTTATGACATTGCGCTGCTAAACCTGTCCGAGCGGGGCTTGGCAGACGACAAGTTCATGCATCTACTATCTAATGCACCCGAACGCAGCTTCGTGCTCATAGAAGATATCGACGCCGCGTTTAACCAGCGAGTACAGACCAGTGAAGACGGGTAAGTAACCTGAAACATCTGGCGATCACACTCGAGCTTTCCTTTTTTGTTGTTGTTCAGGTATCAGTCATCGGTAACTTTCTCGGGCTTCCTGAATGCCTTGGATGGCGTTGCCTCAGGCGAAGAACGCATTATCTTTATGACCACGAACCACCCCGAGCGGCTTGATCCCGCTCTCATCCGACCAGGTCGCGTCGATCTCTCTGTGCTGATAGACGACGCAAGCCCCAGGCAAGCCAGACGACTATTCACTCGATTTTATGGGTATGAAGACGGCAGCGAGGGCTGGGAAAGCGTCAGCAAAGACGAGCTAGAGCGGATGGGGGACTCGGTCGAGGAGCAGGTGGCGCAAGAGATGGAGGATGGACGGAGAGTCAGCATGGCTGCTCTGCAAGGTCTCTTCATTCGCAGTACCGCGCGCGAGGCGCTTGGCAACTTGGCCATACTGTTCAAGTAGACAATGTGGTACCTGCACGACGGTGATCTAGAAAACCCAGCAGAGCGTGGAATGGCAGCCCCTAGAAAAGACCTTTTAAAACACTGGCTTCCGCTTGCGACCGGTGAATTTCGAGTCTCGAGGCACGCCTTCTTTCCCTCGCTGACGATAGAGCTGCAGAAAGATATGTGAAGAGGGCCAAATAATGCTGAACGGTCCGACGAACCTCCTTCTTCCTGAGAATCCAGTCTTTGTCCTTCATGCTCTTCCGTTTCTCATTCTTTCCCCTTGCCTTTAGCTTCTCTCTGCGCTTCTCAAATCTCGCTTGAGTGTGTCCCTCCTCCTCTTCGCCCTCGAGACCCTTCGGTACTTGTTGTTTGCTACCGCCACTGCCAACGAAGAGGCACAAGAACACCTTCTTCGCCTTCTTCGAGTTCGGGTAGTCTACAGTGATACCTCCGCCGAAACCTGCCTTCTGAGCGATGGATGTGATTAGCTGGATTTGGTCGTCTGAGCTTGGGTAGAACTGAAGGACAGCCCGGGAGGGGTTGCGCAATGCAGAATGAAGGGTAGTGAAGAAGCGGGTGAGTCGATGGGGCGGCGAAGAAGTAGGATGGGATGTCTCAGCGTTGAGTAGCCACTGCAGTACAGATATGCTGCACGCGCAATGAGCAAGCGGCCGGGAGAGCAGGTAGACCGTGCGGACCTTATAGCGCCGTCAAAGCTACCTGGACGGAATCCAAATCCTTGACCTATGTCTTGTAGAAACAAATCTCCCGCGACTTCACGCTCGAGTGCCACCTCTCGAACGAAAAGTATAGTGAGACACGAAAACAGAAAAGATGAACAGAGAACACACCTAGCATGCTAGGAGCAATATCGCATCCTGCCCATGTGTATCCTTCCTCGTCCAATATCTCCCCCGATAAACCCGACCCGCAGCCGATATCAAGAAGGAATGCAGGCTCATCTGGTGGCAAGCTGAGTAGTTCCAGAGCCCGATACGTCATGTCAGCTTGAATTGACTGGACACGGGTGCTGGTAAATTTTTTGTGAGCGAAGTATCGTAGCGAGGCCAACCAGAGTTGCATTACTTGTTTGTGTATTTCCGAGCCTCCGAGTCACCATAGTACTGTAACCCGGTAAGCAGGCCCTTTCTCCGCAGGAGATGTGGCTTACAATCTCTGGGGGAGCTACAAGCTCAGGCCGAGACATCTCGCGAGCTTTTCTTCTGGTACGCTTTGAGCAAGTTTTTGAGCTGGCTCGTCTCGGAAAGTCTCTTGTCTAGATGAGCAAGCACATTGCAAAGCCGAATCCAAGTAGCGTCCACGTGCATGGCGCTCAGACGCCGAGGTAACGGGAAGCGTGACCACCGGTTCTGTTGAGGCGTTGTAGTCCTTCGCGGACAACCACCACCAATTCCCCAGCCTCATGCCATCCTCGGACGTCGAGTCCCCGCACGGACGGGGGTATCCAACCAGGAATGGCGCGCCGCCGCCCCTCCCGTCGGTCTCTCTTAGTCGGGACCACATCACGGATGCCCTCAAGAAGTCCGCCGACAACGGTGCAACTCTGGACTTGGCTCACAAGAATTTGACGGACGTCGGCGAGGACGGTGCGGAGGAGCTTGCCAACATTGGTCAGGGGGCCGAAGACAGTTCTCATAATACCGTCATCAGGTCTGTGTTCGCTTTACGCGCGTTTACCTTGACGCAGGCTCATAAACTTTGTCGAAAGAATTGCGCTTTCGCACAATCGGCTCACAACGCTGCCGGTGGCCTTAACACTCCTTTCGGGCCTTCGGTATCTGAACCTCAAGGGCAATAACTTCTCAGCATTCCCTGATGTGGTTAGTATGCATCGATATCCGGAAGATGGCTGTACTCACTACGCATCACAGTTGACTATAATGCCTTCTCTTGAAATCCTGGACGTCAGCCGTAACAAAATCAAACGCTTTCCTTCTCAACCAGGGTCCCTCATCAAGCTACGAGTACGCCATTGTCTCCTTGTCCGGCCCCGGGTACTGACACTCGACTTATTCAGGTGTTTTCTGTTTCCCGAAACAAGATCCACAAGATCCCTCCGTACTTCATCCAGTTCCGAGACCTCATCACGTTCAAAGCTGACCAGAATCCGCTGGAATGGCCTCCGAAGGATATTATGGAAGCACCGCACAACGAACAAGGAGAAGAGATGAAGGAGTGGATTTACAATGTTCAAACTTGGATAGAGAAGAATACGAATTTGGGAGAAAGAAGATCGGCGGAGGTGACTTCCAATGCGGAGCAGGACTCCGAAAGTGTACTTGACACGATACTGTGAGTCTATCTATACGTTAATCGATTATGGCTCACGGTGAGTACCAGAAACTACACCCAAGACGACGACCTGGATGAACGATCTGCGGACATCAGCTTCAACGCGCTTGTCGCCTCTGGACACCAACGCACACCCTCACAAGACTCCGATGTGTCTGTCTATTCAGAGGAAACACTCCCCCAACCGGCGCTGAGTCGGTCGCCGAAGTCGCCTCGCCCGCCCCGGTTACATTTAGAAGCACTGCCTTCATCATCCAGGACGGCTCCGAAATTGGCTTCCCCAACTCGCTCTCCAGAGAGTTATCTGCCAACCCCCGACGAATCCGAAGAAGATTCGACGCAGTCCACTGCTCGTCAGCAAGGACATGGTGAAACAAGCGCTTCATATCCATCCGGAGTATTCGGTCCCCGCAGGGAGGCCCTGTCCCAGAAGAGTCTGCCAGAGTTGCGGCCAACTAGATCTGCACTATCCAGAGAGCTGTCAAGCGGCAGGGTGAACCAGTTTGACATACCCTCCCCACCACATGGACAAGAGTCGGACTCCTCGAATGGTTCCATGGCTGGCTTCCATTTGCCGAAAGCCGTTGCCCAGAACGGTATCGTCTCCTTTCCGGTGCACCAAGCTGCGCCGCCTATGGATGCAGAACGCAACTCCTATTTCCGACGAATGTCTTCGTTGACGCCAACCGCTCTGTCAAAGACGATACCCACTGATCTGCTCGCTTTAGTCGATGCTACACGGGGAATCCTCTTCAGCGTCTGTCAGATCTACCAAGCACTTCAATACTACACCGTATATGCTATCGACGAGCGACTTTCTGCAGTGCTCCTGAAGGTTCTCCAGCCTGCGACAACATGTATGAACCAGCTTATCCAAGCGCTGGATCGCTTCGATTCCATCAGCAAGAAAACACCACCCTCCACGGCTGTCTGCAGAGCTGTCGTAGACTCATGTAGGGAAAACGTAGTGGTCTTTGGCAAGGCGATGGGGGTGCTATCGCTACAGCTGAAGGTCATCGCTACTAGCGATGACGCAAGATATACAAGACAGATGCTGCTGGTCCTTTTCGGCGCGACAGCGGAGATCTCTCATGCTTGGAAATCTATCGCTAGCCGGATGGATGCGGTGAAGCCCTTCCTCAAGCACCACCGTCCATCGCCTGTACGGACAGCCCATTCTGCCGGCGGGTCATTCCCCCCTTCCACATTTCCTCCTTGGACTCCGTCACATGCACAGTCCGAATCATCTCCAGTGCCCAGGCCACATTTTATGAGATCTCAGACCATTGACACGCTCGACGGAAGGGTTCGCGTCAACAGGAGACACGCAGGCTCTTTCAGTCATAAGGACCTGGAAATTGGAAAGATGCTGCCCTCATATGTCGAGGAACCCTTTCCTTCGGCGAGCAGTGGCGCTTCATATGCGATTCACTCACCCGTTCTGCGACTTGGTCGCCGCCCGTCCGCTGTCTCAATCGGAGCTGTAGACGGGAGCGCCCGGCCCTCTACCTTTGCCTCGTCGAGATGGGAATCACATTCTCGGCAGAGCTCCGCGAGCTCGTTTATTCCTACATCTACCTCGTCTCCTTCGTTCGGTCACTACAAACCAGCCGCTCTTGATGTCGTATCGAATCCGATCGGCAGAATCGACAAAGAGGCGATTGATGCTGTTAAGGCCGCCGTCGACGCGGCGCTGGTGGTTTGGGGCCAGGCAGAAGACCTGGTGCTGGAAGACGATGCGCTACAGTCCGAGCTGCAAGTGAGGTTAGTCAAGGCGAGAGACGTCACCGAGCGGCTACGCGAAAACATAGCTCTATTGGGAAGAGGCGACTTGTCTGCGGATAGGAATGCCATTCGGGAAGACTCGCACGTCTTCGCAAGCGTAAGTGGCTGCTTAAGAATTTCTTAATAGGCATTTCACACTTGTGGCTTTACAGATTGTAAATTCTCTCTTGAGTGCGATCAGGGCATATGGCCAGTCGCATTCTCTCCCGGCCGACTTACGACGAAGTACGGTGGCGCTGAGCAACGACACTCAAGATTTCCTCATGCTACTGCATGTTTCGTCATTTTCCCCGGCCTCTACGCCTCGATCGTATTCTCCAATGGTCAGTGTTACTGCGCCCCAGTCCGCCATACCTCCCATCATCGAGGACAAGCTCGGAGCCAATATCACCCGTAGTCGCAATGCTGTCCCGCCCATCAGTTCTAAGTTGGCTGCACCGTTCCGAGAACCTCCGAGAAGTGCCTTGCCCCAGCATACGTTTGCGGTTTGAGATTCATCATACCTCAATTACTTTATTGGTGTTGCCCTTCGCCCATTGTACCAACACATATGTGACACCGAGCCCTCCTGTGTGCTGTTGTATCCGCGTGGTCATCTAACTTATCCATGAATTTATTTTATTGGGACACCTGGTTGGTAGTATCACACTCAACAGTAGTAGTCACCACACTCACCACACATTCGTTCCCATACCTCATCCCCCTGCACCTTTCGTCTCTCCCTGCTCTATACCGCTGTTGCATTACTACTGCATTATAATCCACACTGAATACTGTCTAGTCATTAGATTCTGGTCTTTCCAGGGTATAATGTGCATCTGACATCTCGTAGCATGTCGTAGCGCGCTCGTCAAGTCTTTGTCCTATTCCCCGACATAGGTCGTCCCTCGCTCAGGCCTCCTTCCGCCCTCGCGAGCACGCGATCGATCTCTGCTCGAATTTCGTTCAGATTCGCTTTCAGCGTCTGTGTGTCCTCAAACTTCCGCTGCGCCTTCGCTTCCTCAACGAAACTTTCCAGCAGGGCCTCCTGTTCGAGCAACGGCTGTAAGATCCGAGCGACCTCAGAGTCGGGATCTACAGCGATGCGCGCAGATTCTTGAGGTTCTGCAGGGGGCGATGGCGTGGGAGAAGCCACTTTACTACCAGGCTTCGGCAGCGCCTGATGATTATTTATATATGAGCCTTCGAATAAGTCCATAGAGCGTTGCTCCTACCTGTAGAGGAAACATGTTCTTCTGGAGGAACAAGTTCGCGCGAGTGACGATGGCTTGCTGCACTCGGTCTTGCGAGCTTCCAGGGTCGCCTTTACATGGAATTTTGCGTATGCGTTTGGCTATAGCGTCGTACTGAGCGAATGTTTCCAACAATCGCTTCCGTGCTGCCAAGGCCTCCGGAGAAGGACGTTCGTCGTTGTTGAGACTAAGCATAAGCTCCTGGAACCGCGGTAATATTTCTGTGATCTCCTTCTCTATCGAGATGAATGCCTGCGAAGATGATCAAGGTCTATTCGGTGGTACGTGAACGAGTATAATACCTCGTAGAGTCGAATGAAGAGCGGCACCGTATGCGCTTCGTTCATGTATTGCTGACGTCTGCGTGAAACAAAGGGTCAGCCTTTTTCGAAATCGTGTCTTGAAAATGACACATACAACAGCACAGGCTTGCAATCGCGACATATCCGCACACCACGCAGGAACTTATCCTCGTCGTTGACGTTCGGGGCGTCGTCGCGCCCTTTCCCCTTGGGAGATTGCGTGCTTGTTGTCCGTCGCCGGACGCCATAGTGAACGCCTTCTCCCACCTCTTCTATTTGACCAGTGGTAGGGTCAGCAACGAAGAGCAGAGAACACGGCTGTGGCCGCTGCGGAAACCTTGGCGGCAGTGAACAGATTATACGGCCGCAGAGCCGACAATGATGCTTTCGGTTCGTGAGCGGATGGAAGGATGCCCTGAAGAGGGTTCAATATCGTCTCCAGTCCGCACGATAACGTAACTCACTGGCATAGAGGGCATTGTGATACAGATGCATCGTCTTCCCATGGGGTGATAGCTTGTTCAGCCGCTAGCATGGCATCAGCTCACCTCCTCCATGTACAACACGAACTGTAAAACTCACCGCGTATGTCGTTCTTACCACCCACTTGGGCTTGAACTACACCTTTCCAGAGATCGCCCGCGCTCTTGCCCTTCAGGCTCGTAATGTCAATATCAAAGAAGCTCGATGCCCGTCTGTTCTGTACAGCCTGTGGACGACCGTTGGCCTGCCCCTTGTGCTTATCCATAAGGTCGGGATGCGGAAAGTGCAAATTGATGAGCTTCTCAAGGCGCCGCTCCAATCTTGTCTGCTCGACTCGGTCCTTGTCGCCATTGCGCTTCCTCGCCTCCAGAAACTCGTCTGTGCGAGGTCGGTATACCCCCTTAGGCTGAAACCCGGGACGGTACGGTGCAGGAGTGCGCACGCGAGATCCCGGAGTCACTCGACCGCTTCCTGGTGCCACAGACGAAGTAGGTGGCGAGGGAGAGACGGTAGGAAGAATAGGTGTCTTGCTGAAATGTGCTGGAGGCGAGACGGCCGTTGGCGACGCCGTAGTTGGGTTGGAAACAGAAGCGGTTCGCTGCGCATGGGCAGGAGTGTATGGCCGATACGTTTGCTGTGTCTGAAAGGTGGAAGGGCCGGGAAGCTCCAAATTCGGAAGGGGAGGTAAAGCACGCTCTGAGGTAGTGGGCTGAGGAGCAACAAGAGGGGAGGCGACTCGATTCACTGTCTCCCGCGGCCGAGCAGGGGTAGGATCAAGGACCCTGATGCTTTGTGACAGATTAGATGGAGTATGTGAGTGAGTCGATTGCGGTCGCAAAGGTGATGACGCAGCAGACTTAGAGGAAGCTTGACGAAGGGGTATGCGGCGAAATGTTGAGCCTTTTCTGGAGGATGACACCGAACCAAGTGCTGGACGGGGGCTAACATTAGCGGACGCCTCAGGCTGTGCTGGTGCCGTGGATGAAGAGAGCGAGGATGCGCTAGCAACAGGGCTTTCTTCTGGCTGTGTCGAAGTCGGACCTGGTGCGTTCTGTGATTCTGAGGTGACGGTAGGCGAAACCGCTGAAGGAGGCCTAGTTGACGGAGATGTTGATAACGGTGTACTCTGAGCAGAACCAGAAGAAGAACCACTAGTGCCACCATCATCAGATGAAGGGGAGCTTGGGAGTTTAGGTGCAACTTGAGGAATGTGGACGAGCTCGGGACCAGCGGTAGGCGGAGTGTCTATCGAGGTCTCGAAAGGAGGGACAGCATTCGACATGGACACAGTTCGCCTGGTCTGGTCCATGAGCAAGTTGTCGGGGGCTACCATTGAACCGTCCATCTCCTTGCCATTCACTTCCTTCTCCGAATGGTTCAGAAAGTCGCGCTGTAACGGCACAATGGGCTCGCTGAGATTATGTCCGTGAGCCATGCCGTTGCCGTTTATTTGCGAGTAGGTGGTCTGCGGACGGGATGCATGAACAGTGCCCTTGGTGTCATTATTCTGTGCCGAGACGTTCCTGTGGTGCCGTCTTGGCTAAGATGGGCATGTGTGGGTAAGCTCTAGGCGAGACCCAAGTAAGTCTTACTTTGTACGCTTGGTATGGGACATTCGGCTGCGCCTGCATAGTCCTTGCGCTACACTATGACACGCCCAAACCCACCGTGTGCAAAGCGGTCTGACCAAAGCGCGATAGAGTGTATGCCGGGTAGACAGAGAAATTAGCTCGCCGCGGCCGGGTATATCGCTCGGAGAAGGCCACAAGTAAGCCAAAGTCTGAGTAAATGCTTCAGAGGCACTGGCAAACTTGAAGAGATCCGGTAGGTAGACGTAGAGGACAAGGGACGAGTACGGTCTCAGCGCGCACTGCCGCTCCGAGATCGCAGCGGGCGTCTCTAGCTCATCTACGAGGCCTGTTGCCTCGTTACATCTCTCCTTCTGCACTTTACAACGTCGCTGCAACTTCAGGGACGCTCGTATCGATAACCTCCAAATGTCTGCAACAAGCGGGATTACAGTCTCACCAGAGCTCGCCGCAACTTTCAGCGACGCGCTCACTTCGCAGTCTGTCCGCTTCCTCAAGGTATCTATTCACAACGGTCAATAACCAGTCATTGCCCCCTGTTAGCCGCACACTCTCATCTTGCTATCATTTGTTTTTGTTGAATAGAATCTCTCGTTGCCGATCAATCCGTGGCTCCATCAGGGTCGCTCAGTGATGACCTCGACAAGCTGGGCGATATACTGGAAGACGACATCCCAGCGTATGTCCTGGTGAGACTCGATAGTCCACCGACAGAATGGATGGCGATATCCTATGTGCCAGACGGTGCCAAAGTCCGGGATAAAGTGCGTTGTCTCTTCTGCCATTTCCTTGTCGATGCCAACGCGTGAACATCTAGATGCTGTACGCGTCCACCCGTAATAATCTCACCAAAGCACTGGGATCTGCACCCTTTACGGACCAGATGTTCGCGACTTCCAAGGCAGACATCACAGCCGATGCTTACGCCAGACATTGTGCCTCTCTTGTCGCCCCGAAACCCATGACACCTAGAGAAAGAGAAATGGAAGAGATTAAGATGGCGGAAACCCGCAGCGCAGCCTACGACGGTAGCAGAGCTCGCAAGAGTCATGTAGGAGGTAAGATCGGCTTCCAGTGGTCCGAAGAAAGCGAACAAGCTGTGTCGGAGCTCGAAAGAGGCTGTGAGGGAAAGCTTGTAGTACTGGTAATTGACGACGTCGAAAAAAGTAGTAATGTAGTGGCTGATGTCTTGATCTACAGAGTATCGACCCAACCAACGAAACTCTGGTTGTGTCCTTACAGGTAAACACCTCTGCGGACGAAATTGGTTCCTCTTTGCCAACCTCGGACCCAGGTAAATGAGATGCCATCGATGGGTCGCATCGTATTGAACATATGTGGTAGCATACGCGTTTTACGCTTGGCCCCAATCCAAACGTCGAGAAATCGGTAAGCTTTCTGTCAGCGGAATTTTCGCCACGTACTGACCGATTGATACAGTCTTCATCTACTCGTGTCCGTCGGGTTCCCCGATCAAACTCCGCATGCTCTATTCATCCGGTATGCTACTTGTGTACCACAACGCCAAAAATCTCCTGGCGCCAACTCTCGCGACTCTCGTCACCCGCAAGGTGGAGACGTCCGATCCTAAGGAAGTGAGCGAGCTCTTCCTGAAATCCGTTGTGGGTCCAGAGCTTGGCAATGATGACAATGCAAGCGGGAGTGCTACGCCTGTGCATGATGACCAGAAAGGCTTTGCACGGCCGAAGGGTCCAGCGAGGAGACGGTGAGGGTAGGCTTTCGGAGAAAGAATCGACAAAAAAGCGTGTATAATTGTATAATAGAGGGTGGCCCGGAACATGTCTTACGCAATGATCTGAGGAGATCTGAGTAACTGAGGTGCCTGTGCGCTCAGCGCGCGCTCCGTCTTCCGCCTCCCCGTGGGGGAAGCGCAATCATACACGGGTCTATGGGACACCTGATCCGACGGTGCTCACATGAACGCTTCGTTTTGAGGCGGCCGTGCTGTGCTTCCTTTGCGGCCGGTATAATCCCGTCGCACCCCGCGACGTCGGACGAGCACGCACCAACTTTGCTCTCAACCTTGACCATGCTACGAACCACAACTCGACGTGTTCTGCTTCCACGCACGCTGTGGGCGAGTCCTCGGACAATAATTCCGACGACACAGCTTAGTCTGAGCCTGAGAGCCTACGCCGTAGTTGCATCGAACGCACCAAAGAAGAGAAAGGTCTGGGACTCGGTGGACGAGGCTATCAAGGACGTAAAGTCCGGCGACGTCCTTCTCAGTGGCGGTACGCACAGCACAGACACCAGGTACAGCTACTTGGGACTGACATTTGTGCGAGAAAATAGGATTCGGATTATGTGGTACACCGGACACGTTGATCGAGGCACTGTCTGAGAGGAAGGACGTGCAGAATCTTACTGCAGTGTCAAACAATGTTGGTTCTGGCGAACTGGGCCTCGGTACGTTGGCTGTCAGCTGTGTGGGAGAACTGGACAAGGAGCTGACGTCGGACAGGCAAGCTGCTACATTCCGGACAGCTAGACAAAATGATGGCCTCCTACATCGGAGGGTACGTACCAGGCGCAGCGTGCAACAAGTTTCGGGCTGATAGTTTTGTACTTACGTGCAGCAACAAGCATTTCGAATCCCTGTATCTCTCCGGCAAGATATCTCTTGAGTTGATTCCTCAAGGCACGCTTGTCGGTCGCTTGCGTGCGCACGCAGCCGGCATTCCTGCATTCTACACCCCGACCGGTGCGTCGACCGCGGTCGAACACGGCACTATTCCTATTCGCTACAATGAAGGTGGCTTCAAAGCTGGCGTCAAGATTTCCGGAAACAAGAAAGAGGCGCGGGTGTACAGTGATCGACGCTACCTCCTGGAACCTGCTATCGCAGGCGACGTCGCATTCATTCGTGCCTGGAAGGTCGATGAAGTTGGAAACTGCGTCTTCAGGTACACACAGAACAACTTTTCGTCCGCCATGGCACGAAACGCGAGGTTGACTATTGTTGAGGTATTAATTAACTTGTTACTCGTGTCCGTGGGGCACTGTTTGACCGCGTCTACCTTCCCCAGGCCGAGAACATCGTCCCGATAGGGTCCATATCGCCAAACGCAATCCATGTTCCTGGGATTTACGTCGATCGGATCGTGAAGGCGACAGCGCCAAAACAAATCGAATTTGCGACATTGGCCACGGAATCTTCGGGACAGCCAGCTCAGGGTGACCAGGGTTCGCTGTCGCCGGAGAAGCTCAAAGCCCAGGAGCAAAGACACCGAATTGCACGTCGCGCGGCCAAGGAGCTCAAAGATGGCTTTAACGTGAACCTGGGTATCGGCATGCCCACACTCGTACCTGAGGTACGTCCGTTGCGCCGTCCGAGCATGCAATGTTCGCTTGATGATCGTGTTTGCTGTAGTTTCTCGAGCCCGGTGTGAAGGTGTGGCTGCAAAGCGAGAACGGCATTCTGGGTATGGGACCATACCCTACGAAGGAGCAATTGGATGCGTGAGTTCACACAGGTTATATGACATAGGGTCAGCTAAGCGAACCACAACGCCAGCGATATCATTAACGCCGGGAAAGAGACCGTGACTCTGCTTCCTGGCGCTTCGGTCTTCGGTAGGTGGTCTTGTGAGTGCTGTCAATGTGGGCAGCTGAGCCGAATTGGGTAGATTCTGCCGAGTCCTTCGATATGATTCGTGGGGGCCATATCGACGTCGCTATCCTTGGGGTGCGTGTATAGTCCGTGAACTTGAGTACCGATGACTCACCTGTCATGCGGTAGGCTATGCAAGTCTCTCAGGCAGGAGATATCGCGAACTTTATGATCCCCGGCAAGATGGTCAAGGGTCAGTATTGAACCAGGGAGAATCTGGACGTGGCTAACAGTTGTACGCGGTGTAGGCATTGGTGGCGCGATGGATCTCGTGTCCAACCCTGATAAGACGAAGGTGATAGCTGTAATGGAGCACTGCGCGAAGGATGGCAGTCCTAAGATCCTAAGCGAGTGCTCGTTACCGCTGACCGGAGCGCGCGCTGTCAGCCAGATCATCACAGAGCTCGCAGTGTTTGGTGTCGACAGGCATGCTGGCAAGCTGGTATTGACTGAAATTGCCGAGGGCGTGACGGTGGACGAGGTGAGGGCCAAGACCGGGTGTAAATTCGAAGTTGGGAGTAAGGTCGGAACTATGTAAGCCTTGGGTGGGCTTGTCGACGATGTGCAGCTCCGGGGGGAAGGGGGTGTTAGATGCGGGGAAATGTAGCGATGTATAGGCTTGTGTCTTGGCGTGTCTCGCTGTTCATGTACACTACCAATATTTGTCTGAGAATCGTGTAAATATCATTGGCTGGATAGCAAAAAAGACCGCCAGCCGAGCTTCGGGCGAATTTGAGGTGGGGTAAGTGCGGGGCAAACCCATTTTGAAGATCGGAGAGTGATTTTGAATTTAGCCGAGGAGCCGAGGAAAGCCGTGTGAGGACCGCGTGCAATTTTCGGTCCTATTCGGTCTGTCATCGCCCAGGTTAGGACTGCTGACTCTATTTTGTGTCGCAATAATTGTTGAAGAGCACTCATGCGGCTCGAACGTAGCCAACAGAATTCGGACCTTCCCATCTCCTGCCTGAGCGAACAGAAATGCATAAAAAGCTGGCGTTCTCCCCCGCGGGCGCAAACCTCCTTCCTCATACCCTCCTCTCAAAATACCGCTCGCTATCATGCTAGCACTCAAGGCAGCGTCCAAAAGCGCCCCCGCCGTGTCCCTTCGCTCAAGACACCCATCACACCTCTCCGTCCGCTTCCTTGCCGTCGTCACCAACGCCGGAATCCCCAAGAAGTCTAAGGTATGGGACAACGTAGAAGAAGCCATTAAAGATGTCAAGTCGGACGACATCTTGCTCTCCGGAGGTGGATAATCACAGTTCTTCCCGTCCCCAGCGTACTAAAGCGTGTCCGTGACAGGCTTTGGACTCTCTGGCGTTCCAGAGACTCTCCTTGAAGCCTTGGGGAAACGGAAGGACCTCAGGAACCTTGTCGCCGTCTCGAACAACGCCGGCGCGGGCGAACGCGGTCTCGGTACGATATCCATTTCCTTTACTCGTCGTCACGCTCACCATTCTCCAGTCCACTTGATCAAGGCGGGCCAGCTTGACCGTCTCATGATGTCATATCTTGGAGGGTATGCTCTCACAATGGTTCTTCCTTCTTGCAGGTTTCTGATTGCGAACGTTAAAGAAACAAATTCTTGGAGTCCGAGTACCTTGCTGGTCGCATCGGCCTCGAGCTTGTCCCTCAGGGCACGCTTAGCCAACGAATCATGTCTCATGCGTCAGGTATTCCTGCCTTCCTAACTCCCACCGGTGCCAACACCCTTGTGGAGACTGGCGGGATTCCCATCCGATACAAGGAAGGTGGCTTCTCCTCTGGCGTGAAGGTCCCAGGAAACCCCAAAGAGCACCGCATTATCGACGGCAAGAAGTACCTGGTCGAGCCCGGCATCGCCGGCGATGTTGCGTTCGTACATGCATGGAAAGCGGACACTGTTGGTAACCTGGTCTTCCGTTACGCGTCGAACAACTACAACGGTGCCATGGCTCGCAATGCAAAGTTGACTATCGTCGAGGCTGAGGAGATTGTGTATGTTTCTCTGCCCTTTTTGACGTATGTGATTCGAGCTCATCCGGATTTGTAGTCCTGCAGGTACTTTGTCCCCCAACGCAGTCCACGTCCCCGGCATCTATGTCGACCGTATCGTCAAGGCCACTGCCCCCAAGGATATCGAGATTCTTGCGCTTGCTAAGGACCCCACTGAACAGTCTGCGACCCCTGACCCTGCTGCTGCTGACGCTGCCGCGACTAAAGATTGGAGGCACCGCATTGCTCGCCGCGCTGCCCGCGAGATCCACGATGGCTTTTATGTCAACCTCGGCGTCGGAGTCCCAACTCTCGTTCCTGAGCACCTCGATCCCTCTGTCAAGGTCTGGCTCGAAAGTGAGAACGGTATTCTTGGCATGGGCCCCTACCCTACGCGTGAGCAGGTTGATCCTGATCTTATCAACGCTGGCAAGGAAACTTGTACTCTCCTCCCTGGAGCCTCGACTTTCGGTGTGTGCCTTTGCGCTTTTGGCGGGAATCTTCCGTTAATACGTTTCGCAGATTCTGTAGAATCCTTTGGCATGATTCGTGGCGGCCATATCGACGTTACATGCCTCGGCGTACGTCATTTCGCGTGTCGAACCCTGTAATTAAGAGCTGACACAACTGCGATGACAGGCAATGCAAGTATCCGGCGCTGGCGACATTGCCAACTTCATGATCCCTGGCAAGCTCGTCAAGGGTATCGGTGGCGCCATGGACTTGGTCTCCAACCCCGACAAGACTAAGGTCATTGCTCTGACCCAGCACGTGGCCAAGGATGGCCAGTCAAAGATTGTCAAGGAGTGCTCGCTTCCGCTTACCGGCGCTCGCGCTGTCTCTATGATCGTCACTGATCTCGCTGCATTCAACGTCGACCGCGTTGCGGGCGTGATGACACTGATCGACGTTGCCGAGGGTGTTACAGTCGACGAAGTGAGGGCCAAGACTGACTGTGACTTCCACGTGGCGGACAAGGTTGGCACTTTCTGAGCGGTTTCTCTTTCTTTCCTTTTTTGTTTGTTTTGAATACGGGCGTTCGCGTACAGTGTTGTCCTTGCGATATAGCAGTACACTTCTATACCACACTGCACTTATTGAAACCATAATTGTATTTGTAGACTCAATTTGTGTGCTGTGCTGGTTATTCGATCGACGTTGCGCGTGCAAAACACTTCCGAGCCTTCGGCGGGGTGCGGCGCGTCGGACGCAGACTCAGCAGTGTTGTCCTCTCTTCTGTCTCTCGGACTCGCTACCCCCCGGCCAGTCCGAGGTCACCCATCTGCAAAATAATTTTGGTGACCTCGAGAAGCTGATACCGATTCGCTAACTGCTTCCCGAGCGCGCGCTCCAGGGTGCAAGCACTGTTCGCCCTCTTACCGTTACGACGTCCATCCTGTCCATCCCCTACGGCCCTCATACCCAACGATGAGTTGGTTCACAAATCTTTTCTCATCGAACAAGAATACCCGCCAGTCGAGTCGCACAGCGATCTCCTCCACGCATGAGGCGTTCAGCCTGCCTACCTCGTCGCCCAGGCATCCGCAAGACGGCTTTGCGCCAGGAACACCCCTCACTCCTGAGCCTCCACTATCCGCTTCCTCAGCGTACTCGTACCCCCCGCAATCGCCTACAGGGACATATGATTACCTTCCAGCTCCGTAGGTGTTGCCGAAGACTATACTGGCTTGCTTGATCTCTCACTAGACCATCCCCTGCCAGCACTAACGCACGACAGAAGTCGCCAATTGCAAGCGATCTACCGCTGCACAACTCGCGACTAGGATCCATGACCGCGCCATACCCTCCACTACAGCTCACATGGAACCGCCTCCGCGCCTGGCTGGCGAACGAGTACCCAGAGCTTGGAGACACGCTGAACTATGGAATACTACCCCAAGATCTTCAGCAGATAGAGGTGTCCTTCGGATTTGCACTGCCACAAGCGATCCGGGATTCGTACCTCTGTGCAGACGGACAAGAAGCAGAATCCGCGGCAGGCTGTTCAGAGGGACTCTTCTTCGGCCTGACGCTGTTGCCGCTCGAGGACATTCTGGAGGAATGGCGGTTCTGGCGCGAAGTTGACGACGACCCAAATACGGGTGCAAACTCTCGGTTGCGCGGACTCATGGACTCGATACCCCCTGGCTGGATCCGCAGAGAGTATTCGTCCCGGGGTTGGATCCCGCTCGTTGCGGACAAGGCTGGCAACTACCTCGGCGTCGACCTCAACCCCAGTGAGGGCGGCTCAATCGGCCAGGTCATCGTCTTCGGGCGCGATTTCGACACCAAGGTTGTCATGTGGAGAGGCGATGGCCCGCATGGCTGGGCGAAGTGGCTTGCGGGCTTCGTGGACGATCTGGAGAGCGGTGAGGGTTATGAGCTCGGGGCGAACAACGATAGCGAAGGAAGCGAGGACTCGGTTGGCTATGAGGACTACTTCTACGATGGGACTGGGCGGGGGTCGGGCGACGGCGGAGGTAACGCTGGGACGGGCGGCATGCGCTTGGCGGGTGAGTACAAGGGATGGAACGTCTTGGAGGCATGGGCGGATCGCAGTGTTCGCAAGTGGCAGCAAGCAGGGGTTATTCCGACGCCCGACCCTGAGCAGCAGGCGTCGATGCCTGCGAAAACGAAGGTATGTTTACACAAGGAATCTCCTGTCTCAGGCGCCTTACAACTTGCCAGCATGTGGAGCATATATCGGACGTCAAGCTTAGGTCGCTCTCCGGTACGAACTCAGGCGCAGAAGTACCCATTCCTGTCCTCGCCGACTCGAGCCAGCCGTCGACAAGCGCACATACACTGGACGATGAAGCGAGCGGATCTCAGTCATTGCCCATAATTTCGGTCACCAAGCCACCGGCCCCGAGGCCAGTTTCTCTACCGACGCAGGACGATATCGACGTCTCGCCGTCACGGAACGACATCGAAGCAGGTAGCGGGGCTTTGGATATGCAAGAAGTTGGTGTTGCGCTCCCGGCTGTATCAGTCATCACAAAACAGCCATCGTCTCCCAGGACTGACTCACCAAGGGCTGTTACCCCCATCCCTCCTCCCCCAGCATCCCTTTCCCACACTCCTTCGCGGACAATGACTCAATCCCCCGAACTAATACAATCACCGACAACTGCCATCCCGGAGACTACAGATCTCCTTGCTGATGTTCCCCTGTCGAACTTCGACGAGGTCCCACCGGTAGTCGTAACCGAAGGTTTGGTGGGTGGTGATGCTGAAGACTCGCCTGTCCTTGTGAACAGTGAGGACGCTCACCACGAGACATCATCGAACGACGGAGTTCTCGTCTCTGATGCAGAGACAGACACTCCCGAAATCGTCGAATCGCACGCGGCGGAGCCTGAGGCGGCGTAAGATAAAAGAGGCAGCGCCAGTGCGATGCTTGCAGACCTCGCTGAGGACAGGCCGAGCTCGGAGGGCGCCACAAAGGAAGTTGTGTGATCGATCTACAGAGACATTCTGGACTCGAGGTATCGTGTGTCGTATGCATGGGCTTTGCTTTCTCCCTTCTAATATTCTATTCGTCTGCAACTGATGGAGCATTTCTGCATGTCTGGCTTAGCAATAATAATCCGCTCTTCATTGTTTCATGAGGCATCTTCACCGTCTTCTCCCCTTCCCATGTGTAGTCGCATTCGATACCCGTAGCTCTTTTGCCTGGTAGTCATTATCAAGCTACACAAGTACGAGTCCTTTCAACGTACATATATTTTACGGAGGCCAGGAGCCCAGCTTATGGACTTGGACATTACCCAATAGAACTACGAACTGAAACCGGACCACGTAGTTGATTGATGTTCAGCAACGGATCCTTGACAACAAGCGATATGACCGGGACCTATCCAGTAGTGAGCGCCGCGGCCGCGCCCCGAGGTGGCTGTGGCTGGTGAGCTATCGACATCGGTGCTAGGTATACGGTGCAACGCGAACATCCGGAGTGGAGACTGAGGGCGGAGGCGCGCAAGGTAGAGTAGAGATAGCTGTGACAGCGTCAGGGCGAGCAGAAACGACACCAGGTTTGCATGTCGGTAGTCTAACCAAGTGGGCTCGATGTGTTAGTCGCCGTAAGTTGAGGCGCGCTTAGTCCCCCCGTAGGGAAGATAGAGCGTGTTGTACGCCGATGATGAACTGAGCTGCCTCTCTGTGAGAAATAGCGATAGACTGGCAGGAGCGGTAACTTCGCAAGATCTGAGCAATTAAGAGGCCATGGCGTGAAAGACGGTGCTGAAGAGCTTCAAGCGCCAGGAATACGTGTGAAGTCTGTCGACGTGGGTAAAAACGATTCTTGCTGTTCGCCCGTCGGAGGGAGACGGTGGTTTCCGTGAGGCTTGGAGACGGCCATATGCTATGCAGGGCACTTATATACGACGGCAGCAGCTGATGTAGTCTAAAATTGGAGAGGTCAGCTCACAGTTGACCCGCGGTCTCCGATACCTAATGAATCAAACGGTGAATCTTCCCCGTACCAAGCGGCACTGCCAGGGTCTAATACTGTTCTGTCCAATAAGTGGGGTGTGCTGCCGTCGAGGCGCTCAAGTCGGATGTCGTGCGGTACCACCATGTCGCGATAGGGCCCGTCCTCCGAGCCTTACCAAGCGGACAACCGAGAGAAGCAGGGTCGAGTGATATTGAGAACTGCGGGAATATCATTGGGAGATAGCAGTACCAAGAGACTGAAAATACAGAGCAGTCGACTATCCAGAAGGTTGTCCCCCAGGAACGAAAGGCAGTTGCTGACCACTGTTAGACGCGCCTGCAGTACTCCCAGATCTAACCAAACCAGAGCGAACACCAGAAGAGCCGGTGTCAGCGGCCGACGACGAAGCAGCAAACCGTTGGCGACCAGAGGGCGTTGGTGGTATGAATCGCTGGGTTTGTAGCATAGGCTGAGTTTGTAGCATAGGTGTCGCCGCCCGGAAATTCGGGAGATCAGTATCTACCGTGTCGCGCTTGCTTGTTGTGGAAGCTGCACTGGGATGTCGGTTAATGGACTGACCCGACTGAGAGCCGCGTGAAGTCGCTGGCTGAGGTGTGAACCCACCGCGTTGCGGCGTATGGTGGCCTTGGCGGCTCGAATCAAGAATGCTGCGGGGAACCGGAGGAGGCGGCATGTGCATAGCTTCGTCTCGGGGTCGTCTCTGCAACTGATCGGTTGATTGCTGCTGAGCTAGACGGAAAACAGCCTGACTGCTCCTTCCTTGGTCAACGCGAGTAGGTATATGCGCCCCATCCTGCACATATTGTTGGGATTGTCGTCGTCCCTGCGCTTGGCGCACAGGATCTGTTTGAGTGTATGCGAGGGCCTGCGGAGGTATAGGCCTTCCTTGATGACCGGGTGGCGGGGCATAGGCATACTGTCTGACAACAAGTAAGTAAGTGTCAGCTATACCGCCACTACAAAGATAATTGCGGCCTACTCTGTGAGGCGGCGCGAGCTTGGCCGGTTGACCTCTGCGCCAGGCTCAAGATCCATGGCTCGTCGATCGTTTGCGCGCTGCTGCCATAGCTGTGGTCCATCGTCTGAATGATGCTGCCGAGGTGCAAAACTCGGCTGCTGGTGCGTAGGCGGCAGAGTGAGACGATCTGGACCCATAGGGGTCGTTACCGAACGCGGGCTTGAGTTCGTATAAACACCGCTAGCTTGCCTGTAACGTAATGTGTACATTTGGACGTAGCAAAGAAGAGCGTGGATACCTTTGTATCGGGTGCATCTGTCGCTTGCCATTGCTATTGAGCACATCAGATGGCTCCATGTGTCCTCGCGTCTGGTAAGGGTCCACCTGTAACTCTTCAAGGGCACTATGATATCGTAAGTGTCACGCAGTGCACACTGACAGCGACAGAAATACCGTCTCAAATCTCTGTTCTCTTGAACAGCGGGTTTCATGCGTTCGATGAGCTCACGCTGATGTGCGCATTTCCTCTTGTAATATCTGACCAAACTTGCCAGTGTCTCAACTTGAAACTATGGTGCTCCAGCATGAGATCAGCAGCTGGATTAAGAAAGTAGAGCTGACCCTCGTCGCGAATGCCACGGTATCAAGGGTTTGCGGCACAGAGGCAAACCAGCTGGACATCGGTGGTTCCATCTGGCGACAAAAGATAGTATAGACAATGGAAAACATGTTTGGAAGACTCGTACATCACGCTGTAGAGGCGCGACTTGTACATCTCTTTCGCCGCATTTTGCACAGCTTTGATCCGTCTCTGGAAAAAGGATACTTATGAGCTAGAGCGAGCCCCTCAGAGAGCAGCGAGGGGACGACTGACTCAAGTGATGATTACAAATAACGTGTCCGCATTCTGTCACCCAGAACGGTACTGGAGGAGGGCCGCCGTTATCGGGCGTGAAAGAGAGGTGACACCGAGAGCATGAGACATAATCCCAGAAGTCGAAGTCTTGCTGAGGGGCTTGCTCAATATTCGACATGTTGCAGGGACTGAGACACGGTAAAAGCCAAGGACCGCTTGCTCCCCTCTGTTTTGTGCGATGTGTTGGAGGGCTGGAGTGGCGCAGTTCGCGGCGAAGTCGTGGAAGAAGTCTAGTCTAGTCGTCGCGTCAGAAGCTGCAGCAGGCGTCTCTTGGATTCTTGGCGAGCACTTCCGCGATGTCAAGTCCGTGATAAAGATGAGAGACTACAGCTCCTCGCGGTGGTCTACTGGAAACCAGCCCGCAGGACAGATCTTCATTTCTAGAGCACATTCAACGCTGTACGCAGGCGCAGTGCGATCGCGTCGCGGTCCTGCCGTCAAGCCGCGGCACGCCCCCGCGTTCGTGCTCTGGCGCTTACGCTTGATCCATACTTGTCCTTTACCACCATCCTCATCCGTCTCCACCTTCTCATCAACATTTTTCCTGGGGCCCACGGCAGCTCATACTGTTTGCATGCAATCTTTTTGCCTCGGCTGTCTTGCTCTTAACGACTAAACTGGGCTACGCCATCTGCACCTAGCTGCTGCCAGAACCGCGTTATACTTGCCTGTCCGCTCTCGTGTGGCGTATAACACTCAACCACTTCCCTCTAGGCTTACCTCTAATCTAGGCCATGTCTATATCTCGGGACTCTCTGATCGAGGAGCGAGTAGCTCAACTACAGTAAGCATCCTCGCAATGGCTACTGTGTAATACACATCAAACAAGTGGTCCTCCGTAGGGAGATCCGCCAACGTAGGAATGAACTCGTGAAGGAGATGTACACGCTACTGCAGAAGAGGAATGAACATGACGTTGAGCTGGATTCTGAGCATGGCGTATTCGACGGTGAGATGGACGTCGTTGAATAGTGAGCATTTATTGTGCTGTCATCTCCTCGTGTGCTCACTCGTCGGCTTCAAGTCCAGAGTTCAGTCATATCAAGGACTTGCTTCTTTTACTACCGGATGATACTGCGTCCCATACTCCTGGCTCTCGTAGATCAAGTCCTCAGGCAGCTTCTCGCGAAAGCACTCCCGCACCTTCTCGTGCCAGCCCTCAGACAGATGAACTAGCCCAGCCCCTCGAATCTTCAATGTCTGAACCACCAGTCTCACCACCAACTCAAGTGATCGAAGAACTAGATCCCCAACTCGCTGAGAGTCAACCCGAGCCAATGGAGGTCGACGAGACCGAACAAGTAACCCTTGAGACGGAACCACACGTATCATCTCCGTCTCCCATGCCTCAAGACACCTCTTCCCCACGGCATCGTTCTAGATCGACTACATCGCCTATGCAACCAGACAAGCAGCTCACACCGAAGTCACGCGATTCGAAGTCGCGGAGTCCGTCCGCTCAAGAACGGCCAGAAGTCCCTCCTTCCGCTCCGGTTGAAGAGGTCATGGACTATCAGCTCGAATTTCAACCAACTGTCATCGTTAGCGAAGATCTTGAGGTGCAACCAACTACTGTGATGACCAAAATTGAGGATACCTCGGAAGATATTGCAATGGATATATTGCCATATAATCCGCCCTTGCCGATTGCCCGCATCGAATCAGAGCATTCTATATCTGAATACGTTCTAGAAGCCAAAGTCGCTCCCGATCCGCCACCGCTAACATTTAAATTCAAGGGTGAACCAGCAACCGAAGAAGAGAAGACCATAGCGCCAGTCCAGACTCTCTACAAGCAGCCAACGTACGCGTTGCCACTTCTGAAGCAGCTTCCACCGGAGTTTCACCGGAAAGGGAAGCAACGCCAGTCAAGAAAGCGCGACAAAGAGAAGAGCGAGAGCAAAGCATCCCAAGAGTGGAGTCCGTTGGGTCTCAATAGGTGGTCGGCTATCCTCCGTGCCAATCCCATCCACAAGAAAGTGTCGAAGGCGACTAAATGTCTCAGTACCCGCGAATGGAACGTATGTATATCTGGCTCTTTGACGGGTCTGGGTCCGCTGAGCAATGCACAGGTAGCTGTGACTGAACTCAAGCTCATCAAAGCCTTCGACCGTATTGACGCACTCATTGACGCGGGTCGATGGAGTTTCAGACAGCCGAAGAAACAAAGAGGCGTCGGAGGCCTCATGAAGACTCACTGGGACTATCTACTGGATGAGATGGTAGATGCTGAATTCACGGCTACACTCCAGCACGCTAATATGGTGTGGTTGTCTAGCGATGGATGCGTACAGACTTTCGGGAGGAACGCAAATGGAAGATGGCGTTGGCGTACAGCCTCGCCCATGCTGTGCTGGAATGGCACGAGGCTGGCACCCTCGAGGAGCGAGTTCGCCACGGGATCTGCGTCCTTTGGAAGAGGCCGCGTGACACGGAAACGCAAGAGGCGGGTGTGCCCTTGGAAGGCTCCGACTTCCACGCCTTTGTGCCGCAGGAGGATCAGGAACAGAGTGGCACGGCGTCCAAGTCACAGTCTACACCTAACGCTGACAACTCCGACGAAGACTCCGACGAGGAGCAGGAGAGGGAAAAACAGGACGTTATCGACGCTCTGGATCCTGCTATTGCTCTGCGCGAGGCCTTCGAGGATGCCGAATTGCAGCTTGATAGTCAGCAATCGCAATCGCAATCGCAAGATATACAGCCTAAGATGGAGTATTTCGAAGACAGCTCAGCGCTGCAACGAGAAAGCAGTACAGTCCCTATGGAACACGATGACGCTGGTCCAGATAACGCCCCTACGACTGCTACAAAGGCTGAAGCGGCTGAATCATCTGCCCTGAAGACATCTTCCGATGATCCGATACTTGGCTCGCAGAACGACGAGGCGGCCTCTAGTTCCAAACCCAGGTCAAAGACCACCAGCGTATACGCGCCCCTTCGGGAACAGATTATCTTCTCTGAACCAGAAACGCTTTTTCTCGACCTCGATGGCTTCGACATCGTCCAGGGCATGACTTCATTGTCGACCGATGATATGTCTGCACCCCCGCCAATGCCCGACCTCTCCGAGATTTTCCCCGACATGCAGACGTTCGGATTGCTTGATGTACCTCCTACCACCGGTGCCGATGGTAAGAAGAAGTCAGGACGATCAGACAGGGACGATCCGAACAAGAGGGCTGAAGATACGACGTACATGAAGGTGATGCCTGCAAACGAGTTCATGCATCACAAGGCGACCCTTGTTGGACCGCTACAGCCGTCAAAGCACTGGGATGACGAGCAGTGGCACGATCTCGATGAGACGGCCGTTGTCGTCGAGTTTGAGTCCTCTTCAGCACGCCCTGTAGATGAGAGCATGTCGTCCTGTAAGTTTCTCACTCGTCGAGATCTCCATTTTCTCTCATAATGCGTTCGCCAGCGCTGTTCGACAGCGTCAAATCTTCCCCATCCTCAACGCCCATTTCACTGCCTCCGTTCAAGGATTTGCGCCGACCGTTCAGCCAGTCGCTTTTGGAGACCAGTCGCAATCCGGCCAGTATGCAGCGCTCCAACAAGCCGTCGGACCTCGCATGGACTCCGCATGATGACGCTGTCCTCAAGCCACTAGTCGAAAGGCACCCGAACAATTGGATCCTTATTGCGGAATCCTTCAACTCCTTGCGCGTCACGACATCCATCGACAAACGAACGCCATTCGACTGCTTCGATCGGTGGCGCACGCGCTTCGGCCCCCCTCCGAACGAAGACGAACATCGTCCACCGCCTCAGACACCGACGACTCCGATGACTACTCGGGGAACGAAGCGATCGTTAAGCACGAGTGTGGCACCCACGGCCGCGAACTCTGCCGCGGCACCGACCGAGTCCAAAAAGAAGCGACGCCACAACCTCATGTACGATACTATTCGCAAGGCAGCGAAGAAGCGAGAGCAAGCACAGAAGGCAAACGGTAGGTACCTGGCTCCCCTCGCCAGACCGCTCCTCATCTTTTGCGCGCAGCCAACAACAGGAAGCCAACCACGATTCATGATACTCACGGACAATACAACAAGATGCCGAAGCTCACGCCTGCCGAGCTCAGTCGTATGAAAGCAGACGCGGATGCGCGTGAGCAACAAATGCAGCGAAAACGGCAAGACGATTTGCGGACGCAACAGCAGGCGCTGGCGCAGCAACAACAGCAACAGCAACAGCAGCAGCAACATGCGAGAATGCAGCAGATCCCGAATATGGTTCGTTCAACGCCGTCTAAGTGCTATTCGGACTAACCGTCGCATGTGCAGGCCGTTCAGAACCCGGGTATGCGTACGCCCAATGGACATCCAGGTGCTCAAGGAATGCCGCAAATCAGGCAGCAGGTCAATATTTCAGGACAGCAACAAAGGTTATCGAACCCCCTGCTTGGCCAAACACGCATCGCGTCATCACAGTTGATGCAAGCCCAGGCGGCTCAGGTTCAGGCTCAAGCCCGCGCAATTGCGGCGGCGCAAGCTCAGGTTCAGGCGCAAGGGCAGGCGCACCCAAACATCGCGAACAGCCTTGCAGCGGGTGCGGCACCAGCGTTGACCGCGCACCTCACACCGAACTACAATGCGGCACGAGCGAACAGCACCTCGCCTGGGCTCCCCCAACAATCGCCGCCGCTCTCACAAGCTGCAGCTGCCAACGCAACATCGCCCCGCCCGCCATCGGCACAGGCGTTGGCAGGCCGGTCGCCTCAAGTGCAGGGCTCAATCGCGTCGTCGGCACAGCGGAATGCTCCTACTATGGCGCACTACTATCCGAACATACAGACCGCGCACCTGACGCCGGAGCAGCTCCAGCATGCGATGCAAATACAGACACTGTATTCCCAGGTAAGCCGACGCCCAACGTTTACCGTGCTCTCCGAGCTTATGTGCTTGTTCGCCAGCGACAAGCATTGCAACAGCAGGCGGCACAACAACAAGTCCAGCAGCAACAAAACGGCAGCTACTCGATGTCGTAGGGGCGTCTTCCACTATCCTCCTTTTCGTCTACTCGGAATTGTCTTTGAACTATCGTAGACACTACCATTTATTCTAGAAGCACTGTCCTGTACTTGCATAGCGTATACCATTATTTTGTTCTCGGCCTGTTATCAACGGCTGCTTGAGCAGCGCGCAGTGACGTAGGTGTTGGAGGCGTGACTATCCGCATATAAGCTGAGACGCCGCCGGTGGCTCTGCTCTCCAGTACTTCAGCTGTGACTACGATGTCGTCTGGACAGACAGGACAAGTATGTCGGCTGCTGTTGCTACTCGGGGCTTGAGAGCTGATTGTGAATCGCCGGCATGCAGGACCCCGCGTGGAAATCTCGAGAGCAAGGGGAGGAGGCTCGGTATGCTAAGGCAAAGGTGCTTATACATCCACTGTGCCGAAACACGGTCTGATCATTTTCTTCATCGTTGTTTCTGCAGGAGCAAGAGCAGCTGGCCGCTATCCGTGACAAGCTCAAGCACCCAGACCAGCAGGGAGCGACTACGGTGGCCCCGCCGAAGGACCCCAAGCTCATGGACAGAGACTTCGAAGGAGGTTTCGGCGGGCAAGAAGATTTGGAGGATAGATACGCCACGACGCTCGGCGAACACTGAGGCACCTTGTATACCATCTGTCGCGTCCGATCTTGGGACGTTACACGCCAGTAACTACTAAACGAATGGAAGCTATCGCCTAACCCACAGTCAAAATCAGGGAGCAACTACCAAGTACAATGCACCGCAAGTACCATAGTGAAACCATAGGAGGTATGGTAGTAATGAAGTCGTCCATAAAGTTCATGATACAAGGAAGAAAGTGTGTCCATGCAAAGATGTAAGGGTGTTGTACTACGGTAGGCTATAAACTTTACAAGTCGCAGCGCACTCTCAGTACGCAATACGCGAATCTACTCTACAAGAGCCGCGTGAACGAGGTGAAGTCCGTGTTTTTTTTTTGACTTTTTTTAGGGAGCGGATGTGATAATCGGGGGAGGAACCGGGATACCGCGCTTCGCAGCGCTGCTGCAGAGAGGAGACGGCGGAGCGGCGCTGCCAACCCAGGGATCAAGGTACGAGCAAGTGGGAATCGGAACGGCCATCCCACTGTTGTCTGCGGTGTTCTCCCAGCCGCTTCCGGCGTTGGCTGTACTTCCGGAAGACTCGGTGAATGTGGGTACAGGAAGAGTGGGTATGGGGCCGGTCTGGGTATACGTAGGCAGAAGCGTCGCAGCGCCTCCGCCAGAGATCGAAGTCGGAGGCCACGCGTACGATGAGGTGAAGGTAGCAGGGATCTGGCCAGCGCCAGCACCACCCGTCTGCCAAGACTGCAGTGGGCCTACCCATGGATCGGTGTTACCACAAGTACCAACGGCGGCACGGGGATCCTTGGGCATCCAACCTTCTTGAAGGCCAAGCTGGTACGACCAAACCGGAGACTCAACCTTGCCGGTGACAGAAGAGTTGCCAATCTTCCAAGTCCAGAAGAAATAATTCTAAAAGATGTTGTCAGTTTGATGGGGCTGCAGCTCAAGGACATCAGCTACAAACCTGGAGAGCGTCCATACTCGCTAAGGCGAACTGCTGAATGCCCTGCTTCATGGTATCGTTCCACTGGGAATAGTCGGTCCATGGGTCGCAGCTGCCAATGACGGGCCAAGGACCACCGGGATAGTTGCCCTCGTAACGGGCACCAAGGTTGACACCGTTGACCCAAAGACCACAGTCGTTGAGAGCGTTACTAAACTCTGCAGCAATGGTAAAACCATAGGCGCTCATCGAGTCGTTCTGCACCGACGCCCAAGCGGTACACGGATCGGTTGCACGTTGATCGTAACCGGCGGCAGACTGGCCGGAAAAGCATAGGTACTGGTGAATGTCCAGGGACGTCCTATCCGAGTTGGGGTAGTACCCAGCCCAAGCAGAAAGACCCATAAAACCTTCGTGAAAGGAGATAAACGGACCATTGCCTTCGCCTATGCCGCTAGCTGTGCGAACGATATCGTAGGCCTGCATGTAACTGAGTAAGAGGATCGTCAGGTCCAGGTCTATAAAATACTCATGGAATAAAACTCACTATCTAGCAAGGTTTTCTTGACCGAAGACTGGTGCCTGGGGCTCGTTGGTGACTCCAAACATGGCGACGACGTCTTTATACTCGGGTTGAGAGATGAACTCGGCGAGAACACGAATATAATCGAGTGCCCGCTGCGCATTGGCGAGACCCATCGGACCATTTAGCAAGTTGATACTACCGAGCCTCCCTGAGTGGTTCCAGCCGTTTTGGGATCCAGGAAGCGCATGCAAATCGAGATTAATACGAAGACCGTACTTGCGCGCCCACTGGACGGCTTTCAGGAAATACTGCCAGCAAGTCTTGGGGAGGAACGGTTCGCCGCTGCGCGTTTCGATGGCCCAGAATGGCACGGAAACTCGAACCCAATTCAGGCCAGCGCCGGCGATCTCGGCGAAATCCTTCTCAGTCTGTGAGAGGACACCTTAACCTTCCCGCGTAACACATCGAAAAAAGCGAGCTTACAACGAACGTCTCGTAGTGATTTACCAGTTGTTGCATACCTCCATTTGCCGTGTCGGCCGCCATGTTCTGGCTGAGCGTCCACTCGTCCACCGCGGGGTTCGACGAGTTGACATACGGTTCGTACAAAGCAGGAACACTGGTGGGGTTTAGTTTTCCTTCGAGAAATGCCGTACACAAAGTAGCTCACATGAACTGCAGATAAAGTCAGTACAACTTAACGGCGATAAATCGGAAAGAAACCCACAGGTTCCGTGGTGAGCCAACCGCCAATGTTCACGCTTTAGGAGATGAGCATAGGCATATGCAAACATGTATAAAACCTTACCCCCGTATCTTATCAACGCCGTACTGGAATGTCTCGTTCAGAGCAGGACTCCACGATTGCGCACGAGCACCGTTATTGAAGGGATCATTCTCATCCCAATACCAATATCCACCGAAAGAATTCTGGTAGATAAAGGTCGTGCCGTCCTCCATTGTCACCGTGCTACCATCACCTCCGGTCACGGCAGCCTGAACGGCTGGCTTGCCCGTATTTTGTGGTGACGAGCTGCTCGAAGTGCTGGAACTAGAACCTTTGCTGCCGCCCTTTGACGCGCCTCCAGAGACGGTGTCTTTGTTGCTGTGCGGTTTAACGACTGTAAAATAGACCGCCACCACGATCGCCACAATAGCCACGACTCCGACGACCACGCCTCCGAGAACCCACATCCTCCGCTTCGAGCGTGCTTTCGGTGGGAGATACGCCTCGCGCTTCTCCGAAAGGTAGGGAGTACTTTGCAACTCATCCTTGTACATCCCAACGTTCGGCGTAGAGCCGTTAAAGTCGGCATCGTGCGGGTCGTCGCGGTACTGCATGCTATAATACGCAGTGTCGCGGGTTGCTTGTCCGGTAGGGTTAAGGCCGTAAACAGAGGATTGATTGTCATTGGAGAGAGGTAGAGAGTGACCGGACGATGCGTAAGAGGCCCGCGGTTCGGGGCCTCCATCGTTCAAGGCCTGCCCCATGAAACGCGGACGCAAGGCCCCAAGATCATCTCCGTGAAGCTCAAATGGCTCAGCTTCTGGAGTGTGAAGGCCAGACGGCGGCATTCCAGGAGAGTGCGGGACGTTGTAAGGAATGTCGTCGCGGTGGTCCAAGTGTAAAGGAAGTGGGTCGTATTGGGGGCCCGACATGGCGGAATGGTGCTCTAGAAGAGAGGAGGTAAGCGAGGAGGGAGAAACAATTTAGAGCGACGCGGGGTGTGAAGGAGGTTTCGGCTGGTCTCTCGGAACATGAAGTATGATGGCAACTTACAGGATGGCGGATGGATGTACGCGACGTCCTGACCAACAAGCAACCAGTTGTCTAAGACAGTTCGAACGAGTGACGCAAAACGAGGAGAGAGTGTCAGATGTGGACGAAGTTACTGCCGCTATCGAGGACAACGGCCACGAGAGGTCGTGCGTGGGCGGTGAGGGAAACAGACGAGGGACGAAGGAATATTCCTCAGACATTTTTGAAGTCATGGGCATCCTTCGCCGCGTGTGTGACCTCCGTGCCGCACCTGCCGACCGGCAACAGTGTTGCACACGCCGAAGATCCGTCCAAAACCGGTAGCAATCACCGGCCGGATAGTTTATTCCGCTCGAGCTCCAAGACCATGAGACAGATTCCGAGCTCGTCGACCTTTTCCGGGCCAGCATCGACAAAAGACTGCAGCAGCAGGCCATGGGAAGCCCGAGTCGGCCAACCTAAGGCAGCGAGGCTCGTCAAAATCACACACAGGTTGCTACAATGGCCTTGTATGACAGACACGCCTCCGCTTGACCTCTCGAACACGCCGCGTCGGTCACGCGCCATTTTCAGCCGACTGTTCTTCAAATTCTAACTGGTAGGCGCATAGAGACCGCATGTTCGAGTATGTCGCCCAAGACACATGCTCCCCACGACGATCACGGGTGTGTGCACCATGTGTCCACTCATGGCAGACTATCAACATACCGACAAAGTCGACAACAAGCCGAGACGGATGAGAATCGGCCTCCTTAACGCCCCGACCTCGACTTCGTCTGCCGTGGCCAATCGAGGAGTGCCAGAAGCACGCCGGTCGACAACGGTGGCAGTTCACTAAGCAACCTCGCTTACAGATAGCCTTTAGACTCTAACCTTGACAGCCATCATTTCCACGTCAAGCTCCTCGAGTCGCGCCGGTCCGTGGACTAGTACTACTCAGAAGACGCTCTGGGGCAATTGTCGAGACTTGGGAGGTGGTCGTGTGGAGCATCCTCACATGTCTTGATAACTCGACAATGTTGTATGGCCAGTCCGTGCAGCATTGCAGGTGATCTACACACTTCTGCCAGGGACATAGTAAGGTTCATGCCGGACCCAGCTTCATGATAATGCCAGCCTTTTTTATGCTTCTATTACGGTATTGCAACCTGCTCACTTCGTCAGGCACTAGCGGGTCGATGTCGAATTTTCCGGTGCACCGCTCGTGTCTCTGCGTTCGGAAATTTGCGCAAGACTCCGTTCATCGTGACGAACTAGGTAGGCATGAAAGTCGCATAGGCGGCTGACTCTGCCCTGTCGCTCGTGCAGCCGCTCATTCCCGAAATGATATGTGAGTACCGGTGTTGTCTATCCGTACTGCAAGCTCTCATAATGATTCGTATCTATAGGAGAACCATGCGCCCCTATAGCCAATTCGCATCGTTCTGTGGCAACGACTCCACCGATTGCTTCTTTATTTTCCGTGTCTTGGAAAAGATATCAATAAGCCGTTCATTCCGTTTAGTACGCCTTTGTACGATGCTCTTTGCGGATTAATCAATATGTCAGAGTACAGAGTTTGTTCGGAGTAAGTCCCGACTACATGAAATCGTACGCGCTGTTTAGTTTCAAATTTTGAGCTGGAACGACTTGCTGATCAGCAATCCGCTGGCTCAAGGCGTGGCTCGGTGTCATATGGTGTCGTCGGTCACTCTGCACAAACGCGGCTGCTCTGCACTCTGCCTCCTGTCATTGTAGAATTTCTGCGGCGCTGCACCTTCCTGTAGCTCAGCCGAAGTGGTAGATGGTGCCTCTGACGCACCAGAACCTGCCGCCGGCAGATTTGGGTGTTGTTGTGTGCTGATCGCAACCTAAGGGCAACAAAGCATGTATCCGGAGTTGGACCCTCAGGCCTGATGGTATGTTCTGCAGAAACTGCCATATCTGCTGGGTCGGTCCTGCGGAGGTATTGCGACCGCCGCAAGGAGGCTTTCGTCGTGAATCATCTGTGTATGAACCAACCTCAGCTGACTCGAACGTCTTGCGATTTGCTGCTATGTTCGGTGGTGCTCGTAATGCTCTTGTCGCTGCGCTCTACCCACTTCACTTGTATGTGTGCAGTGTACTTGAGAGGACTTATGCTACTAGTACTGCTCTCAACAGCCGAAACAAAGACGATAGCAATATTTACGCCCCCTATGCCACCACTACAACGCGCGCATAATTGCTAGATGGCGGTCAATTGCGAGGGCTCTCGTTGCCTATTCATTACGCCAGATCATACATCGTAAATGCTGTGGGACGTGCATGAAGCAATGTGAGCTATTGATGTTCCGACTGATGGGTGTAAATCCGACATAATCTTCACTGAAACTCTTGCCAGGACAAGATTTTGCCACTATCCAATCACGAAGGTAGACCATTAAGAAGGACGAGAACCTCGAGATGAGGTTGGGACATGCTTGATCTAATTTTTTGATATGCCTTGAGGATCCGATTCTCTATATTACTGCTAAACCTTTTTTTGATGGTGCAGTCCCTTCAACGCTGTTGAGATCCCCACCGATTCGGTTGGCTGCTGGAAGACTGTTACAAAAACATAATCTGAGCCATGATTGCTCCCTCAATTACAACTCTGCCTTCTTCTTTGATGGAAGTGCTATCATTGAGGGAAGTATGGCGGCCACAACGCCATATATACCTTCTATCGCTCGGGTCAGACTAATGCTAGATTATTCCTGCAAGACTCCAAGATGATCCTCGCTGAGAAGCTGGCCATGGTTATCGGAGTGATACCTCGCTACTTGCCACGCAATCACATGCCAAGGTTGTTCTTTGAGTGTGAGGATCGCTGATAGAGATGATTAGCATGTTCAACACTCTAGATTTGCAACATCGCGCAGACGGCTCCAGCGGAGCCCTAGGAAGAGCGCGTCGTACAAGGGAGGGCACTCACACGCGTGGGAGGCACGTCGCTTCCGAGGCGCCCGAGGCTCGCCTTCCCCCAGCGCTCGCCACCTCATCTTGTTCCTCACGGCACCGTTGCTGCAGCCTCTCGCCGCGCCCGTCTCGAACACTCGTTGTTCACGCGTGGCGTTGTTCATGTATTCGGAGGCAGTCGCTGGTACACGCGATAAAGCCCAATTATCGAGGCTTGTGCACAAAGTGAAGGGCAAATTCTCCGGACGTCGGTCCATGAGCAATCCTCAGTCCTGTACGTCTCTACACTCTTTCAATAGCGGAGCGCGTCTGCTTTTTGGTACGCAAAAGCGAAGTATCGTCTTTCTATGTGCGCTGTGTGTTCTGGGCTGTCTCGCGCAATATGGGTGCTTTGAGACGGTCCGGACAATGGCCCTCTTTCGCATGGCATTCGATATAAAACCCGCCTGTCTTCACGGCCTGCTTCGTTGTACGCCGAGCTTCTTCTCTCACCATGTTTCTCAAACTCCTCTTCCTCATTGTACTCGGCTTTCTAGCCCAGGCGATGCCCCTCGCGTCTGCGCTCAACTCGACGTGCTCGTCGCCGCTTGGCGCGGGCACGGCTGGACCCAATGACCCATTTTGGCTTGAGAATATCAAGCACCAAGTGCGTATCTATGCGAATGATTTTATACATGGCGTTGATGTTGCGCTCGCGTTGGTAGGGGACTGCGCCATTCAACTCGGATGCTAGTACCTACCAGGTCTTTCGTAACGTCAAAGATTTTGGTGCGAAGGGCGATGGTGTTACGGACGACACCGCCGCCATCAAGTGAGCGATATGAGAGGCTCCATGTGTAACCAGATTTTGACCCGATGCGTGTCAAAGCGCTGCTATCTCGACTGGTGTTCGCTGTGGCCTGGGATGCAACTCAACCTCCACTTCCCCCGCCGTAGTCTACTTCCCTTCTGGGTATGTGAGACCTATATTCATCACTTTCTGCACAGTCTAACAATGGCCCTTGCCGCAGTACATACCTAGTTTCGACCCCAATCATCGCTTTGTACTACACGGCACTCGTCGGTGACGCTCGCAACCTGCCGACATTGCTCGCTTCGGCCAACTTTAGCGGTATGGCAGTTATCGGTCAGTATCGCTCGTATCACTCGTCTGCCACGTTTCTTACACGTCCACACAGATGCAGACCCTTATATCCCTAATGGCGGCGGGGCTCAGTACTACGGTATGCCGTGCCATCCAGTGGAGTGGCTAGAAAAGCTCTCTAATACATGACCCCGTAGTTAATCAGAACAACTTCTTTAGGAGCGTTAGGAACTTTGTCATCGACCTTACCAAGATGCCTGCTTCCGCCACCGCCACCGGTCTGCATTGGCAAGTCTCGCAAGCCACGTCACTCATTAACGTTGTCGTAAACATGAGCACCGCATCCGGTAACAATCACCAAGGTATGATTTTCTGGCATCTCGTGAGCCGGGATCTGAACGACTGCTCAGGAATGTTCATGGAAAATGGAAGCGGCGGATTCATGGGCGGTAAGTTTCAACTTCATTTGATGATGGAAGTCCTAATTAATTCGGCCGTTTCTAGATCTTGTATTCAACGGTGGTAAACCAAACGTTGTACCTAAATCATGACTTAGATACTCACTTGAATTTGAAGGCAAATTTGGCATCTGGATCGGGAACCAGCAGTGAGTAGTGAAACGACCTCTGTGGCAGTTAGAGTTAGCTGACTTCGACTGCTTCAGATTCACTGTCCGCAATATTACCGTAAATAACGCTAATAGTGGTATGTTTCACTACACAGTGCAACATGCGATCTGAACTCATCGCATGCTTCTAATCAGCCATCTTTTCCATCTGGAACTGGGGCGAGTTATAAGTAATTTGTCAAACGGCTGATTTAGACTGACTTGTTGTGTGCGTCGCAGGCTGGACTTTCCAAGGCGTCACTAGTGAGTCGGTTTCTTCCTTCTTGTCTTGCTCTGGTGACTGACTCCGTGTTAGTAAATAATTGCCAAGTTGGCTTTGATCTTACCACTGGGGGCGTCACGCTAGACCAACAAGTACGTTATCACTATACAATACCTGGTTAGCGACGGCTCACGTCTTGACACGTCCTCAGACTGTTGGAGCCATCGCAGTCATTGATGCCACTGTGGTAAACACGCCAATCTTCATCCGCAATAGCAAGCCCTCGAGCTCCCTCGCCGGATCCCTCGTCCTCAATAATATCAACCTGCAGAATGTACCCACCGCTGTTGGAGTCGTTGGCGGTGAGACCGTCCTGGCCGGCGGCACCACCACCATCCAGAGCTGGGGCCAAGGCAACATATATAACGGCACCAGCTCAACTGCGCAGTTTGTCAAGTCTAACATCGCTGCACCAACGAAGGCTTCGAGCCTGCTCGACGGCTCTGGCAGGATTTTTGGTAGGCCACGTCCCCAGTACACGAACTACGCCGTGGACCAGTTCATCAGCGTGAAGACCCAGGGAGCAAAAGGCGACGGTAAGACGGACGATACCGCGGCTCTGCAAGCCGTCTTCGATCAGGTGCGTGAGCATTCTTATCAAAGTTGAGATGCGATATTTCACACGGGACCACTAGTTCTCGGGCTGCAAGATCATTTTTTTCGATGCCGGGTAAGGAAATTTGATCCAATGTCGCCCGTACGCGACAAACTGACGACGCACGTTGTAGGGTATACTTCATTACCAATACCTTGACGATACCGGCCGGCACTCAGATGGTCGGCGAAGGGTGGTCTGTTATTATGGGCGGCGGTTCGGCATTCTCAAATATGAACAGCCCGACCGTCATTGTGCAAGCCGGTGCCCCGGGATCTTCTGGTATTCTTGAGATCACCGATATTGTCTTTACTACCCAGGGGCCAGGTTGGTGGTGATCTCTCCACGATCTTTGCGGAACTCTGATTAGTTCCTCAGCTCCAGGTGCTGTCCTGATGGAATGGAACGTCAACTCGCCAACCCAAGGAGGCGCTGGCATGTGGGATACTCACTTCCGATTGGGAGGCGGTGCGTCTCGCTATTAACCAACCTTAAATAGAGACCGAACGGGCTTTTTTGTGACAGCCGCCGGTACAAACCTTCAATCGAACTGTCTTCCGGGTGCAGACACCACTCAATGCACTGCGGCGTACACGACGCTACACCTCACTTCCGGATCGAACGCTTATCTTGAGGTGTGTGGAGGCGTGAACAGCTCCGTGCCTACGTGCTAATACGCTTATGCAGGGCTCTTGGCTCTGGGTTGCCGATCATGATATGGACGGCAGCGACGAGCAGCTCACGATTTTTGCCGGCCGTGGCCTCTTGTCAGAATCTCAGGGCCCAGTCTGGCTCGTCGGTACCTCCGTTGAGCATCATACGCTCTATCAGTACAACCTTCAGAACGCTTCGGATCACTACATGGGGCTGATCCAGACTGAGACGGTATGTTTCGTCCGCCCGTGAACGATTTCTGATTGACTGACTAGGAACCAACAGCCGTATTACCAACCTACTCCCGCGCTGCCGACGCCCTTCTCTGTCAACGCCTCGCTCGGCGACCCCGACTTCCCCAACCAACAGTCTTCCTGGGCTCTGGTTGTCCAAAACTCGAAGAACATCTTGGTCTTCGGTTCGTGCCGTCTTTAGCGTAGATCAATCTTGGCAACCTTCTGATTGTCATGTATGCAGGCGCTGGACTGTATAGCTTTTTCCAGAACTTTGGCCAAGCCTGTCTAAACAGCAGCTCGTGTCAGGAGCAGATCCTAAATGTCGATAGCACGAGCACGATCTGGGTTTACAGTCTTTCGACTGTCGGCGTCACCCATCAGCTCAGCGTTGGCAACCAGGCTGTGATACCTCAAAGTCAGAATGTCAACGGCTTCCAGGTACGAAACCTTGCCTGTTCCATCTTCTTGCGCATCAAGCTCATACGATCCCAGTCGACTGTCACTGCCTGGTCGCAGTGAGATTGTTAAATTGTATGCGAGAGGAAAGGCGTATGACGTGTTGTGTCGCCATCATTGTCATGTTACTTATCATTCAAATTATCTGGAGCTTATTATCACCCATGTACCTGTAGCTACACTGCATTATTATGTCGTCTCTTATTCCAATTTGCGCAGCTAAGCCTGACCTGGGCTTCATCATCGGCTTAACGTCCACAGGCATCCACAGGTCCGGCGTCGGAAACGCCACAAAGTCAACGGGATCACGTGATTGGCGCGTGGGGGTCGCCTTGTGTTTAGCGCGTTGCTTGACTCCTGCAGCCATGTCCTCCCGCGCGAAACGCACGTACGGATCCCGCCCAGCGAAACCTGCTCTGCCACCGTCATCCCCTCCATTGACGCTATCATCGCCCCCACGGAAAACAGCTTTCAACAACGATACTGACCACGATGACGACGGGCGCAGTGCCTCGCCCAGTCTGAAACGCAAACGCACATCCCTCGAGGACCTCTCTATCAACGCGCCTCAGGCGAGGAAGCCCGTCGTCCCTGCAGAATCAGCTTCCAAGACGCTTGCAGGCTCATTGTTCACACGGACACACGACACTATACCCAAGCGAAAGGGAAAGGCGAAGAGGAGTGCGAAAGGGCCGGAAAAGCCCAGGCAGAAACATCTCACACAACTCCACTTTGCGCTTGACACCACGGTGCTACGAACGTGCTCCCTCTGTTCCCTTACGTATACGCGTGGTGCACCGGATGACGAAAGCCTGCACCGCGCACACTGCGCAAGGGTGCAGAAGGGCATGGAATGGGGAAAGGAGGAAGAAAGGGAGGCGAAGAACGGCAAAGCGCAGGTAGAGGAGGTAGCTGGTGATGTCAAACTCAAGAATGGCACAAAGGGGCGAATCGTCTGCTTCAGAGCTGATGTTGGAGGAAAGATTGGTAGCAAGGTGACTAATATACCAGGGCTCTCGCTTAGTTGTGGCATCGCTGACGAAATAGCCACACAGCTCTCAACGTTGCTTGATACGGTCAACATTATCCTCTCTGCACCTGCGATGACCGCCCAGAGTTTGCAAGCGTCGAAAGCTTATCTCTTTCTATTAAGCTCTCCGCCCATAACATCGTCTTCAATAAGCGCACATCGAGAGAAGATCGTCGGCTGTGTCATCGCGCAGCGCATCTCGTCTGCTATGGCTATAGCCTCGCGAGATAGCTCAAATGTTTCCTCCGAGGCTGAGACCACGAAAGATTCCTCTTCGGCGATACGCCTTCTTCCGACACCGCTTTCAACGCCGCTAGGCATCCCTCGTCTTTTCGTCTCAAGCAGCCATCGTCGCCAAGGAGTAGCATCATCACTGCTGACAGCCGCCGCGAATTATTTTATTTTAGGATGCCCCTTGGATCCAAAGAAAGGCGAAGTAGCGTTCAGCCAACCAACCGGGCTTGGTGGAATGGTGCTTGAGAAGTGGGCTGGAGGCAAGGGTCGCGTTTTCGAGGAGTGAAAACGTATCTCAGGAGATTATCCTCTGGCTTTGCAGTTCATTGCTTCCAGCCTCCAGCGTGATCTTTTGACGATAATGTAGTGCTCATTATTTTGTACCATATAACGTCATTATAATCATATTTAGCAGGATTTATCTGTGACCGGCTGACCGTCTGTCTCATTAATACTGGTGGTAAACGCCGACTATCTCAGCCGGTGTAAGACGATCGTGCCGTTCCGCCCGGTGAATCGCGTGGATGTTTCGTCCGCACCGTGCAGCATGGCTTTTACCACGCAGCGTCACTGCGAACCGTGAATCTGCCACAGGCTGCTCGGCCGATGAAGGAACCTAAACTTCTGTTCCGCCGGACAACGCGATACAACAACGGCGATCGTACTAAATAGGCAAGTGTAGTGAAGTCGTAGGACTTAATAGCCCTGGAGGAAGACGGCACGCTATGCATCTGAGCGCGAGAACTACGGGTAGCTATTGCAAACAGCCGGCTTCAATGCACCACAAAAGTCCGGGACTACGCACAGAAGAGAGCAAGTGCGACGGCTGGCCCAGATCATTGCTCTAGGGCAAGTGGTGCCTCGCCCACCTCGACACCCTGGTCGCCTTCATCCCCGCGGGCTCCATTTGCCAAGACCCGAGCGTACAGGCGCGTGCTCAATGCTCGAGGTGCGTCGCAAGATCAACAATTGTGCCCTGGATGTTTTCATAGCGGAAGACCGTGCGACCACATGAAAGAGATGGGTCTTCGGCCTCGGAGAAATCGAATGCGCGTTGCTTTCGCGCAACGACAATGTTGAGGGCTAAGACGTGTCGCCAAATCCCCCTGCCGCCTAAAGACTCCGGGGATGTCAAGGTCTCAACGACGTGGCGGTGGCATTTTTGCATTGCTCTAGAACTTGGGGTTTCAAAAAAGACCTGACCGTCGCTACACTGTGACAGAGGTGTACGTACAGTGCAAGACACGAGCAATCGAGTGGGCTTACAATTGAAAGCTCACGATGTGAAATCGCCTCAATGGCTCCAGCGCGGACACGCCCGCGCCGTAGCTCTAACTCACGGTAAGGGTTGTAAGGAGTTATCACGGTGGAGATCAAGTAGCCGTTAATCCGGTCTAAGATCGCGGATGAATGTGGTACTCACCCTCGATGCCGATTCATGCTGCGGTTGTTCAGCTGACCCGTCCGAGGGCTTATCATATTGACGTAAACGCCTGTTCGCTGCAGGTACAGACCTGCACACCAGGCTCTGGGAAATTTGAATATCGGATACCCACTATGTGCTCCAGTGCTCGCCAGTGAATCGAGTGGCGTTATGGCCGCGAAGCTACTTACTCTGTCTCTCATGAGATTCGAATAGGGAGTAGATATGTATTGCTGCCGAGCGCGTGGGCTTATGCACGAGACGTCAATATCCTGCCCACAATCACCAGGCACACGTCAGACTCGAGTTCATCGCCACTTTCCGACTGCCGGAGGCCCATGTACTGCGGCTAAGTGCATACAGACTGCTGACGGTGGCCGTCTTTAGCATAGCCGCCTGAGTCAGGCATAGCGTATCAGGCAGCAGTGATCATCGGCCTAGTAAATCTGTACGTTGAGTCCGTGAACCTGGGACACATGTACTAGTGGCGCATCGTTGTGTGGAGCGACTCCGGTTTGAAAAGGCTGAAGAACACAGTAGCCCTGGTTGACGAGCGTTGGTGACAACTCGGCGGTGCGTTACAGTGATGTCCCGAGCCTGTCCCGGTACGCGGTGCGGATACTGTCAGTATCATACAAGCATCAATGAGCGCGATAATATACCGCAGCCCCGTCAAAACTTAAATTCTTGTCCCTTTCAATCGCTCTTAGATCATCTCTCCAATGATAGCTAGCTGTAAGCGATGTTTCCCTGTTACTAGGTCGGCGAGGGGCCCGAGTAGTGCATTACGGCGTTACGCATCGCGGATAACGCGACGGATGCTGGAGTAGCGAGCAAGCCGGGACCTTCAGTATAATTGGACAAGGCGATACGAGGGTGGGGCCTTGGAATGGACGGTGAAGATGTGCGCACGAGCGCCACACCGCTGCTGCGGCGGTGCGTGCTCTTCGGCATGACCGGGCTCGGCCCTCTTTCCACGTTGTCCGGGCATGACAGTGGAGATGGCGCCGAAGCCACAGACTATCTTGCAATTTGGAATGCAAGATATCAATGGCTTCTAAAGCTTGTGTGACTTTCCCGAAGCCCCTGAAAGTCTTCTCGCTGTACTCCGAGGCTTTACAACCGCGCACTGCACAGGAGTGTCAGATAAGGACGCGCGATAGAGGTCGGACAATCATATTTCTAGTCCGACGTATCTCATACAAACCTACCGTACATCGTGAATAGTAACCCACATTCTTGCGCCGGAGCGCAACCAGGCCTAATATCGATGAGAAGCTGGAATCAAAGCTCTTCATACGGAGGTAAGGTAAAGGCCGCGCAAGTTCGTCGGCCAACGTGTATGCATCGTGCTGGTCACTGTCGGCCTGTTGTCACGGAGTGAGCATAACTCCACGGCCAGGACTCCTCGGAGGGGAAGGGGACACTCGGGCGTCAATTTAGATTATGCGAACACCGCCGAAAACCTAAGCAGAATATCCTCGACTTATCCGAACGCCAACCGCCTGCTCTTGCAGATCCTGAAGAAGCAGTCCCACACGATGCCCGCGAGGAATGAGATCTAATGAGTCTGTAAGATCTCGCACAGCCAACTGTATGTCCGAATTATGGACCTCATTCGACCAGCCAGATTCAGTAAAACTGGGTCTCGGGAGGAGATGTATGAGATGATCACGCTCAGCGCACTGCGCTAGTCAACCAGCGAGACTCCGCAGGGAGAAACCTTGGCACAGCCTACGCTTGACGGGCACGAATAAATCAGGGTAAGGGTTCAACAGAATATCCCCTTGTGCGGTCTGGGTTGAGCAACGGCTGTCCGAACCTGGTCTCAAGCTGGCATGCGCATGTAGGAGCCTTTGAAACATTACCCAACGATGGAGATTAGCACCAGCAAGGGCAGGTAACTCCCGCATCTCCTTGGCAGCTCCGAAGACGGTCATTTGCATGCCATTGTCGAGCTGTGCCTCGACTCCTAGGTACTGCCCCACGGAGCCACTACCGTCTAGGGTCTAAGCGATGCTGCATGATGTACGCGACCATTGCCGCGGCCCGGGCCAAGCTTCGCGTACCGCCGCTAAAATGAGCCGACCGCAAGTCCATGAACATACCCGAGCCTGAGGGCTTCCCGCAAGGAGCAGAAGAGCTGTAAAGGGGAGCTCAGCAGTCAGAGTTCGCACGGTAAGGCTTATGCTAAACAGCACGAGGCAGATGGTCCCCAAATTGCCTTCGGGAAGAATGGCGATGGTTTCTATCAGATTCTCCCTCGATGAAACTGCGAGGCAGTTGAGTGTATGCTGCCTTGCGTCACAAACTACGAATGCCTAGACCCACAGCGCTTACGCTAACAGGACAGTATCAGGATTTCACAGTTCATTACAAAGTCGTGACGTACAATGATACAGCCTCCGAAACAATGGTTCCATATCATGTGACCCGGAGCCGCGAAACAGCGCCGTCCGTAAGAGCATGGAAAGAAAAGAAAAAAAAGTCGAAACAGAGAGCAAACTGCGCTAATCCGTGGGCTCGAGGACAAGTTCATTAGCCTGCAGCTGTTCCGCAGATTAACCCGCCCCATCGTGCAAGGCGCAACAGACAGCGGCTGTACGAAAGGAAGTCAGCGTGGATCCACACGTTCGGGGCAGGAATCTGCGACCTTTGTGGTGGCCATTGTATTGCCGTACAGTCTCACCGGAAGCCATCTCCCAAAGCCGTGCAGTGTGGTCTGATGAAGCTAAAGTTCTCCGTTACCCCCTGTACGAATGGCTGACGAAATGAACGCACCTGTCACAAGATACGCGGAGTCCGCACTGAACGCACAATCCCAGACCCACCGTTGATGACCTTGAAGGATTTTCTCTAGCTTGAACTCGTAGTTCGGCGATATCGACCAGATCTTCACTGTCGTGTCGGCAGAGCAAGTCGCCAGATACCTGGTTATACATTCGCCTAATCAATATTTGGCCACCGATTGCATGAAAGCTAATTTCGACAGGCCTACTTCACGTCTGGACTCAACAGACACCGAGTCAAATATTTGTTGTGAGCCTGGAATTTCGTCACAGCCTGGAACCTGGGTAACTCCGACCGTTCGTCATTGATCTTCCAAACATAGCATTTCCCCTGAATAACGCATCAATCATCTGTAAAAAGTATCAACTGGACCTCCATGTACATACTTTGTTATTGCCAGCGACAAGACAAGAGCCATCTGAAGCAAGGCTGATGGAGCGCATCGGAATATCACCTGCAGGGGTCTTGGATACCAAATAGAGAACACTGTTGTACGGTCGTGGGTGTCAACGTACCAACTCGTGCGTGCATACATTCTCTGAGAGGTCCCATTGCTTGATTCTTCCCGCCTGATCGCATGAAATAAGTTCCCCTTGGTTGGGATGGACCACAACATCATTCACTGCATATGAGGTGGAGTGAGTGGTGCTGTCTAGGCTGAGAGCAGAGATCGGTACCTGGTGCTTCATTGTCGTAATTTCGATGGAGGTGTGTGCTCCTAGATGCATAGGATCAACATGTATGCCATGCACAGGGCGACGAAGGCAGGAAGCGCACCGTAGGTCCCATATTTTGATCGTTCCGTCCTCGCTCCCTGTCACGAGCCACTTCCCCTCGCTGTGGAAGCAAACAGCCGTAATGTTGGAATTATGTCCTTCAAACGTGAGAATCTATGGCAAGCATGAGGCCCACGCTCGTACACCTGACGAGCAAGCAATCGTTACCGGAGTAGAGATGTTGCTCGCAATCTCGTAGATGTGGACTTTCTTGTATATGGCAGCAGCAAGAAACCGTTTACTGACGGGCCGCTGAGCTCGCTTCGCGTAGGGCTGAACTGTTCTGCTTACTCCGGAGATATCGCAAGACGGTTTACTTGCTGAGATACATCAATGTGATTGGCATGAACATGGTGTGAACAGCTCGCAAAGCGCAGGCGACCTTACACCTGTTTCGTTGGTCCGAGATATTGTCCTGGAGCAAATACCGCTCCATGCCTCCCAAAAACGTATGTCCTTGTCGTAGGATCCAGTGACGAGGATGACTGACATGTCTTGACGCGGAGCAGCCTGTGCTGCCACTCTGGTTTGAGCAGGCATCGTGGCCGTCTACAAGCAGGGGACGTCGACAAAGCGCGCGAGCTGGGCGCTCAAGGCGAGATCGGAACGAGAACGTTGTGAGACTGCTGCCGTCATGCTTTGGTTGACCTCAACCATCCTCCTCTCACCGGCTTTCTCAGACGAGAGCGCTCTCTCATCATCTGTACCCTCTCTTCTCCGCCTCCAGCATCATGTCGCCCGAAAATATGCCGGGCTTTTCCGTTTCGTCCGAGCAGCAATTGCAAAAAGTGACATTAATCCACCCTTCATCCCAGACGTTATGAGTCGCGTCCGATGTCATACCCTTCGAATGCAGGGGCCTCCAGCAGACGGAAACCATCGCTGCTATCTGTATAGCCCTAGAGACACTCGACCAAATATCGATCCGCGGGGTGTCCTTTCATTCTCCACTTCTCGCTGGCTATTCCCGCTACTGCAGTCGTGTGTCTTCTGACCACATTGTTTCTCAGGACAACCTCCCTCATGTCGCACTGTCTCCTCTCTATCTTTGGTTTCCCCTTCCCGTGAAGGGCGATCACTGGACAGTCCAGTCCTCTTCCTCTCCCTCCGGTCACGTTGCCGTGCCTCGTTTCAGGGCTTGTAGTCGACCCAGGTTCTGGCTTGCAGGAATGTCCGTGTATGCAGAGCTTCTGCCGGACGATCATTTACTGTTCTAACCGGTTTCCTGCCCGGGTTCGCTTAGTCCAACCTATCGTGGCCAGATGAAATGAGCCTCCGAGCTCCTCTTCATACTGATCGAAAGCTCCCTCACTCGAATGACTTCTATTTGGGAATGTCAAATATGTCGCCTCCGAAGACGTAGCTTCACATTCTCCTCAACCACCGTGGGTATATCGCTCGTCCTCCGCAATGTATAAAACTTCAAATGCTCTGGTCTTCCATGTCCTCTCAAGCCCATCGCAGTCCGCAAACACAGTCATCGACTGAACCTCTGACTGCTCTATGGACATGTTTCCTGTACGTCTCTCTAGTCTTGCCCTCGAAACCTTTATTCACCTTTAGGCAGCCCGGTACTCGCGTCTCCTACCTGGCAGAGAACGGCGTCGTCATGTACGGTACTGTCCATGCGATAGTAAGAGGAGATGTAAGTCCTTCGAGCTGCTTTTGTCGTAGGTCGTGCTCATGCACTATCTTCAGGGCGGACAATCCCTCGCACAAGTCCGTGTGGACGGCGACAACGGGCCACCACGAGAAGTCCCGTAAGCTTCATACTATGTGCTGTGTGATATGCTCTCTGCTAACCAGTCCTCGCATAGTGTCGCATATCTTCACCGAGTATAATGCTGTGAGCCTGCTACGGTCTCGCGCCACAAGGGTAAAAGTATACACACGGATTGCACATACTATATAATTCTCATGGACACTATCATATGGTGTATGCTGACTCGCTGTATATTTACATAGATCAGTTGTATATTTTGGCCGCCGTTGGCAGCAGGGCTGGCAACGTCGGTTACTTATAGCTTGCTAGATGTTGCCGTCGTCAATAAATATTAGATATAACTTATTACCGCTCCTAGATGATCGGGTGTTAGCGTCGGCGATACGCATGTATGTCACCAATCCCATTGAAGCAAGCGCCGGGGCCCTGCATTTCGTAGTCAGTACTTGCGTGGCGTCGGCCACCAGCTGGCTGTCTCTGGTTATACGTATTCAGACCGCTGGTATTGTAACGTGTAATATGGCGGAAGTATCTGATCTGTGTCTGGGCCCGAACGGGGGTATCCGATCTCGATGCCCCTTTAACTGAGCGTCCGACTCAGGGATAACTCTATCGCAGTTTCTTGCTCAGTCCCACGCTATGACAGTAAGACTTCATCTCTGTTTTTCTTTTTTTTGCAATCTGCAATGCTAATCTGGAAATCTCAACGAGCCAATAATTGCTATCCAGATACTGCAACATCTGCTTAACTCGATCCCCGTAGTCAAGCAGATCACAGGATGGTCTAAGCGCGAGGGTTCTCAGCTGCATCGCCACATCGAGCATGCTCTACGTGACGCGTTACTGTGGCTCAATTCATCTTTGGCAGCTCCGGAGCGCATCTCTGCTAGGCTGCATGCATGGTTGTCTAATGTGTTCTCTGTCACGCCGTCTGGGGTGTTTAGGCCTCACGACAGTGCCATCATTATCCTGGGGGATATCGAGGGTACGGGCAACAGGCGTGCCCTTTTTTGTCCTCCATGAGGACATGCGCTAACAGGGGCAGTGGTCTAGGTCTAGGTCGTGCAATTGCCCTGAGCTTTTCTGAACTGGGCTACACCGTTCTCATGCTATCGACGACCACTTCGGAACCGCCTGCTTCCGGCGTGACTGAAAAGTCGTCCGCCGTGTTGTCTGTAAGATCCGACATCGTTTGCGGATTATGAGCACCAGTATTGACAGCTCGCCCCCTTGTGCAGCTCCTCTATGCCTGGCACAAGAAGAAAGAACGATCGCCTTCTGCAAACTGGGGCACAGTCGCGCCCATAACTCTGGATACACACTCCCCAGCGCAGCGCACGCAAGCCTCCGAGACTGTGCACGCATATTGCCACGACCACGCCCTACAACTGTGTGCCCTGATCGTCTTACCTCCTACTTCTCACGCAGGTGGCGGTTTCGGCATTCGGCAGCATACGCACCTATCCATCAAAGCTAGTGAGGAAGACAGCCTTGCGTTTGCCATGTGGGGTGAAGATGTGGAGTCTGCATCTGGAGAACCCCTCCTGATCATGCGCGACTACTTCGATTTACTGATGAAGGCCTCTGGCCGCGTGATCTTGATGTCGAGGTGTCTTCCATACAGTGAATGCCCTGACTTTCGCTGATTAACACCCTCGCTAATCTACAGTTCAGATCCAAGAGGCACAGACCATCTTCTAGATGGAATGCGGGAGTGTCTTGCTATGAACCTTAACCAGACACTGGAACCTCTTGGGGTTCGTGTGTGTTCGTTGACTACAGGAGCACCGGAGGATTTTGGAGAATTTCCGAGTACTCCCTCGAGAGCTCACGATGGCACGACCGTGACAAATGCCACAAAGACGCGCCCATCCGCGGAGAAGATAACGCCAGGGATGACAAATACCGATGGTGCGCTCCCAGAGACGCCTTATTTCAGCGCGGTTTGTGATGTTCTGGAAAGTATTACAAGCGCTGCGTAAGGGTCGTTCAACAAGTATCTGTGGGACCGATTATACTGAAGCGCTTGATTCTTATAGATACCCGAAAACTGTTTATACTGTGGGATACCGCCCATGGCTGTGGTGGGCGTGGCGCGTGGCACCCGACGCTGTAAGATTGCTATTCCGCCCATAGTGCGTAGATTCGCGGAGCGACACTGTTCGGTTTGAATCGCGAAACATGATCTATAATGTATCTTGCATAGTAGATATATCTCCGTATCAAGACGTCAAACTATCTAGCATTTTGGGGTCGGTCCTGGATGAAGTCCGTTAATGTGTGGACAGCCTGAGCGGAAATGTGCTAGGGTACTCACTCGGACCATTACGCTCAGACGCTGACCACCTCCATACTCGATGTCGCCAAGTTTTCCACGTAATAAAACAGAGTGCTTGTATCTGTACCGCGTGGTGTCTCTGACGTATGCACGACTGAGGTTAGCGTCTGTTGGTCATGCGTGAGTATGCCTAGACTTGCCTCTGTATGTAGACGCTGCCAGAAGGCAGAAGCATCTCGAAGGTATCAGAGGGGTCCTCGACACTCTCAAGTCGCATGGCCCTGGTGCTTCCCAGGCTGACACCTAGAATCCACGAACCGCTGGCTTCTATGTTGTCGATATGTGGCTACAATGTGGACTATAGGGAAAGCTTTTCCACAGAGTGTGTAAAATACGCACCAATATCTCTCCATCAGAAGCAAGGTGAAGTATGTGAGTCTGAGTGGGTTCTTCAGGGTGGACTGACCTCAGGCGCGACAGTATGTGGTCCAGCCCGGGGATATCGTTCGGCCACGAAGAGACATGCATCTCGCGATAACGTCTAATAACGCCGTCAAAATGACCCTGACGAGTATTAGTTCAATATCTCCAGAGAGGGGAGGAGTCCGGCGGGTCACCTCTTCAAATGTGTAATACTTGTCCGGCAGAAATAAGTCTTCGATGGTCGTTGGAGCAGATAGGGGAACCGTCCGCGATGCCAAGAACTCCTTCTGCCGACGCTTGGACCTGCGATTCTCACTCGCGTCCAACTTTTGCAGAGAAGCAGAGAGCAAAAGGCGCTGTTCTTCGGGAGAGAAGAAGTCCGGGTAGAAAGCCACATCCATTGGATATCCATCCATTTTCAGCGATATTCGCCTGCTAAAAAGCAAGGCTGAGTCTCGGGCGCAGTAAAGATAAGGCCGCGAGCTCGCGCGAACGGCAAAGAGCAGCATGGGCGAAATGCTGTAACAAAGTTGCGGACAAACTTCATTCGGAAACCACTGAGGCCTTCGTGGCGCTTCGGCAGTTTCCGTGATATGATCTAAATGAGGCTCTGCAGCCAACCAGGTTCAACTCCAACGAAGTGCGTGTCTGGTCACACCTGTGTTAGCGCCATACGAGCTGAAGCAGCCGCTTCAGCAGTCTCGACAATCTGCAAGCCGTTGTCTGTGCATGTCTACAGCTCATAATAAGGCTAGTAGCGACCAGCCTGAGAGTGGCAGTGCCAGCTCGCTGTACGCTGCTATAGCCAGGAGCGCCACGAGGTCCATGGCACTCTACTTTTCGCGACCTGTCAGGCTCTTTAGGCCATCTAAAGGCACGTCTGAGCTTATTATTCAAGCTTGCGCGGCAAGATCTACTCACTTGCGCTAGTCAATGGATGGCAGACCCTCAGGCTGCTGGCGACCCAGGAAGGCCACTCTCTGACACCACAATACATGCGGCAACTTGTGCGGCAGCAAGGGGTGCGCGGAAGCATAGATACTATTCCCAGATTTTGCTCTGACAATTTCAAATAATAAAAAACACCATTCTAGGTTCTCGTCATCGCAAAACATTTCATACCTCCAATCACGATAAATCTTGTTCTTGGCTCAGTATTATGGACCACATACTCCGAGGCAACATCACTGCTAGAATCACATATAAATTCGCAAATTCCCCTTGCGGCTGCGTCCGGTGCCCTCGCGGGCGGTGCGCAAGCGCTTCTCGCCGCTCCGGCCGAAAACGTCCGGTTCGTACTAGAAGGTGGCTCTCCAGCGACAGGCTGGTCCTACGCATGGAAGGAGGTTTTCCGCGGCACAAGTGGCGACAAGACACTCTCCAAGCGAGATGAGCTCCACCAGGCCCGCGAAGTCCGTGACTGGATGCGCGAAGTCAGCGACATGGCCGGACGTGGCTGGCACGGGTGGAAGTGGGGCGTCGCCAAGGACGCATGTGGTACGAAGCTCATATGACTGATATGCGTGGTGTATGTTTTCTCATTGGCTGCTCAGGCTTCGCCGTCTTCTTTACCGTGTTTGAGATGACACGTCGTCTCGCCGTGGCGACAAAGACCTTCTCTCAAGGCCTCATCGAGCAAAAATCTTCCGGCATTTGCCGAAGTCAGGCCATGCAGAAAAACGGTCCTCGCGTTGCACACGCGCTAACTTTAGTGACTGGCGGAGCAGTCGCAGGCTTGGCCTACGAGATGGCCTGTCGGCCGTGGGATATCGCACGCAAGGCTGTCCATGTGGACCGTGTGGTCGCCGCCGCTGAGCATCATTCAGTACTATCGATACTGCTACAGAAGTTCAGGGACGATGGGTGGACATCGTTCTTCAAGCGGCCCACGGTGCACGAACATGACTCGCACGCTTCTTCCGCGCATCGAAGACTGCATGCTCTGGGCCGGACGTTAGGTCGCGTGGGACCATGGGGCATTGGATTCTTGGCCTGGGAGGCGTTTGGACCCGGCCTGTCATGACGTGTGTAGTCCGCGCGCATTCCCTGTAGCTTGGGTGCAGTACACGGTCAGGCCGTGCTCACCTAATGGGCGTATCGCTGTGACCTATATTTGCTTGTGCACCCAAAGACCTACTATACGCCGACTGTCCCACGAATACAAGACTCTTCTCCATTGTTTATTGCGGTCCGTCTCCTGTCTGGCGAAGTGTTCTCAGGAGAAGCTTGGATGCGCTGCAGCCCGCGTCGGAAAAGAGGTATTTGAGCAAGTAAGCTCATCCGGGCCGCTTCCACGCACCTTCTATTCGGCTCAGCATTAGACAATCGAGTGCATATCGACTCGGGATCAGTGGTTATTTGATTGACGTCCCCAGATGGGGAAACCAAGACTGGTTCCCGCGCAAGTTCTCCCGTGAATCCAACTTTGTTGTCGTAGAGCCCGTGTCCCCATGACGCTCTATCTACGAAAGCCCGGATGCATCCACGGCTGCCTACAGGGTCCAACCGTAGTTGCGACGGCGAGCTTTGGGCCCTGACGGAGGATTCGTGGTCATCGTCAGCAAGTGGCTACCAGAGGATCTCCAGCTCTCCGATTCCCTCTACCTGGTGTAATATCCGGCTCGATGGAGAGTACGACCAGACGGGCAAGTGTAGATCACCTCTATGAATACGCTGCTCGGGACTCACCGGAGATTCGCTGGGGTGTGAATGCGACCCCGCATCCGTCAGTCCGCGAGCAGCGGCAGGCAGTAAAACCTAAGCGGGAGAAGTCTGAAGTGCGCGCGTTGCGTTAAGCGAACCTGAGCGTCAATGATACAAGCGCCTGAGCGATATGCAGCTTCTCGGCGCAGTCTGTCTCGGAACGTGGTCGAATATCCGCAGAGTCTAATTGAGAAGATACTGGGCTCGATAGGAGCCAGAACGCGCTCGTATTTTTCAGCATGTGGTCGCTGTATGGAAAACAACCTGGGACGATACATCTCCTTAGCGGAAGGTAACATCGTCACATCACAATGTACGTGGTGAACTTACTCGGGGATATGCAGTGGCAGTGCTTGCCTCTCAAGGCTCGCCACGGACTCCTGCACCTGGAGGGGATCCACACTTGTCGGCAGAGTTTCTTCTTACTGCATAATTACGAAACGAACCGGGGCTTACGGTCCTTATTTGGGTGCCGGCCACAGTAGGAAGCGAGCTGTCGCTCCTTCAGTGAGAGAAGTGTAAAAATGTGTCTGACGTACTGCCATCCATTGAATGTATAGTCCGCGGTTCTGAACCGACCGCGAGCACATCGGATGGGTGCAATGCTGTGACAATACAAGGAGAAGGCGCTGCTTATCCATCCGAATGTAGCTGTTCCTGACTGCTATCACCTTGCGCAGGAAATAGTCGGGAGAGCTGGTTTATGTGATGTAATGTCGACGGACGTATCAATCATCCCCCTCACTTACTGTGGCGCTCGGGGTGCTGAGGATTCCGAGGGAAGTCGCGGCATAGTCCTGTCTTGAACGAGCCCGAGACGGCTGGATAAATTTTTGCCTTGCCAGGGACACATACGTGGAAGCTGGGTGGAGGAACGTGACGGCAATTTAAGTGTTTCCGGGGGTTACGACCGCGCGGCAGCGACGAAGGGGACCCGCCGTTGCAAGGCGCCCTAAGGCGTGCTCCTGCTATCGCGAGCGTTCTACGCAACATGCTCATTCGGCGGAAACAGCCTTATTACACATGGCTACTACTCGCTTCCGGCGGCCGATAGAGTGAGTCCGATGTGTCTCGTATGTATGCACAGATGGCGCCAACAGCGCGCTGTCTAGGCCGCTGGTCATGCACATATCTGTAAGTAACGCAGTAGCAACATACCGCATGGTCTGACCTGTGGGTTTAGCGACGTGTTTTGAAACAATCAATGGGCCACCTTGCAGGTCAGTCGTGGCTGCCGGCATCCCCTTAAGTCCCTGCAATATGGTATCCATTTTCCGGTATGAGTGCCGACTCTGAGAAAATCTCGTGCTTGCTATGGGCTCACCATGCGGCTTGACTCGGCCCTGCGCAGCCTTTCATCGAGGCTGCTGCGCGCATCATTAACAATGCGGCCAATAAATTGTGGCGCCACTTGTAGACCATGCAGAGCCATTGCTGACTTGGCGATGAGGTTACTTCTTAACTTGTTCTACCAATCTGATTTTGGCAACCCACCTGGACGATAATGACAATGAAGACACCCTTTCGACTAAGGGTGCGAAGATGGCAAACGAATTCACATCGTCTGGTGAGCGGGGAACTTGTGCAATGAGGAGACTAGCTACCGTACGACATAATCGGCACCAATGACACGTTAGTCGCGCAATCTCACAGACCCAGATGGCTCAAGACGTACCCCGGTTCAGACTGGCCAATGAGCTGTCTGCAGCCCTGGGGCTCTGCTGTTGTTAGAGAAACGTGTTGATGAACTTTATGCTCTAGGAAATATATATCTGATAGTCCCACAGAACCGCAGTCCGTAGAGCAGAATTTGCTTACTTTTCTGGGCTATCGCCACCGTGGTGACCCGTGCCGCCGGAGTACCTTGTGCCGGCCTGATTGTTGAACGGCTGGAATACCAATTTCGGACTGCTTTTTCCTGTTCTCTTAAAACGTGTATCATGCCTACATACTAGAATAAATGGGGCCGCACTCATTTTGCTGCGCGATATGCGCACTTGGAAACATGTCCCCTGCACTCAAGCTGCGCGCGGGCGCTTGATGCGACACGCGAATCACGTGTGTATTCTCACGACATTCTGGCATCTTTCGGATAATGCGCGCTTGCGGCCCGCCTGTCATTGCTCGACCGATTTCAGGATATTCTCTGTGCTTTCTTCGTTGCCCGAAAACATCCTGACGGTCATGGGTCGGTGCACAAACAAGGGTTGTAATCAGGATTTTGACCCGGAGAATAACCCAGAGGGTAGCTGCACCTTCCACCCGGGAGCACCTGTCCGTGCCAGAGGATGTATGCTGAAGGACGCGTGCTGATGCGAGCATTTCTTGTAGGTATTCCACGAAGGTCTCAAGTCGTGGTCGTGCTGCCAGGACGTGAACAAACCCGTGCTCGATTTCGATGATTTCATGAAGATCACGGTACGCCGCTCGTTCGTCTGAATTTGCTCATGGTCTCTTAGTTAATTCTCGGCTCAGGGCTGCAGCACGGGCCAGCATACCGCGCAAGCTCCCAAACCAGAGACCCCGAAACCCGTCTCCAATGCTACTGTCTCTGTCGTCGAGAACAAGGCCGGCCAGGAAACGTACATCACTTCCGTACCAGCTGCCATTCCTATCACGATATCTACCCCCGCCACTCCCCCGCCGCCGCTCGAGGAGAAAGAAGAGGAAGACGACCTCTCTGTTGACGTGCCGGTTGGGACTGCTTGTCGACACAAGGGCTGTGGAAAGACTTTTATTAGCAGCGAAGTAAGCAGGCTTGGCGAGGGAGAAGAGGCCGTGTGTATCTATCATCCTAAACAGGTATGTCATCTTCATTGGCGATAAAGTTTGACATAACCTAGTGATCTCGCAGCCAATCTTTCACGAAGGTAGCAAGGTATGTTTGCTCTTGTAATGCATAATCTGCCTGGCTTACGTATCTTAAGGGATATCTGTGCTGCAGGCGACGAGTATTGGAATTCGAGGAGTTCCTTAAGATTGAGGGTTGCAAGAGAGGAAAACATCTCTTTGCTCCAAAAGACAAGCCTAGCAACGTACGTTAAGCTCACTACGACTAATGCACGCAAGGTCTTGACTCGAAGAGCAGGAAGAGGAGCATGTCACCTGTCGGATAGACCACTACCAGACACCAACTGAGATTCACGTCTCAGTCTTCGCAAAGCAGGCTGATAGGGATCGAAGTGCGGTTAAGATTGCGTCGAATGAGGTGGGTATATGCGCTTGGACGACCCTATATATTCGCGTACTGATCAATTAACAGATCGCTTTCGACCTTGTTCTGCCAGGCCCCAAGCGTTTCCGTCGTTCAATCGAGCTCTTTGGTCCGATCGACCCAGAGGCATCGTCATACAAATACTATGGCACCAAGGTGAGCGAAATATTGGCTGCTTAGCTTAGCCCCCTTCTGATGGTGGCTCCAGGTGGAGCTAATTCTTAGAAAAGCAGATAATCGCTCGTGGGCGGTTCTCGAAAAGACCGACCGTACGCTGCCCATCAGCTTCACGTTCGGTGTCGGTGGGCGCACAGGCACCATAGGTGCAAAGGAACTGATCCTAGATGACCAGAACGCGACTAGAGCCCGAACATGAAGTACATCGGTACAGGGAACGTTTGAGTGAATTGGGTTGTGTTGGTATAGTGAGATTAAGCACGTATGCGAAGTCGCGCATAGGTGTGAGTGTCTAGAGTAGCTCTATGATTAAATCCGTTCTCTACAGCTGTCCAGGCTTCACAATTTCCTGGTACATCTGAATGAGATCGCCTTCGCGGAGATCATCCCAGCCCTCGAATGCCATTCCGCACTCCAATCCTTTGCCAGCCTCCATAATGTCCCTCTTGAGGTGCTTCAGTGTCTCGAGGTTGCCTATACAGACTTGTCAGAGCATGCCACTAGCAGACTACCACTGTGCGGACCTTCGAAGACATTTTCACCGTTGCGGACCACTCGTGCTTTCTTGTTCTTCTCGACGATACCGTTAACGACACGGCATCCAGCGACTTTCATGGTCTGCTTTGCCTTGAGCTGAATCTCAAAGATCTGGAGCACGTTAGCCTCGCCCGTGACCCGCTTTTCAGTCACAGTCGGGAGCAGCTCGATTACGTTCTTCTTGACCTCATCCATGAGCGCATAGATGACGTTGGACTCGATGATTTTTACGCCCTGGCTAGAAGCTATAGCCTTCACAGAACGAGGGGTATTCACCGAGAATGCGAGAATTATGCCTGATGAAGGTCTGTCAGTGGAGTTCTAGGGTGAGGATATCACACAAACCTTCAGCGGCCTTCGCCCTCATTACGTCGGACTCTGAGACCTCTCCGACGCCTTGGGCGACAATCTTCGCGCCAGCCAGGTGATTTCCGATACCGGACACCGCACCACAGACGGCCTCTACAGTACCGCTGACATCTCCCTTGACAACGAGCCTGAGCTCCTTCTTCTCGTCCTCTCCGTTCATTTGCTGGCTGACTAATTCGCCTTGAGCTTCCAGCTGCTGTAGCTCACGCTCGGCACGACGGCTCTCGTTGATCGCTTCCGCGTCCTGGATCGTGGCTTCGAGGTCTGCTTTGCGTCGACGATTGGCGAGAGCCTTCTTGATCTCGCTCTCGGTACCTAGTAGAACCTCGTCGCCAGCTTTTGGGAGCTCCTTCCAGCCAGAAACCAAGGCCGCGGTGCCTGGCATAACAGCCTTGAACGACTGACCGGAAGACGATTTGAGTAGTCGGACTTTGCCGTGCGCAAGCCCACAAATGATGCTTGTCCCTGGGGTCAGTTGGCCCCGTAAGAGAAGCACGGTCGCAACCGGGCTAATTCCGTCCGTGAGTTATCGCAATGACGGAGTGCGAACTGAACAACAGCTTACCCCAGACCCTTATCCACCTTCGATTCAAGGACGTAGCCGTGTATAGGCCCTGTCTGCTCAGCACGGAGATCTTGCATTTCCGCCACGAGCGATATTGTCTCAATAAGAGTGGGAAGGCCTTGGCCTGTGAGTCCGGACACATGGACGACCGGTACATCTCCGTCAAAGGTTTCAAGCTGGACGCCTTCCGCAAGCAACGCGGTTTCGACCTTGCTCTATGAAGAATGTGAGCGTCGAACTCTTAGCTGAAGCAGAACAAAATTCCGAAAAGACATTTGCAAGAAATGGAACCGGATACTCACGACATCAGCACCTGGTTTGTCGATCTTGTTGATAGCGACGACCAACCCAACATTATTAGACTCCCTGTTCACGAGCTTGAGAACTTCCCGTGTCTGGGGCATGATGCCGTCATCTGCAGCGACAACAAGAACGACAATGTCAGTTACTGATGCACCGCGGGCACGCATGGCAGAAAAGGCAGCGTGTCCTGGGGTGTCCAAGAAGGTGATAGTACGTTTCTCTCCTCCTGGGTTAGGAACAGGCACAGAGAAAGCACCGATATGTTGTGTAATACCACCCGCTTCGCCTTTCGCTACTGACGCAGAGCGAAGGGTGTCAAGTAGAGTTGTCTTCCCATGATCGACGTGACCCATGATAGTCACCACCGGAGGCCGAGATGGCAAGCTTTCACGGCTGACTGTCGGTGGACTATGGGTTTTTGTGAGTCAGTGTATCCAATGCTCACAACGAGAGGCATACGGTGGATATATGTCAAATGCAGCTTCATCGTTGACCACTGGGTTTCGGTTGAACTCCAACGCAATAAGTGAAGCATACTCCGCAGTCAACACTGTACAAGTGAGCATCCGTTCAAGGTGTGCGTTCTTAGCTACTCACTGTGATCATACGAAGATTGTTCTTTCATGCCGACCTGCGACATTTTGTGTTGGAGGCGATCTGAAGGATATCAGATAGGTACAACACAGCCGAACGCCATCGCTCACCTAGCCGGACATTCAGCAATCGGGATAAATTTTCTATGGAGACTAGACCTGGGATGTACACGTCGGCTTGAATGGTTTTGAGATGCATCGACTTTGGCCTGAGTTTCCTCTCTTTCTTCTTGGCCGCCAACCTCTCTTCTTCCTCGTCCCGCTTATAGGCAGCCTCCTTCCCTTTTGACCTGAGTGAACCGCGAGCCTTAGGCGCAAGTTTTCGAGAGCGGATATCCGACTCTTCTTCCATGTCCAAAGACCCTTCTTCTAAACCGTCGGTTACTTCATCTGTACCTGCCTCAAGGACTTCCTGAGAGGCCTGCGCCTGTGCAGAAGTGCTTGCAGAAGGTTCTCGTACAGCACCAGCCACATGAGGTGCAGCTTCGCGCTTGAAGTCCGCGCGTGGCTGCGTACTAGACACGAAGTTACTACTTGTCGACGTAGCAGGAGGCGTCTCTCGGTTGAAGGAGGAGGTGCTCGGGGGATTCGCCACATTCCACTTGCTCAAACGAGTCGCTGTCGGCGGTCGTTCTTGCGGGATGGCCTTTTGACGGGGTGCAGTCCAGGCCGTTTGAGTTGGCTGTGGTGTACGCGCAGGGGCTCTTGTGTGTGGAGATGGAGGTGGATGAGGTGCTGGAGGACGAGACCACTTGCCAAGAGCTGACTGAGAAGGAGAGGTGGGATTGTCCCGAGGCTTTTGCGGTGCCCATTTCCCGAGACCTGGTAGGTCCGGCGAAGGACCAGGATTGGACGAACCAGCAAGTGATGATGGAGGGACCCATTTACCCAAGCCGGGGAGATTAGGTGGCGGGGAGGGCGCGATAGGTGGCCGTGTGGGGTTTTGTGGCAAAGCCCACTTTCCAAGAGCACTAGGCTTGCACCTAGTCAGGAGTGGTTAATTGCAGTGTTCAAACAAGCACGTACTGCTGGTCTTGCCGGACTGGAGCTGCTTCGTGAGCCAGCACGCTTCAAGCATAAGGAATGTCGTGCATTGTGCATACTCTCTGAGTTATCCCAGCTGGGCTGAGACAAGGAGAAACCTGAGCCAGGCTTGGGGGTGTGCTGCAAGGGACCGACTGGCGCTTGCAATTTCAGTGCCCTGATCCGCCGCGCCGCGCATCGACGGGCGCCTGGAGCGTGTGTGCGCGTCTGCGGCCAGGAGGTCCAAGCCAGGCTTGCATCCACACCGTCGTCGTCCCGGCCCTCAGCATACGCCGACAACTGCAAGGCAGATCGTCGACGTCGGGCAGCATGGCGGATTCTAGGGATCCTCGGCCGTCAACTGACGAAGGTGCGCCATCCCACGTGTATAGAAGTCTGGGTGGTCTCAATTAACTCGCGCTTCCAGAGACCGCCCCTCTTCTCCAGAACGTATCTTCGCCAGACGACACGCGTGGACCACCAGAAAGCCCCTCATTTACAGAGCGGCTCTCCTCTGCTGTGCATGAACCTCTTTCACCTCTGACAAAAGTCCTCTTCGTCCTGCTTCTTCTGCTCCTGCTCCTTAGCTCTGTATTCATTGGTTTATTCGCTGGTGCACAGCACAAGCTCAATCAGGGGCATGGAGGCGGCGGCGACAATGAGAAGTCTCCTGTGACTGTAACGACAACTCAGATCTTGACTGGAACTATCACACGACCAGGCTCATCCATTGCAATTACTACCACCGCAGTCACTACGACTGCAATCACTACGACTGCAATTACTACCACCGCGATTACTACGACTGCAGTTACTACGACCACCGCTATCTCAGCAACTACAACAGTTGCGACTACAACAGTCGCAGTCCCGGCACCCATCCCGACGACTGCCCCAGAAGAGGTTGGAGCACGCTATGTCTCATGACGAGCATGACTGACTCTATTTTGCTCTGCGCCTCAGAAGACATGCTTCTCTCCACAATGCGTCATGCTTGCTGCATCGGTTATCTCCTCGCTGGATCAGTCCTACGATCCCTGCGAGAATTTCTATGACTTCGCCAGTATGTGTTGCTGTGACCTGCCCTTACCATGTTTCCGTTGACCCATCATTGTCGCATTCAGCCGGAGGATGGATAAAGCAGCATCCTATTCCATCCGACAAGGGCATATACGGCAACTTCGAGGCTCTCGCGCAACAGAACAAGCGCCTCATTCAGCAGATCCTTTCACAAGACTCGTCTTCAACTTTCTCCACTGTCGCCCTAATTGATGATCATGAAGATCCATACGATGCCCAGATTCTGAAGAAGCTCCGAGGTCTGTACAGCTCTTGCATGAACGAAGACCTCCTGGAAGCACGTGGTCAGGAGCCACTGCTTCACGTCATTCGCAACCTCAGGAAACTGTTCAGTGGAGATAGCATTAGCATTGAAGGCATTTTGGAGGAAAGGTTTATTGCGGATGATGTACACAGCAAGTACGATGGCGAGAATGATGGCCGTGGCAAGGAGAAGGAGAAACAAGGCCTTACGGCGGCTCTCTCATACCTTCATTCGACAGGTGTGCGATACTGGATCTTAATAATCTGAGCCGTCTGACCATGTTTTGTGGCAGGTATTGGTGGTCTTTTCGACACTGACATCGAGGGCGACGTGGGGGACGATCCGAATTCCATGGTTCTCTGGTTTAGCCAGCCAAAACTTGGTCTTCCATCCAAGGTATGCTTTATCTGGAAATTCGTAATCCTCACCCTTCAGTGACGTTGTACCAGGAATATTATGAAGAAGAGTCTATCGTTGAACTTTACAGAAATGTTTTGGAACGTCTCCTTGTTGCGCTTGCGGACGAAGAGGATGATGTCAGCCGGTTGCAGACAAACCCTGCTCTAGCGGTACATGAAGAACGTCTTCGCGTTTGGCCGCCCAGGCCCTGGCCTCCATGGGACCCTGAGGACCCGGACAAGCCCGGCAAGGACAAGCCCACTAATCGCACAAAGGAAGCTCCCAAGCTAGCGAAGCAGATTATCGCGTTGGAAAAGAGGATCGTAGACGCGAGTTTGGATCTGGATATTCTCCTCCAGGACCCTATTGCCACCTACAATCCGGTACCTCTCTTGAACTTGACCGACGCTCTGCCCGAAATTGCATGGAGCACTTACTTCTCCACCTTCACGCCCCGTCACTACCCCGAACGTGTCATCCTCACGTCGACGACCTACCCTGCATCGCTTTCGTCCATCTTACAGGAAACAGATCGCGATACACTCGAAGCGTACCTTGAAACCCGTGCGGCCCTAGCTCTGTCGCTGCACCTTGGTACGACTACTGAGGCCTGGCGCGCGACCCGCGTTCTCGAGGAGCGTCTAAGGGGCATCAAGCCTGGGGCTGTTGGCGATCGTGCGGAATACTGCGTTGGGAGGGTCGAAGGCGCAATGGGCTTTGCTATTGGGAGGTACTTCGTCAAGGAAGTGTTTGGCGGGGATTCTAGGGAGAAAAGCACTAAGGTCATCACTGGTGAGCGAAATTTACCTAGACGAAGAGCGGCAATTTACTACTGCGTCGTCTTAGACATTATCGACGCATTCAAGCGGTCCTTGAGCCACATTGGCTGGATGGATAAAGAAAGCGCGAAGGCGGCGGCTGAGAAGGCTGATGCTATCCGCGTGAAGGTTGGCTTCCCTATCTCGCCCGACACTCGCGACCCTAGGTCCATCGCCGTCTATTACAACCTTGTGAAGGTGCAAAAGACGATGTTCTTCGAAAACATGCTCAGTGCTAGGCTCGTACCCTTGGTTCCTTTCTGCAATCATTTGCACACTGACGAACCACGATCAGTACGAGCGACGTCTACAAGAAGTGGCAGAAGCTCGGCATGCAGCGTGATCCTGAGTCCTGGGAGATGTACCCATCTATGGTCAACGCCTATATCAGTTTCCCTGCCAATGAGGTAAGTTGTATTCGCCAATATGTGATGACTGTCGGTGTTCATAAGTTGCCAGATTTTCTTCCCTGCCGGTATCCTGCAGCCGCCATTCTTCTCTCAACACTGGTACGTTCCCCTCGTCTTCTATGTACGTGCTCGACTGACGATGTCCTACAGGCCTGGATATATGTCTTATGGATCTTTCGGACAAGTTGCTGCCCATGAGCTTACGGTGAGACACTTGCATCTCTTTAGATGTAGATGCTGAGTGCTGACCTCTGCATTCAGCATGCCTTTGATTCGGCCGGACGCCTGTATAACCAGCACGGTAAACTAGAGCAGTGGTGGACAAACTTCACTAGCGATGGCTTCAAGAAGGTTCAGACATGCATCGTCGACCAGTACTCCTGTGCGTTTTCCTACCCTATCTTGGCGATGTAACCACTAATGCCTATAGTCAGCGTATACAATTGATGATGGCCACGGCGGCAAAATTCACGTAAACGGAAATCTGACTTCTGGTGAAAATATTGGCGACACTGGTCTGATCCAAGCGTACCGCGCGTGGAAGGAGCAAGTTGACGTCTCGGACGCCGCTGCTAGGGAATACCTCCTTCCCGGTCTCGACTTCACTCGGTATGTACCAGCTTGTATACTCCTCATAGAAAACCTGTTTATGATGCCTTTGCAGCGAGCAACTTTTCTTTATCTCGTTTGCGCGAGCCTGGGCGCAGAACATTAAACCCGAGGCCGCGGTCGCGCGCATCAGGACCGATTCACACTCGCCGAATAGGTACCGCGTTGATGGCACTGTGTCCAATATCCCCGAGTTCGCTCAGGCATTCAAGTGCTCGCCGAAGGCGAAGCTCAATCCACCGCAAGACAAGCGCTGCATCTTCTGGTAACTCGAGTGGATTTTGGATTGGACTTCAGCATATTACGTTTTGTCACAGACTGCTACGTGGTGCTGTCTTTACCTGCGGCGCATCATTTTTGCTTCGTGAAACCTGTAAATTATCTAGCTTCGTACTGGAATGGATGCACATGACTCATCATCAATGTCGTGTCATCATGTGTGACGGAAGCTCAGACGAAGCCTAGGATGTATCGTCTGATTCGTGGTATTCACTACTCCACGAACCGAAGAACAATGGGAGACCTAGTCCACTAGAAGGGTACGAAGGTTGAGCAATATCTCACACAAAGACACGAGTAGACTTACCCTCCATGCGAATGGCGAGAAAAGTAGTCAAAGTCGATGTTGACTGCCTGCGCAAGCACAAGCTGCAGAAAGATGAGAACACGCAATCATTTCGCGCGACTATTCACTCACAGCTCTCTCTTCTAACGAAAGATCCCGAATGACGGTAGGCACACGCGGCGTCAGGTCAAACGGATCGACGGGAGAGGGGCCAAATCGTATGAAGTATTGGCCGGTATCCGTGAATACCTGATGTCCCCCGGTTACATGTCAGTATTGCGTGAACATATCCAGGTGCTCGTACTGACCTCGCGTCCAAGCCCTCGAAATGCACGATTCACGCTGGCAAGCTCTCCCCCGCGGGCATCCCGCAGCGTAAAGTGCCACGCCAAGAGGTCTTCATCGATGCTCGCGAATTGCTTGAACTGGACATCGACAACAGCTTCCGGCTCTGGTTGTGGTTCCGACGCCACAGAGAGGATACGACGAGGTGTGTCCCTGCGGTCATAATGCAAGAACTCAGCTAATCACATCATGAGCGTGAACATCAAACTTTACATACTGTAAGAATAGGTCATATCGCCTTCGCCACAGATGCCAGCGTTGCTGCACTTCCGCGAAGGTGTCGAGTACAGGCTCGCCATCTGCGGTGTACTGGTTGTAGTCGTGCAATCGCTGGACGTACATGCGCGAATTTATCCAAGCGAAGGGGCGGCGAAGCTGCCCTTGTACACCATGAGCAAATATCGCCATAAGAAGATGAGACGACAGTTCACCCAGAGAATAGGATCACCAAAGCGGTCCATGACGAGTGCCCGGAAGGGTCTGTGCGTACGGAAAATCTGGCGGGAGAATATGGAGAGTATGCCTCGCGGTTCTTCGGCAATGTAACCCAAGGTATCTCCAAGCTCATTGGCTAACAGGTGAATCGTTAACGTGCGACGGTAATAAGGCACGCAGTCAGAGCACGCACAGATGACATATCGGTTTGATTGCTCAAATCCCACAAAAATGTTCATCATCTCGATCTGTCTGGACAACGCCACGGCTGAGTTCATTATGATCCTAGAACAGGATGCATGTATTCACCTCGTCACGACAAGAACTTCATTATCGAGCAACAGCCGACGGAGTCCTTCCTCGGGATCACCGGTTGGTGTTCTCCGGCTTGCCTCCCAAAGGTTGGACTCCTCTACGGAAGGCTTTTGCTCCTGGCCAAATGCAGACCATGATTCTGATTCTTTAGGAGAACTGGGACGCCGCGGGTTAACACGCTCTACGCGCTCTCGCTTTCTGCTGCTTCCGGGTCCTCTATCTGGAAACCTAGATTGAACGTATGCTCTGCATGGCTGTCGTGATATAGCGGCAGTGAATGTGATATTTTTCCTTGAATATGTCCTTGCCACCAATCTGGCAGCAAGCATAGCGGCGTCACGAAGGCAGTAGCAGTTGGTGCATAAGTTTCTGCGTACACCACATCAGAGGGCGCCCGGCGCAGGACGCGTCTCGCCGAAGCCTGGGCGCCTCGCTTAGCATGGCCCTTTCTCGCTCACTTCATCGCCAGACGGCCTTTTTGGGCCAGCGGGCAGCCGTGCAGCGATGTCGACCTTACCCAAGCCGTACTCGCTCCCTCTTCTCGTGGTTCAAAAAGACTTCGCAGGATAAGTCAGAGCCGAAGAAGCCTATACTCACCGAGGATAACCTCTTCCACCCGTTCAGCAAGTCGCCCTTTGCCGCCATCCGTGCGCGCGGTGAGGCTATTCAGACACTTGCACCATGCCCTATGTGCGCGAGTCACCACAGTGCAGTGCATGCGCACACTCAGGCTGCCCCCAAGGCTGTCAAGTATGAGTGCCCGGATTGCGGTTGGCCGACACATTGCACGGAGGAACATTGGAGGGAAGACACGGAGCACCAGAAGTATTGTTCAAGACTTAGGGAAGTTAACGAGGACGAACATGACCTGAGGAGCGGGAGGCGGCTGCGGGAGTTTGAACTGCCAGGTACGCTTCCTGCTGCCTGTACCTCAATACCCCTACTAAAGTACTTCTAGGTCCCCAGGATTCGGAAGCTGCTATCTCATTTTCAAACTGGGATTTGTTTTGGTATACTCGCAGTTTCCCATCCATGGATACTGAACGCTCCAGGAGGCATGCGAGCAGGCTGCTCACGTATCCCATAACCATCGGTTCCGTCCTCCACCAACACAGTTACCTGACCCTGAACAATCAGAGATTGACACCAGAGGGTAGTCGGTCCTTAGCGGGTATGTCTTCCATATGTTCTCACCACAACGGTGCTAAAGCAATCTACTCTTCTAGCACTGCGCACAACACTGCACGTTCCGCCGGGTGCACCAGAAACTGAAGAAGCCTCAGCGGACAAACCTCAGATGAGAATCTTCATCCTTGGTGCTCGCGCCGAGTCTTCGCTTCCCCCACATGTTTGGGAACAGCTGTGCTTGCCTTTCCCGTCGGCGCATTTCCACCTGTTCTTCATTGGTCCACAGGTTTCCCTCCCTAGACCACCCAACTCTGGAGCCACGCCTAATGCGCCCGGTACTCAACAGAATTCCCAAGCATCGGTTACGGCTACCGAAACCTTCACGGAGAAGTCGGAGTTAGCTGAGGAAAAGCCTGTGGAAGATGGGGAGGAGCCTGCGTACTTGCCTAATGTCTACGAGCCGCCAACACCTGCACCTATTGCACGCCTAAAGCGCACGCGAGAATCGATCCAGCGTTATGGCATCCCCTCGTACACTGTTCCATACACACCGCAGCTCACAATCACCGGTATGCAGGCAAATTACTCGGAGGTCCATCCGCAATTCCAAGAGACGTTCGATCCTTACACGGACTGCTTCTTCCTCTTCACGCCTGGCTTTGGCTTCCCATCCGCAAAGAGTGTCTCTGAGGAGACTGGCGAGCCGCTCTTGCAGATCGCCTCGCCGACGGAATGGGGCCCCGTTATTCCCTCGCTACTTGCGACAAAGTGCCCAATCTTCGTAACCGGCTTTTCGCCCGCTGATGTCGAACGGGACGTCAAGTCGCTGTCTCTGGCTCCGGAGGTAGCGGGCGAGTTTGACTGGGTGATTACCCCTGGCCCCAACGCATTTGGCAGCGAGAAATGGGAGGTGGCAGACTTTGACCCTCGGGTTATGGTGAAGACGAACTGGGGTGTTTGGGGCATCCGGGGAAAGAGGCGGGATGTCCAGGAGAAAAAGAGCTGGCTCTAGGCTAGTTAGACATATACATTTGGTGCAATAATACAGCTGCTAGATGCATAAAACGCCTCTCCTCACTCCCTCAAGCCTCAGGCCTTAAGTCCACGCGTCACATCACACGTGACGGAGAAACAACGCGTGCGGTCACGCTTAAACGCGCCGTTGAGCGTGACGCGCTGCCCGTTGACTCTCGTGACGAACGTCCGTCACACCGCCATCCTCTGTGGACACTTATTCCCCCGACCTGCGTCCTGCACAGACTCCTTGACAGTACAGAACGTATTCGACACAACGCTGGGCACGGTGACACTACTCTGCCGAACGACAATGGTCTACCTTCCCCCGCCCCACCTCGCGTCGGCCTCGCGACCTTCATACGCCGAGGCCTATGCCAACATCCTGGCAGCACATCGACGTTCTCCCTTGACCTCTGCTTCTTCTGTAATTGTGCTCGTGGCTCCTGATGTCGACGCCCTCTGTGCTGCCCGCATGCTTGCAGACCTCTTCACACAGGACGACGTGATGCACCGCATCATCCCAGTGTCTGGGCACGCCGAACTGGAAAGACAACGCGACGAGCTGGCTGCCTACAATGATGTGCGTGTGTCTGTTCTGCCTGAATGAATGCCGGAAAGACTCTGAGGCCCCTTGCAGCTGCATACACTCATCCTCATCAACATGGGAGCCATCCTCGACCTGCCGTCTGAAGACTGGTTCGGCTCGTTCAGCCCACAGCTTAGCGTACATGTTATAGATTCTTCAAGACCGCAGAATTTGTCCAGTCTATTTGGTGGCGGAGATAATGGGGAACGGATTATCATCTGGGATGATGGCGGGGCAGAACACATGGAGGGCGACCGTAAGGCGTGGGAGGTCTTGACTGTGAGTGCTCACCCAGCTTGCCTGTTTTGTGAAACTTAATATGCAGTAGTTTGAACCAGAGCCAGACTCGGATGAGGATGAGGATATGGAGTACCGCGATGAAGAGGAAGACGAGGACGAGTATGAGGAAGGGAGCTCGTCAGGGAAGCGGAGGTCGTTAGGCGGTGGAGATACACCGAAGAAGCGACAAAGGGTGGACGTAAGTCCTTCCTGTTGACCGGATTCTGTGAGCCTGAGTTTTTGTAGAAGCCGGATCGAGCTTCACGAGAAGAACGCGAGGCATGTGCGGAACGGCTAGAAAAGCACTACATGTCTGGTACATGGCATGGGCAGAGTGCTTCAGGGACAATCTACATCCTTGCTACTGTGCTTGAAAGAATAGACAACGACCTGCTGTGGTACGTTTTCCCTTCTTGCATCAAGACGATCTGACCCACGCCGTGTACAGGCTCGCGATCCTTGGACTCACATTTCAATATAGCACCTCTCGAATATCGCGCGATGAATACGACAAGTACCAATCAATTTACCACGATGAAGTCGCGCGAATGAACCCCGCGCCAGCAGCGTCGGTCACAAAGGATGGCGATTTTAAGTCGCAACACCCAGATGACAAATCTGTATATGTGTCAGACGAATTGCGGTTTATGCTCTTCAGACATTGGAATCTGTACGACGCCATGTACCATTCAAGTTATGTCGCCAGCAAGCTGGGTATATGGAAGGAGCGTGGTCGGAAACGACTGACGGGACTACTAGCCAAGATGGGGTTAGTCACTTCGTCCTCCTACGCGCACTCCATGTCTCATTAGTTTTGTCTAGTTTCTCAGTAGCAGAAACTCAGCAAACCTACGCTCACATGGCCAAGGACCTCAAACTCAGCCTGCGGAACAAGCTCGACCAGATCGCACCGGAATACGGGCTGGTAGAGCTCACGTACCCGTCCTTCACGCGCTGCTACGGTTATCACTCGCAGCCTATCAGTGCCGCGGACGCGGTTGAAGCTGTCGCGACGCTGCTTGACGTTGCCGGTGGCGTGCGCATGGAAGTTGAGGTCGAGGGCAGCCGCAACGGCGGCGAGTGGTTCGGCGGCGGGAAGCTCTGGGAGGCGGGCGGACGCGAGGGCGCGCCGAGACGAGACGACGACAAGGAGAACGTCCTCGTGGGGGGTGTCGGCGCGTCCCACGGGAAGGGGAAAGAGGAGGGCAGCGAGAGCGAAGAGGAGCTGCAGTGGTGGGTGAGGAACTTCTGGACGGCGTACGACTCGCTCGACGAGTAAGCTGGTTCCCTTCTCTCGACGTGCTTCGCTGACGCAGAGGCGCCCAGCATCTCCCAGATGCGCCGCGCACTCAACCTCGCGATGACACTGCACCGCGCGATCATCCGCCAGGGGACGTCGATCATCGATAAGCAGGACATCCGCACGTTTCGCGGACACCGCGTCGTCGTGCTCACGCAGGGCCCCGACCTTGCGCTCTTCGCGCACCCGGGCGTGCTTTCGCGCCTCGCGCTCTGGCTCGTCGACGCGCTGCGCGACCGTCTGCCAGGAACCGTCGTCGTGCATGCGCGCAGCCGGCGCAAGAGTCTGCCCTTTGTCGTCGCGTGCCTCAACGAGAAGGCGGGCACGTACATTGTCGTCGGTGTCACGGCGGCGCTGGACTTCGGGGAGGTTCGCAAAAAGTAAGTAGTCCGGCTGGCCCGAGAAAGTAAGCGCCATGACTGATGTTGATTGCAGCGAGTTTGGCCTAGCGTTCCTCGACGCGAAGGAGCGGTGCAACGCGCGCACGCGCCACGGCTCGTTTGATACCAGCGTTATCGAGATCAACAAGGACGACCTCAAGGTCTTCCTCGAGACGATGTGTGAGACCGGTGACCACTAATTCTCACGTCCCTCCACCCCTGGTCCTCGATACATTTTTTCCATGCTGCGGATTTAATACTTGTATTGTATCTCTAGGTCTCACTTGTATAATGATGCCTTCCTACACATGGGCTTCTCGCGTCTACCGCTAAGCGGACGAGAGTGTGACTGCAAGACATATGGTACATTTTCTGGATAGATGTGCAGGGATGCTTCGCCTAGAGTACGCCCTTTGTGCTTGGGACGTCGTCTCCTCCGGTGCGGGTGATCGCCTCGCGGATGGCAATCGCAAGTGCCTTGAATGCGCTCTCCGCCCTGCCATGCGTCAGCCACTTTCTCTACCGCCCGACAGACAAAGACAGAGGACGCACCGGTGGTGGTCGTTCTCGCCACGAAGGACGTCGACGTGGAGGGTGACGCCCGCGGCGATGGCGAACGAGTAGAAAATGTGGGGGAACATCTCGGTGGAGAGGTCCCCGATCTTCTCGCGCTTGATACCGAGGTCAGTCACGCAGAACGGGCGCGAGCAGATGTCGATGACGGCACGAGAGAGCGCCTGTGGCGGTGTGTGCTCTCAGCATTCTCCCTGGTGGAGCACGAAGGGGGGGAGGGCCTTTGGAAATGCCCAAGACACGCACCTCGTCGAGCGGCGCGAAGCCCGTGCCGTAGCGCTTGATGCCGCGCACCTCGCCGAGAGCTTGCTTGAACGCCGTGCCGAGTGCTATCGCGCTGTCCTGTAAAGTATTCGACGGTGATCAGCCTCGCTGCTCCCCCGGGGAGTTGTCAGAGCAAGCACGTATCTGCGGTGTGGTGGTCGTCGATCCAGAGGTCGCCCTGGCACTTCATGGTGAGGGACATGCCAGAGTGCTTTGCAAGGGCATGATACATCTAATTCGCGTCGAGATATGAGCACGCAGGAGAGAGAGGAGCAGCAAAGCGTACGTGGTCGAGGAAGCCAATACCCGTCGAGACCTCAATTTCCTGCTTGCGCCCCGTGCCGGGCTGGCAGTCGAGGTTAATGGACACCGAGATCTGGGTCTCGTTTGTCTTGCGCTCGATGGATGCAGTGCGCGCGGCCATTGCTCACTTCTGTACGCTGTTAAGAGGGAGGAAGAGGGGAATATACGACGGGAGCTGCTGCTTTAAATGCGAGCCACGGCAATGAGGCGATCTGCAGATTGAGATTTGGCCACCAGATTCACTGCCGATCGATCAAGATATATGCTGGCTCGGTAGGCGCGCAGCCGCGTAGCCCACACCGCTGGCTATAACGGCATGATACAACGGCGATAATTAGTTATAGCATTGAATAAGTCTCCGAATTATCTAAACCACCTCCTCTGCAAAAGGCCCTCTGCCCTCTGCTTTCACGTCCATGACCTTCCAGAAGTTGCACCCCTTCCCCTCGTTTTGCGCCCCAGCGTAGCACGTCCACCAATACTTGGTCACGATACCACTGTTGATCCTTTCTTCCTCATGATTCTCTCCAGGCGGCTTCTCGCTGTCTTGCGCATCGGGCAGAGCATACCGATTTTTCATATCAGGTCGCAGGATACACGGCACGCCACACTTGCATTTGGGAGTCGTGGACGAGTGGAAGTCGGGGCGGCAAAATCTAAAAGTGATGTTGATGCGGGTGTTGAAGGTCGGAATGGGTTCTTCGGGTGCCAAGCCCGGAGGTGGATGAGAGGGCCGGAATGGGTCGATCACGCGTTGAGGTGGGATGCAGTGTTTGAAAGTCTCTTGACAAGACGCGTGCATAATGCAGAGCTGGCCGAGGAGTTAGAAATGTGATGAAGTCCTGCGCAAACCACTTGCCGAGTTATGTGCAAGTGGGACATTATATGTCCTTGCACTGCGCTTGTTCTTCTCATCCGTAGGGATAACCTCTCGCATTCGAAACGTCCGCGTAGTACCTAGAAATACAGAGTTAGTGGTCGACGCACACTGGGTCTGCAACTTGAGGCTCTACCAAGACTCAAGCTGGCGATGGTCGCAAACGGTCCGATGTTAGTCAGCTGATCTGTATGAAAGCCTACACTCTCTTGAGAGCCCTCATAGCGATTCGATGCAGCTACATTTGCACGCCACACGACGAGATCGTCAGCCTCTCCAGGGGACGCGCCAGGCGCTGGCTCGCCACCCCATTCCAGCGGGAAGCGCGGCCTCTTGCGCATCTCTGCATTCACGATACGCTCGACGTACTCACAAGCCTCGGCCATTGCCTCTGGGAAGGACGTAGGTAGGTCTGTTTGCCGACCGTTGTACCTGTCACCGCTGGATGAGTTGGTCAGCCCGTCTTCTTCGCATCGCTCACCAATATTGCGCGGCCCCGCGCATGCCGCCGTCGTCATCCTCAGAAATTTGCTTGATGTAGAAGGACGTTCGATGTGGACTTTCTACGACGCGGTCAAACAGCCACCACTTGTTGCGCTGCCATGACTCGCTTTCTTCGATCATACTGTAGAACAATCTGAAGTAAAAGGTGAGGAGAACATGCTATAATCCCACGTCAGCCAAAGACATACCGACATGCGAGCTCCGGAGGTAACACAGAAAGATGCATTGTGCATGGTGTATGCTTAGCGACCATGTCCGGGGTGGTGAGCGTCAAAGGCGGGAACTTGGGCGGTCCCGAGGGCTTGGAGTCACTCGAGTTTGGAAGTCGAAGGAGAGCCATGAACTCGTCGTTGGTCACTGTCTTGGGCTTCTTCGACGGACTATTGCTGGGCGAAGACATCTCTTTAGATGCTGAATTGTCAGACTTGTCCTGGGGCGGTGAACCCTCATCGCCGGATGAAGGACGAGATGGGCCAGGAGTAGGTGCCGTCACGCGCTCAGTACGCGTCTTTGCAGACGTGCTAGCACTCAGCCAGCCGTCTAGGCCTATAATCCGTTTGCGCTTCACGCCGTTAGTCTTTGGTGGTCGCTTATGGGAGGCACGCGAATTGAGGAGGTTTGCAGCGCGTTCGACGTTGCCGCCAGACTCTACAAGCGCGTCGAGGAGGACTTGCTGGTTATTTTCAGGCTTCTCAAGCAAGCTGGAAAGCAGTGCAAGGAGCACGTCGGTGTCCTCTGCGTGGTCGGCCATAGCAGAACGGAAGAGAGCAATATAAGAGACGCCGAACGCGACGCGGGGTATGATAAATCACGGCGCTTGGTGTCCCAGGTCATGTGACGTAGCCGTATGTGTCGCTGGAGACGGGACTGATCAGTCGAGGTAAGGGTTGGATATGCAGACCGCTGGCAGCGACCGTTGGTGGGACACCATGTCCGGCAAAGCACCCGTCTCCCCAGCTACTCCCGACCACCACTCACACCCTCCTTCCCTCTTCAGGCCCAAACTTCACAAGGTGCGTCGCGCTCTCACCGCCCGTTCTCACACACGTTCTCCCGTTGACGACACCCTGGCCAGCCGACAGCGACGGTAGCCTTCATGGCCTTCCTCACTACCGCGCTCTACCTCCTCCTTTTTCGCCCCTCCTCGCTCCTCCGTGCGCCCCCGGACTTCTCGCGCCTCGCGGACCACTGCGCGGGCGTGCAGCCCATCCCATCCGCGTCGTACGTCGAGCGGCAGGACGCGCTCGCGCACACGCTGCACGCTCTCGGCGCGGCTGCGTACATCGCTGAGCCCGGGGCCAGCGCCGGGTACTTCGCGAACCTCTCCGGCACCGAGTGGCACCTCTCCGAACGCCCGCTCCTGCTCCTCGTCACGCCGGCCGTCGACCAGGACCGCGTCGCGGCGAGCCTGAGCGTCCTCACGCCGTCATTTGAGGCCACGCGCGCAAGGCTCCTGCGCATTCCTAGCGACGACGACATCGAGTACCCCGAGTGGGCGGAAGACATGGACCCGTACGAGGTCGCGGTGTCCTCGATCCCTAGCTTGCGCAGCGGCGGGACTATCTTTGTAGACGGCGCCACGCGGCAGTTTATCGTTGAAGGGCTGCAAAGGGCTGTAGGGCACGGAACAAAGGTCGTTGGCGCACCAACTGAGGTCAGACGATTGAGAGAGAGAAAGAGCAAAGAGGAGATCGAGATTCTGAAATGTGTGAATGAGGTGCGTCGCAGAGCCTGTCGTCCCCGAGCACCGAATGGACTGTCACCAGGCGACTGTGCTCGCGATCAGGGCCGCAAGAGACGAGATGTACATCGGCATACGCGAATCGGCTACCCGCAAGCTCATCGAAAGCGCACTTGCCGCCGCAGGCCTGAGCAATGGTGGTGGTATTGTGCTCTTCGGTCGTAAGCCCATTTTAGGCAATATTCCTAGTACCCATTTCTCACATCGTGACAGCAAACGCCGCCCTCCCTCACGGTGGTGGCACTGACCGCAGACTTCGCAAGACCGACTTGATTCTAACCGACATCGGCGCGTCGCTGCATGGCTATGTCAGCGATGTTACACGCGTGAGAACATAGCACACGCAAATCGAGTCATATCTAAGACATTTGCGATAGACCTTTGCCCTCGAGGACTCTGAGATCCCGATGGATAACCTCGACATCTGGGACCTCGTCTGGACAGCACAGGCGATGGCAATCGCAGCCGCGCACAACGGGACCGTTACCGCCGATGTTGATCGCGCTGCGCGGCTGACCATCGTGGAAGGTGGGTATGGGGAATACTTCACGCACCGACTCGGACATGGTGAGTTGCCTGCGCAGTCTAGATACAAAAATAGCATCTGACTGGCATGCAGGCATCGGCCTCGAAGGCCACGAATCTCCTTATTTGCGAGGAGGATCAGAGGATATCATACTGACCGGACATACGTTCTCGGACGAGCCAGGAATTTATATTGAGGGCGAGGTATGATACCGCCCTTACTTTCGTCACATCCCCGCTGACGTGTCTCACAGTTGGGCATACGTCTTGAAGACTGCTTTTACATAGAGGAAGACGGAAGCCCTGTCTTTTTGACTGCTGGTGTGGGCGGGCCGGCGGGGAGCGCGTGGGAACCTTGATACAGCTTCATATCGTGGAAGACTTGTTTGTATGTATGACACATATCACTCATCTGTATAATATGCCAATTAAACGCGGTGTTCGACTGCCACACTGTAACGGGGCGTCTCAGCGAGCCGGACGTTGGGTGTATCGAAACCTCTCCTTCGTGTCACTAGCCGCTGCTACAGCCAGCGTACAACGGTGAGCAACTCGATATGCTCTAAAGCTTCGTAGTTCGCAGTAATGCTGTATTTCTACCAGAGTTTCGACGTACCCTACGCCGATGGCGCCGCCGAGTCCTCGGGACAACCGGCAGCCGAAGACCTGGGCACGAGTCTGTCAACCTCCAGGAAAGCGCAGGCTAACCTTCGGCGAGACTGGTCTGCCTGCCTCCGGACACGGTCGGCTTCGCAATGGCAGCCCTCGCGAGATATAAACCCTGTCCCGTCTTCGCGCACCTCCTTCTCGCAAGTCATCATCTTCTTTGTCTTCCTTCCTCGCTCTTAGCCTTCCATCACACTCGAACGTAACTCTATCTTCGAACAATGATCTCTACTGGCTTCCTCGGGGTTGCCACTAGGTCTCTCTTGCGCTTCGAGCAGGCCTTCGCGCTCTTGAAGCCGTCACCGTGCCGCCTCTTTGCGCCAGCTTTTGTCAGTTTTGGCCAGCGAATGGGCCTTACCGCGATCGAGGTAAGTTGTCGGGTAAAGCCTCTTCGGTGGGGCACCGTTGACCCCAAGTGGCTGGCAGGAGACCTTCGTCGGCGCTTGCGAGGACGTTACCGAGGAAACCGGCGGAGATGCCGATCCGGATGCTGAGATGACGCTTGTCAACGAGTCGGCCCTCCAGGATGCAGACGACAAGGATGCAGGGCTCCTCGTCTTTGACTCTGCCACCGACGAGTCCCTCGCCTTCCCCGCCCTACATGTTACCCTCAAGACTCCTGTCACGGCGTCGGCTCTAAAGGCTAACGCCCCCATCTTCATCCCTCGCAGTTATGCCAACAAGCGTTCCCTTGCGCTCCGAGTGGACGCTCCAGTCTTTGTTCCTAGCGTTGCCCGCCGCCCCCAGGCTCTCCGCGCGGACGCCCCCGTTTTCGTTCCTCGCGCTGGCTGAACGTCTCGTCTCGTCTCGCCTTCGGTTGCTCCGGCCTACAGCCTCTCGCTCCAAAATCTCTCGAACTTGGTATAATGTTTCTGGCAAAGTCGACGCCTTCCTCCTGGCCACAGAGCGCGCTCTGGCTCCTGCGGTACCTACGCATCGACAGCCCCCCGATCCGTGGTCTTGCTCTGCCGAGCAACTCTGCTGGACGACTATATTGGTCTCTGAGGTACTCGCCGACTCCAGCCTATCTGCATACGCTTCATCTCTCTCCAGTTTCGGCGGCGTTCAGCGCACTCGGTTCACTCGGTTCACTTGGTCTCGGCTCTGGTTTCGGTCTCCCGGAAAAGTTGAAACTCATAGAAGATTTCCCTCTGTTCTAGTAGAAGTAGAAAAGCAATCACCAAAAAATTAGGTATTCCTCTTGTAGCGTAGTGCACAGTAGAATTCCATCAAGCTTAACTTCATCGCCAATCCGAGCTCGAGGATATTGGGCGTCTACTGTGCAAAGCGATCAGCCATCAATAATTTCTTAAGAACGCTTGCTTGCCGTTCGCCCTCACCGCAGAGTACTCTGCCCCCCCACAGTCTCTGGCATCGTCTCCTCCAGCGGCCATGCCTGCACCTGAAGAAGCCTCCACATCTCGCCCGTCCTCGCCGGCGCCGCAAGAAAAGCCTTCCTTCAAGGCTCTCGGGCTCATCGACCCGCTCCTCGAAGCCCTTCAGCAGCTCAGCTTCACGTCCCCGACCGATATCCAGACCGCCGCGCTTCCCCATGCGCTCGAGGGCCGCGATATCATTGGTGTCGCCTCGACAGGCTCAGGCAAAACTGCCGCGTTCGCGCTGCCGATCCTCCAGAAGCTCTGGGACGACCCCCGCGGGCTCTTCGCCTGTGTCATCGCGCCCACCCGCGAGCTAGCGTACCAAATCACAGAGCATTTCGAAGCGCTCGGCAGCGCGATGGGCGTGCGCTGCGCCACCGTCGTGGGTGGAATCGACGAGATGTCGCAGGCGGTTGCTCTTGCGAAGAAGCCGCATGTCGTGGTGGCGACGCCGGGTAGGCTACAGTACCACTTGGAGAACACGAAGGGCTTTAGCTTGAGGAGCCTGAAATTCTTGGTAAGTGTCCTCAGCGGTCTATGTCTTTCCCAAATGCTAAGAGACGTTGCAGGTCCTGGATGAGGCAGATAGACTGCTGGACATGGACTTCGGTCCTATACTCGATAAAATCCTGAAGGTCATCCCCCAGGAACGGACGACATACCTTTTCTCTGCAACAATGACAACCAAAGTCGCCAAGCTGCAGCGTGCAAGTTTGTCGAATCCTGTCCGAGTCGAAGTTTCCGAAAAGTACGCTCCCCTGCTCTTGATACGGCTGCTCATGAGACTAAGAGTCTCACGCAGGTACTCTACTGTATCAACATTGCTCCAATACTACCTATTCATACCATTAGTGCAAAAGGACGTCAATCTCATGTATCTTGCAAACTCATTGGCGTCGAATTCGATCATCATTTTTACAAGAACTGTACATGATTGCCAGAGGTATATATGATTGCCCATCTCACAAGTATTGACAAGCTAACCTACGAAATACACAGGTTAGCGATCATGATGCGCACGCTCGGCTTCCCCGCCGTTCCCCTGCACGGCCAACTGAGCCAAAGCGCGCGTCTCGGTGCACTCGGCAAGTTCAAGAGCGGTGGACGGAAAGTGCTCGTCGCGACCGACGTCGCAAGCCGTGGTCTCGATATCCCACACGTCGACGCCGTCATCAACTACGACATCCCAACGCATTCGAAAGACTACATTCACCGCGTCGGACGCACTGCGCGTGCGGGACGCTCGGGCAAGTCGATCACGTTCGTCACGCAGTACGACGTCGAGCTCGTGCAGCGCATCGAGAGTGTCACTGGTAAGAAGCTCGAGCTATGGCCGACAGACAAAGAGGAGATTGCGCTCCTTCGCGAACGCGTAGACGAGGCGGGCCGTGCGGCGACGAACGAGCTCAAGGACCAGGCGAAGGAGGGCCGCGGTAGGAAGCGGAGGTGGGACGTTGGAAGCGGCAGGGACGACAGGGATCGAGACGATGATGTTGTCGAAGCAGGAATGCCGAGTAAGAAGTCGAAGAAGAGGAAGTGAGCGTGTTGCTCTGTGCTTTGTGTAGCTTTAACTCTTAAACATGAGGTCGGAGCGCAGAATATACTTCGTGCCCTTCAGAACGGGTGAGCCCTCGTGCAGGAGACACTCGTTACCATGTCTATGTAAGCGTCAGTTATTGAATGCCGCTCGGGCACGTAGACATCACCTGTGAAGAAGAGCTGTTCCGCGGGTCAGCGGCGGGGTGATAGTCTCCTTGGGCTGACCACGCTGCTGCCTGTAGAACAAAGTCTATCGACACCTCAATACCTGCTGCCGTGCAACATCCCATCGAGATACGCACCTCTCCTCCTTCGACACCATCTTGAACGCCGGTAAGGTAAATAAGCAACGTCCACTCCGACTTATCACCCGTCACCGAATCACGCACAGAGTCGTCGTAGTGAGGACCAAAGTGCTGTCCGGGTGTGTACTTGTACATCCGTATATTCGAATTGAGGGAACTGGGGGCGCGTCCTACGCCTTCGTCGTTGTTTGGTCGGCGCACGGATGCGGGGTGGGGAAACGGCGGAAAGTGTGGGGAAATGACTTCAAGGAGCCTCTGGGCGAAGTCAGGCGAAGTCACGGAGATACGGTCTGCTCCTTGTTAGCAAACTCAATGGCGTAAGCCGTAGCGACGTACAGTTGACGCGCTCCGCTTCGCCCTTCTTCTTTGGTGGCGTCAGCTCGAGAGGTAGACTCTCCATGAATCGCACAAAGTTTTTGCATTCTTCAGGAGAGAAGAGGTCCTGCAATATGTAATGTCTAGCACCACACATCATATAGGTACAAGCGGACGTACGTCTATGAGAATGATCTGGTCATCTAGAAGCACGCGGCTCTCTAGATACTTCTTAGCCGAAACGACGGGAAACTGCGCCGAAAACAATACGGGCTTCGGAGTAAAAGGTACGGCTGCGGCTGGCTTCTTCTTCGCCATTGGTCAAAAACGGGAGTCCAAAGGGTGTGTGTGTGTTGGCAGTGTCTGTACACCAAGACCAGCTTAGAAGTATATGTATAAAGTTACCTAAGAATGAGGTAAGTCACTTTGCCGGAGTGGTTAACGGGATCGCCTGCTATTCGTAGCTGTTAGCGGTTGGGCTTTGCCCGCGTGTGTTCGAATCGCACAGGTGACGCTTTTTGCTACCCTAAAGGCTTCAACCGTTTGGTAATAACTTTGGTAACTGTATTACTTTTAAAGTTTAGCGTTTGTTAACTTTGGTTTGTGTGTAAGACCAAGACTTTTCTGTGAACAACAGTTATAATTATTTATAAACATCTCATAAATAGTAAACAATCAGTAAACAAACAATTAGTATCGGCATCCATCATTTATCTTTGTGCATTGCGCCGGAATTAGAGGTCGGTACGCTGGAATGGCTACCGAGCAATATACGACAGGGCGGCTGGTATCGAGCCTATCGCCGACGGGACGTGAACCAATTGCTGGCACAGGTGTTAGCTCGGGCACGACAGACAGTATATCATGATACAGCTCGCGTTAAGCCCCAAAATCATCTAGAGTCGACCTAGAAAGCTGCCGCCTGGGTGCAGACTTAAGCTTCTGGTACTTGACATGTCCTTTCCGGGGATAGATCTGTTCAACTCGTCTTGAACTTATAAACTTATACGAAATTTATATACCCCGAAACTCAAGATTACTCTTTTCTCCGATGTCTGCAGCCGATAGCACCATAAATACCATACCCTACTGCGGTCATATACTCATCATTGGAGGCAGAGTTCGTATGAGATTCTGCGGCAAAGTCTGTCCTCAGACTATTCGGTATCTGTTGGTGCCCATAGGATGCAACGACCACTTGCATTGCCGCTAGCAGCCCTTTCAAGAATATTGGGATGCGAGCACGTCACAGCTTGCACAGCAGTGATCTTGTTCTTGTCCGCGAGCTTCGTGATGAGCTCACCCTTGTACGAACGGATGTCAAGTGAGCGGTCCATGTTACCGAGCTGACATACGTGTTAGATCTAAACTGAAGTAGGGCTGCTTAGCACTTACTGTGAAATGGGGGTAAACATCCGGGTTAGGATTCCACTGTGCTCTGAGCAGCGTAACCCACTTGCCCTGTGGAGAAAGTCCGTCAGAGGAACGATCGATATGGAAGCTGAGAATGCTTACCGTCTGGCAGTTGTGATGGAACTGGTGCGCAGGCCGCATACTCGGAAACTCAGCATCTTTCTGTGTGACCTCGGGCTTAATGTCCCATACTGTGCCGAGAATCAGTCTGGCGCAACAAATCAGCGAGGGTGAAACACACTCTGGATAGTGTCGTCGTAGCTGGTGCTGACGGCTCGGCGACCATGGGGATCCCAATACCCAGCGGTTACGGACTTGCCGTGCCTCCACTCGCCCCGCATGACGTCCTTGCCCGCTTTCGTTTCCCTGAACTCTTCGAGCTGCTCTGCATTGATCTCATATGGACCTTTGCCTTTGATGGATATGCTTTGTAGTTTCCGGGCATCCCATATTCTGCACATGGGTCAGCGATAGACCACCCAGGTCGAGTAACGGCGAGAGCATACCTCAGCACACGAGAATTTGACGTAGTTAGTAGGAGGTTGGTCACCACAGGATTAACACTTAAGCATCCGATCTTGTCTTCGGATAATTGGTACCACCTCGCCTTCGACTTGTCCTCGCGCAGATCCAGATGGGTCACTCCACCGTTGGAATCCGCTATCCACATCTCGTGACCATGTGGAGGTAAGTCCATGGTAGTTGGCAGAGCGTTCTCGTTGTATAAGATTTCAGTGGATATACTGGACACAAAAGAGGTGGTCCGGATAGTGCCATCGTACGAACTGGTGTATACCTGCAGGACGCATTGATTAGTGCAAGGCAAACAGTCAAGAGAGCTATTTACGCTATGAGCATCGATGGGATCAAATCTGATTGAGGAAATGGACGAATGGGAAGAGTTTGGCCAATGAAGCTGCATTCGCCATGACTTCCCACCTTCGCCATCTCCTTGCGAGGCGACATCTCCATCCTCTTCCACCTCTTCTGCCGGCGCACGAGCATCCCATATGCCCAGAGTGCCGTGCTTGTCTGCAATGGGGTTTTCAACGGACCTTCGTGAGTCACTGACACGATATCATACCTCCGAAGAATATCAGGTCCTTGGTCTTCTCAGGATGGTATGCTGCGCTGTATATCCGCTCCTTCGTGACCTTCGCCCTCGACACAATTTCCATGCCCCCAAGCTTCTTCTTTAACTCGGTAACTGCGGCTTCATGGTGTTCTTCATCGTATTGGTACGAGTTCATGTCGCCAACGCGCCGTGCATTAACCGTCTTCGTTGTGACTTGAAGGGAGGCCGTAAGAGCCATTACTTCCTGTGCTTCTTGATCTTCCAGGTGAGCATACATCTCGAGGCTGTCGTGCCTTGGCTTCTTGACTTCGCGTGCACGCTCTTCTGCTTCCAATCTCTCCTGCTCAAGCTTCTGGCGAAGCAACTCCTCTTCTTGCTGCCATGTATCATATCGACGGTCAAGAAAGCAGTGTCGTAAGAGCTGAGAACTTTGCTCACCTCACGTTTCCGCTTCTTCTCCGGCGTCTCATCTGGGTCGGGTACACTCCTTCGCAGCCTTGACGACGTCCTAGTCGGTAGAGCTGGTCCAGCTTCGCGTTTTAGCCGCTGCTTCGCAGATCGCACCGGCTTTACTTTTGGCTTTTCAGCCGTTACATGCTTCTTCGGAATGTCGAGGGAGACGTCGAGTTGCGCGAGGAGTGCACGATTGCGGGCAATGTTGGCTTCACGCTCTTCCTCGCTGAAGACAGAGTTTGCACAAGTAGCCAGTATTGACATTCTTACCACTCACAAATCAGACATTTTGGCCAGCCTCCGCCGAAGATAGGTCGATGATGAGGAACTGTGAAGAACAGACGTCAAGCTGCCGAGGTCGTTGTTGTCCAAGGGAGCGTCGCGGCGCGTCCAGAATGATAGGCGGCAATCATGGCGCGTCACGTCACATCACCCCGTGAGCCCGTAACAGACAGCGTCTTCCTTCGTCACGAGCAGAACGTAATAAAAAGCAAGATAAATTATTGTGATCAATTTACGACGCCAGGCCATCACCCATACTAATCACAAACGTAGTTCTGCCTCCTCGGGGCAACACCAAAGCCTTCTCTGCGCCATGCAGCTGATGCGTCTCGCAACTTGGAGTGGTGACGGATCGCATTCGACCTTCTGTGGATACAGGCAGGGCTTGTACAGCCACTTTTGGGAGTGGAAGCTTGCCGTGATGGAGTGCAATGAGCGTAATGGGCACTTCAAACGTTTGACCGTCCTGCAATATGTCATGACCAACGGCAATTGAGCCGAGAGTATTCCTCCTCACCTTTGCGACAAAGTCACCACGCTTCCGGCCGCTCACGAGCCAGTCCTTAGTCATTTCCTCGACATCAAATTGCATAACATATGAATCCTTGTCCAGATCTTCGATCGGAGCCCAATGGAACGATGTCTCTATCGTCAAGGTCGCGGATATTGGTTGACCGGCGTATAGGGGCAGGGGTGTCGGAGACGGATTCGGCGAGGAGGATATGCTTGGCGGAATGCAGAGTCGTGCAGCAGCGAGAATCTAAAACAATCGTCAATCATGTGGCAATCATGAGGCAATCTCGTACGCCAGACCACTCACATGCATTTGCGGGACGTCCAGCGGGATGACGATCTTGCGCCAGCTCTCTTCGTTGTCTTCTGGTCGTTGTCCACGTTTCAAAACCTGGCTTGGCATCAGCATATAGGTAAGCAAGCGGTTGATGACCACCTACATCCGCCGCGATCGACAGAACTTCACTTGTCTCGTCGTCTGCAGGTAGACTAGGTACATTGAGTTCCCCAGTTATACCATACAGTTCTACCCAAGAAGCGTTCTGCTCCAGAGCTTGAACGAAGGCATTGACGAGGAAGTCACGATGGATCGTAGTTGATGGCTTTGCAGCTAAGGCTTCATCAACAGCTGCTTCGATGAAATATTCCACCTCTTCACGAAGCATGCGGTAGGTGATGTGCAGGTGCAATAGATCTCGCCCTTTGCCCTTCTTAGAGTCCAGTTGAAACAAGAATCGGCCTGGCTGCTCAGGTGTAACAGTCTAAAGTCATACTAAGATAAACATGCTTATTGTAGTAAACTTGGCACTTACAATGACCCCTGATTGCTGCACCATGCTTTTGGTGATCTTCAAGCCATCATCGTTCGCATTTGTCGACCGCAGCTCCATCTCCTTGATTCTGACGTGCTGATGAGACGTAGAGGACAGCGTGAATCTTGTAAACAGGCTTTAGATAGCAAAAGGGTTCAGCACAGTATGCAGATATAGTCTTGGCCAGCGCTCACCGAGTCCCGCGGAAGAAATCTTCGACATTCACAGCCAAAGGAAGAGCGGTCTGCACCACGCGCGGCAGATGTACCGTTCTGGTGATAGTAGACTCTTTCGCAGTGACGTAAGTGATAGTTACCACTACTCGCTAATACACCACATTGGTCAACGTGTTAGCCAGAAGAAGTGATCCTAGACTCACCACAGCATGGAAGGCAGATGCATCAGTGTGAGGCACAGACATGCGGATGGTAGTATCCTTGAGCATGTTGAGCAAGATCATAGAATTATCGACGGTCTCGAATGTGAGATCATCTTCCTCCGTCTCGAGCTGAGCTTGGTCTACATGGAATTGAACGCCGGCCGGAGCAACGAGCCGTATCATTGCCTTCGACACGTCGTTACGCCCAGTGTTGAGCGCCAACACCACCTTCGGTGGAGCACCGAGTTGAACTGCGAAGTTGTTAGAGTGTGCTTTCACGAGACTGTCAAAGCCGGGCTGCGCGTACCCATCTCAGGCTGACAGAGCTTGACGTCAAGTGCTCTCAGGTCCCTGGGCACTCTAACCAGGACAGGAGGCAATTTTGCCTTCTGGCTCTTAGTATTGCCAGGCACGCGCAGCCATTGGAGCATGAGTCGAGCGATCTGGGCTTGGCCGCTATACAAGGAATACGTCCCGACCGTTGCAGACTACACTTCGATGAACGAACGGCGGGAGAGACTGGGAAGACGTATCTCACTTACTGGACAGAAGAGCATTAGGACACTGTTTCCCGGGGGTAACGTCTCTATTTTCTCGGAAAACGTAAGCTTGTTGCCCTCGCAGCCTTGCAAGACAACGCTAATCTCATCTACAGGAATATCCTAGGAGAGATGATTAATCTCCAGCGTCACCCACTGTCAAAAGCAGGTTGCGTACACACGGCAAGTAATTCTTGACTTTGACAGCTAAGAGAGCTCCGTCTCGAGTCTCGGAGAGTTTAGCACCCGTCTCGGAAATCGAGAGTGATATCGCAGGATGGTCAGGCTGAATCATGTCTTTTTTTAAAGGTCAGAAGCCAGCAGAAACTTTGGATAGCATACACGGACCTGTCTCAATAGACGAAGCAGCTTCGCGTAAAGCCTGTACCAGGGACGACGTGTAGGCAACATGATCATCTTTGGTTATTAGCAGCGCCTTTCCTAGATCCTGCACGTATGCCTTGAGGTACTCTAGTAAAATAAGTAACCAGTCCTTGTCGTGAGGCTTCGCCACGGAATCGTGAAGGTCCAACGCTCGGGTAAGCATGAAGGCCTCCAGTGAAGTCCACCCGTGCGGGGAATAATGCGCCGGTAAAGACGTGTACGTCTGCATGGCATTCGACAGCCGGCCGCGCACACTGCGAAGGTATCTCAGGTTTATCATGATTTCAAGCAAAAAAAAAAAAGAAAGAAAAAAGACTAACACGTCAAGCGCAGCCAGGCTTCCGTGCATCCGCAGCGCGAACTTTCTCCGTCCCGCGCTAGCGTATAGCTCAATGGCCTGATTAGTGAGCCCGATGTATGACTCGAAAAAGGCCTCCTGGTCTTGCAATGCACTGCGCAAATCAGTGTTGGATATTGCGGACAGACTATCCGGAGTGGCGCTAGGTGTCTTCTCGGGCCTGGCCTTGGGTAAAGCATCTGTGAAAGGCGGTTGGCAGGGAAGGAAACCAAAGTCGATGCCGAGGATATCAAGCTGGCGAGATAAGACGTCCTGTTCCGCAAGAGTAGCATGCAGACTCACTTGATGTCGAGCGAGTTCAACGAGTTCACCCCGGACAGCGTTGAAAGCGGCAAGAGCAGGCTTGGTCATTTCCGCCGACCTTGCCCACCCGTTACACTGATCAACTACGCTTAGAGCTGACGAGTAGGTCCAAGACTCGACAAAATGCGGCGGAAGTTGATCCTGTGAACTCAATGAGACGCATACATCGAGATGGTGTGGTGATATCCAACCTTGATCTCTCGCAATCGCCACATAAAGGTCCGCAGAAATGTAACGGCCTTACGACCCACTTCGACGACGCGGCCCATGCTGCTGAAAATTGCACACTGATTGGCAAGGAGGTAGACACGGAAGTCCAAGACGGATATCGAGTTTGCGAGTATGAGATCTCGGTATGGCTTCCTGGTCACGGACAACAGAGGAGCCGAGTCGTCGTTACGAGTCGGACTGGCCAACGTGCCAAACCACGAGAGGTTCTTGTCTCTCAGCACTTGGAAGAACAAGACCTCTAACTCGTCGTACACGAGTAAAGCTTCTTCGTGCAAGTTCATACCCTCGAAGGAGGATGCAAGACTTTCCTAACGTTGCAACCTATCAGGGAAAGGCTTCTCGAGGCAATATTAATATCAAGCACCTTCAATATGAAATATGTACAGAAGTTCCAACCAGGCATCTGCCTTTGACCCTCGGAACGTCTGACCTCTTCCTCACGTTGTGTGATGGCGCTGTCGAAAGCAGAGAGTATTCCCTCCTTAACCTTGTTGATGAGCTCCGCCCAAGCTGCAGGGTTATCGTACCCAGGCGACCATATGAGCTGGACGCATCTACGGGAGCGTAAGACGAAGTGACATAGAGTGCAAAGACATCTCACCGGTCCTTCCTGTCGACATTGAAGTCCGCCTTGATCTTGTCCAGCACCGAGGCTTTCACCTGAAATATCCTGGCACTGGTCGACTTGGAGTCTGGCGGGACAATATGTATGATAAGCCACTCCTGATGCTTGCGATGTACAGCCGTTGTATGCCAATCCTTGATCTGCTTCTTCAAAATGTTTTTGTACGTTTCTGTATCCTGCGTAAAACACTTCAACGAGCACACTCGGTGTATAGGAATTTACGGCTTACCTCACACATGATGATGTAGGCATTTAACAAAGGTTTCTCCAGAATCGTCTGGGGGACCTGAGACGTGTGCTCGTCTCGCAGCGCGTCAACCGCGACCAGGTTCACATACAACTCCTGTATCGTGCGGATTGTTGGCCGAGAAGTAGACTTCCAGTGAAGATTCCTGAGCGGTACTTGTGCTTGAAGGGCTATATGTACCTGCTTCCAGAGGCCTGTAGACAAGAAGGATGGTGGCGCGGTATAGGTGATCGTCGCGCGTTGCGGTCCAGACATAGCGGGTTCGACCAAACGATGAGAATCTACTGTAGCGAGTTTATCAACACACTAATAGTTATTCAGGGAATGTTAGAGCGAGAGGGTACTATCTCGTGGGAGTACTGTCGAGAGTGATTTCCTTGCAAGTGCAAGGTTGCATTTTCGGCGCTCTCGGCTCCGGACCGGTACACTGGCTCGTTAACAGCGTGAAGGAGTGTGTATCGTGCGTGATTGTAAGGGACGCTCCAAACTATATACATTAAGATTCTAGCTTACGAGACGGCACATCCCTGCCCTCTGGATACCCAAAGTAAACCCCAAGAACAAGAAAGAGATTTGCACCGCAAAGTACGGCAGACGAAAGATTAGTGGACGGGTACACATTCCAAGCATACTCGATTCCGAGAAGTATGACAAATCTAGCATGCGAAAAATGAGCCAGAACACCTATGAGAACATGGGGCTGCTTACTTCACCGGCAGAGAGTATTTAGTCCTCCATAACAGAAAGGGTATCTGGGAAGCATACCACGAATAAAATTGATAATGCAGGGAGCGGGCGAAGATGATTCCAATCAGATTAGACGTGAACAGAGCCGTCACGACATCTATGCCTGTCGTCAGTTACGGCGGAGGTTGAGAGAGCGACTGTGATACATACAATCTGCAGAGAGAGGAACGAGACTCGGCGCAGAAGACGGCCTCCGGAGGGTCCTGTCGAGTACTGCGAGTGCCCCACCGTCTCTCCTACACCATCTGAACCCAAAAATCACCAATGTCCCGAGATGAAGGACCAGTAGTGTCCTCGCCCAAACGGAACTAAGGAACATTTCTTCTGGTACGAATCGCCAGTTTACAGTCCACTTGTACAGGAATTGCCGAGAGAATTCGAAAGCATTGCTGAGGTACGAACGAGGATACTCTTGGATAAATGGCCACCCAATAGCGACCTGAGAGAATGCCAAGAGTCCAACGGCCCCTATGGTGTGAAGGAAGCCTCTCCGTCTGACAAGAACCACGAGGATACCTGGAAGGTATAGCAGGGCAGACATCTTGATGGATACAGAGGCACTGAGATTATGTGAGCAGCGCATCCGAGAGGGGCATACATATGACATACCTGAACAGCATAATTCCTAGAGAATCGTACCCACTCGCAAATGCTAGGGTTGTGGCTTGTGTTCCCACCACTTCCCAACAATCGTTGAAGAGACGAAGGACATATATTGAATGTAACCTCTTGCTCAAAGGCAGAATCATCAGTACCCAGTTCGGGATGTTTCCTGCCTTGTAATAAATGCCGCATGTTGTTGCAAGCGCAGTGATGTAGAGTAGGCCATAGATCTGTTGAGCTGCTTTAAGGTTGATGCCAGACTGTGTGAGGCCATAGAGGAATTTGTGGACGTAGACATGTCCAGCGGGGTAGCTTAAGGGGTATAAGCACAAGCAATCTTGGAAGAGCGTGTTGGCTCACACTAGAGGTCCCGTAGGCCCGGAAATCAAAGCGTAATCCCTCTCTCCCTTGAGATATAGTTCTAGCTGGTACATGTACGTCTCCCAGTCAATCTCAGTATCTGCGCAGCTGACAGCGTGAGCTCGGGGCCGATCCAGAGATGGCGAGGTTTCATACATGGTACAAAGCGGATGATGAGTTGGGTTAGAACAGTATCACCTAGGACGACCAGGACTGCAAGGGTGAGGAAGTAGCGGGGGTCGGTGAGTAGACATCTGAAGTACTGGAAGAGGTCTCCCGGAGATTGAACAGTGGTCAGTGACGGTAAGGAAGACATCGGGGGCGTCTACAAACCCATCAATTCTGTCATCATGCTCGCCACGCCGCCGCAGCGGACGGCCGGAAATTCGATGTCTTCACCTCTTATACTGAAACTACCCTCACCGCCGTATCGCAGCCTATTCAACCCCCTTCAGGCTTATCCTCCATAGTTGCTTCGTTTTTGCGATGGTCGTTTTTAATCCCGGTGCTGCGATCCTCCATACAGCCGCGGCTGCAATCATGACGTACGCGTGGTTCGAGCTGGACAGCCTACCACACAGCACTCTTGTGCAGCAGCAAAAGGGGGGTCACTTTCAGTTTTTGACTATCCAAGGGTAAGTTGGCCATGACACCGATGCGATGATCTTGCTAACTCTGGTGTGTATAGACTCGTGGTAGCATGGCTAACCATGGTTTTGAGCTTGTCAGCCGATGTATTCCCTTCGATTAAAGGTATGTCGCAAAATTTGTGCGTGCATGCGCAATACTTGACCGTTTCACAATATGTGCAGCCATACGAAAAGTCAAGCGTGCCCTCTTCATGATCGCAATGCCGGTGAGCCTGCTAGTTCAAGGCTCTGCTTGCATTTCTCTGACCGAGCACACAGCTGGCGGCGGTGATATCTGCTATATACTGGGGTTTAATTCTTTTTATGCCTCACCTAATTCTAAGGGCTTCAGAGAAGGAAGAATGGCAGCCTGCGACTGCCACCTCCGACCTTCCTGGTCTCTTGCGGGTACCTATCAAGCTTGATCTCGCGCTTCATGCCATTCCTGGCACCGCGCTCATCTTCGACTTCTTCCTCTTCGAGGTCAAGTATGCGAAGAACACGGCCCGTTATGGCGGAGCAGTCATCGCTACTCTGGCTGGCATCTGGTACTCGTGCTGGGTCGAGTACTGTGCGTCTTACAACAAGATATGCAAGTATCTGCAATTACTCCGAACGAGCTATGACGCTAACGATGTTTGTCACATCCAGTCCCGTACCCGTTCCTCACATTCAACCCGTTCCCTATCCGGGTCGCCATTTACTTCGCCGCAAGTTCGTTCTCCTACCTGGTCTTCCAAGTGCTGAACTGGGTCCACCCATGAGGAGCCGCTGAGGATAATCTGTACTAGCTGCCCACTTGCCGACTAGACCTATCATATTCAGAAAGATTTTGAACGAATCTGAGGCTATTTTGACGTTATCAATATATTCTGACTTGCAAGACGAAGCGCTTACCGTTGAGCGCCACCAAGTTTGTCAATCGGAGATCGCGCCCTCGATCGAGATTTACTTTGATGTCTCTGACTCGTGCATATCCCCCAACTTTTGTCTTCTTTTCACCTTCACTTCCCACCTTTGGCTCTGCTGACATGGCCGACCTCCCAACTAAACAGAAACTGTGGGGTGGACGCTTTACTGGCAAGACTGACCCACTGTAAGTTGCAGTGCGCTCTTCTGCGCGCGCGTGTGCCGATATTGGTAGCATGCACGAGTTTAACCAGTCACTGCGATACGACAAGCGTATGCACGCCGTGGATATTCGAGGATCAATAGCATACGCCAAGGCATTGACAAAAGTTGGCATCCTTACGTCCGAGGAGGAGCTGAAGATTGTCCAGGGTCTCCAGACTGTGGGCAAGGAGTGGGAAGACGGAGTGGTAGGCCGTTTCGAAGTTCATACATTACCGCTTGGCTGATCTGTGGCGTACTTCTTGTGCAGTTTGAGATTAAATCTGACGATGAAGACATCCATACCGCGAACGAGCGGCGACTGAGTGAGCTTATCGGCCCGTTAGGTGGCAAGTTACACACGGGTCGCTCGCGAAACGATCAAGTCGCGACGGATATGCGTCTCTGGCTTCTTGATCAGGTCAAGGAGATTAAATCTTGCCTGAAAGCCTTGATTCGTGTCATGGTCGAGCGTGCAGACAGAGAGAAGGACTACCTTCTTCCTGGGTATACCCATCTTCAGGTGGGGGTTTGTTGAATTGCGACGCACCCTGGATCTGACAACTTTTGATGACTAGCGGGGACAGCCAATTCGCTGGTCACACCTCCTTCTCTCGCATGCTTTCTCGTTCCACGCTGACCTCCAACGCCTTCAACAGCTCATTCCCCGCATTTCTGTCTCGCCGCTAGGTTGCGGTGCTCTAGCGGGAAATCCCTTCGTCGTTGATCGCGAATTTCTCGCAGCAGAGCTCGGCTTCCAGTCAGTCGCAGAAAACAGTCTGTGGGGCGTAGGAGATCGAGATTTCATCGTCGAGTTTATGATGTGGGCGAGCTTGTCCATGACACATATCAGCCGAATGGCTGAGGACTTGGTTGTCTACTCTACTGCTGAGTTCGGCTTCGTATCGCTGAGCGATGCGTACAGGTGTGTGGTCAATGTTCTTTGTATGTGGGCGTATACTCACGGTTTTCGCGCACCAGCACTGGGTCGAGTATCATGCCCCAAAAGAAGAACCCGGATTCACTCGAGCTCTTGCGGGGGAAGTCCGGCCGAGTCTTTGGTAACGTCAGTAATTGGTCACAGTTCACGCTGTCTGCACTAATTTTGCACTGTAGATGGCTGGGTTCCTCATGACTCTGAAAGGCCTCCCATCGACGTACAACAAAGATCTCCAAGAGGATAAAGAGCCTCTCTTTGACGCCGTAGATACCATCTCAGCGTCATTTAAAATTGCAGAGGGCGTCATCGCGACGATGGAGGTATGCAGCCATTCTTTCTCGTGTTTCCGCATGAATCTTAGCAACATCCACAGGTACACGGCGATAAAATGCGCCAAGCCCTCACTATGGACGTTCTCGCCACAGATCTCGCGGACTATCTCGTTCGAAAAGGAGTAAGTCTCCCTAGACATGATTATCGATAACCGCTGCTAACTGCTATGCATTCAGATCCCCTTCCGCGAAACACATCACATTTCGGGACGCGCAGTTGCACTCGCCGAATCTCGAAAGTGCCAGCTCAACGACTTGTCTCTGCAGGACTACCAGAGTCTCAACGATGGGTTCTCCGACGAGATTCATTCTGTCTTCGACTTCGAGGCGAGCGTCGAGAGGCGGGAGTCTATTGGAGGTACGAGCCGTAAAATGGTCGAGAGGCAGATCTCGGTGTTGCGGGTAGCCCTCCAAAAGTAGCTAGACTTGTAATGCCTCCCCCTTGTATGTTCGCGATATCGAATGCATACCGCTGTCCATGAGTGCCTGTACCTCTCGGCACCCACTGCGTGCACTGCCATGAAGGCCGAAGTTCGGGCGCTTCCGCTGCGCCGTGGATTGGTATTGGTCGCTGCTTTCCGATCCAATGATTGAATTCACAACACTGCCCCTTCTCGCCTTCCCTCATATTCCTGTCCTCCACCTCATACCCTACTTCCTCCATCGCAGCATTGACTGTTGCGCGCCATCCTTTCGTCTTTCTGTCCAACTCATATAGCCTCGCCTACGCCAATCTAACCTCACCTCACACCCTAACGACTAGTAGCAAAAATGGCCAGAGACAGACTCGCAGCCTTGAGGGTGCGTCTCAGCCTCCGTATGATGGACGTAGGATGATACTCATGACGGCTTCAGGCTCAGCAAGGTGCCACGAACAGGTTTGTGGACCGCCGTCGCTGTGGTGGCTGCAACGTTAACAGCGCACGAGCAGCGACTCTTATCCCATGCAAGCAACGGGCGGAACAAACCCCTACGGAAGCGACAGTCAAGCTAGCCTTGACTCGATGGCGAAGGACAGCAACGCTAACCTTACAGGCGACAGCATGTCTAGCTTCTACAGCGAAGTACGTCCGTCCATTCTCCGTCGTACCCGGCGTCTCATAGCCGAATTGTCGCTTCGCTAGATTTCCTCTATTCAAGACGAACTTCGCACCTACAATGATAACGTGCAGCGGATATCGGACCTACACAACCGCTCGCTGAACAACACCGACGATGCCGCCGCTCAGCGCTATACGCAACAGCTCGAAGACCTTGTTGCCGACACCAGCGCACTCAGCAATGTACTGAAGCGTCGCATAAAGGCGCTGGAGAGGCAGGGAGGTAGCGGGAGAGATGGTCAAATTCGGAAACAGCAGGTACGCACACGAAGTGCAGGCAAGATGTAACGGATGGTGCTGATTGTGGCGATTCTGTCCAGACCGCTCTCGTGAAACAAAAGTTCGTGGAGGCAATCCAGAACTACCAGACGGCAGAGCAGCAGTACCGGACGAAGTACAAACAGCGAATGGAGCGTCAGTTCAAGATTGGTACGTCTGGAAGGCAGTGTATCGTGAGGCCGAAAATTGGGAACTGAATGCGCTTCGCTCGGTGTTTCCAGTGAAGCCTGATGCGACACCTGAGGAGGTCAAGGCTGTTGTTAACGATGATGCGGGCGGCCAGATTTTCAGTCAGGCTTTGCTTAACTCAAATCGATATGGCGAGGCAAAGTCAGCGTACCGTGAAGTCCAGGAACGGCACGAAGACATCAAGAAGATCGAGAGGACTCTGACTGAGCTTGCCCAGCTATTCAACGATGTAAGTCTCGCAGCATTTTGCATACAACTGGGAACTGATGTGTGTGCAGATGAGCGTCCTCGTCGAGCAACAAGATGAGACCATCAATACTATCGATGCAACCGCGGCAGATGTGGAGAAGGACGTCGAAGTTGGGTACGTAATTCTTGAGGGCCTAGTCCGTCCCGCGCTCACCATTGCCTAGTCTCCAACACGTCGAGAAAGCAGTTGACTCCGCGCGTTCAGCACGCAAGAAACGTTGGATATGCTTCTTCCTGATTGTTATTATCCTTGCGATTGTTGCAATCGTCGTTGCCGTTTCCATCGTCAAGGCTACCAAGAAGAACTAAGTCTCTCCTTACCTCTGTTATGTTCGCTTGCGCTTTTCGGCTACCCAGGGACTCTTTAGCTTGTAGCATATTTAATTCGTCTCTTCTCGTTATCCAGACTATCCCTTTGATATGTTCGCCTTCTAATTTTTTTTATCTCTACGTCAAATACTGCAGGCGAGTCCACTTATCTCGGAGATCTGGCATAACCTGTATTCAGTGCCTGCGGTCAATATCATCTGCGTAGTTGATACCCTTCATTTGATGCCTCCTTTCAAACGAGCGAGAGTGGCGGTGAGATTGAGTGCGGTGAAACATGCAGAGAACAACATCCCATGTAAAGGCATATGAAGAACCGGCAAGGCACCTTCACTACATTTCGGCTGCCTGGCGACAGCTCGACATGCAGCGGAGCCTGTCGAATGTGACAGTACAAGCGTAGCAACAAAGGCCTTGTTATTCGAATGTCGGTTCCCCTCAACCGGGAGCGCTCAGGAGAGCAGAGGCCACGCCAAACAGGCCTGGAACACCCACGGCGACTACTCCACACTGCGGCCGTGAGCACCCGGATTTAAGGGAAGCTGACAAGGTTTGGCGGGGCGGGGGGCCCGGGGGCTGTCTCGAGGTAGATCGGGGCGGCTTCTCTTATCCCGCCTCCGAGGCTCCGAAAAGCGGGTCGTCGTTTGCACAGCAGACAGTTTTTAGGGAGATAGTTGGGCTGCCCGCGCCGGGCGTGCGTCCGTTACGGGTGTGTGGCTGGGTCAAGTGGCGACAGCAGACAGGAGGAGGTTGAAGTGGTTTCGGGTCCTTGCTGGCACATTCTTTACGGCTGGTGAAAGCAGTGCGGATGAGTGAGAGTGGCTGAGTGGCTGCCGAGAAAGGAAGTGTTCGCAAATCAAAAGCCGGAGTCGGACGCAGCGAGACGATCGGTTTTGGAGATCGGGCGCTGCTTGCCCAGGCGATTGCCACGTGCTGGGCCTTGGGTGAGCTGACGCGTCCCACCCAGAGCCTCTATATAAGCAGGGCCCCCCCTTGTCTTGACTCGCCTCTCCTTCACAACACACCCGCCCTGCACTCGCCGCCCTACCTTTCCTCTCGGACGTCGAGCCTCACACCTTCCCGTCTCTCCCCACACTGCGAGTACGTCCATTCTGCGCAGATTGTGTGGTCCGATGCTAATGAGCCCTGGACACAGCTTTTACCTCGCACACGACATACCCTGCCACAATGCCGTCCAAGAAGCGCTGCCAGTTCGAGTCCGAGACTCGTTGCAACCAGGCTGCACTCCGTCTCGTGGGCCAGTGCCCACACTGCCGTGCAGAGTTCTGCGGCACGGTACGTCCCTCGTTTGTCGAAGTGTGGCGCCCCTGCTAAGTCTCATTTTACAGCACCGTATGCCAGAACACCACAACTGCCAGAACTTGGAAAGCTGTCGGCAGCAAGCGTTCGAAAAGAACAAGGCAAAGCTCGAAAGCGAGCGCACGGTCGCATCCAAGATGGCTATGGCGTGACCAGTCACCCCCTCTCGTCTCCAGCTTCTCGATCCTCCCATGCCCGGTCCCCTTCCCCATCTACTTCCCACACGTTTCCCATCTTCCCTTCCCTCATAATGCTGGGAGGCCGGTCATTCGCCCTGCCATTGCGGGCCTCACTTCATCCTCGCTGCTTTCACGATCTACCACGGACATTAATGCATGATCTTATACCACATCCCTACGTGCACCCTGCTCTCACTGCCATTGATCCTCCTTAGTTGCGTCTTTTGGTGTTCATGGTGCGCATTAACGTATTCTCGCCCTACTGTACGGTACTACTAGAATAACATTTCTCTTACGTATAATCTCACACGGTGTGAAGCGGGTGTACCCGGTGCTAATGGAGGGCCTGGCTCAAGGCGCAGATCCTCCTGACATACGTTACTGGTTGCATACAAGTCTCAGTGCCCTAGAGAATGTGGGCTCCGACGATGCGCTGAGCCTCGCACCTCATCCGCGCGAATCATACTCGACCTTGTGCTTGTATCTTGCGGCCTTTGGCTGGAATTCGGCTTTGTCAGCGCCAGCGAATACAAATATGCTCGGGTTGCAACGCGGCGTCGCCAGAGTGCTCGACTTCAGGCTCAGCGGCAAGTTTGGCTCGTGGGGTCCGGTGGATCTTGAGCGAAAGACCGCATCGCCTCCGCTGTCCAGGGCCGACATATGCGTATATGCGGCTGCAACCGAGGTGGATGAATGGGACATGTCCTGATGGAGCATCGATCTTGCGCCGTAACGCCTCGACCAGCGACGGATTCTGGAGTGCTCTTCGACACAGCGGGTCCTCGTAATAAAAGGGACTGTCCCCCCGCTTGCCCAGTCCTTTCCCCACATACACTACATAGCCCAAACACGTCAGACTCTACCACGGAGGCCGTTGCAGTTACTTTCCTGGACAGAGTGAGTCCCGGTGCAATCACATGCAGCACGGCACCGCTCACCATACGTTTGCTGCAGCCTCGGAGCAGTATATAATACCCTCGGTGCGTACTATGTTTCGTGTTGCGCACAAATAAGGCTATCGCTCACCTCTATCATTCCTATACTCTTCGGACACTACCATCTATAAAATCATCGCTGCATCTCCCCTGCCGTGAAACACGGCATCTCACCCCCGCTCAACCTACACGATGGCCAACAGAGTCAAGCAAGTCGCAGATCACCTGTTAGGTTCTCCGAGTAGAGCAAAGATGTCCGCAGACGGAAGCGTACACGCAGGTGCGTAGCTGAATCGCTTCACGGCCAATAGCATCATGGACATTTCCGCATAGAATCTTGGGACCAGGTCCCTCTCGCCCCTCCCGACAGGTACGTGCATGCGTATGCTCATATGCTGCACTTGCACTGAAGCACTCTAGCATCTTCAAGTTGACTGCTGGCTACAAGGAAGATTCCTTCCCCCAGAAGATCAACCTCGGTGTCGGCGCGTACAGAGATGATAATAGCAAGCCCTGGGTGTTGCCCGTGGTGAAGAAGGTAGACTTTCTGCGCCCACCCCAGCGTCTTCCCCGCTTGACTGATGCGACATATGTTACGTTAGGCGACACAAATTCTGCTGGAAGATCCGAACCTCGACCACGAGTATCTTCCTATCACTGGATTGCCTGCTTTCACTTCGGCCGCGGCGAAGCTCGTTCTTGGGGCAGATTCCCCAGCCATTGCCTCAGGCCGAGTTTGCAGTGTCCAGACTATATCAGGAACTGGTGCGAACCATCTCGGCGCGCTGTTCTTGAGCCGATACTACGAATTCAACGGCGACAAGAAGGTCTACTTAAGCGACCCTACCTGGGGTACGCTAGCTCCATTTGTGCCACTCTTCTTGTGTGAAGCTAATGCCGCTCGGCAGTCAATCACTTCGCCATCTTCAGGAATGTCGGAATAGAGCCTCTCACATACCCGTATTACGACCCGAAAATTATCGGGCTTGCATTCGAACAGCTGTTGAACACTCTCAAAACTCTTCCGCCTCGGTCGGCCGTTCTCCTGCATGCATGCGCCCACAATCCCACCGGAGTTGATCCAACCCGCGAGCAGTGGAGCCAGATCTGCGACGTGTTCTTGGAGAAAGGACATTATGCGTTCTTTGACTCCGCCTATCAAGGGTTCGCGAGCGGGGACTTGGACAACGACGCCTGGGCAGTGCGCGAGTTCGTCAAGCGTGAAGTTCCCCTATTGGTGTGCCAGGTGGGTCACAGCATTCCCGCCTGTGCAACATGATATTAATCAAGTCCATCACATTAGAGTTTCGCAAAGAACGCTGGGCTGTATGGAGAGCGTGTCGGTGCCCTGCATATCGTGGCTCCGACCCAAGAAGCCGCGGCGCGCGTCAAGAGTCAGCTTTCCGTCCTCGCGCGGAGCGAGATCAGCAACCCTCCCGCGTATGGTGCCCGTGTTGTACGTCTGCGCTACTTTCTGGCAATCTCTTAGTACTCAATTACCCTGTCCCCGTTCATCTCGCGACGCATAATCCTCGTCTCATGCTGCAGGTATCACTGATCCTCGACAACCCCGAGCTGTTCGAAGAGTGGAAGCGCGACATCAAGACGATGGCAGGACGGATCATTGAAATGCGGAAAGAGCTGTACAGGCTCCTGACGGAGGAATTCAAGACGCCTGGCAATTGGGATCACATCGTCGGTCAGATAGGCATGTTCAGGTAAGTCTGACGTTTCTGTCACGTACGGAGCGTGTGTGCGGGGAGTGTGCCGTGCGGCTAGGCGGAACAGCAGCATGGCTTCCGTCTGAGATGGGTGTTCGCGCGCAGCTTCGTGCGCTTGTGTTGGGGAATCATGAGCTGGCGGTCTTGCTAGTCCGGGGCATATTGCCCTAGTATAGACCCTACAGCCGCGGGAGTGCGCTGCGGTTTACATATTCGCATGACGACAAGCGCACGCTTGGTTGCGAGTATGTCTAATCAGCATGATTTTCCGGGGTCACATGTGAAGGGAGGCCTGGGTCTAGCCTTGTAATAGGCTTTCTTTCCACTCCTCTTGCTCCTCTGCCATCTTCTCCTTTCTGCGCTGTCGAACTGTCGCCGACTAACGCTGACGTTCTGTAAATTTTGCAGTTTTACAGGTATCAGGCCAGAGCAGAGCCAAGCGCTCACGGAGAAGGCGCACGTTTACCTGACGCAGAACGGGCGTATCTCGATGGCCGGGCTGAACACCCACAACATTCGGTACTTTGCGGAAAAGCTGGACAAGGTCGTCCGCGGGGAGCTGTGAGCAGGAGGCCACCCGGAGGACGGTAGAAACAATTATGAACTAAATATTAGGTGTATGTAACGTTGTCGGATGATGTAAAACAGACGCGACAGCTGGCCAGGGACTGCGCGTGGGAACTGTGACGTCATATGTGGGGGAAATGCTTTAACGGGAATGCCGAGGTCGCCGGGTGAATGTTATTGGCTGCTCGGCAGAAGCCGGTGCTGCCATGTTCCGGATTTAGGAGGTGTATCGGATGACGTCGTGTTGTTTTGAGTGTTGAGTTGTGCGCATCATTCCTAATCTCAGAAAAACAAGTCCCTCGCCTGTTCCCGCCCGACGACAAGTTTCTCTTCTAGTCTCGTCCCCCGCCGTCCCGCCCCTCCGCCCGCCGCTTGAACCCCGCCTCGGAGGTCCGCCGCCGCTCCCTGCAGACCTCCCACAGTCCTGCTCACCGTTCTCCACATCGCCGAGCACGCCTGCCGCACTCCACCGCTCCGGACGGCACGCTGCACGACCTACACTCGTGTCTCCTCGCCTTTTCCGTCTCTCAGACGCAGCACTAGCTCCAGGTTCAGGGCCTCGCGGCTTCGCGTCTTCTCCTCTCCCTCGTTCCTACACCTACCCGTCGGCCATCTCACCCGTAATCCACAGACTTTATGAGTTCTGTCTCCAGGCCGCACCGAACAGCATTTGCGCTACCTCCTCGCCGCGTCCGTGTTGTCTTGCGTCATAAGTAAACCCTGAACGTACCAGAACCCTAGCTGCCCTCGTGGCCAACCTAGAACAACTGCCGTTCTCGTCTCATCTCTCTCTTTCCTGTCTTCTGATACCGCCGCCGTCCACAGAGTACGTCCCCGCCTCGATTGTCGTTGATTTAACTCACTTTCAGCCGTTCGCACGGACGTCGTGCAGCGTTACATGGGAATCATTCTCTCACTTTTATTCCCTCGGCACTACATGTTTGCGGAACAATCCGTACTCTCTTCTCCCTCGTCTACTACATCCTCCAGTCCCGCAACCACCTTAGGCCCTGACCAGACGCCTCCTACAAGCCCCCTACGGCCCAGTCACCGGTCGCCTACCATTACTGAATCAAGGCGCTCAGACGCACAGTTGTATGTGCCGCACGCGGTAGGCTTAGGTTTGGTTGGGCCTCGTGCACATAGAGGTTCCATGTCGCCTTTCGTCCTGGACGCGGGCGCAATAGCGCAAGCTAAGTCGCCTCCCGTTGTGCAAGCGAGTTCTTTCGAGGAGGAGGGGTCAGCACCGCTCCAGCCGCCACAAGAGCAGCACCCGAACCAATTCGACGATTCAGCATCGATGTCACCGTCGTCGCCGTCTCTAACCTCAGCGCAAGCGTCCGCTGCGAACTCCATGTATTTCCGGCCATCTACGAGCTCTATTGTGCAGCGCCCGTCTAGCCCCGGAGCCAGCACCTCAGAATTCGACATCGCGATTCCTGCTGCTCACTATGCTGACATCTCCTTTGTAACCGCCGGGACTGCGATGTCGCCCCCGGCGTCAGGTTCTTCATTGCCGACTCATCATCCGGAAACATCGTCCGATCCGATACTGGGCGGCGGCTCATCGCTAGACCTTGTGCAGGAAGTGCCCCTTCCTCCTGCGGGCGTTGGGGAAGGGAGCCTCGACGTGGACTTCACAGAATTCGACTCCGAGGGTCTGAGCGCTCTCGAGAAAATCTATCTCTTCTCGCGCAGCCGAGCAGGCTTCCAGCGCATTTTCATCGCTCATGCTCTACCTAGCTTCCTGAGTCATCGGCGGGAAAGTCTCTATAGTCAAACAGAGCAGAACGAAGACAGTCCTGCGACGGATGAGATAACGCCCGCCGAGGCTGTCGAGTATGTTTTGCCGTTGCTTAATAGCCTCGCCACGGATGAAGGTACGCAAATTTTCTGCTGGATAATCTTACACAGATTCTCACCATTGTGGATTTTTTGTCATTTCCGGAACAAACGTCTGTCTTCACTTTCGACCCGCCTATCATGTGTCCTCGGCCGTCACATCATGTCATTGCTTTCGGTTCTTTTTCCGCGCTCTTCCATTAACGCCGATTGGCCCATCAAATTGGTTAATGTGCCACTGGAACCTCACCAGACGAAGCGGTCAAAGAGGCTCTCGCCGCCGAACTCGTGCCAATTATATGGTGGTTCATCACACACTGCCAGCTCGTCGAAGAGGACGATGCTGAAATGGACCAGTCGACGCAGTTGGCGGATGAGCCTACGCGGATAGCTGTGCAATCGTTCACACCGATTTTGGGCACCCTTCTACTGAGTCCGAACGGACTGGTTGGTGGACCAGCCAGATTTGCAGTTGTGGAGCTTTTGAATCGGGTCAAACGAGCGGACGCGAAGGACCGTCGTGAATCCCAGAGGCCCGAGCAAAGCGCTTCGGGCTCGGGCAGCGTTTCAAGCGAGCAACGAGAAGGCAGGGCCGATGTGACGATAGAGTCGGGTCAGGACTCAGACGAGGAGGACGGCTACTCACCAACTGGCCTTTTCGGCTCGCTGGAACGACTACTGTTCGAACGCGAAATACTGCAGCAAGTCGTGATCGGGATGGGGCGCCTGGATCTTCCAGACGAGCATGCCCAGTCCGTAGCGCAAGCCGGCGAGATAGTGCACACTTCCAACATACCAACACCCGTATCGACAGCTCATGTGCATCATGCGCAAGGCGACGAAGCATCCTACTTTCCTGCTGTAAACCCGAGACAAAGTAATCTTCCAGTAGGGAACAGTTCGACACCTTCAGCGACGGCGCAGCAACTGGAATCGCCACCTTCTCTGTCTCAGCCCTCGAGTCCTTGGTCTTCCGATGACGCTTCTCCATCCTCGATACATTCCATCTCCTCCCTGAGCTCCGCGGACTACTCACCGTCCTCGATAAACTCCGGGTCTATTTCCTCTTCCCAAGCTCCTATCACACCACCCAACTCTGTACAGGACACCCTGCTTGCCTCCGAGGATGCGAAGGTCCATCATTCTTCACATCTAGCCTCTCCACCGCTTGTAAAAAACGATGATCTGCGAACACCTGAAGTCTGGGACTTTGCACACAGCGCTAGCATTCTCGGCCCACGCCCTCAGAGTCCCCATGTTGTAGGCTCTCCGCCTTATACTCTTCATTCGCTCAGCCCCCGTCCGCCCAGCCCCCCTCTATCCACCCCCCGCCCTCCTGGTCCTCGACCATCGAGCCCAACGTTACCAGATAAGATGTCACACGCACCAGTGCAATCCTCTGTTGTAGAACCAGGGTTTATACCAGTAGAACTTCACCCTCCATTCATACCCGACATGGCATCGACAAATTCTGTATTCGCATCAGGGCTGGCGTACCACACATCCCATGAGAATACTGACATATCTGCCCTTCAGCAGCTCGAGGAGGACGACGAGACGATTGATGAAGCTCAGCTTAGCGAGGAGGCATCTGTGGGGAGACTGTCGAGCATGAGTTTGATGGCCGCGGTGACCGCAAGCGGTGAGTCTTATTTCTTTGGTTTCCCCATATCGGGCATACGTCCAGGTGGCGTGGAAGCTATATCGCCAGCTCCACTCGGTTCCTCACGTTTCGACGGCCCTGCGCCACAGTAAATCTGATTGCATGTCCGGCTGACTCAACTTATCTTCCCAGGCTCTATCGATGAGGAGACGAAAGCCGTTTTTGTCGCGGAAGTCGAACGTGTGGGTCGAGACCCCGTTTATTGGGTACGCAGGGAGGCGAGTTTTGCAGTGGGGGCGCTCGCCAAAGTGGTCCCGCAGGAAGTCGTGCTGATATCTCTGGTCCGTTAAATTTTCTCAATTGGATCATCGCCACCACTGCTGACAATGTGACTCACAGCTCCCCCTTATCGAGTCATTCTATCGCGATTCTTCGTGGCATGTTCGCCACTCTGCGCTCTTCGCGCTCCCAGCTATCCTTTCGCGTCTCCCACCGCAGCAGCGACGATCTCTCGCACTCGATGTTATCCTTACACTCGCCCGCGACGAGTTGCGGACGGTGCGGACGGGTGTGCTTGAGGCTCTTGCCGAAGTTATGTACACATTCCACGAAGACGCAGACGGCCCCCCAGACAAGCTCTTACGGCTCTTTCTCGGCGTCCGAGAGCCCGACGATCCGCGGCTTGCGAGGCAGAAGGTTGAGGAGTCATCTCCATCGTCTCCACCCGCTACGCCGATGAGCTGGAGTGAGTTTGTCTCATCCATGTCAGCCGGCTCACAACAGTCGCAAGATTACGACATCTACGAGGACCCGTCCCGGCCGCTTGTCTGTGCGTTCAACTACCCAGCCGTCGCCCTCACCCTCGGTCGCGAGCGATGGCACGAAATCCGCGAGCTATACCTCACGTTGTCGCAAAACCCATCCCTCAAAGTCCGGCGCACGCTCGCCGCATCGCTAGGCGAGATGGCGAAGATCGTTGGCGCTAAGCACGCGAAGCAGGATTTGTTGCACGTCTGGCGATCCAGCGCACGCTCTGAAGAAGGCGAGATCCGGTTGAAGGCTCTCGAATGTCTAGAGACCTTCGTTCCTGCTCTTGAGGAAGCCGAACGCGCCGAACTCCTCAGAGACTTGAACGGCGAGGTTTGGACGCGGCTCAGAGGCTGGAGGGAGAGGGAGGCAGTGATAAAAGCGTTGGGGGGTTGGGCGTCAATCAGCGCCATAGACGAGAATGTGCTCCGGGGGCTCTTGCGGAAAGGACTGCAAGACCCTGTCGCATCAGTCCGTGAGGAGGCGGTTCATGCGGTAAGTCGCTTTCCGCAGGTTCTCAACGATATGCTGACTGCGAATAGCTGGCTGCAATGGTGTCTGCTTGGGCGAATCGGTCACAGAGTCTTGAGCGGCTCTGGGACCTGCTACGAACCCTCGCCATCTCCAACTCCTACCGATACCGTATGGTCTTCCTCTCCTGCTTCCAGACGATCCTGTTGGCCACAAAGGACGTCGGTCTGGTTTCCAATGTGTTCGTAAAAACCTTGGAGTCGCTGAGCTGCGATCCGATTGTGGACGTACGCATCAGACTGGCTAGGTTCCTGGGAACTCTCCTAGGTGAGCATTCGTGCAGTCACAGCATTCAAGCGATGCTCAAAGTATCTTGATAGAGAGCTTCCCTGGTATACCTGAAGCGACATCCCAGGCCATGAGAGAAATCGCAAAGCGCCTCGCAGAAGATTCTTCTCATGATGTAAAAGCCTTCGCTCGGTCGCTGCTTGCAGGCTGGTCTTCCCAAAATCCTCGTAAGCGCGAAACGGCCGAAGCTACCAAATCTGCACATATATTCTCACGGCCACCTCCGCTAGCTCCAAGTTGATACGCTATCGGCGTATCCAGCTTGAGCTCCTGTAAGGGCGAGTTACAGTGCCCTTCCGCCCAGCACTTCCTTGTCTAAATGAGACGAATCCCCCCTACACATTGGCTCAGCAACTTTGAATAGTGGGGATTTCGTCCAGGAGGTATTGTTGGTGCCGCCACATGAGCTGCAATGGAGCCACCGCCATTGGAATTCCACGCTCCCGTCTTGCAGCTTGGATGTAATGAGAGTATTTGCCATCGTATCATCACTGTTATCATCGGTCGGATTATTGTAGTCTCTGACTCTTATTTTGCTGTAGCTTTCCTTTCGTCTCACCTACACATCGTCGTCTTGCTCATTGACTTCCAGCATTCTCGCGTTTGTAAATTATCCGTCACGATAAGTCTTGTTACACGTCGCTTAGTTATAGCGCTCCGATGTTATTCTTGCATTATCTCTACCTAGTCCTGTATCTAATAGATCACATACTAGATTTCGCTGCTTCCAGGCTGCTAACCATCACCTCCCGCCCGCGGCGGGCGCACTTGAACCCGCTCAATACGACGCTTGCTGTATAAGGCAGCTACTTGGGCGTAACCGCGTGTCGGAGCAACAATAAGAGCAGGCGCCCTGCTCTCTTTGTCCCCGAACGCGACAACAGTCGTCCACTCAGCGCCACGGACAATGGGCTAAAGGCGTGGCCGCGCAGAAGCTGTCTCCCTCCTGGCGACTCGCCGTTTATGAAGCCAGCTTCTGCTCTCCCACCTCTCTCCCATCCCCCCACCTTCCTTCTCCTATTTTTGCAGCCTCGGCTCTGGCAGTCGTTTGGTCTGTAGTCCCTCGTTTGTAGGACATTGTTTGAGCCTCGAAGCCCGGAAGAACTTTATGATCGCATGAAAGATCTCGACTCATGGATCTAGGACCAAGTTTCAGGAAATTCAGGACTGCTGCTTTCTGTGAGCACAGCGCATTCATCTGTCTAGACCGGTCGCTCACAGGCACGCGTTCTGCACAGCATGCATAACGTTGATCAGCCTGGTATGGACAGTGCTGGCCACCGTTGTTCTCTATATGCACTGGGGTGATGGGGGTAGCACCCAAAGTGAGTGCCGAGACGATCTCTGCATGCATGTGTCGCTCAGTTGCGAATCCCACGCTTGCCCTCAGCATCGTTGATTGTGATCATTCTCTGCGTAAATGTTATCTCCGCCGTAATGCTCCCCGCTTTGTGAGTCGTCTTCCCGTGGTTTGGCGCATCGTGTTTCTGACGGCGAGGCGAAGGCTATTGGTAGAATTTCGGGTTTGGCTGGACGCTGCAAGAATGGCCTGTCTCATTGTGGCTCAACTTTGTGCGTAAAACTGTCATTGTGCAGAGAACCGCAGCTCACTTGAGGATGAAACTAGTCGCTGCGGTCGAGTTCACGTTATGGGCCGTAAAGTATCAGTGTCCGACGACCGGTACGCTCTGACAATTTCAGGGTTGCAAGCCCGAAGCTGACAAGGTGGAATTCTCAGATGATGGTATCTGCAGCCTCATGAATGTTTACGTCTTATTGGCTTCCTGGGTTATACCACTTCTTCGTATGTGAATCTGAAGGACGTTGTCTCGGCATCACGCTGATCGCGTCTCTGCAGTTTTAATATATACCGCCGGCCTCAGCGTCGTGGTGTGGCGACGGTCGCCACCCTCCCCGCCCTCTCCAGACACCGCACTAAGCAGTGATATTGAAAGCGCAACGACGCCAAGGCGCGCCGAGCTACCTATTATGCAACTTCCTGAAAGTCCAGTATCAATATCCACGCCGAGGCACCCATCCGCCAGATTTTCACGACCCCCTTGGGTCGGACCCAAGCCCCCTCCACCCCCGCCTCCGCTTCCAAGAGGCCTTGATGAAAATGATGATAACGCGGACGCCACGTCCAAGAAACGCAGATCGACTCGTTCCTCTGCCCGACTTTCAAAGCCTTTGCCATCAAAATACTTTTCTTAAACTGGTTCTCATGCAACTCAACACGTCTTGATCGAAATCTGTACGCATATGTATCTCTGTAGACTGTGCTCCGAATCGTCGCTGTGTGTTGCTATCGCATCTGCTTGTACGCTATGATTAGATTCTTGCTTATACGATTCTTGTTGTCGGTCTTGACACATCGCCGCGGAGCACTGCTTTTATGGCATGTATTGACCGTTCGCATATGCGCGGCTATTTTCAGTATATTCGGCTCCCGACCTTCGCGAACTCGAGTCTTTCTCCCGCATCCACCACTATATCCCATGGTTCTTCGCCATTCTCGTTCTCGTTAGCAGCCTTGCATTGAACGAATACGGTACTCCACGTCACCGCCACTCGTTACCTACGTACTACGCCTCATCGACACGCTTGATCTCATGATGACTTCTTGGGATACCAATCGAGTGAAGGTTGAACTCTTCATTGTATTATAGTTGCTACCGTCCCTGATCCCGCCTATAGAACCAACTTAGGCTTACATCCCAACGATTGGGGCAGATACAGGACAAACTAGACTCTCAGGGTCAGATTACCCGAAGAGACATTGCCATCCTACTCTCGCAAGGCAACGTCGCGCTGGCCCGCGCGAAGGCCCAGAAGTGCATACACGATGACATATACAACGACCTACTTCAAACGTTGGAGATGCTCGTGGGGATAGTGCTTGCGCACGTGGGGGATCTGGAACGCAGGTGTGTAGTGGGCTTCTTCGCCTGTGGGTTCGTGTTGAAGACGTCCTTACATGCAGTGTACCGCTAAGCCCTATTGTTATTGAAGCAGCCTCTAGCATCATATATGCTGCTCCTAACGTTGGATCCAAGGGTGTGTGAGTTGCATGTGTTCTGTGGTACGCAACTAACGTTTGGTGTGGCGGGGTGTCAGATCTGCAGGTCGTGCGAGATCTCTTGGTGCTGCGGCTTGGCCCCGACTTTGCCCGTTCAGCCGCAGGCAATCATGATAATTATGTCTCGAAACGAGTGCGTGCGTACGAAGTGAGATTTGGACTATTTATAAGTGTGTCATTTAGGTCGTTCGGGACTTGTCTTCGCAGCCCCCATCCGCTAGCATGCTCGACCATTTCCTCCGTAGTGTAGCGAAAGCGAACGGGGTGCAGTGGAACCCTGACATCGAATCACATCAGAAGTTCGTAGTTCTGTCACCTCTATGTACTGGGTAGGAGCTCATGCGGAGGCTGCATAGAGTCGATATTATATCCGGGATGCTCGATGCAGCCTCAATACCCTCTATCGACATACACCAGCTGCAAACCCTCTGTTCTCACGGTACAATATCAATATCTCTTCGCATAGCGTTCGCGATCGCTAACACAAGCGTTCAGGCCTTCCAGAATACCCGCCGTGGCTGCGACCGAAAGTTTGGAGGTAATAAACCCAATAGCCCTCAGTTTCAAATCTTACGTATGCTTCTCAGATTGCTTCTTGGGACTCTTCCTCCGCAGAAGGCTCGCTGGCAGAGTGACTCCGGCAAGCAAAGGGAGAATTACTACGTAAGCTAGGATCCCCGTACCTTACATCAATGCATTCACATGTCTTCAGGACCTTGTTCGCCAGCTACTAGAACCTTTTAACAACCTCCCACCTCCCACTAACCCTCTTTCACCCTTGGATGTTTGCTTGGTCGAGGTTCGGAAGGAATTGTCCCGAGCCCCCCGTGCGCTCTATGCCAACCTCGAAGAGGAGCCTGAGGACTTGGATCAGTGCCCTTTGGGTGACAGCTCCTTAGAGGACATTAAGATCGCTTGCGCAAAGGCCCTCGATAGCCGATTACAGCAAATTCGCGACGCGTCGAAAAGTAGCGTGTCTACGCCTACAGAAGAGACTCCAGAGATACAGATTGAGTCGACGCCCGAGATTCGACTCGAGGACATGGGAGATATGGACGTAGGCCAGCAGTCTGAGCAGGGGGCAGAGGACCTAGACGACAACGCATCGGAGGCACGTCTCGGCGCAGCGAGCATCGGGACTCCTGAAATCTCGCTTTCTACTCCGGATTCGCCGACGTCCACACACTCGGGCGCACCGACAACTTTAGTCAAGTCTAGGCCTTATAGCGCCACCGGAGCCCATCCCAAGCACGAAACCGCTCTCATTCGTCTTCTCTACATACATTTCTCTCTGAACCCTGCACACCGAGCACCACAAACAGCCTCTCTACTGGTACCGCTGTATTCGGCGTTAGCGCAGGAGGTTGTTCCCGAAGATGCAGCTCATATTGAAGCGGATACTTTTTGGCTCCTAGAAACGTTCGTTGGCGAGTTCTCGGATCTGGATGAGCCGGAAAGCACAGAAATATGGCTGAAGAAGCTAGGAGAGAGGCTGACTTGGGCCGACGCAGAGCTTGCAGAAGACTTGGTAAGGGCACCAGCCGCTGTATGTCCTCGCATGACCTCACCGGCGGTGTCTAGCAAGCAAAAGGTCTCAATCCCTCATTACCACATTACACGTAGTCAGTTCACTTCACGCGTTGATCCATCATAGGAACTAACTTCATCTCTAGTCGGTGGTTGACGGCCTTGCTAACACATACCCTGCCATTACCGGCTGTGTTCATGACGTGGGATGCATTATTTGCTCGCCCGTCGAGAGAACGCGCATCGAACCCGAAGCTGGAATATTTAGTCGACATGTGTGCGAGTATGCTCATCAGCGCTCGAGGGTCATTATTCCGGTAATCGAATCTTCAATTCAACTTCGTCATCTTTACTAATAGGCTCGCAGGCTAGGTAAACGACCCGGCAAACCTCTGAATCTCTGGGAGGAGAGCTCTAGCGCGGTCATATCTGAGCTTCCGTCAGATCGGGAATTGGAGGAGGCTTTCATCCAGGGTATGGCTCTGTTGCAGAACTATCCTTTGGAGAACGTCGGCGGCATCGAGCGAGTACTTCAGCTGACCTTCGACCTCGCCGCGCAACGAGAGAAAGCAACCCAGGCGACATTTACACAGGCGGCCGCTGCTGGTCTCGGCGCGCGCCTGCGCAACACCGTCTGGAGAAATAATCCAGCACCTGTCTCCGTACCCGCAGAGGCACAGGCTCCTACTCTTTCAGCACAAACTCAGACCAACGCGGACGATGATAGCACGGACTCCGACTCTGATTCGACAGAAGACGAAGATGAGGGTGCTCAGATCGTGGAAGTCGCAAACGATACAAATCAGACATCGCTGACGTCTCGTCTTGCGTCCACGGTCTGGAAAGGCATCACCAACCAGTCTGCCATGGAGGCACCTCCCTCTCCGACTACACCTTCTCCACTACCGTCGCCTGTCGTGTCACCGAAGATGGAGCCCTCGAATCAACTAGCTCCTGAGCCCCATCCTGCCACAGCCGAGGCAGCTCCTGAGCCGTCCACATCGATTACCTCAAATATTTGGGGATACGCTGAGAAGCTCAGGGATTCCAATGCCGCTGCTACACTGGCTAAGGTCAGCACTAACTGGCGAGTGAAGGCTATGGATGCATGGAGTAACAGGGGGAGCATTGTCCCACCTCATACGGCACCGGCTGGTCAGCCATCTTCCTCGACCTTGTCGCCGTCCTGGGTGCCCAGTACACCTGGGTCCCACGAAGATTCAGATGTCCGAAGAAGCTCCTTGCCGCCAATGGGCAAGTTCGACGACTACGAGCCCCCAGAACGCCCTAAATTTTTTCGTCCCCCGAGGGATAGTGTGATCATGGATCCTCGACGTGACTCGTTGGCCTCCCCGACATCCTCAGAAATTTCGGTGCGTTCTGAAAGCGACCTGGACCATCTTAGGCGGTCTATAACGGCTCGCACGCCGAGCCCGCGCTCTGCTACATCTACAAGATCGGGTGGCCCGAGGCCTTTGATACTCAACTCAAACTCCCTCATTACGAACTCGCGATCGCCGACCATGTCTGCGAGCAGCATGGACTCGCACTTTGCCGACCAGGTCCGCGCCAAGCGGCCCTCTGTCACGCATAGGGCTTCACAGTCGTCCTTATCCTCGCTCTCACCGTCGGATCATCTGTCGTCGGGACGCATGCGCACTCCTGACTCGGGGAGCAGGGTTGTACCCATCAACCGAGCGCGTTCACCAGTCGCAATGGCGAAAGACAGGCGGCAAGGTTCAGTATCATCCGCTACCTCTAGTCCAAGAGGCACAACGCGACAGCTGCCATCTGACTACGGAATGGAAACACCTGAGCGCAAACCCATATGGAGGAGTGCCGATATCCGCGACTCTATTGGGTCCACTGCTTCTCTTACATCTGCATCTGTCCCAACAAGCCCTCCCAAACAGGCTACCAACGGTGAAGCTCGGGTTGAGCCATCAGAACGCCAACGCGGGTCTGTGGTGCTGGGCGAGTTCGGGGAACTGGAGCAGCCATTGCCTGTCGATGCTACACCCAAAATCTCACGCAGGACGAACTCATCTCTGTCGCGCCTCCAGATCGAGGACAGCTCTGATTCGTCTGTTGCAACGCAGCTGCCAGCCCGTAGCGCGCGGGTGAAGTCAAAACGTCTCCCTCCTCGGCTCCGCTCACGAGAGGCCAGCAAGGACGATACGGCGTACGTCGCGAGCCCAAACACCCTGGCCGCCACATGGCCAGATGACGGGGATGCTACAACCCCCAAAGCGAGCAATTTCGAGGTCGATGACTCGCCGTCAAAATCCCGGAAGGACTCTGGCGAGGGTCGTGTGCGCAAAATCTCCGCGGATAGCTATTCGAGGACGAGGAAGCTGTCAAATGAGGACAGACCGAGACGTGTGCGGGACAGTGCCGCAGTTGAAGGGGATGATGAGGGCTACGATGAGTTCCTCAGCGCGTACTCGGAGAGCGACGATGGTAGTGCAGTACGCTGAGCTGGACCGGTCAGACTATGCTTCATAATGCACCCTCATGTGCTCCCATACTCCGTAAATAAGTTTCTTAGATATCTAATCAGTAGGCCGCTGGGCAGTTGGTAAACCAGGAGTACGACCGAAAACATTTTCCTGTATCTCGTGGTATACTTCCAGCAAGACCGGGAAGTAAGGTAGAATGTTCTGCGGCAAGATGTCAGCAGAAGATAGGCGGAGCAGGTGTCCACAACGTACCTCGTAAGGGACATGTAAAGAGATGGTTCCATCTTGCAACTTCTCTATGGCCGCTAGATAATAGCGGACGTTCCATCCCCGTAGACCTTCGTTGATGACGACGTCTTGGAGGCGCATGAAGGGTATGAAACGACGCGACACGAATAACGGGTACCTGGGTAGCCCCCTGTGTGTCTCAAACTGAAGTCCAAAGGAGGGTATCAAGATGATGGATTCTACAGACGGTGTCAGCAACGGTGAAGATGAGCAAGCCTGGACATACCCCAAAGCACTTGGGTGGACCTAGAGCGTACATACAGCGCCACTAGCAAGACGGCCAGAGCACCATAAAGCCTGTTAGCAGTGAGCTAGGCTTAAAGTAAGTAACGATCAGTGGGCACACGGACAGCACACACACCTTGTGCCAAAATATAGCGATGAGAAGCGGGACGGCGGGATCGAGCCATGACCAGCCATAGGACTTCAACGCCCTCCCTGAACCATCACGCGCGATCCGCCAATTCTCGGCTCGGTATTCGGTGCAGCCTTGGTATTCGCGGATGGAGAACTCAGGATGGTCCAGCAGCGGTCGAGTATGCTGCATGCATAGAACAAGTTTGATGACGCTTCCGTCTCGCTCTCGTTCTCCTGAATACTGCCGTCATCCGCGTCCGACTCTGGCCGCTCAACTTACTGCCATGCCTTTGCTACCCACAGCCGGTGTATGCCATTATTCAGAAGAAACATAACTGGCTCCGATGCCCTTCGACTGAGATCGGAATGTCAGCCTCTAGGCCAACCGCTGCAGCTGTCTGAGTATGCTGCCTTCTGGTCTCGCTACCTCTCACAAAGGCCCATCTCCGGTATGCAGCTTCCTTCAGGAGGATTCGTTGCTTTGCTTCAGACTCTTCACTTGTCGCAAGGTCTGTATAAACCGACACCACCGGCTGGTCCCTCATCATACACGAGAACTCTGGCTGGCCCTAACTCGTATACGCCTTACGACTCTTCTGGAACAAACGATGCTTCTGGAGATGATAGATCCTCGCAGGTCTCTGGTGACTCTGACAATTCATGCGCCTGGCTGCCGTACGACTCTCCTGTGGAGAACCAAGACTTTGCTCCCTTCGACTCGGCAAAGGCAACCGTATACCGATATCGTCAGCAGCAGTCTGTTAACCTTGGCTCCTGGTAAGTGTCCGCCGTCATCGCCTACATTTTCTGGGGCTAATACGCCTATAGGTTTGTCCATGAAGCTTGGATGACGCCCTCACTATTCTCCTGTGCTGCTGACGACCAGGAGTCCGAGGTCGATATCGCACATGGCTGGGAATCTATCGCTGGGGCTCGCGCTGTTCTCGAGCGGCATTGGGATACCTTCGTCAACGATTCTGATTTTCAGTATCTGGCAAGCGTTGGTATCAACACTGTCCGACTCCCTATCGGTTACTGGAATCTAGGACCAGATTTCGTTCAAGGCACACCCTACGCCGACGTGGGAGACGTATACCGCAATTCGTGGCCAAGGATTGTGCGGACGATAAACATGGCGGCTGCGAATGGTATCGGCGTTCTCGTTGATCTACACGGTGCCCCAGGGAGCCAGAACGGTCAGCAACACTCGGGTATATCGGATGGCCAAACGAATCTCTTCGACAGTCCTACGTTCATCAACCAGACCTTGGCTGTGCTTACCTATCTCGTGCAACAACTGGCCTACGTCACGAATGTCGTTGGGATACAGATACTCAACGAACCGCAAAACGTGCCGTCTCTTTCAGATTTCTGTAAGATTCAGCTTCACTTTCACCTGGCTAAGTCTTATGGTCGCCTTTAGACGACCAAGCGATCGCTACCATGCGCCAGGTATACCCCGAAGCCAACGTGCCTCTATACCTTCACGACGGGTTCGATCTGGAGCGCTTCAGCAGCTATGTCGCCAACCGCAAAGACTTTGTCGTGCAAGATCACCATTCCTACTTCGTTTTTACACCCTCAGATGCGAGTGAGCCGGCATCGCAGCATACGTCGGATGTCCAGAACGGCATCGCGGACTCTCTTCGCCAGGCGTCGGTAGCCGAACACCGCAGCCTTGTTGTAGACGAGTTCTCCTGCGCTCTTACAGACGAGAGCTTGCAAGACGAAGCGGACCCCAACCAAGCTCGCATGGATTTCTGCACGGGACAGATCGAGATCTATGCTAATACCACGGCAGGATGGAGCTTTTGGGGTAAGCTCATTCCAGCTAGCCTCAGCCCCTGCTAACACTCTCATTAGCATATCGGAAGGAAGATTGTGCGGATGACCCAGGGTGGTGCTTTGGAGCTGCTGTTGGGAAGGCGCTTCCCTCCACCTTCTTCTCCTACGGTGTGCCCCCGGCCGACCCTGAGCCTGTCCAGCTGCCGGACATGTCAACGCTCAGCCAAGGCATGACTCCGCCTTCAGGTCAACCGGATCCATCTCCGACCAGCACCTCAGTTCAATACGAACCTTATGCACAAGGTGACACTTCTTCTCCACCCCCCGCGTTCCGAAGCACCCCTGGGTATCAGCAGAACCCTCCGGCAAATAGTGGGCCTTCGGACGCGTTGCAGCAGGCTTCTAAACTTCGAGGCTACAAGGATGGTTTCCTGACCGCAAGGATCCTTGCGCTGTACAACCTGTCGAAGCTAGGCTTTGTAGGACAGTATATCTTGGACAGCTTGGCGACTCTGGGACCTGACGTTGTCGCTCCTGGCACGGAGAGCTTCTATGAAGAAGGATTCCTTCAAGGCCTTGCCGACGGAGAGGCTGTAGTTGCCTCTGGGTTGGCTGCGTCGGGGTAGCGTAGCGACTTATGTGGGGGGATTAAGCGTGTATTGCTTGGACAATACATGTTTGCCATGCCAAAGGAGCATTGTCGCTTGACAAGCCTGCGGGCGGCCTTGAGGCTCTGTATCTAAATGGGCGCTTGTGATGGGTATATACAGCCTTAGATACCAAACGAGAAATGAAACTCTTCGGGCTCGTTGAGTTGACGACTTGAAACGCCTCTAGTGTGATCTCTCTCCCTGCGACGGCCACCGACGCTCCGACGTCTCACTTGCTCCTCGTCCGGCACTCCCATCACCTTTCTCTTCCTCACTTGACTGGACAGGTCTCCGGTCTCCAGAGCTGGGCTCTCTGCACTCGTTTTCCTGCTCGATCCCTCCAGCCGTAGACCGGTTTCCGCTCCTTCTCTTCAGCTCAAAAACCGGCAGTGCCCTATTCTGAGATCTCGCGATGGCTTCCTCCGCTAGCATCCTCCTTGCTTACCGTTACGTTCTGTTCGGTGAATACCCTTTTGCCTTGTCGCTAGGCGAGAAGCGAATTTTGACCGGATCCCTTGTAGTCTTCTTTGTTATCTGCAATGCTATCATTTGCAGCGTGGCAGTGTGGAATCATGGTATGCCTGAGGTGACTGGACATGACTGTGAGTGGCTCTTGTCCTTCCCCGACAGTCTCGTCTGACCTTGGCATGTTTAGACCAAATCGACGCATTCCTCACCTTTGTCGGAGCGTTTGGAATCATATTCATCATCCCAACGTGAGTTCACTGGAGTGCTTCTTCTGACCAAGTGCTCAAGATGTGCACTCAGTGTTGCCGTCGACCTGTTCAGGAGGAACGCTGTTCCCAGTCGTGTGTGGTTTGAGTCTCTTTGGGTCGGTATCTTTTGCTTGATGGAACTTGGTACGTCTATCTTTAATATGCATGGGATAATGAATTGACATGTGCCCCGCAGCTGGCGCATCTGCGCTGACTGCAAACATGTCCAACATGTCTTGTTCGTCAGGTTCGTCTCTTCGGGATTTCGAGCCGCTCCGAAAGCTCATCCGCACATAGTTAACGACACCGTGGACGTTTGTACCTCGTCCCTGGTTATGCTGTCTTTCGCTTGGTTGATCACAGTCATGCGTACGTGTTGCTCCCGCCTTGCCATGCCTTCGGAGACACTGAAGATATCTCTGCAGTCCTTGTGTATCTCCTCGCGTTGACATTGTCGGCAATCCTGCATCAAGATGCAGGCGTATCCGTCTGGCAGTCCAGCGTCCGTTTCTTCCCCTGGTACGCAACACACGCTTCGCTCAATAGCGCGCCTGCGTCACCTACACGCCAGTGGAAGAAGCCGCTACAGCTTTCTGCTGAGCCTCGTCCCCCAGTGCGGCAAGCCGTCATCGAGAAGTCCCCTGTTACGGGACGCGCTGCCGCCAGGCCTGCTCCCCGGCCAGAGCCATCATACGAGCCTTCGCGGCCCGCACCGCCCGTTCCCCAGTCTCAGGCGCCCCTAGCATCTGCGGAACCCGCTTCTCTCTACCCTGCGGTCCTCAAATCCAGTCTGCCCACCGTGCAGCGCTCGCAGACCTCAGATACTGCGCCCCCGCCTTTAGGCGACTGGCCTCGCAGGCGGACCGAACAGTCACCAGCTTCGGCTGACAGCGTCGCACCGCAGTCAACATCCATCACGTCTTCCACCCCAAGGCACCCTCGCAACGGCTCGAACGGGAGCCTCAGCGGACGCCAGCGCCCTATTCCTCCACCACTGGACCTGACAAAGATTAGCGCGTATCGCTAGATCGAAGAGCGGGCTCGTCGATAGTTCCTAGTCGCAGTGAACCCTAGCCTTGAGCTTAGGCTTAGGTCTTTCGGCCTTTATTTTTTTTACGCGCCATGACGCGTGCTGAGCATGCTTGCATTCGTCCTTCTATTTCTCTGCGTTTCATCGTGGGATCCACGCCGCTTGCCCTCTGCTTTCTTGTTTATGTGTTATTTTGTAGCCCGTAAGATCGCGTACTAGCAATGAATGGCTCTTTATGCTCTACAAATTGTGTGCCGCAGTCGGCTCGTATTTGGCCTTATTTGGCCGTGTTCCCGGAGTAGACGCCCCGCGATGATGGCATTGTTCATTTCGCGTACCCGTTCGGTCTGAAAGGATGTGTGGCGCATTGTTCTTTGAGAAGAAGGGCATTGTCCTCGCCTCACTGCCACCCGGAGCCGCCTTGCATAAAAGCAAAGGAATGAGCAGGCACCGTGGCCACCGCCTGGCTGGCCCTCCCCCGTGGCGGTCTTCGACATAGAGGACTCGGACTCTGCCTGTTTCTAGACTATCCTGCGTTTCGCTCATAGAGACCTGTGCTGCCTTTGGACATTGGACTATCACTTCACGCTGCATCCTTCTGTTTCCGCTCCCTGCTCCGATAGTTGTCTGCGTCTGCGACGTGGACTTGTCTTACGAACGGACTCTCTTCACGCTCCTGACGACGGCACCCTGCCTATAAGATGCGCAGCCCGTTATTAATTGCTCGTTTTGTGTCGTTTTGTGAGTTCATTGCTGCTTTGTGGGCCGCCCTAGGTGGCCCTGATCCGCGCAAGCTCGACAGACCTTGACTGATGACATCTTGATTAGCCGTCCTGGTCTACCTCAACCTGCTCGCCCTTGGCTTCGCGGGATGGGAGATCTCGTCTATGAGGGACGCTGGATTATCTGGTGAGCTTTTTTTTTGCGACATGGCTTGAGATGCGTCAGTGCTAATTCCGTGGTAGTGTCCGGCTCGCCCATCTTCATAATCTTTAATGCCTGTGCACTCCTCTATTTCATCATTCTGTAAGTCCCGAATTATCTCCTAAATGAGGGAGCGAACTGATTATCTGTTTCGTACTCCAGCGCCAGTGCTGAGTTGGTCGTTCCGGGCGCTGGGACGGGGCAAGTCAACTTTGAGTGTGGATGGACGGGTCTTATGAGTGCACTGCAGCTTGGTAAGTATTGACATTGATGGACGCCTTGAGAAATGGACATTAACATGAATATGTAGCGTCCGCAGTTGATGTTGTCGTTAACGGTCCGCCAGTTTACTGTCGAGTGCAAGGTTAGCGAGAACAGAGTCGTTTCATTTGTAGATTGAGCGGCTTATTCAAGGCTCGACAGCGTATGAGGCGGTCTGCGCCTCTTCTACCGTGCTTGCTGCCATCACTTGGACGTCCTCTATCTTAAGTGAGTCCGTGTGGTGTGTTGAGGAACTATCACTGACTCTTTACCCCTTAGTAATGGTCTATTTCCTCACGCTCTTCTCTCTCGCGCTCTCCCATGCGTCTGTTTATGGAGCATTCTGGCAAACGACGGTCTACCAAGCCCCCTGGTTCGTCGAGCCAGCCCTTGGGGGATCTGTAAACAAACCCTCCAAGCCGAAAGAGCCATGGGAAAACCCCGCGTTTAGCGCTTACGAGGAAGAGGACGAGAAAGAGGAGGAAGATTTGGGAGATGTCTCCCTCACACCTCCAGTGGTTGCTTGGGCTCGGAAATTCGACCTCGAAGGGCTCTATATGCCCTCAGCGCCGCTGCGGGCGAAGAGCGTCGAGAGCATGCGCCCCGCCTGGGCCAAGCGCGTCAACACGCGCCGCGGCATCGACCCACCCTTCGCGCCGGCGCCGGTCGCCCAGCGTGTCTCGCGGCTCGTGAAGTCATACTGGAGCGGCACTAGTGCTCCCCCGACGCCCCCGGCTAAAGCCAGCCCCAGCCTGCCTAGGCCATCGAATCTTAACGGGGGCTTCATCGACTGCCACCGGGCATCTTATGGGTACTTCCCCGACGAGGTCGCGGACGAAGACCAGCCAATCGCACAGCCTAAGCGGTGCGAGTGGGTGCAGGCACATCGGTGATTATGAATGGCCGCTCACGGGCCCGATTTGAACGAACTATCATGGTCAAGTCGACGAATATTGTATCCATACATCATTGTAGTAATATCACTGTACCGTAGACACTTTACGTGGATAATGAAAGACATACGCCACATGCCTGGTTGCTACACGTAGTTGTACAAACCAGATTCGTTATCCAACAAGACCTGATGATATGCAGAGTAACTGAGTGACAACAGATAGAAGCGCATAGCACTCAGGATGTTCCCGACACCCCTCCAAGGGAGGATACGCGCAAACGAAGTGTTTGCAATTCTTCTTGTGCTTGGCGGAGAGCAATCAACGCCCGGTCACGCTCCCGCCGTGTCTTTGCGAGCGTCTTAGCGTCTTCTTCCTCCAGCTCTCCTGCGCTTACGGCGATCCCTGCACCCAGCAATAAGAGATGGGCGCCTAGATATATTGTGACACGACACTTGCCTCCAACCAATTTGACCAACCGCCAGAGACGGAGAATGATAAGCAGGCCGGCAAGCTCCCGCTCGCGACCCCGGAGGACAATCTCAAGGACGAATGTGCCCACGATGACAAGGGCATCGAACAAATGGAGGCCGGCATGGGGGACGGGACCTAGCGGATTGTAGTGCGCAAAGCCCATCGCCCATAAGGTGACGGGGATTTCAACCAAGAACAGAGTCGTGATCCCTAGGGAGATGTGGGAGAGGACGTCGAGCCAGACGGGCGCATCAGGGCCCTCGACGGGCGTGCAGGTGTCCGACAGCACCGTGTATCCGAGATCTGCCAGGACACACATCGAGTCTGTGAGGACCTGTGGACGACAGATGGTAGTCCCACCCGCTTGAGAACGGCTGTCAGAGCGAGACGTAGGGCGGGAGAGATACGCGCCAGAAGTATGACGGTATAGTGCCATGGTTTGGACTCGAGCCTCTCTGCCGTCCTCTCCTGCCACACCGCGATCGTGCCTTTCTTATCGCGTTCGTCGATGTTGCCGCCCTCTACATCTGAGTCTCCGGTTCCAGAAACGTCGTCAGAGAGTAGCGGTTGTTGCTCAGACATGATTAATGTGCGCAGGAGATGTGAGGCAGTGCCGGTGTTAAGGCCTGAGGCTTGAAAGACGTGGGTGCCGCCAAAGACGGAGCAGACGCGTGACCGTGACGATCAGCCCTGCCCACTGTCCAGTGGTTCGTAGTCGCGTACAGCGCCTCGTTGTCGAGTAAGTACATTCAACTTCAGTGTCACCTGTATCATATGATGATGAAATTGTCCAGCTAGCTGTAACCATTCAGAGCCATGAGTTCGTGCCAGGATTCCGGAGCTAGTCTAAGTCTCAGCAAGCACTGCGCTTGGGCCGACTTCTGGTGGGAAATGGACCGTTACCGCGGGCTGATGTCCCATCTGCGTTGTCATCTGTCCAGTGCTTCGAGTATAAGAAGGCTAGATCACTGAGCGCGGATGATCTTTGGCTCCCCTTCGTTCACCCCAGGCTCTGACTGAGTCAGGCCCACTGGTTCTCAATTTTCTTGTTGGGTTCTCCTCAGCTCGGTTCCCTGGAGGAGCTTCCTCTCTTTTCGCTTTCGCTCCCTTTATTTGCCCTTTCTTCTCTGTTGTATTATTGCGTTTCTAACTTTTCAAGATGAAGTGGGGTTTGTTCTTCAAATTCAGGAGGGTGATCTACGGTAAGCCCTCAGCCATCATTCCGAGTTGCTAACATACTGAGACTCAGACGCAGCGGCCATTTCCATCACCAGCTTGTTGCTGGCCGCCGTTCTGTCAGTCTACGTTGCGCGTACATGGCATCAGTCCGTGATGATTGGACGTAAGTGCCTCTTCAACTCCTTGACTACTTGGCTGATTGTGGTCATGATTTCAGGTGGAAGCATTCTAGGGATCATCGGAGCAAATTTTTTCACTGCCGTGCTAGTGTACTTGATGTGAGGCTTGCTTCTGTCCTAGTTTCGCCCATTGCTCACGCTGCAGCACAGGATTGTCGTTCACTTCCGATGGGTCTTAGACTTCTTTCGGATTCTATTCCTTCTCCTCTTACACGCAGGTGAGTAATGATCAAATATAAGAGGAGGCTTCGATGTATGACACAAATTGTCAACAGCTAGCTCGCTCGTCGTGACTTTCTTCAAACGCGATTTCTCATGCGCTGTTTTTGGTGTGTTAGACACAGCTCTAAGCCGTCTTCCTTCACTGACGTCCAATAAAGCAACCCAGTCGTCCTGCGATACGGCCTACATCGCCTTCTTGGCCACATCATGGGCTATAGCAGGATTATGTGGGCATAAATTTCTGATTCTGTCATAGTCGCCCTAATCTTTACATTTCAACAGTGCTTTTGTACATGCTATGCCTTCTCCTCATGTCGCGAGTTCCTCGACCGCTGCCCAAGATCACACCTAACTTGCTCATAGACGACCCGGAGAAGCAGAAAAGAACGTCTCTCACTTCCGTGCGGTCTGTGGACTCGACTACAGGTCTCTTGAGGCGAGATACCCAGAGAAGCGGGAGCAGCTTAGGCAGCATGGATCAGCCAGCATCACTACCAAGAGCATACTACGTCGCAAATATGACTGCACGGGACTATTCCTTCTCGTCTCAGACTCCTGGGACAAGTCTTCCTAGAATCGATTATGGCGGTGCCGGAGCTTCTGCAGGTACAGAAGTGGGCCGCTCTTTCTCTCAGTCGTCGCAGCTGCGCAGACAAGGCTCTAGCCTGCCTGTGCCTCGATCACTTCCACTTTATAATCCTTTCCAAGAACCCCTCCCTCGCGATGGAAGCTCAGAAAGCGTGACATCGTTTAGGACGTTCAATAATGCCCCCAATTACCCGAACAACAACAAATGGGAGCAGTCGACAAGCCTAGACAAATACCCACCTCTGGTGCCTCTATCGCGGGCCACTTCCTCGTCTAACAGCAGCCAAGCAGCCCCTCCCGGTCCATCTCCACCATCCTACACCAATGTCACCAGCGAATCGTCTGTCTCGCTCTACACCGCACACAAGCATGGATCGCCGACCGGCGTACCACACGCCTATCACGACGCTCAGTCCACACGCGGTGGAAGCTCTCCAGTCTGGTCTGTGGGTGCAGCCCTGCGCTACCAGACGACGAGCCCCCATTCTGTCCACTCAGTCGCGCCGAGCATGCACCTCACGCACGATATCCAGCGTTCAGCACTCCCACAGGCCCTTGCGCACGCCGGCAGCGACCCCGTCTGGCGTCCACACACCGCAGGCCCGCTCATGCACCGTTATCCGACCGGGTCTCCCATGGTCGGCGGGTCTGAGGTGCGCCGGTTTGGGTCTGTCCCGAACACTTCGTACTACGCCAGACAGGGAGGGTCGTCCCCGACCGCTCGGAACGTAGCACACCTCGCGGGCGCGCTGGGAAGCACTCCTCCGCGGTCTGAGAGCGTCGCAACGAGCCTGGAGGAGTGGAAGAAGCTTGTCATGAAGGCGGCGACTGGACAAACTTACTGAGCTGCGATGGCTTGTAGCGGAGGTCTCGATTACGACGGGCATGTCGGGGTTGGGCTTTCGCTATTGCGAACCATGATTGGCTCAGTGAGCTTCCCTGCATACCATATTCCCATTGGCATAACAACTCCGCAGCACAATGCTATCTTTTCCGGACGCTAGCGCCAATTGATCGTAGTATACTCGCCTCGCGTATCTAATATAACACCTCGGGCGTCAAAGCCCCGAGACAAAGACGCACTCTCATTGGCCAGTGATCCCTCTCCCGAGGCGCCTCTCACGGGGGCGCTGCACGCCCAGCCAACCGAAGGTTGGCGGCGGACGGCGCGTTCTTCTCATTTCTCACTCAATTTCCCTTCTCAGCTCTTGTCTCAATTCTCTCTGCCCGTGCGTAGCACGGGTCACCCTCTCGTTTATTATACACGTTGATCTTATTCGTACACGCTTCCACAACTTCCTTTTCGACCGATGCTTCTGAGGTTGCTTTGCTCAAGGCGCGGCGGAGCTCGTTGGGACGCTGGTGTTCGCTGGGACGCTGGCCTTAAGCACACCAGCTTTGACACTGCCGCTAGCGACCGGGCGAGCGATCTTATTACTCCCCTTCTGAACAATGAACTCTGCGCTCGGGAAGCCGTCCAAGTTTGCGAAACCTGCAGAGTTCCGTCAGCATGGCGCGTCTCGTCGGCCATCAACACCGGCTCTTACTCGTGTTGCTCATCGCCCAATAGGTCGCGTTGATCTTCTCCGTGTCGATGGTGAGAGTGAAGAAGCCGCGGTACGAAGCCTCGCTCCATTGCAGATCCCTGTTCAGAGGGTCTGCGACCAGGATGCGAGAGAGGTTGTCCGCAGCGGCGGGGGTAATGCCGTTGCCGAATGGTGAGCTAGATGTGACAGCTGTCTGAAACAAACGAGTCAGCGTGCAGGATACTATGACGAGGTCCCAGAAGTATGCATACTCCTGCGAATTCCACAGCGAAACTACCTTCGCCAGTAACGGGATCATAGCTACATGGGACGTGTTAGTACGCAGCCTAGAAATGTGAAGTACGCTACAAACTTGACAGTGTCGTTCGGGTCTTGAATCGTCCGTCAGTCCTGCAATGTCCGATGATGCGAGATGAAAGCAGCTCACGAGCGAGATCAGAAACCCAGTTTGCGTGGCTGTCTCCAGACAGGATTACGACGTTACTGATCTGGTTGTCGTGAATGTGGTCCAGAATGCGGTTGCGGTTCGCGCGGTAGCCATCCCAGGCGTCGACATCGACTATTAGAAGGTTAGCCGTACGCCGCGCTGGTTGAGCAGACTGACGTACATGCTCCAAATTCGTCCAACTGAGTGAAAACAATTTGCTGTCTGTATATTTACGTGTCAATCGAGTCAACCAGAGAGAATACAGCAAACACACCCTACGACGCGCCAGATTGCTCCACGCTGTTTAGATTGGGACAACGTGTTGTAGAACCCTGGGGCGATCACCGTTAGACTTACACAGATGTAGATATACTGCCTGACTACTTACAGGCCTCTTGCTCAGGACCCATCATCGTACGGTTCTGGACGTCAGCAATGGAGTTGATGACTAATGGGTGATGGTTTGTGAGCCTAAGACGTATTTTAGAGAGCTCCTTCACGCTCACACTCTGTCAGAGCGGACACGGTCATGTTAATATCAGGGGAACACGCATACCACCACGACAAACTTACCGGTGTTGTAGTACAGCTGGTGAATCCAGTCAGTAGCGACTTGAACACGATTGTATGTACAAACTTACATCAGTGATATCACGGTCATATTGGCCTATGTAGGCCTATGTCAGTGATCAATTTTAGAGTGTCAGTCGTGTCGTCCCACGCACGAGTGTCGAGCATGGTCAAGTCCTACATTCAAACGTTTCTCAGTATCAGTTCGGATGAGATACAGAGCAGGACTTACGAGGAGCTGGCCAATCTGGAAGTTCCTCCAGATGCGCAGCTTGTCGCTGACGTCGACTTGGCGAATGGGCATCCACTCGTGGTACGCACGAACACCAGCCAGCTTCCGATCCGTAAAGCAAGCACCCGAAGGAGAGAAAGAACAGCCCGTGGTACTGTCGTTGCTATCTGCTGTTCCTGCTTTCCAGGACTGGTCGGCAACTTCATGATCGTCCTATGATGTGATAAAATTATGAGCACACCACCGAAGTCATCGCCTGTACAAGCATGCGTACCCTGGAATTGCAGATATTAGTTCAATTACGGTCAGTAGAAGTAGGGAAGACGACCTGCCAGACAGTGATCCAAGGGCCAGCCAGATGAGCATCAATCAAGCCCGGGTCGGTGCGGTATTGGTTGAGTCGTTGACGATAGTCAAAGACAGTAGCGAGCTCACGACCCAAAACCTCGCGGCCGATCTTGGCTCTATTCGCACTCATAGCATTTAACAGTACTCGCTGTGAGAGGAACTTGCCGTACTTACCCACTGCCCAGGGACTCGTAGATCTAAAGGCTCATCTCAATCAATTGTCCCTTGAAGGTCGAAAATTGACTTACATAGTCACCAAGATGAATGAAGATATCAGCACTGGTGTTATGAGCGGCAATTCCGTACGCATTGAACCATCCTGTGTGTAGGTGTCATCTGGGCAAACTTCAAGAAAGAACACCAGGAGCAACGGACCGTTCTGGAATTGCGAACAGCTGAAGACCGCGAGGGTCAACGGCTTACCACCATTAACCTGATTCGCCGGGGCTGATCAGGGCGTCACCATACTTGCTGTATCCTTTGCACGAGAGCACGTACTGTTTGGTGCGGAGATGGTCCGAGTCGCGCCAACGGGACTGGTCGTGTTGGAGTTTGTGCAGTCGGCGAATTGGTACCAGTATTGGGTGTCGGCCTTCAGGTGCTCCGCCTCGACCTTGACTGTGAAATCGACATCATAGGTCGTGAATGCTTCGCCCGAGTCAATCGGCCCTCCGGAGAGCTGAGAGTTGTCAAAGATTTTGAAGGAAACGCAGACAGGAATGCTCTGGTCAGGGCCCGGGGGAAGCGGTACCGCGCGTGTCCACAGAAGGACAGAGTCATCGAACGGATCGCCCTGATATCCGGGCTGAGAATCAGGGTTCCAACATGTCAGGAAGGAGATGTGCTCACACTAGCGACGGCATGAGTGAAGTTCAGACCGCCGGTCCAGACCCATGCGCTCTAAATGAAAGTTGAGCCCAGGTTTACAAGGTAAAGATAGAATGATGACATTGCTGAAATCCCCACCATAGAAGGTAGGGTAGTGTTCATCGTCAAAGGAAGAGGCATTAGTAGTGTCAGGGATGTTCTGCCTCTTGACGTGTGCTATGTGCCGTTTCTCAAGAGTCCGGGTATCATGAGAGAACTACCGGCGTGCGTTTCTCAGCCATGAGATACAATCTACGGGAATGATGTAACCATACCTCCTTGTAGCCAATGAAAGGCGACCTGTACACCAAGTTCTTGTCGAACAGGGCGTTGGCCGACACGGCCAGGGCAACAATAACCCACAGTTGGCCGAGCATCTTCGCCACTTCCTGGGAGACAGATGCAATGCTGCCATCCTCTCACACCGCCAGCGGGTACTTATATTTGATGACTAGCGAATTTTGATGAGAGACACTGCCGACGGCAGTACGTACGCCCTGGATGCATCATTGGCGCCAGGCATTCGTAGGGTTCAAACGTCGAGCACGTTCGTCTGGCCATTGGAGGGTGCATGATGGAATGCCCGCGGCATGCGAAGCCTCTGACTTGAATATCAAAGGGCAAGAATGGCGATTGCGCCTCCCCATGACTGCTGAAGGGAAGCGCAGACACGTGAGGATGGGCGTCGAAGCAGAACGCATCCGTGAGAGATGAATACACCAAAGGCACCGCGCCATGCGCACCTTCATTAGCTTTTCGTGAGACGAACGATACGGATCCAGTGCCACTCCATCTGCGGAGTCGCGTCGGAGGTCATTTCGCTCAACGTTCCAGCATCTGGCCAGGGCGCGACCGCGCTTCTTGGCTGATAAGTGAGAACATGTCATTACGGCACTACGTGCGTGGGTGCATGCTGAGCGTCGCGGTCCGACGGTAGTGGAGAAATCGTGGAGCATGTCATATGCCACTCTACTCGGGAATGCGAAGGTGAGTGAGTTACAAATTCGAGCTGATCAAGCGATATCGGGAAATCGCTCAGCGTGCGCGCGAAAGAGATGGACGGTTCTCCGCGTATCCAAGAAGTTGTATTATGAGGCAATGATACGTAGTATGTTGTACAGAGCTTACGCGTGGATCGTCCGTGCAGCACACGCCACTATCAACCTTTCACAAGCCCTACACCAAGGCAATAGTTGATATCTGACTTAGGGCAAATTCTACGTCTGAGCTGCCATCTGCCATCTCGTCGTTTTGGATGAGACGAGCAACTGAAAGTATGGGTTGAAGCTGTTTCCAAACAGCATCGTTTAGCTGTCTGGTTTGCTGTGCCGTTGCGCTCTCGAAACCTCCACGGAGTTGCTCGAGGCCCATGTCGAGGTCCTCGCGAGAGGCCTTGGAGAGTTCAGGGAGGAGAGCAATGACGATCTCATCGTAGGTGAAGGCTGGAGGAGGAGGCACCGGTGCTGGTGCTACAGTCTTGGAAGTGCAAGGTCGCTGATGGAGATCGGCGATTATAGACTTCAAGCTAGATAGTGTGCTCGACAACTTGTCGAAGTCCTGGCGTACAGCGTTGTCAGATGCTTTCAGCTGCATCTCAGCGTCAGCGGCTGTTTCAAACGAGACACAATCAAAGGCTGTACACACTTCTGTGATCCTCATCCTCAGCTGCTCCTGTTCGACACGCAGCTGCTGCAAGTCGACAAGCGTGACTTGCCCCCGTTGCGACACCTCAGCCACTTCGGCCTGTCTCATCGCTAACTGGCTCTGCGTTTTAGCAATCTCCACCTCCTGCGTCTGCAACTGCTCAGGTGGCACGGTCTCTCCCAGGGCATGTGACCTGGGAGTTGGAAGGGAACCTGCCACCGTCCCCGCCCTGTTGACAGACTCCTGCGCGGCGGTTCGAAGGCCTTCCTGGTAGGCTTCCAGCTCCCTGACTCTAACGTCCATCTGATCGATCCGATCTGTGGCGTCGCGCAGGAATTGTATGAGCTGTGCATCAGCCCGCTGTGCTGGGAAGCGGGTATCGCTCGTAGAGGCCGTTGCATTCAGTGTCTTGCCTGCCGACGGGTGTTGAAGCCGTCGAGGCTCAACGAGCGGCCGCACATCCTCGAGCCACGCTTTGACTTCGGCTGCGTACCGCTCGAATCGCTCCAGAGAATTTGTCCGTCCAGCCACTTCTGACTGGTCCGAAAGCTCAAAACACGACGACTGCAGCGCCAGTGCCCGCAAGGCATCATTGCGGTGCTTCTGGGCTCTCACAAATCCCTTCTCGTGGTGCTTCAGATCCTGCTTGATCTTTTCCTGTGCTAGTGGACAGGCATGTGCGTATTTGCGCACTTTGGAGAGGCTCTTCGAACGTGCAAGGGCTTGTTTTGCGTTTTCCCACTCCACATAGGACAAGACAGCTTGTGCAAGAGCCCTACAAAGGATATGAGTGGAGGAAATCACAATTGGGCAGTATAGAACACGTACCTCACGGCTTTGACAGGACTGCCCTGAACGTCAGGGGATATAGAGCGCAATCGTAGCGGGCGTCTGACATCCATGGGAGTTGTGTGGCGGGAAGAGGTCCGCGAGTGGGCCTTCGTTCTTTCCTGCGAGTCCCGTGGCTTGTCTGGAGCTGCTTGCATATCCGGCTTCTTCTCGGCCAAGGTTGCAGGACGCAACGTCTCGTCAGTCATTGGCCAGTCTGAATCAGCCACAGCAGCCGGTGGCTGATGTTCTGCTGCACGATCTCCGGCGTGAACGGCCGACCACGAGGCGACTGCATCATCTCCAGCACCGCCAGTCGAAGTACTTGCAGCAGGAATCGGCACCAGATCTGTCTCTGTAGGTACGATATCCATATTCCAGTCATCGCCAGTATTCCACGAAGTGGCCTGGTTGACAACTGAACTTTTGGCATTATCGCGGTCTCCGGACACGGAGGCACCAGCCTCAGTGGTATAGTCGCCACCGGTTTTGACAGTTGCGCTCCACGATGTAGGGTCCCATCGAGGCACGGGCGAGCCAGGTCGCGGAGAGTCACGCACCGAAGACTGCCAGGGATTAGAGGACCAAGGCGCAGGCGCAGCGGACGGACCAGCCGCAGTACTTGGGCTGTCTGAAGGCTTCGGCACGGGTTCGAGCGCATCCGCAGACGTCCAGTTGGTAGGCTCGATGCCCGTGCCCGGTGAGTCGCTCCAGCCAGGTTCAGTACCGGTAGCTGTCTCCGATGCCACAGCGTTGCGCCAGCCATCGCTGGCATCGACCGTCACTCCCCACTTGGCGGAGCTACCCCAGCCACCGCCTCCAGTTTCGACGGCTGTGCCCCAAGTCGGGGTGCCCCATTTAGGAACGGGTGAGCCAGGTCGTTGCGGAGATACGGGCGCTAAAGAGTTCGCCCAGGGATTGGAGGTCGATTTAGAGGGGGTGTCCGGTGTAGTCCAAGAGGCATTGTTATTCGTGCCTGAGCCCCAGGCCGGGCCGGTGTTCCATGCCGTGCTCCATGTCGGGTTACTCGAGCCCTTCATGTCCCAAGCTCCATTCGTAGAGGCGCGACGACCCTGAGACTGCACATTGTTACCTCGTCTTCCACGAGTGGGCCAACCAGAGTCTCGTCCTCGCGGTGGGCGACCCTGGTGATCTGGACGGCGCGGAGGCTGTGCGGAGTCCCATTGAGCATCGCTGGGGTGGACGAAGTTGCAATGGCCAGTTGGCAGATTCCGGCAGCCACCATTTATGGGACTACCGTTGTCGTTATAAAACTTGCGAAGTCCCTACAGTGTCAATGCAGTTCAAGGAGGGAGAGTTCGAAGGTGGGCACACCTTACACCGTGTCGGAGTCCACGGCATTGTTTTCTTCCTTCACTTCTCCTCGGGCGTAGGTGTGTCCTTCGGGAAAGCGAACTCAAGTTCTCGTCAGTGCGACAATATTTGGCAAAGGCGGATCGCGAGAATCTGAATCCGATCTCGGCGTTGACCGAGTTATCCCGTGACGTCAATGATCTGGGTAAGTGTTTGGTTGTAAACAATTTACATAACCTGGCAACGGCTGTATTCAAACCCCAAAGGTACCCTATAATACTCTACACTAGCCAAACAGCACAGCAGGAAAACGGAGACGTGTACAAGTCGTGCTGAGGGAGTATCCGTCAGGGGTCGTGTCGCAAGCAGCAAGTACATACAAGGTGAGTAGGGTATCGCACACGTGTAAATGGTAACGGATCTAGAGGAGAGGGCACAAGCATGAGGGGTTCGTACAACTCACAAAAAAGAATGAGCAGAGTAAGCGAGCGGGAGGAGGAAAGGAGAGTTCGCAATCGTTTGACAGTCATACCAAGGTCGTAAAACACTCATCACAGACGTACAATACTGGCACCAGTGCCAACACATTACCAGCCGAACCAGCTGTTGGGAGTCCTGCGAGGACGACCCATACGAATGTACGCCTCCTCCTCCTCTTCTTCTTCGATCTCTTCCATAATGGGAGAAGGAGTATCGACAACTTCCTCAATGACCCGTTCGATGCTGGTCGTCCGAGGAATGGAAGGAGTGGACGATTGCCTCTTGGCCTCGGGAGCAGGGGAAGCGACGATGCGAGTGTTGGCAGGAGCGGGAACGGTGACGGTTTTTGTCGGAAGAGTATGGGTGTGATGCTCGGTGAAAGTGACTGTCTCGGTTTCGAACGCGACTTCAACGGCTGTTTCAGTAACAACAAGAGGTGGAGGAAGAGCTTGAAATTGGGGAGCATGATGAACAACCTGAAGAAATAAGAGGTAAATCAGCAATCGTTGGTACGATAAGGAGTGGAGGAGAACAGGCGGCCAAGCTGTTGTCGCGACCGACGTGACAGCCGCTTCACGAACGGTCACATCACGTGAGCGCGTCTAATTATGAACAGCAGCGTGGTCGCCTGCCCCGGAGAAGGACGAGGGGGACAGAGATTCAGAAACCGTATCCCCCAAGCCCAGCGACGAAGGGAGGGTGGGAGGTACGTGAAAAGTACTGAACTGTACACAAGTGAGTTAAGAAAATAAAAGTCGGCGATGGCGCCCCCCTTCGTCTCAGAGCTCGGGGCGGCGGACGGGAGGTGGTGGTACCTTGGCTTTCCGCTTAGGGCTCGGCGGTCCAGGTTCGTACACAAACTCCTCTTCTTCGACCGCGGGTTCATCAGAGTTCAACACGCTGCAAAAGACGCGCTTTAGCATGCGCAACGCTTTGGAACACGAAGACCTACACAAGCTGCTCCATGATCCAGTTTTCGCGACGCGACGCGTCATGCTCCCTGCGGTTAACTGCTTCTTCACGGCGGCTAATTTCCCGCTCGCGCTCCGCGATCTTGAGCTCGCGATCCAGGATATCCTCAGCGCGAATGCGCGCTTGGTCCCACCAGCCGGGCGGTGTGAGGGCCTCCTCCCTGAAGACTTCCTTGATGACAGTCTGGACCGGAGGAGGAGGAAGAGGAGCCTCCGTAACCTTCTCAATGACAGATGGGCAGGGCGGGCATTGCGGAGTCTGGAGAACACCGCCTGGAGCACCGGCCAAAATTTCTGCTTCCCGGCGTGCCACTTCCGCTTCACGTTTAGCGACGTCGCTTTCGCGCCCAATGAGGACCTGGGATCGCTTTGGAGTGAGGATACCCCAGACACCTTGCTGTTGACCACCCTCGCCGGTCGCACCACCAGTTGCTGTTTGGGTGTTTGGCAGGGTGAGCATGACGGCTAGGACGGCGAGAACCAAAGACAGGACGAGGAGAAGCGTGGTAGATGAGATAGTGCGGTGGTGATGATGACGGGAGGACCGCTCGCTGCGCTCGCGTTCACGCTCCCTTTGGGAAGAAGAAGGCTGTGCCATCCTGACGCTAATGGAGTTCGAGGGCGACAGGGATGTTGTGTGAGTACGGTTTCGATGTAGGGACGCTATGGTGGTAGATTGGCGGGTCGTAGTAGATGAGCAAAATAGGTATCGCTATGGATAGGCGTAAATCGAGCACGGCGTGGGTATTTGTACCTCTCAGAAGAAAGGCGGGGGGGAACAATGGAGGTTGGGGATGAGTTGCAAGTCGAGCCGTCCTGGAGTTGAACCATCCCAACTTTGTACTTGTTTGTACACCTCAAGCCCCAACCCTAACACGTGTTGGCAGTGATTTCCATTGTCAGACTTCCAATTGTACCGCTCAGGGCAACGCGTGCAGATGCGGCGATTCATGGGTCGGTATGGCATCTGAAAGAAGATAGCCCACGGCGAGAGAGGCCTTGGCATATCCCAACAAGTGCGAGCACGCGGCTGCATACGAGATGTGGCGCGACGCGCTTTTGGGCCCTAAGTGTGAGACACGCGTGACGTGACAAATGCCACGCGACACCATTGTCACAGCGCGGGGGCGCCTGCCACGCGCATCTCGTCGTGAGCGCGCGCGGTTCCTGCAGTCGTCCAGCCACCCCCAAGTACTATAAGGCTTGTCCAGCAGCCACTATGTCCGGGCTACGTCGGTTCGCTCAAGCCAATCATGCTGCGATGTCGACTTCATCCTCGCCACAGGACGATATGGTCGCGCCACGCACACCCATTAAGGGCCTGCAGGAACCGACCACACCCCGTGGCACGAGGATGGTCTACCCACTCTCGCCTCTCACTAGTCCCTCCAAATCGGCGTCGCTGCCGTTTGACTGGGATGCTGTGCGCAACAAGAAACTTCCCCCATATGTCGAAACCATCGCCACCAAGCGGGCCCGACTTCAGAAGAAGGCTGAAGGTTCCGCAAAATCCACCAAACAAACTCAGAAAGTCGTCAGGAAAAAGAGCTTGCTCGAAAAGTATGAGCTCATAATATTTGAAGAGCACTGACAGCACTTCTAATCTCGCCGTTCACCCGCCACTAGAATAAGGTCCATACCTTCTGAAATTGCATTCGAGATCGCCCTTCTCCCAAACAATGTTCCATTGCCGACTGCGAGAAAGGCAGCTTGGATTTTGGGTGGCATACTACATGCGGTGCACTTCATCATTCGTGTATGCCAGATACGCCAGGTGCCAGACTCGGACATGGGATGGGAAGACTTGTACCGTGAAGATGAGGGGGAAAGCTGGTTCGACTGGGTGAGTGACTAATCTTATCATTCGTGGCTCCGCGCCGACAGAACACTCTACGCAGACAATACCAGTGACAACTCTCCTCTTCCTTGCATCCCTCATAAATGCCTTCTACTTTTTCACGCGCACCCGTCTTTACCAGCTTAACATGGTCACCGACCCCGTCTCCTCGCCACACGCCAAGTTCGTTCGTCGGGAAGGTACGCCCGAGCCGCCTCCCCCACCGACACGGGGCGCGTTCCTCTTGTCCGTTATCAAAGCCTTTTGGCGTTCCCTCTCGCTGTCCATGCGGTTCCTTTTGAACATGAGCCCGCCTAAGGACCGACAGATCGCGAGTATGCGCTATGACCGCGTGCAGCAGCTCGAAGTCTGGACGCCAGCGGAGTTTGAGATGACACTACTCTCAATTTACTCGCCTGTCCACGCTTTCTTGTGGATGGCGCTGACCAGTGCGAACTGGATCATCCTGAGCGTCATCATGATCCTTGTTGGCGTGCAGGTACGCTCTGTCTGCTCATTCTTATCCATATTCACAAAAGCTGAATGCTTCGCAGACACGCGCCTTGACTAAGTCATACGACATCCTCATCAAAGATCGTGCCATCATTTCCGCTGAAGTTCTGCATGAATACGACGAGAAGGTGAGCTAACTGCGTATTCTGCAGACGACAAATAGCTCATATGCTTTTGCGTAGTTCGTCTATCCTCGGATCAATCCACTCCGGAAAGATCAAGCTGTGATGACTCACCAAGCTGAGATGGTTCTGTAACTCGCCCACGCTCTTCAATACCCTGCCAGCACACATACACACACTATCTTGCATGTATATATCCTTACAAGCCACACATTATCTGCAAATGATCATTCAATATTGACGAAGAGCGATATTAAGTGCATTGATTCCTTCAGTGTGCATGATACTGAAAGTTAGTATGTGGTACAACGATATTGCATGCGCCGTCTGTTCCTTGCGGTCGTAGGCTTAAAGCAAGAACTTCAAGCACGACCGTTCTCCTTGCCGCCGACCTCCTTCTCATACTCTTCGTAGAACCTGATGAGATCGTTGACATCATCGCGGGAACCCAAGAAGACTGGGCACCGCTGGTGGATGTTGGTCGGCACCACGTCAAGGATGCGGCCGTGTCCGGTGGAGGCGACACCTCCTGCCTAAAAAAATCATCGGCGGATATTAGAGGAGAGCGACGAGGATCACCAACCTGCTCTGTCAGATATGCCATCGGGAACGCCTCGTAGAGTAACCGCAACTTCCCGCTCTTGCTCTTCTTATCGTCCGGATACCCGAAGATACCGCCGTACAGCAGCGTTCGGTGTACGTCGGCTACCATGGAGCCGATGTACCGGGCGCTGTACGGCAACTTGCCGGTCGTAGGGTACTTGATGCTGTTCAAGTAGTTGACTACGGGCTTGTGGAAGTACATGGAGTTGCCCTCATTGAACGAGTAGATCTTGCCCCGCGAGGGAATCTTGATCTGCATGCAAACTGCTGCATTAGCAATACTGAAGAACATGCAAGAGCGGTCATACGCACATCTGGGTGAGTAAGGATGAACTCGCCAAGCGCTGTATCCAGTGTGTAGCCATTTACTCCGTTGCCGGTCGAGAGTACTAAGTTGCAGGAAGATCCATACCTGAGCGCTATCAGCGAAGAAGCATGAAACCTTGTTACCAGAGCTCACATCGTGTAGCCTGCTGCGACCATCTCGCTGCCCGGCCGGAGTACGTCGGAGATCGTGCCTTTCGAACCTGGGGCCTGTTCCCACATCGATGAGAACTACAGGACAATAACGCAGGAGGAAAAGCAGGGTGCTGACTATTTGATAGACACCAAAGATGGTGCCAATGTTCACACCGGCATCGATGTTGCTACTGCCGTCGAGTGGGTCAAAGACCACGCAGTACTTGCCCTTGAACTTGTCTTCGATGATGACGGCCTCTTCAAGCTCCTCAGAAACAAGTACAGCAGTCTTGCCTGAGGCGCGTAACGAGTTGACCATGATGTCGTTGGAGAGCACGTCCAGCTTCTTCTGTTCCTCGCCCTGGACATTGGAGTTCCCCGCGAGACCGACCCTGATATGATGTTAAGCCGGGGATGGCTGTCACGGTGCGATGTGCTCACAGATTGATAAGGCGCGCTTTTCGTACATTCGTGGCGATGAACTTGGAGGTCGTCTGGATAGCAGTTAGGAGCAAGGTCAAATCACCCGTTGCTATAGCTCCAAGCTGGAATTGCTGGGCCAGTACATGACTGTACGTGTCTATCAGCAGCCAAATACGAGATCCGAAGCCTACAGCGCTGCTCACCGGGTGAGGGTGATGATATCGGTGCTGGGGAGCTCCTCGTTGGACATCTCGGACGGCACTAGCTCAGGTATTAGTCTGGAGATATGAACGCAAGGTAAAATGAGGAGACAACTCACGATGGCTGGCGAGATTATATAGTCCCTTGTGTACAAGCTCCGGGACTGAACGGGTGGTGGAGGGAGGCGACCAGGACGACTCGCCGTACCCTCATTCTCAAGGGGCTCATTAGCAGTGGTCGGGGGAGATTTCCGAAGCGGCCGGCCCGCTTGCGCGCCAGAAGCACCACTCTTCAGGAAGCTCTTTCACGCGGCGTACCGGTAACGGCCGCCTTTGCGCTTTAGACGCTCAAACCCGCAAGTTGTGTGGCATCTCATTGCGAGTGCTCGAACCGTGTGACGGAAAGTTCTGCCTCTATGCTCTGTCAAATGCGCGGTCGAAAGATGGGAGCAACGAAAACCCAACGTCTGTGCATCCAACCTCACCTTCTCTCGTATACGATGCCTAACCCGAGAAGAAAACAGAACCATCCCGTCCTACTGTACATCTCAGCTGTTGGCTCAGGCAAGTTCGAGAGATTCGAAGGAAGCGCTGCTGCTGAGAAAAATAGCATCGAGGTTGGCAACTTGACCTTGGATGAGGGTACGGCGCGCCGAAGCCGTTCACCACGCTTTGTTTCTGACGCGTTTATTTGTTAGACGCCGCCGGAGGCATGGGCCGTCAATGTCTTCAGTTGCACCCTCCTAATGTGCGTTCTCCACGCTTTTAGCGCAGTTTCCTGGCTGATAACAATATCAGCGTCGGTCTTGTCATCAGTACAGGAATTTTCTCGACGCCGTCCTCCATGCTGGGCTCCGTCGGGTCCGTTGGCGCTTCACTATGCCTGTGGGTCCTTGGCTTCGTCATCTCGTTCTTCGGCCTCTTCATCTGGCTTGAGCTCGGTACGATGTTCCCGCGCAGCGGTGGAGAGAAAAATTACCTCGAGGCCGCATTCCCGCGCCCGAGGCACCTTATGACTGTGGTGTTTGCCACCCAGGTCATCCTGCTTGGTTTCAGTGCCTCGAACAGCATCGTACGCATCCAGTCTCAGCTATTGGTGGATCTAATATCTAACGACTATGTAGCTATTACGGCCTTCATTTGGCTAGGTCTTTGCTGAGAAGTGAGTCTTCCGTTTCCCAGCTACGGACTACTTACTGAATCTCGTAGCATTCTTGTTGCTGCAGGTCATGAAGCCGGGCGTTGGACCTCACGTGGGATCAGCCTTGGCGGTATATTGGGTTCAGTCTTGTCATCAAGGATCTTTCCGAGTAACGCAACGCGTTCTCTACGTAGTGATTGCCTTTGCCCCTTTAGCCACGGTATTATGCCTCGTTTTGGAGTGCTCGTCATGAACGTAAGTCATCAAATGTGCTGGTACCATGTACGCAGTTGCTGACTTTCCCTGCAGGCCCTCGGTGTTTAAAGATTGTTATCTTGATTTTCGTCGCTGCCAGTGGCTGGGCCGTCCTCGCCAGACACACGAAGGTCACGGACCCTCACATCAAATTCCGAAACGCCTTCGCAGGTTGCTCTCATAGTAGCAACGATGTGCGTCTTCATCTTATTTCTCCCACCACCATGCTGACGCTGCCTTCAGTACGCCACTGCGCTCTTTAAGATTCTCTTCGCCTATGCGGGCTGGACGAACCTCAACTACGTCCTGAATAACGTCAAGAACCCGATCCGCACGCTCAAGATTGCAGGTCCGCTAGGCCTCGGCATCTGCGCCTTCTTCTACCTTTTGGCGAACATCGCCTATTTCGCTGCCGCGAGCATGGAGGAAATCCTCAATAGTGGTGTCACCGTCGCGTCGCTCTTCTTCGGCAAGGTCTTCGGCTCTCAGGCACAAAAGGCCCTCACCGTTCTCGTCGCGCTCAGCGCTCTCGGCAACGTGCTGTCGGTCACATTCTCGTGTTGCCGTACCAATCAGGAGCTGGCGAAGGAGGGTATCGCTCTTTCGTTCGGTAACCGCTTCTGGGCGTCGAACTGGCCGACGAACAAGACACCCTTTCCGGGTCTCATTCTATATCTCATTCCTTCGGTGCGTACCGTCACTTCTTGCGTGGCATACTGATCTCATCGAAAAACCTAGGCTGTTATCATGATTGCCCCTCCGCCCAACGTTGCTTACCCCTTCATCCTAGATTTAGAGGGCTACCCCATCCAAATTATCAACACCCTGATCGTCTTCGTAAGTGCACGTCGTTTTTCAAGCGCGCTACGACTGCTCACGCTTAAGGCATTATTCTGGCTGCGCTGGAAAATGCCCGACGTCACCCAACCTTTCAAAGTCTTTCTGCCTTTCGCATTTATCTTCTTAGCTCCCTGCATCTTCCGTAAGTTCGGGTCCATTTTCCCATCGCGATGTTATGTCTTATCGCGGCTAACACTGCCTGTTGCGCCTTTCATCCGCCCCGCCAACGGCGTCGGTGATACTCCGCCCATCCCGTACTATATGTACGCTGCTGTCACCGGCTGGGCCTTGATGGCCTTCGCCGCATGGTACTGGGCTATGTGAAAGAAGATCCTTCCGTGGGTTTTCAGGTACAAGCTCGTCCCGGTCAAGGAAAATCTGTCGGACGGAACTGTGCTCACTGTAGTATGTTTCTTCTCGTGCTCGTGCATTCGAGGTCTTGCTAATTTTGTCTGTGCTGCAGCACGAACACAAGAAACTAAATTAGCTGCTATATATCAGTGTACTGGTGGTAAAATACTATAGTCGCGTCCACATTCAAAAATAATTACCCGCGCGCGTGTAACAGCAGTCACTCATAGACTAAATGAAAAATTTCAACATTAGATTTTTCAGCTCCGTTGTTTGGCTGTGCCTGTGAGCATGTGTCAAGCAAGTTTGTCTGCTGAACGACCAAGGTTGCAAGCAAGGTTGATCGAACTTTACGGCAACTTTCGCTTCTAATCTCGTTAATTGTCGCCGTCTTTGTCGGACGACACATGATTGTAAGTGGCTCTCTACTGCACTTGTTTCCACCGCGCTGTGCCGTTTTATGTCGCTAAAATGCTGACGAGCACTGGCGGAAAACCGCTTAGTACGCCGTAATGAGGAACTTGAACAGAAAGGCGCCACCCCAAGTACCGATAGCGTGCGAACTCACATCATACTTCTTTTCTTAATGGCCAACCGAGACCGTGAGTGCTAAGCCGCCCGAAAATCGTCCGGTCGTCTTGAATACATCACAAGTTTTGCAGGAGACCATGCTTGCCGCATCAGATGCGTTTAGCGAGCCAGCTTCCTCCACCCTGAACGTCTACAGCCAAAGCTGCCAATGGTGCAATATGGCGATAACGCAGCGTTCGTGATGTCTTTCTGCTCCGGAAGGGGATTCTCTATCTGGATATAAGCTCAGAACTCTCATGCATATGAGATTGCGGGCATGCTTCGAGCCTCTAGTTGACGGGACAGTCGCCACCTTCACATACCCTAGCCTCTCTTAGCGAGCCGCTAGTGCTCTGTCGCAGCCATGCCGTCGTGGTCAAGCTTCCTTCCGTCCCGCCAGCAGATCGGGGTCGCCGACGTCCAGAAGAGCACGAACCCTAGCACTTCTGGGTCCGAGAAGGGCTTCCACGACAAAGACGCTGATTCTGTGTCCGTCGTCCGAGAGGCGGAGAACATCGGCCCTGGGGACTTGAGTCTGGAGGAAGGTAAGGTCCTCCAGGAAATCCAGGGTTCGTCTGTGGAGACGTGCTGACGACCTTCAACGTCTACACAGATGCTGCCGGTGGAATGGGTCGCCATCTCGGCGTGTTCAGTTGTACGCTTCTCATGTACGTCTGAGCCAAACGCCAATTAGCTCCTTTGCTGACCCCATTCTAGCGTAGGACGGATCATCGGTACGGGTATCTTCTCAACACCATCGTCAATCCTCGGGTCCGTCGGATCCGTCGGTGCTTCCCTGATGCTTTGGGTGCTCGGCTTCATGCTGTCGTTCTGTGGTCTGTTCATTTGGCTCGAGTTTGGCACGATGTACCCGCGCAGCGGAGGCGAAAAGGTCTATCTCGAGGCCGTATACACAAGGCCTAGGTATCTCGCAACCGTCATCTTCGCCGCCAATGCCATCCTGCTAGGCTTCACTGCATCGGGGTGTATTGTGAGTAGCCTTATCGCCTCGGTCTCGAACACAACTCATGGAGGCGGCAGGTGTTCGCTAGCAAGTGGGTAATCCCGCCTGAGCGAGAAGACCTAGCTAACAAGCTACTTCTAGCATTTTGGAAGCCGTAGGGAAGGAGGCTACGGAATGGGCGGAAAGAGGCATTGCCTTGGGCGGTATGTCTGTTGTTCTCAGCGGTCGCAGAGTTGCTAACTTCATGCAAGCGATCTTCTTTGTGACACTCCTCCATGGTATCACACCGCGCCTGGGTGTCTACGTCATGAATGTGACTAGCATGTATATTACCGTGCTACCATTCTCTGATACATTGTTGGTGTGCAGGGTCTCAGCGTCTTCAAGATTATCATTCTACTCTTCGTAGTCATCAGCGGTACATTCCCATCCGTCTTTCTTCCTCAGCCATCGCTGACAGCGTGCGACAGGCTGGGTCGTCCTTGGCGGTCACACAAGAGTGAAGGACCCGTTCGTCAACTTCCGCCATGCCTTTGCTGGCAGCTCACACAGCTCGAACGACGTGAGTGCCGCATACACAATCCTACAAGCTATTGTGCTAAGTGCGAACGATAGTATGCGACGGCGACATTCAAGGTGTTGAGTGCGTATGCGGGATGGTCGAACGTGAACTACGTCTTGAACAATGTCAAGAACCCGGTTCGGACGCTCAAGATTGCTGGCCCGCTCGGACTCGGTATTTGTGCGGTGCTGTACTTGCTGGCCAACGTAGCTTACTTTGCGTACGTCGCCCAGCTGAGTGGATGTATGCGCTCAATCTGATACTGCCTCCAGCGCCGCCTCGAAGGAAGAGATCCAGAATACTGGCGTAACCGTCGCTTCTCTGTTCTTCCACAATGTGTTCGGTACGAAAGCCCAGAAGGCCCTCACCGTCTTCGTTGCGCTCAGCGCGCTCGGCAACGTCATTAATGTAGTACGCATAAGCTTTCCGCTCGTTACGACATTTGGTTGCTGAAAACGCCGCATTAGACCTTCGCTGCGGCTCGGGTGAACCAGGAGCTCGCCAAGGAGGGCGTCCCTCTGCCCTTCGGCAGTCGCTTGTGGGCATCGAACTGGCCGACGGGCAAGTCTCCACTCGCAGGATTAATCGCCCATCTGATTCCATCTGTGAGTACATGTTTCCCATCGGCCTAAAGGAATGCCTAACAGAGAACTAAACGACAGGTCATCGTCATTCTGGCCCCTCCGCCCAACGTAAGTGTTTATACACACATATCTTTGTGCGAACTGCTCACCGTCTATCAGATCGTATACCCCTTCATCCTTGACGTCGAAGGTTATCCTAGCCAGATCATCAACTTTTTCATCGTTCTGGTACGTGCTGACACAGTAGCGTTCTACTAATACGCTTGTCTGACGAACTGTACGCAGGGTCTCTTCTGGCTCAGATGGAAAAAGCCCCACGTGCACCGACCTTTCAAAGTGTGGTGGCCGCTAGCTGTATTCTTCCTAGCAGCGGCAACGTTCCGTACGTATTCTCCGATGCAACTAGGAAGACTTGCGACTCACCGGGGACTATAGTGCTCGTCGCGCCCTTCCTTAGGCCCGCGAACGGCGTCGGCGATACGCCGCCACTGCCATACTACCTGTACTGCTTGGTTGGCATCGCAGTCATGTTCGCAGGTGTCTTGTACTGGGCGGGATGGCGCATGCTTCTTCCGAAGATCTTCGGCCACGAGCTCGTCCCGCGAAAAGAGACATTGGCCGACGGGACAGTCATTACACGAGTACGTCATTCGGTTTTTATGTAGACTTCATTCAGTATTGATACGATATCCTCATAGTTCTCACGAAGAAATGCCGAATAGTAGGATTTGCTTGGGGATATCCGGCTATGCTGTACCTAGGACTGGGCGTATACATGTACTATCAATCAGTGTCTTTGACACTGTTTTCGGAACCCAAGGCTACCACCAAGCAAGAAAGTATTATTACGGACTTAGGCATTATCTACGCGTACAATAACTTAGGACCATAAGGATACAGTATCATAAGTCATCGCTTTCGTTTCATGCCAACGACCCCCACTGGTTCCTTCCCCTTCCGGGTGCGCAATGGTATCGGGAACTCGTCCTCATCTTCCTCGTCCACGGTCGGCAACAGCCCCTCACGCTCGCCCTCTGCTGACGACCGGCCCGGATCTCGCCCGCTCTCCCCTCGAATCCCGCTTGTCTTGGGTCCGATTCCGCTGCCTTCTGCATGCCCCAAGTCGGACCCAGACTCGTACTCGTCGTCCTCATCGTCCTCGAATGCCCGTGCTTGTGCCTGCGCCAGCGCCGCGGCAATTTCTGCACTGATGGATGCCATCACACGTGGTTCTAGCGAAGTGTCACTCGTAGGAGAAAGCGACGCCGACCCATCGCTGCCGTCTCCCGGTTGTTGCAGCAGGGTATGAACCGCGCGAACAGACTCTACCAGATACGCGCCAGGGGCGGACGGGTCGAGTTTTGGTTTCTTGGGCTTGAAACTGTATTTACTGCATAGGCTATGGATTAGGACGAGAATGCGTGAAGTTATGATGGTACGCACATGTTAGGGTCTGATTCCCACGTTGGATCGTGGGTCTTCATATGAGCAGTAAGACCCGTACGTCTCGTAAACGTCTTGTCACAAGCCGGGTCCTCACACTTGTATGGTCGCTTGCCCGTGTGCGTCCTGCGATGTCGAGCTAAACTGCTGGAATCGCCGAAAGTTTTCGCGCAGCCCGGATATTCACAGACATGGGGCCTCTCTCCGGAGTGCACTCGCTGATGTACTTGCAGGGCAGAACGCTGTCAGGTTTGAGATCATCATTTGGCCACTGGTATCCACAGCGAAGCCGCTCACCTGAATAAAACTCTTGCCACAGCCGGGTTCAGGACAGGGAAATGGCCGTTCGCCCGTATGTATGCGTACATGGCGAGCAAGGTCGCTACGCCTTGTGAAAATCTTCCCGCACTCATCACATAGGTGCTCTTTCGGTGCAGGTTCTTGGAGCTTATCATGACTTTTCTTACCCTTATTTGCACCCGCAGCGGCTCCAGGACCAGAAGATGAAGACGCTGTCGGAGGACTTTGTGGAACCTCACTGAGTGCTCTAGGGCTGAGTGGCAGAGGGATTTGGGACGGAGAGGTGGCGTTATACGGGGCAATTACAATGGACTGTGGCGCAGCCTGCACAGGATCATTGGCTGGGTCACTAAGGTCCCCGTGGTCACTGGGGTGATGATCAAAATCCGACAGGTCATGGAGGATGTCGCCAAGTTCGGGGAAATCGTCTATTGGGGGAGACGCGATTGAGCTTAAAGGTCCCGAGTGAGTCGGGGAGCCACCGCTCGAACTGCCAATTGGGTCACCGCCACTGCTGCTCGCTTGGCTCGCATGCCCGTACAAAAAGTCCGACAAGGATATTTCGGGATACCTCGGTGGCGATGTGGGGCGATTAGATGGGTCTTCCGCACGGTCTGCGTTGAGAGAGTGGAAGGCAGGGGCCGCGCGTGTGCTCGCGTGGTTGCTTCCGTATTCATGCCCACGATGGCGCAGAGACAAGTCGGAACGCGCCTGTTCTCCTGACTGCCCACTTGCCTGGGCAGCCTCTAAGAAGGCAGCGAGCCCAGAAAGATTCAGCGCGACGCCGTCGTCGTCTCTATCAGCCGCAGGCAACGAGGCAGAGTTATTTGTGGCTATAGCATTCTGTTGGCGGCGCTTCTCTTCGTCAGCTCGTCGTTGCTGTTCGGCCGCTTGCATCAGTGCCGTAGACGCATCCAGCGCATTCTGCTGAAGGATGTTGGCGATTTCGCGTTCCAGGTTTGCCACGAGGTTATACGAGGACGACGGACTTTCGTCCAAGGGCGAGGATACGTGATGATCGGGCGTAGGATCATGTAGTTCCAAAAGTGTTGGGTCTATAGGGATGTCATTTTGACCGAGGACGTCTTCGCCGGAGGCTATTGTCTCGTCATGGACGACGTCGGACAGATCCAGGACGGGTCCTTGATCTTCGTTGATCATGGGATGCAGTTCTTCTCATAAATGTCTCGTTCCAGTGCGACGTGTTCGTTACGGTATGTGTGAGCAAACTGCAACAAAGGCGGCGCATGAGTACATCGTGACTAAGGAGGGCATTAGAACACGCACCGGCCATGCGAGAGGTATTATTTGCTCACCTCCTTCTGTGTACACCCCCCGCACGGACGCTCGTGCACTATGTTGAGGGGTGGGTAGCCTTGGAGATGGGGAGCAAGAGCAGGTGCAAGGAGGCGCAGACCGCAAGTCGAGCTTGCAGCCCCGTTCATCCCACGTGCTCCTGATGGCGGGCTTACTCAATTTGGTAGGTGGCTTTGGGGTGCATCCAAACCGACTGAGCTTCACAACGTACGAAAACCATCCGTGGGTCGTCCAAAGCCGATGGTGAATCGCAGATATGTCTCTACAATACCCGGGATATCGGCCTGGGGGACGATCAAAGCACGCCGCGATGGCTTCAAGCCGTGATAATCGAATAAATCTTCTGATTCAAGCCCAGCCTGTACATGTGCCATACGGCTCTTCTCCGTTCGCGCAGTCCTAACAGGTCCAAGCCCGTCGAAAATCTTTCCAGCTCTCAGCTGAACGCCGTTATCCATGGTGGTCACCGATGCCGATGTCAGCCTCCTGAGGCGGGCGCCGAGGACGGGCCCCTTGGCGTGGGAAAATTCAGCCCATATCCGTCTCAGGCACATTGACCACTGCCATGTTAGTGGTCTCACAGGACGCAAGCACGCCTGTGCACTCCGCTCGTCCTACCACCACACCCCCAGGCGGGCATCTCCACGATGTCGCCACCTCAGACCTTTACCAAAGTTGACGTAACACCACGGCGGCACCATGGTTACGCTGTGCTACTCTTCATCTTCGGCACGCTCTTTCCCCCTCTTGGTACGTGATTATCAGCCACAGCCCATCGCGTGGACTTATCAACCCCTGCAGCTGTCGCCGCACGATTTGGCATCGGTGGAGACTTCTGGTTGAACCTCCTCTTGACAATCTGTGGCTATATCCCAGGTGCGAACAGTCCCAGATCCGTCCTGTATTGCCGCGCTAATGCTTGCACAGGTCACGTTCACAACTTTTACATCCAGGTATGTAAACATAACATCACGTAGAGTGGTATGTAACGTCTTCTAACACCTCGGCTCTAGAACATCCGCAACAACAAGACCCATCGTCGCACGCCCAAATGGGTTCTGAAATACGGTCTTGTCAATAACGCTGAGATCAAGCGCAAAGAGCGCAAGTCTCAGTGGGCAAACCGCTATTCTGAACGTAACCCTCACTCTGCTCTGCGCGAACAGTCCCTCGAAGAAGGCCAAGAGGGTGGTTCTAGCGTCGATCTGTCCTTGGAAGAAGAGCGTCAGCGCGGTGGGGAGTTGTGGAACCCCAACGAAGAACGCTTCTACGGCAAGAACGGAGACCGGTCCTCCGCTATCCTGCGTACGAACGACACCGACGGCGGTCGCTGGCACTACCCTGCCAACTTTGAAGACACCGTCGCCGAGCCGACGCGCAAGAAGACGAAGAAGAGGAAAGACAAGAAGGATCGGTGGACGAGGACAGATGACGCCTACTCCGTTAATGACGCAGAGGCTTCAATGAAACGGAAGAAGTCCAAGAAGCGGCGATCTACAGTAGACTCCGATGCCTACTCTCGGCAGAGCGACACAACCAGCGGATTCCCCGAGGATGCTGAGGGTGGACTGTACGGTTCGGGTAGAGATGCCGCGACTTCCGCAGGCGAGGAAACGAATGGGCGCACCAACGAGGAGTACATCTTCAATCATGAGCTCTAACAGTACGAATGTGGATAGCAATTGGAATGTACTATGACCTAAGTTTTATCTATAGCTGCGTTTATTACTTCTTAACCCCGCCGTACTAATGATATCATCGCTTCGTATATATTCTATAGGTTTTCGAATTCAAGGTTACCTTCACCTCAGCACGTGGTGATGCCGCGCGTCCGGGACTGGGCATTTGACTGTGAAGTCGTGATCATACGCGTGTCCTTTTCCTTTTCCAGACTTTGCTAATATGTTGGAGCTATGCGTATAGGAAGCTCTTCGGCTGGTATATCTGCGCCGCGAGTGAACATGGGAGATAAGACTCCCCGGTGCCGTTCATATGCGCGTGCAGCATCACATGGTCTTCTTTCCTGCAGCACAATGAGCTTCTATCGACCCGCAGATCAAGAACTATGATTCAGCTGTGGGTCGAGTATATAGTCAGGAGCAGCCTGACGATGAGCCACTGACGTCCCGACAACAGACTCATTCGGGAGATGTATACGAGCCTCGTAACCCTGCTTCTGCCGGGGCTGCTTTCGCTGTGGCTTGCACTGTCGTCTCCTTTGGTTGACTTCCAGGTTGCACAACCTCTCACTCTACCCCAGGATACAAAGCAATGCACGAACATGATCCTACAGTGAGCACGCTGTGCATGGAACAGAGAAGCCCTTTACTGACTCGTCGTCAGGCGTATCTTCGCTTCTTCATACGGCAGGCGCGTCTCACTTCTTAGTCCGTTTTGTTTTGCTTGCTGAACTTGCAATGAACAGTCCCGAGGTCGTTCGATACAAGTGAGCTTAACTGATGTGGTACGAGTATTGGCTCAAATGATGACGACATGTATGTATAGTCCCCCTACTGACTGCGGACCGCTGGGCTCCTGGGCTGGCATTAGCTTAAACTTTACGGTAACTTCTAACGGGTATGTCGCATGATCTGCTTCCTGACGTTATTGCTGAGAGGAACCTGCATTCAAGGACCCAGTATGATAGGCTCGGCATTTTCACTCTTGACAATGTTGAAAGTGCGTGGCTGTTTCCGTACTGTGGGTATTGTGGTGTTGACTGGGGCGATTAACAGTCTGGCGGACGTCGACGCCTGAACCTACGCGAGGCGATGGCATAATTTGGACCTATCTCAAAGATGTGACGAGATACACTCCCTTGTTCGCAAAGAATGGAACTTTCGTCCTGGAGCTGGACAACATCGTAGAAACCGGTCTGGATGGAGAGTACGCAAGTTGAGTATCAGGACTACATGTTTTGTGCAAGCTGGCGTTGAAGAGATGCTTTCGTCAGCAACGCTCTATGCGACTTTTTACGAGTCGTCAACTCAGAATCCTCCTGGGGAGCACGCCGATTTGATCATCCCTGTCACCACTCTCGAGGCTAATAGCGGTGACCTTGCCTCAGTACCTCCCGCATTCTCGGTAAGCCGTGATGATAGCCCAACCAGTCGACCACGCTAAAAATTATGCTCGCTGTAGCTAAATGTCACCTTCCCCACCAATGCTGCGTCGGTATATGCGGAGATAATTCCTTCAGGTAATGCTCAGGAGGAATTCTGGGTGCGTGAGAAATGCTTTTTGGCGGGCGGCTCGGCTGAGTTCTTGATAGAGTATGAATGTTCCCAACCAGTATTTCAGTGCTTTGCCCAGTGGCACGACGTATGGTGATGGGCCCTTCCGAGAGACCCGGTTGTTCGTCGATGGTCTGCTCGCAGGAGTTATCTTCCCGTGAGTGATCCTGTGCATTTGATCACCAAGCTGCTTCATCGGCGGCCGGGTAGCTATCTGGTTGTTTTCACAGGCGGCATCGCACCCACGCTTTGGAGGTAAGAACGAGCCTTTATGTATGTCATGATGTGGCGCTCACGCGACGCCAGGCCTATCGCAGCATACGCAGCTCTCGACCTCCCTACATACTACATTGATCTGACGCCATTTGTCCCGATTCTCTCTGACGGAAAACCTCACAACATCACTTTAGACGTCGTCTCTGCTGAGGCCAATCACACTATCAACCAGAATTGGTATGTCACTGCTAATCTTCAAGTCGTCTTAGATCCGTCGGATAAGGCCACGACTGGCGCGATGACTGTTCATTCCGCTCCGTTGTATGCCTCGACAACGACTACTGGAAAGGTGGATGCAGTTGGAGATGTTGACTTCACCGTAAGGGCGTCGCATAACATCCATATCGAGTCCGACGTTGTCACGGGAAGCGGGATGAGGACTCACGTTGTGTGGTCGCAAACATTGAGTTACGAGAACACGCAGACATACCGCCAAAATGCAAGCGTCCAGGTGAGCGAAGTGTTAGTGTCTGAAGAATCCAAGAGCTGATAGTCCTGTTGTTTTGGCCGGCTAGACTCTCTACCAAATAGCTCAAGGCACCATGTCCTCGACCCACAACGGTGCCCAGACGCTGATCGATGACTTTACCTTTCCTTTCTCCATGAATTTCACGTACACAGATACCAACTGGACTACCTGTAAGCGCTGTTGCTTCGCCCCTCATCTATACCTGGCACCCCTAATCGATCATTAGGGATTACATCTGTAGATCATTCATATAATCGTGCATTGTTACCGGCGCCGTTTATTCTGCAGACTAATAGTCAAGAAAGTCAGAAAGCTAGTAAGTCGTCGCTTGTACAAGAGTCCAGCCGAGACCGATAAAATTTGTTCAGATGCTTTCTTTGAACTGGCGTCCACAGGGAATTTTGGCAACGGAACAAGCTCCAACACGTTCTCTTATTCTGATATCAAAGACAACACCTACACAAGATCTGTCAGCTCTGTTAATACAACCATCACATCCGACCGGGAAGGCGGATCGTCGGCTAACGTCAACTTCCGGTCTACCTCCAACTCTGTAGACACCGCACAAGTGGGATTTGCTAGACCTAGACTGCCCGGACGTAGCGCACCTTGATTCCGATCTTGTTCGTAACGACTGCACAGCGATGGGAATGTCATCATCGCTTCTGTACCTTCCATCATCTCCCGTGGTAATGCAACCGCACTCACTTCTCCCGTTGAGAAAAGTGATCACCAATTATGGCCATATCTAGCCCATGCGTTCCCCACCGAACATTGCTTCTGATATTCAGCGGAAACGGCCCCGTTGATTCGCCGCTAGTGCACACGCCTGGCAGTGTAGTATCGCGTTGCCCGGTCTTCTGTTCGCTCAATTGCATTGTGCTTCTCACCTCGCTCGCTTATAAGGCCGCACGGCCGTGGGGGGTATGTGAGTCGTTCGCTCTCCCCGACGTTCGCTATGATTTCGGCTCTGCTTCTAGTGCCTGCCTTTCTTCTAGCGGCTTTGAGCGCTTCTGCTCAGCCGCTCGTTGACTTCCAGGTTGCCCAGCCTCCGCCATTGCCTCAAGATGCGAAGCAGTGTACCATACAAATTCTTGAGTAAGCCGTCTACATCTGTCGTGGAGGATTCCACTTATTGACATGATTCTCTAGGCGCACTTTCGGCAACTCGTTCGGCGAGTACGTTCATAGGCGTGTTACTAGTGCTATTCTGTGCTAAAGGATTTTTCTCTAGTCCCGAGATCGTGCAATTTACGTGAGTGAAGTAGCATCAGTTAGTGCTCCCCGCTTATCTGCTACATTCGCTAGACCTCCCACGGACTGCGGCTCCGTCGGCTCTTGGGCAGGAATTAGCTTGAACTTCACGGTCACATCCAATGGGTACGCGGCGCTTGCTCGTTGTATAAACCGCGTTCTAAACGATACCCAGTACCCAATTTGATAGGCTGGGTATCTTCACCTTCCAAAACGTGGAAAGTGCGTAGACATCAATGACTGTGCTCTATTCGTGCTAACATAATGTGTCAGTCTGGAGGACATCCACTCCTGAACCCAACATAGGCGATGGGATTATTTGGACGTATCTGAAAGATGTAACGCGGTATTTGCCACTGTTCGCAAAGCCCGGCACCCTCATCCTGGAGCTTGATAACCTGCTAGAGACTGGTTTGGATGGGCAATACGCGAGTATGTTGCGCGTAATAGAACGACGATACATCTGCCTGACTGAGGCTTTGCAGCCACTCTTCACGCAACTTTCTTCGCCTCCTCTGCCCAGAATCCGCCTGCGCCTCGCGCAGACTTGATCGTCCCGATAACTACCCTTGCCAACAACACTGGTAATGACGCTTCTGTGCCTCCTATCTTCTCCGTAAGTGTGGTCTGACTTCCTCTACTATTCTGTCTCACCCCTCGCTGCAGCTCAATATTACGCTACCTCAAAACACGGTTGAAGTCTATGCTGAGCTGCAGGCCTCTGGAAACGGTGATGAAGAATTCTGGGTGAGCTCATTCCAATGACACGTGCTTACTCGTACTGACTCCTGCCGTAGTACTTTAACACGGCAAACGAGTTCATCAATGACCTGCCGAGTGGAGAGAGTCTTCCGAATGGCCCGTTTAGGGAAGTGAGGCTACTCGTTGACGGACAGGTCGCTGGAACAGCCTTCCCGTAAGAGGAACGTACCCACGCATCTCTAGTAAACTCTGACAAGTGTGTTCTAGATACCCTGTCATATTCACAGGAGGAATTGCGCCCCCAGCTTGGCAGTATGTGCAATGGGACTCTCCGCTATTTGATCGTCTCATAATACTTGGATAGGCCGATCACGTCATATGGAGCCCTCGACTTGCCGAACTACTACCTCGATGTGACCCCCTTCGTCCCACTGCTGGTCGATGGCAATCCTCATAACTTCAGTCTTGACGTCGTCTCTGCGGAAACTGATCATACAATCAATCAGAACTGGTTCGTTTCCGGCCTTCTGCAGGTTATTACAGACCCGTCCGGCAAGCCCACAACCGGAAAGATCAACGTATACCAAGCGTCTCCCTTTGCTGAGACATCGACCACCGGCAGCGTGGGTAGCAACGGGGATGTGAATGTCACAGTGAAGGCGACACGCAATATTCATGTCGAGTCGACTATCATAAGCGGCAGTGGGACGACCACGAATGTTGTATTTACGCAATCGTCGAGCTATTCAAACACTCAGAACTTTTTGAACAACACTTTCATTCAGGTAGGCTTATCAGTTTGACTTCTGTAATGCGTCTCAAGTTTTGCATCATCCCTGTAGAATGTCCAACAAACCGCGACTGGCTCAGTTCTATCCACTCATAACGGAGTGGCTAGCACAGTCGACAATTACTCATTCCCGCTGACCATCGACATTACGCTGCAACCTCCGACCGGAGATAGCTGTGAGCATGAATCCCTAGTCTCTCGGATTTAGATTCCCATATTTTGTTGCAGTCTTTGCCACCTTTGATCATTCCTACACGCGCACAATTCTCCCGAGTCCCTTCATCCTTGGATCGACGATCCAGGAACATCAGCTCGCCAGTATGTGCCAAAGGTCAAAGCAGTAATTTTGTGCGCTGACTCTTGTATTAGATGCGTTCTTTGCAGAGACAGCTCAAGGCAACTTTGGCAACGGTACCAGCAACAATACGCTCTCCTACGTGGACCTGCAAGGACACACCTACGACAGAGAGGTCGATGCCATTAACGACGTCATTGTCTCTGATCACCAAGGCGGAAATTTGGCACCTGTTCCTACTCCCGAGTCTGTTCCTGTCGCGAATCCCACCAAGCTCAACTTCGCAAAGCCGAGGCTGCCTGGACGTCGTACTGTTGGCAATGGCCAATGAGATTAGTTAGTCAGCTGTGTTACGTGTACCCAGTGATAAGCGCACATACGCCACAAACCACTTCATTGCCATTTTCAGCGATATCTCCCTCTGTATTTTCTGTGCTCTCTGATAAGATGTCCGACGAGCAAAAAGGCCAGCGGGTTCGTTTTCTGTGCGGCACGGACACACCGAGGATTGACGTTCAGCACTCCATCCAGCTATCCTTACCCTGAGCCTGCTCGCAGAGACTTGTGATTCAGCCAAAGTCGCACTCCAGGCAGATCCCACCCCGATCGCAGAGGCACCTTCACTCGATCTCCTGCGCAAAGACTACCTCTCGATTCTTACTCTGATTTACACCAATACTACAAAGGCATCACTCGTCCTTCGTCCGTCACCTGCCTACAAAGCTTCGCTCGCGCCATTGCAAGAGTTGACGAAATATGTCTCGTCGCTCGCGACCTGCACAACGCTGTTCGATGCACATGGCCTCATTCTAACCAAGGAGGTAAGGCGGCACTCGAATGACCTTCTGGAGCATGTCAGAGTATTTGCGCAGACTCTGCAGCAACAGGATGATCTTTCGAGCAAGGAGTACCTCATTCGCGCTGGAGCTGTCCACGATGCTGTAGAGCAAATTCGGAAAGCGCTTCCGGCGGATAACAGAGCAGCTGTCCAAGGACGGCTATCGAGTGATAGGGATATACTTACAGACTGCTTGGGGGAAGTGCAGGAGATGGTGAAGGAGGGTTGTGGAGAGGAGGGCGAGTTAGACGATTGGGTCGACGAGGATGGCCTGGAGGAGCTTGGCCTTGGCACGAGCAAACCGCTATCTGAAGCGGAATGCCTCCGCGCGAAACGGGTGCGAGTGACCATTGTTTTACTGTCGGCATCTTTTACGAACTTTCCATACAGTGCGGCGAGCTCATAAAGTGGACCTGTACACTTCACAAGAAGATTCTACGTGACTTACGATCACAGGTCTTCAAGGATCTCCCAGTCCAAGCACTCGATACACTACCTAGTCACTCGCACGGGCTACTGATTGCCTCGGAGGACCTTGTGGCATCCCTCTATGCGCCTCAGGACTCTGCCGCGATTCTGCGCGCGGTCAAGTCCATAGACGACAAATTTCAAGACTTTAAGAAAACGCTGTTTGCTTCGACGAGCAGTGTGGAAGAGCTGGAGGAGAAGATGGACAAGGCGACCTTAAGCGACGCGGGCTCATCACAAAAGAACGCAGAGCTGCCACATGGCTACGATACTTCGTACCGTGTACTTGCTACATGTGTCTCCAAAGCATCGGAGGAAAGCCCTCCGTCACTCTGAAGTAATTGTACTGTTTATTGCCAGGATGCGCAGATATGCTGGATGTATCGGTAGCAAGACTCAATTCAGATAGGAGTCTGAAATTACAGATACGAGTTAAGGGGCAGTGGGCTGCTTGTTCTGCAATTGGGTCATCCTAGCACGCTCCCAAATATCCTTGAAGGCGCCTCCGAGGACATTGGGATAGGTTGCAGATGTGTTCCCAAGGCGTGAGCGAAGGCGGCTTTCAAAGCGCGAAATCTTCTCTTGCGCCGCCTGTAGGTCGAAGATGCTTTGCTAGAGTAATGGGCTGAGTTAGATTATTAAACAGCGAGTTTTGGATAGTCACTCACCGCTTCTGCTTCTCGCCTCTTCCTCGCGTCCTCGCGCATTTTATTCAGTTCCTTCCGCCTCTCCTCTTCCTTCTCTTTTCTACTCAAGCCCGAATTGGGAGTCGATCCACCAGGCTGTTGGCAGTTAGCAGACGTAACACGATGACTACACTTTGCACACCTTCATGAAGAGGCTCGCATACACATTCGCGTCTCGCAAGTCAAAGTCAGCATTATTTGCTGTCGCAGCCGGCTTCCGTGCACCTCCAACACCAAGAGCGAGGTTATCCGCCTTCGGAGTGGGCTTCACAGGGATACCAGTCGGGGTGGAAGTACCAGTGGATGGCTTGTTCTTCTTTATTGGCGGGAGCTTCGGTTTCTTGGGTGGCGGCGGCGCAGCTGCCTCCACGTTATCCGCTTTCGACGTCGAGTCCTCGTCGTCTCCATCATCATTGAGAACCCCACGTCTACCTGGAAAAGATGGACCACTTCTTGAAGACACTCCCTTGCGCTCGTCCCTAATAGCGATCGGCTTGTCGACAGCAGCTGCTTTGACTGACTTGCTCTTTGTCTTCGAAAAGGTAGCGCGGCTGGAGGTAGCAGGTTCGGGAGCAAAATCTTCATCGTCGTCATCTACGACAATCTCCTCTGGGTCCCCGTAGTCATCCTCTCCGTCATCGTCTGACAAAACGACCGCTCGCTTCTTTGGTCTCTTCGGTGCGCCCTTCGTCTTCTTCGAGGCGGATCGCTTGGAGGTCGACGGTTCTGGGGGCAGAAACCGCGTATCTTCCGCTGGTTCTTCATCGTCCACATTCACCTCTTCCTCTGCTTCTATGTCCACTTCTACAGCCTCTTCAGCCTCTTCAGTTCGTGCACGTTTGTTCGGCTTAGAAGTGGCTGACGACGTGTTATCACCATCATCCTCGTCGTCGGTATACAGCACGGCCTGCCGGCGTTTGGACTTCCGACGAAGGGTAGGAGACTCTTCTGTCTATGAGAGATAGTTGGGCAACCCAATAATTGGATCTTAACATTGAATTACCTGTATAGTTCCTGACTTTGGTATCTTGATCTTCAGTGACATTTGTGCAATAATTTCGGAATATCAGTACGCGAGGTCAACGCAGGAGTGCACGTGTCGGTGGGGACAATGAGCGCGACAATCAAAGCTCGGTAGCGCGTAAGCGCGACTTGATGCGGCGCGCTTCCATATCCAGCCAGCTCTCACGTGATGGCCTGCTGGCACTCGAGATCTCGAAATTTTGGACGGGAACTCTCGTAACGCATCCTCTGCGTCACCGCCCACACGACCTCCCGTTCCCAGCTTCCAGCCTCTGCGCACCAATCATGAGCTGCAGATCAGCACTGAACGTCTTCCGCTCCTGCTCTTCCTCGTTCGGGACACGCGCTGCTGCACGTCCATCGTGTAACGCCGGCCGCCGTAGGATCGCGGGCGCACGCTCTTACTCAGCACAGTCAGAGGCGCAAGCAGACCAGCGGCCTGCGGAGGGGAGCAAAGAGGGCGGGGGCTCAGCGGAGGGCTCTAATGGTGAGAAGGAATGCCTGGAGAAGCTAAAAAAGAAGGAGGAGGAGGTACAAGACCTCGTGGTATGTTTGCCCGCGTCCGCTCAGCTTGGATAGGTCTAATATATTCGTCATAGGGCCGGCTACGATACCTGCAAGCCGACTTTCTGAACATGCAGCGTAATGCTGCGCGCGAAAAGGAGCAGCAGCGCGACTTTGCGATCACGAAGTTCGCCGGCGACCTCCTCGAGACCGTTGACGTCCTCGCCATGGCACTGAAGTCCGTCCCGCCAGACGCCATCAAGCCGCCGGCATCCGACGCTCCATCGTCGTCAACAGAGAAGACGGCGGAGCTGCATCTACACGACCTACATCACGGTGTCGAGATAACACATAGACTTCTCCTTCAAACACTCTTCAAATACCAGGTCAAACCCTTCGACCCAACAGGCGAGCAGTTCGACCCAAATCGTCATGAGGCACTCTACCAAGCACCAATCCCTGACAAAGAGCCAGGGACGGTGCTTGAGTGCCAAAAAATCGGTTACATGATCAAGGATCGTGTACTGCGCGCTGCGCAAGTTGGTGTCGTCCAGGATGCCTCATCATAGTCTTGGCAGACGACTCATAGAGGAGGAGGGAGGCAGTGTAGGGTTGGCAGTGGATAGACCATACTCTATTATCTTATAGCTAATTCAACGAATCTCTACTCCGAAATTCTCCACCAGCCGTGCTTTGACGCCTTTATGTATAACGTTCGCCTCTTCATTGGACAAGGACCGGTCCATAGACCTGTAGTTGATTCGGTAGCACTGGCTCGCGCGGTTTGTTTTCGGGTGGGTGAACGCGTCAATCTAGAATGTGAGGGTTGCGTTGGTCAGGTCATGGATTGACGCGATCGGAAACACCTCGCTCACTAGTTGCACGTTCTCCACCAAATCCCCGGCGGCTTCGCGCACGATATCACAGAGGTCGTTCTGGTGTAGACCGCTCTGCGGTAGCCAGAAGCTCAAGTCCTTGTAACACCCCGGGTACTTAGAGTATGGCTTGAAGGTGCTGATCCTTCCTGGCGCGAACTGAGACAGGAAGCGTGAATCTTGTGACCAGAAGAGGCGGATATCTGGGATGGAGTACAAAATCATGGCAATGCGCTCCAGACCCAGTCCGAAGGCCCATCCAATGCTGTTGGGTACATCTGTGGGAGGTATATGTAACTGTGTTACGAACTAGCACGAAAGACGCACTTGCTCGGTCAAGCGTGGATTGCAGGACGACACCGGAGCCCAGAATCTCAAGCCATTTGCCGTTGAAGAAAACCTCGACCTCGAAACTAGGGCTCGTGAAGGGGAAGTAGGCCTCTATCCAACGAACCCTCAGAGGCTCGTCTTTCCGGCCGCCAAAGAGTGCCAAGATGAGACTATTCAAAGACAGCTTCAAGTTATGGGCGACAAGCTCTGCATGACGGGGATCGTAAGCCGGCTGGACTGGATTAGACGCACTGATATGGGGAACGTCCTCGATGATTATATTCGTGCTCTTGAGATACTCTACAAGAGACACGTTCTCCTCTGCCAGCTCCTTCATGCTGTTCGCGTCAGCATGGAAGATACGTGCGCCCTCCATCTGGTGGAAGACGGGGTAGTGGGATGCATCAATCTCGTCGCGTCGGTAGACGTCCGCCGTGAGTAGCCACTTGCGCTCGCCTTTAGCAAATGTTTCAACCTCATGTGCGGAGGTGTGTGTACGGAGCATAAAGTCCCGGTTGACGTAGTAGCTATCTGTGACGGAGCGGCCAGGATGATCTGCTGGAAAGGAGAGGTCATCGAAGTTTTTTGCGGGCGTCACAATGGGCGAAACATCGGACAGGTGGGTGAACAAAGGGAAATGGCGTTCGATGAGCGAGCGGAGGTTCCCGATGGGATGAGACTCATTCAAGTGCAGTCTGCGCTCGAGCTTGTCTATAATCGCAGAGGTGATGTTGGTTGTGGTATCGGTTGGGTACGCTTGGCCGAGTATTCTTACGTGGCTATCCGAGGACGCAGATGAGGAGAACCTTGGTGTGTGCGCGCCCACACAGAGGGCTCGGAGCGATGTGTGACGAATACCCGTTGAATATCGGAGGAGCGTGGTGATAGCAAGCATTGTCTAAGCCCGTGCACTCTCAGACTTGAGGCTGCATGGGCATGGGCTGTAGCCTGTGAGATGGCTCTAGCGAAACCAAAGGAGCGGAGCGCGGGCATGACAGCGATGTGCCGGAATTTGAAAATAGCAGCCGACTCGTCACGAGGAACACGAGTAGTCACGCTACGTCAATAAGCTTAACCGCGAACATGTCTCGCACAAAAATCCGGCCGAGGTTCATCGTCTTGATTCGACTCAGTCCTTAAAGACGCGACGGACGATGTTGACCATCGTTTAAGTTCCGCTCTCTCTCGACAAAACCTCGTATATCCTGGATCCGTCGTAAGATCTCCATAAAGAGCTGAAGACGTGCTCGATAGACGGGAAGGACGGAAAATTACCCTCCGCTATCGCCAAAAGGCGCACAAGATCAAAATGATACGCCTCGCGCAATCGCTCTGGGTCTCACCAGCACCCCTCATTCGCTTTTCATCTCATTCTTTCACCACCTCGTCCAAAGTCATGGCCAGCGCAAAATTGATCGATGGTACTGCTCTTGCACAGTACGTCCAGTTTCATGTCCTTTTGTGCCAAGCGGCGCTAACGAGTCATATGCGACCATCAGGCAAGTTCGCTCTGAAGTCGCCGAGCGCATCCAGAGCTTGAAGGCAAAGAGTCCCCGCTTTCAACCTCAGCTGGCCATTGTTCAGGTCGGCACACGCCCTGACTCTAGCGTGTACGTGCGCATGAAGGCCAAAGCCGCTGAGGAGGTCGGCATCAAATTCCAGCACGTTACTCTCCATGAGGAGGCAGCCGTAGAGGAGGTTGTCAAGGTGGTTCAAAAACTCAACGCTGATCCTGGGGTCAGTGGCATTTTGGTTCAACTTCCCCTCGGTTCGCACGTCGGCTCAGACGGCGAGCGTGTTGTCACCGAAGCGGTCAGTCCTGAGAAGGATGTCGACGGGTACGCACACTTCACGCCTGGTCTATCTCAATTCTGATCTACGGTTATTCAGTTTTAGCGCACACAACATTGGTCACTTGACTTCTCGTGCCTCGGTTCCTCTCTTCACGCCGTGTACTCCCGCGGGCGTCATCAAGCTTCTGGACCACGCCGGTGTCCAGATTGCCGGTGCCAATACAGTGGTCCTCGGCCGTAGCGATATCGTTGGAAACCCCGCTACTGCTTTGCTTAAGAGTCGCCACGCTACCGTTACCCAATGTCACAGTCATACCCAGAATTTGCCGGAAATTGTACGCAACCATATACGTCAACTGTGCTGTGTTACTGACTAGACTCCGTGACCTAAGATCAAGCGAGCAGATATCGTCGTTTCGGCTATTGGAAAGGCTCACTTCGTTCAAGGCTCTTGGTTGAAGCCCGGTGCGGTCGTCATTGATGTTGGCACAAACTATATCCCTGGTTAGTCCCAGCCCATGCAGCCATCGAAGTGACTAATGAGCCGTCTGACAGATCAGACCAAGAAGTCTGGTCAACGCATGGTCGGTGATGTTGATTTCGAATCCGCTAAGGAGGTCGTGTCATTCATCACACCCGTACCTGGAGGTGTCGGTCCCATGACCGTCGCTATGCTCATGGTCAACACTCTCAAGGCTGCCGAGAGGCAATGGGAGGAGATCCGCTCCCGCAAGATCAAGCCTCTTAAGCTCGACATTGAGGAGAAGGTTCCTAGCGACATCGAAGTTGCCATGGCTCAGACCCCCAAGCCTATCACGCAGCTTGCTCATGAAATTGGTGTCCTCCCGAACGAGCTCGAGAGCTACGGCCCTCACAAGGCCAAAGTGGACCTTAATGTCCTAGAGCGTCTCAAGCACCGTAAGGATGGCAAGTACATCCTGATTTCTGGGTGAGTGAATCATGCACATGGTACTGACAACGAGCTAATATTTATGTAGTATCACTCCGACTCCCCTCGGCGAGGGCAAGTCGACCACCACTATCGGTCTTGCCCAGGCGCTAGGCGCCCACATGGGCCGTCTCACCTTTGCCAACGTTCGTCAGCCCAGTCAAGGACCAACCTTCGGAATAAAAGGAGGAGCTGCGGGAGGAGGATATAGCCAGGTTATTCCCATGGACGAGTTCAACCTTCACCTGACTGGCGACATCCACGCGGTAACTGCGGCTAATAACCTCGTTGCTGCCGCTCTCGATGCCCGTATGTTCCACGAGGGTACCCAGTCCGACAAGGCTCTGTACAGCCGTCTTGTTCCCACTAAGAAGGGAAAGCGCGAGTTCGCTCCTCTCATGTTCAAGCGTCTGAAGAAGCTTGGTATCGACAAGACAGACCCTAACGAGCTGACTCTCGATGAGATCAATCGTTTTGCCCGCCTCGACGTCGACCCCGAGACCATCACATGGAACCGTGTCATTGACACCAACGACCGTTTCCTTCGTCAAATTACTGTCGGTCAGGCACCCACTGAGAAAGGCTTCGAGCGTGTGACTGGCTTTGACATCGCCGTCGCCTCCGAATGTATGGCTGTCTTGGCTCTGACTACGGACCTGCAAGACATGCGCGAGAGACTCGGTGCTATGGTCGTTGCGACCAGCAAGCGCGGCGAGCCTATCACTTGTGACGACCTTGGTGTCGGCGGTGCTCTCGCCGTCCTCATGAAGGATGCCATCAAGCCTAACCTGATGCAGACTCTCGAGGGAACGCCCGTTTTTGTCCACGCCGGCCCCTTCGCGAACATCGCGCACGGCAACTCATCCATCCTCGCTGACAAGGTCGCGCTCAAGCTCGCAGGAACCGAGGACGGCGATGAATCCGAACGTATTGGCTATGTCCTCACAGAGGGAGGCTTCGGCGCCGACATGGGCATGGAGAAGTTCTGCAACATCAAGTGCCGTGTCAGCAACTTGAAGCCGGATGCTGTCGTAATTGTCGCCACAACCCGCGCGCTCAAGATGCACGGTGGCGGCCCGGAGGTTACTCCTGGCAAGCCCCTGCACGATACGTATACCAAGGAGGACCTCGTTACTCTCGAGGAGGGCTGCAAAAACTTGAACAAGCATATCGAGAACTCGCGCAAGTTCGGCCTTAAGGTCATCGTTGCTATCAATCAGTTCGCGTACGTAATATTATATTGCGAGGCGGAGCATGTTCTGACTTCGGCTTTTAGCACTGACACTCCTGCTGAGCTAGAACTTGTGCGCCAAAAGTCGCTCGCTGGTGGTGCCGATGCCGCAGTTGTCAGCAACCACTGGGCTAAGGGCGGTGCCGGCGCTGTCGCTCTCGCGCAGGCGGTTATTCAGACCTGCGAGGGCTCGTCCAGTTTTAAGTTCCTGTACGATCTTAACCTGCCAATCGAGAAGAAGATCGAGATCATCTGCAAGGAGATCTACGGCGCCGACGGTATCGAGCTCAGCGAGCAAGCACAGAAGCAAGTCGAGACCTACACTCAGCAGGGCTTCGATGGGCTTCCAAGTAAGTCTCATTGCTTTAGCTCCGGGGATAAGTCGACTGATGTGCTTCTTAGTCTGCATGGCCAAGACCCAGTACTCCTTCTCGCACGACCCGAAGCTCAAGAATGTTGCTACAGGCTTCACTGTACCCATTCGCTCTGTGCGCCTCTCTGCAGGCGCAGGTTTCCTCTACCCCATCCTCGGTGACATGCAGACCATGCCCGGTCTCGGTACACGCCCCGGTTTCTGGGAGGTCGACCTCGACCCTACGGGCAGGGTCATTGGTCTCTTCTAGGCGGCCGCAACTCAGACTCCTCGTGCATCATGCTAGACTCCATCTTCACCAGATGGACTCTAGAACCAGCACGCCGTTCAACATGGCAATAGCGCTCGCCCTATCCACGTTCAGGGCGCGCTGAAGTACCTTTCAACCAGGGAAACCGCTGTTGGGACGTTCAACCGAAATGAGATCCCAAGGGAGGCGAAGTGTAGACCTGATTCGCCCTGCGTAGGGGGTGAATCCCACGTTACACTGTAATGTGCTGAGAATCATCATATCTCAAACGAAAGCCATGTGTGCCATATTACACATCCGAGGCAATGACATAGAGTATAGAATAATACATGGGTGTGATATTACTTACACCCCGGCTGTCTTGGCAGCCTTGCTGCGACCCCATTTCACACCAATGTTTTGACTATCCATCTCCAGTCCGCTCGACCAAGCTGCTGCTGCTAATTCTGCAGATTCACGATCCTTGAAGTTCACGAATGCGCACCTAGATAACGCATGAGTAAGGTACAGATAAGAGTGGATGCATGCACATACCTCGACTTCGCGACGTGTACTACAGACTTGATCTGTGTTTGCGGCACATTTGGCAGTGTCTGTGCAACCTTCGTACGAATGGTCTCCTCGGTCGCAGAAGCAGGCAGGGTGGTAAGAAACATGGATGTCTGGCCGTCGTTAGTCAGACTCGGGTACTGACTAATTCGGGTGATTACTCACAATAGACTTGTCTTCTGGTAGTGCCAGACCCATGCTGGTGGCATGCTGGTTCAGGATCTTGCGTGCTACAGGATCATTTTCGCCATGATATCTGTCCTGAATATTTTGTTTTGAAAGCTCGTTCTGCACAGGCATTTCGTGACTAGTATTGGCGACATCAACAACACTGTAGTCAAAAGATGGCAAAATGCCTGACGCACCGATACGGGCATTCACTCCCTCGATTGCAGTCTCCCTTTACGTAGAACGAGCAGATGTGTGGTCGGTTCCGCTTGTAATACGGGTCCGTCCTCGCTAGCTGCTTGAGCATCTCCTTCCCTGCCGATGACGCTCTTGTGCCCCCGAGAAGTGACTTATCGCCGTCAAGCTGATTCCATTCGTCAGTGAGGGTAAAACTGGAGTGTCTGGATTGAGCATACCTTGGCCTCCATGTTCTGTGCATAGTATTCACGATTAACCTCGCTTGTCGGGGCCTCGTTCTGGATCGCCAGCGCGGTGTCCCGCACCTGTGTCGGCAGGCCGAACTCAAGGTCTAGCAGGCAAGTCTGGCAAACATTCTTAACCTTGGCACATGTTTGGCAAATGACGGTCGTCTTGTAGCGCATACCAGTGCCGGGGTTCCAGCGGAAGACGGTGAACGGCCGTGCGCATGTGCCGCAGGAGCGTCCGAATTCTTGCTTAGACTAACGATGTAGTTAGAAACTCTGCCCATTGCCTACTGTGCAGCGTAAGACTCACCATACGCACGAATGCACCGTCCCCCAAGCCTAATGAACAGACCAAGGGTATAAGATTATATTCCGCATTTCATAGGACGAGCTGGCATACAAGTTTCACATAGAATCGGAAATTCGCTCTGCTCCCAACCAGCCTTGTTGATGTCTAACTTTGGCGGCATGATGAATGTCCGTACGAGTTCAAGCAGGTGCGGCGATGATGATGTTGTAAGCTGAGCTGCAACGCGCTGTTCCAATATATGGAGGGCAGGATATAAGTCACATGCTGTATTGTAGTAAGCAAAGGGCTACCAAATCGGTTACTTCAAAGGCTTATCTCATTCCAGCCCGATTCTTACATATTCTACTTAGTTAGCCGCCCTTACGGCACACGCCGCGGCAGGTCCCTTCGGATCCTGCGCATGCATTCGGTACAATTATCCCCTTCCCGACGGTACTATCCTCCTAAGAGTCCTTGTCTTGGCCAGACGTGTTGAGTACGTTCATGGCCTCTCTTTTCTCAGCTTTATATCTCCAGCTCGACGACGGTTACGCAGAGTGATCGGTTTTGCATGAGGCCTAGCCGCCTACCTGAACATTAAAGCAAACCTACCGCGCCAAAAATTCGCCTTCTTCAATTGGTTAGTCAGATTAGACCGAGTGGATCACTCCTGCCTTGGTTTAGAGAGAAAAGCGAAATAGACATGCTATTATAATGCACAGTCAATCACATCCGTCCGATGGTTGTCAAAGTTGTAGTGCAGTCAATACAATTATTGTAGCAATGTACAAATGTCCGAGTCCATAGTATGTGCCACACTGAAGACGGGATGTCTCAATATTCAAATTTACTTTTCAGTCTGGCTTAAACAGCCTTGGCTCCTGTCGTTGGGTTCGTGGTCACCGCCGGCCGCTCTAGTGCATATCTCGACCGTTCGCGCAGCGCAGGACCGAACTTGAAGAGCACGAGCGGAATAGGCATCATGACGAGGGCGAGGAAGCCGAGGAGGCTCGACGCCCAGCGGGGGTCAAGGGTGTCATACATCTGCGCCGCGAAGAGCGGGAAACCCGCGCCGAAGAATGAGCGAACGACAGTATTAGCTGCGAGCGCGGAGGCTGCGAAGAAAAGATAGCTGTCGATGATGTAGCTGTAGAGCGCGAGGAAGATCCAGACGATGCTGAAGCCGAGCAGCCCGCCCGCGAGCATTGGTGCCCAGAAGGACACGTGTGGGTACGACGTCCAGCCGAACCAGAAGAAGGACACCGCGAAGAGCGGTCCAGCCCACATCGCCTGCTCCAGGCGGTACTCGGGCGGGACGGGGTTTGGGGCGTGCTGCTGCATGAGTCGCTCGTAGCGCGGGTTCCACAGCAACAAGTAGCCGATAACGCCTAAGGAGCACCCGACGAAGATGGGGAGGTACATGAGCCCTGTAATACCCGCGTTCATATGATGTCCGATGGTGAAGACGATCGGGTAAGCCTCAAAGAGGAGGTAGATAACTCCGTAGACGAACTACAATTGAATGAGTGAGCGTCAGCCTCAACAGATGCGTAAGAAGTGCACGTACACTCATGTAGAACGTGAGAGCAACAAGCATGGGCTCTCTGTACAACAGTGCAAAAGGCGTGCCAACGACTTTCTGTACCGATAACTTCAGGGATGTACTCTTCTTGTTCAGTGGAGCCCAGTAGCGGTCGTCACCGGTATTCTTGCGTAGTTTCTTTGCCTTTCGCGCCAGCAGGATAGGACTGCAAAGGCATCTTCAGATCCAGTCACCTCATGATAATGAAAGGTGGCTTGCCTGTATGTCTCTGGTATGGTAATTATAATGAGCACGGCACATGCACCGGCAAAGATGGTGGTGACCCAGTAAACCCATCTCCAAGAGGTCCCTGACACTGCAATGAAGCCGCTGATTGTAGGTGCTACCGACGGCCCAGCAAATGGGGTCAGGGTGTAGACAGAGAAGGCCTTCCCCCGAGTCTTCGCGTCCCAAATGTCAGACGTCAGCGCGCCGGTGATGACGAGACCAGATGCTGCAAAGGTGCCGCTGAGGAAGCGGAAGATGAGAATGCTGGCCGTATTTGGTGAGAGCGCACAGCCCACGGAAAATCCGGTGTACGCGATGAAAGTAAGCACGAGCGGGCCCTTGCGTCCGAACTGCTCGGATAGCGGTCCCCAGAGCAGCGGGCCCACGGAGTAGCCCGCGACGAACAGCGCAATCGTAAGAGTCGCGACCTCGCGACCGAAGCCGAACTGCGTCATCATCTGAGGGACAACGCCTGCAGGTATAGAGCTTGCAAACGTTCTATAGCCAAACGTCAGTAAGGACTGATGAGACCATAGTGCCAGTGCATTGACTCACACATTGAAGGCCAAGAGACCAGCCACGGATGTGATGTACCACCTTTTCGCTCGGGACCAGTTCAAGGGACTATCGGGGTCCTCAGGTGCAAACCTGACCTCAAACTGTGAGAGGTCCTCTTTCTCTGCCTTTCGGATACTCTGGCGACCCAAGAGTGTGGTATCATCGCTACTACTGTCGCTGAGCATCGATGAGACGGGGTAATATTTGGAGAAAACGTGTCACTCACGCTGCTTTCAGCGACTCTGTGGGTGCTTGGGTCTGCCACTGCCTCGTCCGTGTTGTGGAGCTCATGCTGAACCTGACGGGCGGGTATTCGCAAGGTTATCAGCCTATCGTCAGGACGCAGCTTTTATATTCTGCGGAGAATACCGCATGACCGATGAATATTTGAATCGCGAACAGCCCGAGGCTTATTACATTTACTGGGGGACACGCTAATCCGAGGGATATCCTCGTCCCGTTCCCGGTTATACGGACAGGTCTGACAGATGGGGGCAAAATCGCGCTGACATAAACACGGTGACTATACGACTGTGCGACGGCAACGGATGGACGATAGGGCGCCATCGCTCCTGATTGGACAGTTCTTCAGCGCATGTACTGCATCGGCGAGATGACAGCCCTTAAGAATGGCGTATCGACTCGGTCCTGTGAATGCCCGACTCAGTGCTCTTGCAGCATGGCCGACCCCTAGTTTCTCAGCTTCGGGCATACGAAGTCAACACTATCGACATATCAGCAGCTACTTGCCTTCAACGCGAAGTGGCCAGGGACCTATGGGTTGCGAGCGAATAAATGGATTATTGACGAATGGCGACCATCGTGATGTCGATTTTAGCAGCAATTTTCTCTAAGTAAGTCTCCACTGTCCGGCACCTGGCGAAGAGCTGCGTAAAAAAACAGGCGCATGCACCACGTCGAGGTTACCAATCCACGGGTCGGAATGGGCCGAGCGAGTTTCAACCAATATACTATCTTGGAAAACTTAAAATCCACAGGGTTGGGCCCAGAAGCTCACTATTCCTCGTCAGAGTAAGAATGTGGTCTCATGAAAGTGTGATTTACAGATCCTAAACATAGTTGCGACTGGCACTGGTACTGGAAGCGGAGAGTAGACTAGTAAGCTGCCTGAGCGTGCTTTCCGCGTTTTCCGATTGCTAGTTGCCCTTACCAATGACTAAGATTTCTGCAAATGCTTGCAAACAATGTGCAGCTGCTTGCGGAACAATGAACTACAAAAACACGCTTTTCTGGAGAATAAGCAGGGCAACAGCTCAAACTTGTGATTAAGTACTTAGTACTGTAGGAAAAGAAAGGAGTCGCGTGATTGCCTTCTGTCGATACTACCATAAAGAGGCTATCTGTGTCATACTTAGCAAAAATACGATTGATCATACTTGCACCTCTGCGGTTATTTCGCAGCGCTAACTCTGAAAGCGTGTAGGCGCTTTCCCGGAAATACCAAACGCCACAATGACGGCGCTAGTCAATATCGCGAGATCTAAAATCACATGCCAATGACTCAGGCGGTGGACACGGTTTACGAATGGCAATAATTTGATACTTTTCATTAGTGGGGCCTGATTTGACTTACAATGACTGCGAGAAGTAAAGTAAGGTCCTCTATGAGTAGTGGATCCGGAGAGACAGGCTGAAGGGCAGGGTCGTTGCTGTTACAGTGATTTCTCCGCCGTCCGCTACCAGCTCTGATACCGGCTTCTCTAGGTTGGGTCTAGTAGCTTCCTCCAGCTGCGGTGGAGCCTGGAAATAGAGATGTTTAGGCCCGCTCGACAAGGAAGGCTTCTTGATTTGACTAGATCACCATTAGTTGACGAGTCGCACTTAGGAATTCAAGGGATGCTCACATGTCCTGGCGTTCAATGAGTGTTTCGATGAGCTTGTCGACAGTGAGGTCCTTGCTGATAGTTATGTCGACAGCCTCGCCACCACAAACTGGACATTCTGGGCGTTTCTCGTGCTCGAAGGTGAAGGAATACACACTATCCGTGCCAATGAGCATGAAGTAGTTGTTAAGGTATGCCGCAGAGCTGGTGGCAATCTTGAATGCCTCGTTGCAGCATGATGCTACAACAGTATAAGTTGCACGATATATGGCAACGCTGAGCTCATTCTTACCAGCAATAATGGCATTGGTTGAGGCGATGGCAGGAATAATGTTCTTTACGACACCTTGTGTGAGCGAGTATGTTACACCCTCGATGTTGAACTCTTTGCCACGAGCGAGAGCCGTCTTGTACAGCCATCCGATATGTTCAGGATCGTCCGTGTCCATCTTCTTGTCTGTGCGAGTACACGTGAGATGCGCTTCCCGACATGGAAAGTATACATTACCTCCATGGACGCGCGGCCATTCTAAGACCGATGCCCACTCTATGCAGTGCTCCGGAAGACGTGGGGTGTTGGCTATGGTACAAATGGGAAATGCAGTAGGCTTATTCAGCATGTCTAGCGAACATTCGTAGCATGACGAGATCGTAGGAAGAATGACACGGGCTTGACCCTTGAAGCCTTAACAAGGTGTTAATCCGAAGCTACCTAGAAATTGGAAAAGAGATACCTTCTGTTCCGCCGTCAATCAGAGGCTTCAAGCTCTCTGGGTTCTCCGGGTCCACCATGTTCACGAGAGTCGCGTTGATCCATCGGCGAGCTTCTACGGAATCGAGTCCGCAGATGACGAGCTTGAATTGCATATAGTAGTCTTCATCTTTGTCTTGGATCTTCCCGTAATAACTATGCTATCTGTAGGTATACCCACATTACCGTGTAATTAGAACTCACGGTGTAACCTTCACGCCAGGTACCCGAGCCATGATGAATTCAGCAGCGACAGTCGCCTTCGGCTTGCCGACATTCTTGGGTCTGTTTACGACAGCTGCAATAGATTGTAAACAGACAAAGCGTTGGATCTCACCTGAACAGGAACTGCCGATTCAAGTTACTTATGTCTATTGTGTCCATGTCAATGACGTGAATATCTTTGAACCCGGACAGGGCTAGATTGGCAAGGATCTCGCATCCGAGACCCCCGGCACCAATGACAAGAATCTTGCACTTATCCCTCAGAAAGTCCTTGACCTGTATACCGCTAAGCACGGGAAGACGTTATACGAGACAACGCACGGACCTCATCTCCCGCCTGGAACGATGGATCTGTCCGCGGTCCAGGTCTGTCCAAGACCTGGTCTACGTGGTGGTACCGTCCTGGCCAGTCAGCGGCTACAGCCGCTCCGTTCATCACGATTGTTGTGGCCATAGCCAGGAGAGCTGGGCGTTACGAGATCGGTCAGGATCCTAGGATGAGAGGCGTGAGCGAGCTGAATCGGTAACACGCGACTCGAGAAGCGCCCGGTAAGCAATTTAATAGGCGCTCTTAATCGAGACGCCGAAGAGTTTCTCGAGGTTGACTGAGGATCTGTATAACTTTCACCTTCTGTTGCCAGACTTGTATAGGCAGGATGTCTCAACTCGTGACGGTAATTCACTTCAGTGGTCACCAGTACCTCCGACACCGCTTGGTCCTTTCCATCCTGAGCGGAAAGCCTGTCAAGATTGACAAAATCCGTCCGGACGACAAGAATCCTGGCCTTCGAGGTGGGGATTTGTTGCACTCAAGTTGTTTTATCTTTCTGACTAGACCAGACTATGAGGTTAGCCTTCTGCGGCTATTGGAGCGCGTCACAAATGGGACAGTCATTGAAATTTCGGTCACCGGTGCGTCGCTCTTCCCACTTCCTGGGGACACTGCACCTACAAATGTGTTCAGGTACCGCCATCTTGGTGAAGCCAGGGATTATCGCTGGAGGGACTGTTGTTCACGACTGTCCTCTTTCGCGCTCTATTGGCTACTTCCTCGAGCCAGCTGTGATGCTTGCTCCGTTCTCCAAAAAGCCTTTGCAGTTGACACTGCGAGGGATAACTTCCGACGACCGTGACCTATCTGTATGCACACTCCATTCTTTTCGACAATCTGACTGACATGCTCTGCAGGCAGACCTCATCCGAACAGTTACCCTTCCACATCTTCAGTTGTTTGGTATTTCCGAAGGCTTAGAACTGCGCGTACGTGGTTAATCTCGCCAAAGACCGAACGGCACGCTTACATATTCTTACAGATTAAGAAGCGTGGCGCACCACCTTTGGGTGGAGGTGAAGTGCAATTTCTTTGTCCCATTGTGAAGCAAGTCAAGACCATGAACTTCGTCGACCGAGGGAGGGTCAAGCGCATACGAGGCATCGCGTATGTATTATTTTGCCCGCTGCTTCTTGCTTTCTGAACAGTCTTTTTGCAGTCATGCCGTTCGTGTCAGCCCACAGTTCTCTAATCGAATGATTGAGGCTGCGCGGTCTGTCCTCAATCGCTATATTCCAGACATTTATTTGTACTCGGACGTTTACAAGGGTGAAGACAGCGGCAAGTGAGGCATGCTGTCTTCTCTTTCCCCGCAACAGCATCTGATCACGCTTCAGATCTCCCGGTTATGCATTGAGCTTGCTGGCTGAGTCAACGACGGGCGTAATACGCTCCGCGGAAGCCGTCTCGGTCCCTGGTGGTACCCCAGAAGATGTCGCCTTGACGGCGTCACGAGCTTTGTTGTCAGAAATTCGCAGAGGCGGTTGCGTCGACAAGCAACACCAGACCCTTGTGCTACTCATGATGGTACTAGGCAGTGAAGATGTCGGTCGATGCAAAATGGGTGAGCCGACGCCTCGAACGTAAGTCAGACGATCACACCCTTTCTTCAGCCGCTCATGCTGTTCTTTCCAGCATTCAGTTTCTGCGCGATGTTCACCAAGCGTTCAGCACGTCATTCAAAATCGTACCCGCGGACAAGTCAGAACAGGGGTCCTCGGAACTACTATTCTCTTGTTATGGCACTGGTTATGTCAACGCGAACAGGACTGTCGCTTAGACGCCATCTAGTCCAACGTCTACCTATGGTATATGCAAAGTTAGGTACATATCCAGCAGTTACTTGTAGATGATCGCGACTTGGCCGAACTCTGCCTCATCTCCACTGCCACCAACTATCCTCAGCCATTGTTCCAACACCGGCAACCCGACTTCGAACCGCGTACACAGCTCGTCCGTGTGGTGCTCCCCATCCAGCAATGCGACTAAGTCTGGCGGATATGGTGGTCCCGGGGCCTGCAGCGGAGCCAGCAGTGCGGACGGAGATCTTGAGAGGCGCGGGCGGGAGATCGTCGCAACGGAGAGCCCGCCGCTGGAGTGTTCGCTGTCGACCAGATCTGCGCCGGTGACGATGTCCGGTGACATTTTAATCAGTGCGCGGGGGGAAGGCGGTGTGATCTGTTGGCCTGTATGTCGCCGGAAATAGTCAGCCGTGATCGTCGCGATACTGTCTGAGCGCTGCCCGCGCGTGCGGCGAATAGGTAATGTCTGTCTCTGGGCCTCGCGATCTCGGAGTTGTTCGAGAGAGGTCTCTGCTAGGCTCAATCGTTTAGCGGGCTGTGGTTCGCTTGCGTTGCTTGTGACGAGTTCTGCGCCTGCGGACACCATCGTTGGTAGAGGCTCTTGTAGACGTGGCCCGCCTTTGACAGTTTGTCCCGCCCTCGTCCTGGTCGGTGTACGACTCATATCCGAGGACAGACCACTTTTCTCATGCGTTGTACCTGGAGTCTCGGCATTTTTGATCAAGACTGGCCAGCGGTGGACTCTTCGCAGAAAGCCCTGGGTGTTCATGAGCATGATACAGAGACAAACGCCACCGAGGTCCGTACTTTAACCACCCCGAAGCTGGTGAACCGGCGGACGTCGATGCCTAGTTCTTGCACGCCGAACTCTTCCATCCATTCGAAGATAGTGATACCTGGTTTTAGTCGCGAGTACAGGTGCAGTAGCTTCGGCCAGTCGGGAGTATCCCGATCTACAGGATGATGAGCTTGCAAACTGGCGCAAGAGACGTAGCATGTACCTGGTTTAGTAGCATATGGTCCACACTCTTCTCTGACATGAGGCTCGTCAGCAATCCACTGTACGCTTTTCCGTAAGGTATACATGTTCGAATATTGAAAAATATCAATCATCATGATGACTTGGTAGTACCTGCAAGACAGAGGAGGTTAGAAGGATGATGTTGAGATGGAATATCCTCTCATCATACAAGAGATGAGCCATGGCTTGTCGACACAAGTCGATGTCGCAGTCCGCGAGCCGAGCAATTCGGGCGACGTGGTTTACGCCATCTATGTATTGCACAACCTATAACGTTCAGTAACATTTACCTCGCATCAGCAACTGAAATTACCTTCGCTACTGTCAAGTCCCAGTTCGGCTCGATCCTCCGAGTAATGTTGATGAGGGCCAGTGGCACTTGCCAGTCCTTGACCGGAGGTGGATTCGGATAAAAGGGAAATATCTTTAAATCGATGGAGTTGAACTCGTCGATCTGGATAGAGGTCTCTGAATATGAGTTCAAGTCTTCATAGAGCTGCTCCAAGATAGCATGTATCGCTGCAGAGCTATTTGGTCCCGATAAGAAGGCTGATTCTTCCTGGATAGAGCTAGTTGGTATGTTACAATGTCGACATGGAACAAGCCGCACCTCGCACGACGTCAGCACACGGCTCACTTTGCGAACAATAGGTTCATAGCAGCTGAGGTCAGCATTCCTTTCGAAAACGAAGCAGAGATTATAACGGAAATAATTCCGCCGATAGCGTCCTTTGAGTTCAACTGGGAATCCTATTATCCGGTGGTTCCGGGTTGCGAACTTGACCAGGCGACCACATAGTGCGCTTGGGGGTATGATATACTTCGACACGTCGTCGAAGTTGAATAGAAAGCGACCGGAGGAGGCTCCGCGCTTCTGAGGAGCTGGAAAGGGCTGCCGCTCTCCCAAACGCGACAACACAGGAGAAGAAAGCACCGACGCGGCGACCCGTGTCAGTGACTGTTCTGAGCTCAGAGGGCCTGGAGTCGACGACGTGGGCGAAGTTGTGAAGAGGCTGCCGGGCACTGAGAAGACATTGGCAAGGTTAGAGTGCTGGCCAACGATGAGGCCCTCAGGAACCTGATGTACGATCTTTGGCCCCTGGTGCTCGTCGAATACTGCGTAGAAGACCGACTCTATGCGCGGCAAGAACGAGGGACTGGATTCGGTCATCATGTTCAGCGGGTGACCACCGGCATTAGGGGACCACCTACGTCGCAGCAGGAGGCATCATCGATGCTGTGAGTGAAAGGACAATACAGGTTAATGAAAGACTCACCGCGCCGAAGACCTTAATTTGCCCTATCACCGGATGCTGGCTGGATGCACTCACGAGTATCCATATGGGTGAGAAGCGCCCTCGGCTTCCCAACAAGAGGCGCTCCGGGAAACTGATGCGCCATCAGTCGATCATGTGCCTTGGTCTTCGCGCGTTGCGCCAACTTCTCCTCCGCAGGGTCTTGGTGCCTGCTCTCTGTCCTCTCTTCCCGGTCCTGCGCAATGACCTCTGCTGCTACATTGGCATCTGGATTTCGAAAGCTCCCTCTATCGCTTGCGCAGCTGTCTCTAGTTGCCGTCTTGCAATGTGGCCAATCATTCAGGTGGTCTGTGTTTCCACTCACTCAAGGTGTTCCAGAAGTGGGCACAGATACTGCGACGCCTACTCACGAATATCGGTTCTGTCTTCAAGACCGCGTAGTGTGTCTTCGACAGACATCGGACGCTTTGTACTACCGCTCAGTCTGTCCTCCATCATCTGAACTCCTCGACGACGAGACCAGAGAAGCGCGAACTTTGTCCTGGATACGAGACTACTTCCAGCTCGATAACGATCTTCTCGAACTTTACGAAGAATGGAGCGGCCGCGATCCTGTCTTTCGAAACCTGAGACTCAGATTCAGTGGGATACGGATGCTCAGACAAGATCCTTTCGAATGTCTGCTATCGTACGTACAACAGTCTATATCATGCTCATAAAGATGTGAATACCTTTAGGTTCATATGCTCATCCAACAACAACATAAAACGCATAACTAAGATGGTCAGGTCACTATGTACAGAATATTCTCCGGCTTTACTCTCGCTCCCTCCGCCTGATGGAGCCGCGGAAGAATTTGGCATCGAAGCATACCATCCGTTCCCTCCGCCGTCCGCCCTATCTGCTCCAGAGGTAGCAGCGAACTTACGCAAACTGGGCTTTGGGTACCGCGCAAACTTCATACAAAAGACTGCCAAAATGTTGGTTGATGCCCATGGTCTATCGTCCATAGTTGGGGCCCGACCAGAACCTGCGGAAGAGTGGCTATTCAAGCTCAGAGCAATGACGACTGCAGACGCAAGAGCGGAGTTGCTTGAACTCATGGGCGTCGGTCGCAAGGTTGCGGATTGCATCCTACTCATGAGCATGGACAAGGTAACGCCGCACGTCTCTGCTTACGAGAGAATAGTGACCGAGTTATTGTAGCCCGAGGTCGTACCTGTGGATACGCATGTCCATGATATTGCCAAGAAATATTACGGCTTCTCCGGCAGTAAAGCGAAGACCAACATGACGCCGCAACTCTACGATATGATCAATACCAGGCTTACAGCTGTCTGGGGTACGCACGCAGGATGGGCGCATACAGTTGGTTCACAAACAGCTTGCTATCTGGTTGTAGCCACTAATTGACAACATAGGTGCTGTTTACATCCGATTTGAAGGCCTTCGCATCATATGGACTAGAATCGCCACTCCCGTCCGACACGCCTACTGCAGTCGCCACACCGACGCGTTCTCTCAGCGCGACGCCTACGCTGCATGTACAGTCCCTTTCCCCCACGAAGCGCAAACGGGTGAAAGCCGTTGTAGTGGAGGAGAAAATTTGTGCCTCCACAGCACTCATCGAACGTTTATGTAAGATAGAAGAAACAGCAGACGTGGAGTGCACGTTGGCAGAACGAGTAAAGCGTAGACGTAGAGGTGCCTAGTTCACGCTGCGGATCACAGTCTACGTGCTCGAGCACGTATTGGAATATCATACATACTACCGTGTCCGCCAATTGTATGGATTACGGATACGTGATTGCCGTCGGCCCATCGTGGCGCGGTCGGTACAAGCCTGATGACGCGCCTCCAGATCGTATTTCCGATACCACCATCTTTGCGTCTCACATAGGCACTCTCACTCTCTTCTTGCTCCATATACCCATCATGTCGACTAGTAATGGCAAAGCTAGGGCCGTAGAAATCATCGAGGACGACCCGGAAAAGCAGGGCAGCTCGGAATCAGAAGACTCTGAGGACGAGCTGGGAGATCCTTCCATGCCGGAGGCTAGCATGCCATCTACTTCCAGCAAGAAGCAAAAGAAGAAGAGAGCTAAGGCTCTCAAAGCTCTCAGTGCGCTGAAGGGTGGCAAGGATAAGATTCCTGAGAATATCGTCAATGTCGTGCTCGACAAGGTGAAGGAGACTGGGCAGGCCCCAGAGGCGGATGAAGCGACTGTAAGGATGGCCCTCGAGCAGATGAAGATCAAAGATGTCATCCAGGGCAAGACTGGCCTCTACGGAAAGAACAAGAAGGACACTGGAGGACACAAGGTGCGTCTTTTGCGTCAAGAGAATGGAAGTACGTAGAGGCTGACATAGAGGTTACGACTAGTTTTGGTCCACTCAGCCAGTCCCCCAGCTCGGTAATTGAATCTGAAGTGCATATTACTTATGCATGCGACTTATCGTGTTGTATAGGCGAGGATGCTCCTACATCCGACGGTTATATCGAGCCTTCGAGGCCTGCATCTGAACTACCTCAAGAACCACACCCACTTCCCAAAGATTTTGAGTGGTCTACTGTGGATATAACGGACGAAGCACAGGTGTGTTCTAACTCGTAAATGACTCCAGTATCCCCTCCGACAAGCATTACCATTGCCCCGACAGCTTCGTGAACTATACGAGCTACTTTGCGCGAATTATGTCGAAGATGACGACGCGTCATTCCGCTTCCAGTACTCTGCCGAATTCTTGCGCTGGTACGTTTGATATCCTTTTTTATCTTGCATCTTTACAATGTAGTATTATAGGGCACTGATGCCTCCTGGCTATCACAAGGAATGGCACGTCGCGGTACGAGTGACGTCCACTAAGAAGCTTGTGGCCTTCATCGCTGGCATGCCGATCACTCTCCGCGTTCGCGACAAGTGAGGGGGTCTATTACTATTTTCTTTATGCTCACTGATTGCATGTAGTGTCATCAATGCGAGCGAGGTCAACTTCTTGTGCGTCCACAAAAAGCTTCGATCGAAGCGTCTCACGCCCGTGCTCATCAAGGAGGTGACCCGGCAATGCAACCTGAAGGGCGTGTTCCAAGCCCTATATACCGCCGGTACATTACTGCCGACACCAGTATCCGTCTGCAAGTACTTTCACCGATGCCTCAACGTGCCCAAGCTAGTCAATGTACGCTTTACACACGTTCCACAGAACCAGACACTGGCACGTATGATCCGCCTCAACAAAGTCCAAGATAGACCGCGGCTGGAGAAAGAGGGCCTGCGCGAGATGGAGGAGAAGGACGTGCCCGAGGTCACTGCTCTGTATGAAGCATACATGAAGCGCTTTGGTATGGCAATTATCCTTACTGAGGAGGAGGCTCGACACCAGTTCCTCAGTGGGCGTGGTATCGGTCCTACTGAGAAGGAGAGCTGGAGGAAGCCGCGTGATGGTCAAGTGGTCTGGACATACGTGGTCGAGGTTCGCGTTATTCACTTACCGACATGGTGCAGCGGATAACCGAGTATACCTTCACAGAACCCGCAGACACATAAGATTACCGAATTCTTCTCGTTTTACTCATTACCGTCGACGATCATGAATCATCCGAAGTACAATGTACTGAACGCGGCATATCTCTACTACTATGCCACCACTACTGCCTTCCAGCCAGGCGCAGATGACGATGGCCTTCTGAAGAAGCGGCTGGAGGACCTCGTCGGCGATGCGCTCATAGTTGCTGATCAGGCCAAGTTCGACGTCTTCAATGCCCTCACGCTCATGGACAACGTCTGCTTCTTGCAGGATCTCAAGGTGCGTACCAAAGAACGGTTCAGTTGTGCCTCCAAGCCCGCTAACATCTATTGAACAGTTTGGTGCGGGAGACGGTCTCCTCAACTACTATTTATACAATTGGCGGACATCGAGCCTTGCAGGACTGACGTCGACAGGCGAATTCCCCGCAGGCAGAGGTGTTGGCGTACCCATGCTGTAGTCGTATAATGTACATCGTTGCTGGTTCGAAAGATTCAACATATCTATAATATACAAATACATGCCTGCCCAGAGGATATCAGCGTCGTGATGAAGTAGCCCTCAGCAGGCGCACGATGTGACCTTAGTCACTTTCGTACATATCTGCATCTGCATCCTCGTCCATCCCGTCATCGAAGTAATCGTCATCGTCATCATCGATGACCAATGGCGACTGCTGTGTTCCTCCTCCCGTCGTTCTCTGGGAAACAGGGACACTATCGCCACCCGCGCCGAACGTCTGAGGTGCAATTGAGGTAAGTGCAGAAGCTCGGGCACCCAGCGCTTGACCGCTTGAACCCCACGAGTGAGCGCTCTGTGACGGAGGGTCTTCTCTGGCCTTGCCCTTCGCATTTGTACTTGGTGACGAAGTCGACGAACGACCGGTGAGTGTATTGCCGGACCCAGTGAAGGTGGAGGGTTGCTGGACTTTGATCAGTCTAGCTCTACATTGGAACGAAGCAATGCGACTTACAGGAGACTTTGTTACATCTTTTGCTTTGTCTTCAGGCTTATACGGAAGGACATTAAAGCCGAAGAACAGCTTTCCGAAGGAGAGGTCTAGCGGAGCTGGAGCAGACGCATTTGCTTCCAGGCTATCCGTAGTAACCACTCGATGATTGCTGTGCCATACGCAATCAGATGCCTGTGTCGATATCGAACACCACAAAAACGTACTCCGATCGAATGATCTTGCTGCCCTCCGCAACTTCTTCCAGTCTACGATGACTGACACCCTTGCCCTTCGTCCTACGGCCACCCAGAGTTTCGCCCTTACCCTTAAAGGCTTCCCACCGCTCGCCCTCTTTGCTTACCGCTGTCGACTTGCTTCCAACACTAAAAGTACCGCCCATTGCTGACCCAGGACGGGATGAACCCGGTGTGGAGGCATTGACATCGATTTGTAGTTTGCTCGCCATCGTGGTTGGCGGAAGTGGTTTTGGACGTTCGGGTTCGACATAGCCCACCGGCGGAGCGAAATCTACCTCCAAGTCGGTATCTACTACGGAGATACCCTCGCCTCCTGGTTGTGTCTCTATTACTAGGAGGCCGAACCGGATCGTATTGTATGAAATCTCGATAATGTCGCCTTGCGTAAGAGCAGAGAAGTGACGAAGAGCCTGCTCAAGCCTGGAGGAAACGCGTCAGCTCGCTCAGTATCGCGGTCTAGATAAAGACCACCTACACAGCTTTGGCGTCCGAAATTTCAAGGAAGTCGACTGTCTGGGCCTGCAGCTTCACAAATTTGCCTTTTGGCAGCTCACATCCGGTGACACGAATAGGCTCTCCTTCATCCAAGCGCAATGTCGTCATCATCCAATGTGGAAGATGAACAACACCTTCCTCAGCTATAAACTCGAGAACACCTGCATGAGTCGAGGCCGCCGGGTTCGCCGGATTACTGAGCTTGAACATCCAAGGGGACTCAAGGTCTAGCTGGGTAAGCCGAGCCAACGCAGACGGTGGCATAATAACTACGTGCGTGATTAGAGATGCCAACAGGAAATTTCACGGGATTACGCACTCTTTCCGCCATAGCTTACGTTCTCTCGCTCCTTTCCTGGGAGCATCGCGACACTGTAAGCTTTGAAGTATTCATCATAAGCTCTTGGATTCGGCCTTCGCGCATGTTGGGGCATTCCTCCGCCAAATCCACTGAACGATACTGGTGTGAGCTTGAACGCGCACCCATGGTAGAGTTTGCACGTACAGCTGGGCGAAGAGGCCCGCAGTGCCTCCCGGAAAGCCGGGCTAAATTACCACGCAGTAAGCAATAGAAAAGCAGGAGATGCCAAGGTGTACGTACAAAATCCATGGTTGTGATGGGATGTGGTAGAGATGAATGCGACGTGCAGGAGCGTGTCCGCCTCGTAATGCATGTAATGACGCGTCCTGGCGTCTAACATACCCTGTTGTTACCGGGAATTGAAATGGAATTATCAAGCGGTAAGAGGATGTGTGAAAGGCGGTAAGCTTCCGTTTTAATCTCTCACAGAAAATAAATAAGCGCACGAGCATCGTCTTTAGTGTCGACGATCTAAGATCTCGCATAACACACTTTAACTTTTACCATGGCTGCACGTTCAGCAGTACAGGCTACCTCTGGTCGCACAGGGTCGAACAGTACCTTCAATGACAAGGCATGTAACTCTTTGTCCGCAACGAGGTGCTTGGGCTGAACGCGTCTTAACAGGGCAAGCCCATGGAAGTCCGCTTGTCCAACATGGTAGCGGCAAAGGGTGTGTTCAGTTGAGAAAGTGGTATAGTGAATACTTTTCTTACATCGTGATCCATAGCTATCAGCGACGCTGTCCGGACGTCTCTGGGTCCTAGGGGTATGGACAAGATGGTGCGAGCCATAATTAACATGCTAACGGCAGAGTGCTAACACACGCATAGATCCAAACACCCAAAGGAGAAGTCATCATCACTAACGATGGTGCGACAATCCTGAAGAGCATTCAAGCCCTGCATCCCGCCGCAAAGATGGTCTGCGAGCAGAGAACAACATTACGTGCTGTACTGACGTGCTTTATTAGTTGGTCGACCTTTCTGCCGCTCAAGATATTGAAGCTGGTGACGGTACCACATCTGTCGTCGTCTTGGCTGGAAGCCTTCTTGGCGCCGCGGAGAAGATGTTGCAAAAGGGCATGCACCCTACCATCATCGCCGAGTCTTTCCTCAAAGCGTCTGCGAAGGCAGTAGAGTATCTCGAGGAGCTTGCAACGCCAATAGACTTGAAGGATAAGTCTGCTCTGCTCCGTGCGGCGACAACGTCCCTTAACTCTAAGGTAATCGCGTTATTGGTCATACCCAAACGTCACTCACCTCGAAATAGATCGTCTCCCAATATTCCTCTACCCTTGCTCCAATCGCCGTCACAGCGGTTACACGTCTCATTACACCAACGTCTTCGAATGTAGATCTTCGTGATATCCGCATTGTTAAGAAAGTCGGTGGCACGATCGAGGACACTGAGCTTGTTGACGGCGTTGTCCTCAACCAAAATGTTGTTGTCGCTGCCGGCGGACCGACGCGCATGGAAAAGGCGAAGATTGGCATTATACAATTCCAGCTCAGCGCTCCAAAACCTGATGTATGTGTATTATGTTCTACTCAAGGCCATACTCGTCTGATGTCGCGCTTCAGATGGACAACACTGTCATTATTAATGACTACCGCCAGATGGACAAGGTCATCAAGGAGGGACGCCAATACCTCTTGAACATTTGCAAAAAGATCAAGAAGGCAAATTGTAACACCCTCTTGATCCAGAAGTCCATCCTCCGTGACGCTGTCGACGATACTTCATTGACATTCTTGAAGCGCTTGAATATTCTTGTTGTGAAGGATGTCGAGCGCGATGAGATCGAGTTCTTGTCGAAGAGCTTGGGATGCAAGCCGATCGCTGACATTGATGCATTTACCGAGGACAAGCTCGGTTATGCTGACCTTGTGGAGGAGACCAGCAACAACGACGTCAAAGTCGTCCGCATCACTGGCGTCAAGAACTCAGGCCGCACGATCAGCATCCTTGCCACCGGTGCAAACAGCCTGGTCTTGGAAGAATCTGAGCGTTCGCTGCACGATGCGCTTTGCGTTGTTCGTTGCCTTGTCAAGAAGCGGTATGTTTCTCACATTTTGAAGAATATCTAGGTCCGTGGGAAGCTAATCCGTTCGTTCAGGGCACTCATTGCCGGTGGTGGCGCGCCAGAGACCCATGTCTCTCGCCTCTTGTCTCAATACGCTCATACACTCAAGGGTATGGAGGCATACTGCTTCCAGGCCTATGCGGACGCGCTGGAGGTTATTCCCACAACGCTTGCCGAAAATGCTGGTCTGAACCCGATCGCCATTGTCACCGAGCTACGCAACAGGCATGCAATGGGCGAGCGCAACGCGGGTATCAACATGCGCAAGGTCTGTCTAATAAACTAGTCGCGCATGAAGACACTTGTTGACGCATGGCTCGCAGGGTCTGATCTCAAATATAATTGAGGAGGATGTCGTGCAACCGCTCCTAGTCTCGACGAGCGCAATCGAGCTATCGACCGAGACTGTCTGTCTGTTGTTAAAGATCGACGACTACGTGCAATCAAGATAGATAACTTCAGCAGCAGCAGGTATACTGTACACATAGTGCAATCTAGTCATTATATTCAAGCTTTCCAAATCCATGTATGCTCTCAGGCATCGGTGAGGAGGGTCCGGATGGAGGCCCTGAGATCTCCATTCTCGCAGCGTAAGTGCCAGAGACAGCTTTCCTCTTCGCCCTCGCGGAGGCGAACAGCTGCCAAGTTCTCGTTCTCCGCGCTTGTGAGGCCTTCAGGCAGAATGAGAATCTTTAGATCGCCTAAGCAACGATAAGTGCTTGCTGAGAGGCCGGACTTATGACAGTACATACCTTTGAACGGAGCTTCGTCCGCGGGCGTAACTCGCATCTTTCTCTGCAGGCTCTGCAACCGCCTGACGACAGTGTCTATGGGAGAGTCGCACCATCCACGGAGGTTGGCATGCTGAAGTCGGTTCCAGGCTGCTTCAAAGTCCACCTCGACGACACTGGATGCTTGAGACTCGGTAGGAGGGTCTGAGATGAATGGCGACTCCAGTGCAATGAGATCCGTCTCGTGAACCTGTTAGATTTGTCAGCTTGTGCTTGTGCCAAACGAGGTGCCTCGGCTAACTTTCTCTTCTTTCATGACACTCAGAGACTGTATTGCCTGCGTCAACGACGATACTGACTCCGGCGGACTCTTCGCCAAGTCCTGAAGCTCAACCTGCCCGCTTGCAAGTGTCAGATCGCCCGCGGTGATCGTTTTCGACAAAGCTTCGTCTGCGTCCTGGCCTATGAACCGCGAGCTGCCGCTGTCAGAATGCGAAGATTGCGTGGGGCTGACTGGATAATATGCGCGCAGTCGAGGCGTCGCGTGGGGCGCGTCATAGGCTTTGTAGCGCAACTTGCCCGGCGTGTGAGAGGCGCTGGAGGACGCCCGAGAAGAAGGACGCTCGAAGGAGGCCGTGCTATCTGCTCTGGGCAGGTTATCATCTCGTCTGTCTGGACTGGCCTCGTAGGCCTCGAGTGCGAGTAGAACATCTGGAAGCTTCACAGAGGTCGGGTTACTGCGTGCGACATTGAACCCATTGAACCAAGGGACGTACAGAGCAAGACTTCGCTTTGGATAGAATGGTTTGCAGGGCAACTTTGGACTGTGATATGCGGATGAACTGGTTGCAACGTCGTTTGATATGTCGCCCTCCCTGCTCTTGGACTTTGCCCACTACCGCCAGCACGCTGTCGGAAACCTGGTCGCAGCTTGCCGAAACTCTGATCAATGTTAGCAGAATCACATCCTGGACAGCGGCTACAAAGAACTTAGATGAGATCCTGTCGGAAACCGAACGTAGAACGTACCGCCGTAAGCAGGTAACAACAGAGACAGTCTTCGTGCTACCTCCGCTGGAGGCAGTGGAGAGAGATCTAGATACTCGCACAAGACCGCAGATAGAACGACGGTCATCGTAAGCCCGACTGCCTTGTTGTCTTCTGCAGACTCTAGAGATGCAGCCAGCACGCCGACGCATCCGCTCCGGAACTCGACGTTCGCTAGAGACCGTCAGAAGCTAAGACGACTCGCTGGGATGGAAGGCGTACCAGTGCGGAACCTCGTCAGGACATCCTCGACAGCAGTCTGTATAACATACGGCTTAACGTCGCTTACGGCAGTCTCTACAACTTGGGCAATTTTCTGCAGGTGCTGGACATAGTCTTCGCCACTTTCCGAGTACAAGAGGCTGATGACCTCAAGGAGCCGTCGAACAGAATCTTCCTGCTCTTGCTGTCCAGGCAATGAGCTTGAAGCTTGCAACAGCTGACCGTAGAATGACTCGACGATGTTGGAGTCCACTTTGCGGAGTACGTTTAAAGTCTGACACAATGCATTGTCAATATGCTCGGACGCATAGTGCCAAGCGACACCTACTTTCCTACGTAGCGTCCGGTCTTGCGAGTTTAACAGCTGCATAACTCGTTCCACTTCCCAAGCCTCCAATACAGAAGACGTCCCTGGAGTAGACCCTGCCCACAGCCTGCAATCCAGGCTATCCAAGCAAGAGACGAACAAGTAAACATCGTTGACATCTTCAGAGACCAGCAGATGGCGTATTGCGCCTATAAAAGGAGTGCCAATTGAAGCCTGCGCTTCTGATAGAACCTGAACATCGCTGATTGCAAGCACTTGGAAGCACTGGTATATGATGGCTACCGGATAGCGATTGGTAATTACCAACGAAGCCAATGAAGGGCAAACTCACCATTGGCATGATTAATTTGTGCACAATCTGCCAGAATATTTCCTATTAGGAGCATACTCCTGAGACACGGCCTAGTGCCTGCATGAGCGGCACACCAAATCCGAGGCACACCAAATCCGAACTAGAGACAAAACGTACCTTACAGCCTGCAAAACCTGGAGAACCTTGACGAGCAGCCAGTTCGTATCAGCATCCCCGCGAGATTTCCACGTCTCCCGGAGCTGCTTCAGCAAGATTGGGCGAAACTTCTCCGCTGACATTATCCCCGTCTGCTGAAGGTGTTAATCATAAGGCCTGTGTATAACCACCGGGTCCCCACCTCTAGAAGCTTTACGCTGACTGTAAGGGCCGCGCTTGCCACAGTAGGATCGGGGTCCTCAAGTCTTTGCCTCATCTTCTTGACCACATCCTGGAAGATTTGATTCTCATAGACTCCGAGGGCACGAAAGGCAAGCAAGGCACGTCTACGGATGTGCAAGCTGGTGCGAGGTATGAGAGAGCAGCTAATGTGGAGATTCTTCGTTACATACTGACGAGTTGTGTGAGAGCAAGTCCTGGAGTCGTTCCCTTATGGCTGGAATGACATCTCCGGAAGGAATCTGTATGAGGGCATCAAGTGCAAGACAGATTCTTGCTACTTCCGAAGACTCAACATCCTGGGACAGGTGATGTCTTAGTGTATTGACTGACCGTATTTCTGGGTTACATAACCTCACCTTGCGCAAAGTGTTCACAAGCATCAGCTGGAGTTCATGAGACTTAGGCATCATTTCGGCACAGTACAAGTAACCTGATGGATGTCAGCTCGGGTCTAGCACGTAGAAAATGATTTGTACCAATGCGCTTGTCCTGGACAGTGAGGCCTGCTTCTGCCAAGTTCAGAGCATGCGGTAGCGCGAACTCTACGTCCGGTAAAGGACCAAGGGAGTTCATTGAACAATATAGCAATATGATGAGGCATTCCTTGACTTGTCTCTGCAGTCGTTTGCATATATCAGAATGCAGTACAGAGGGATAAGGATACAACTCTGCTGACCGCTGAGGATGTTGACCGTGTCAGACGGTCGCGGACATGCTCGAACTCAGCGAATAGGTATTGATCCGCTTCCGAGGGCGAAGCGGCAGCTTCCACTTTGCGTACTAGGGCGTAGTGTGCTCTGTTTAATGCGCCAGAGGAAATGAAGGGAACGTCCATCACAGCGAGCAGAGCGTCGGCGCTCGGTCGACGGTGAGCGCGAACACGACCTGGGCTGTGGTCGTGATGAGATGATGTCAGCTGAATTTGGCCAAGACTGTTCGCGCAAGAGGCGCCTGTGTGACTCCTTCGCGAACCAAGCAGGCTCAACATGTCCCCCTCTGTGGTATCAGCTACTGCCGCGGCCACGGCTCACTCGTTTAACAAAATTCTGAATCAGTCGAGGAATCCGTCAAAACAGCGGTCAGCAGCAGACGTAGAGGAGTCCATAAAGAAGCTACGGCGGCTGATACTCGTCGATGGCATCCCCTCATCGGTCGTACGTAACTCTCGACTATGACTTCATCCCCCGCATGAACAGGTGTCTTCTGCCAGGACCGCACCCTACGACCACGGATATGGAAGATTCTTTTGCGCGTACAAGACGTGTCTGCCGAGGAATTTCTCGACTATGTCGGGAGAGGGCCGTGCGAAGTGAGGGAGAAGATCCGCAATGATACCTTCCGGTGTGTGCCCTGGTGCTCGCTCTTCCCTTCTGTCGTTGAACTATCTCTCTTCAGGACGCTCGCCACAGACAAGGGCTTCAAGGAACGCGTGCGAGAAGACATGCTTGTCCGCCTTCTGGACGCCTTCGTCTGGCGGAATTATGGTGAGTGTGATAATACTCTTGGGTCAGTCCTCATGCTTAACCTTCATGTAGATCGACAAGAGGACCACCACCTTGGGTTTACGTACGTGCAGGGTATGAACGTGCTAGCGGCGCCGTTTCTCTACACCATGCCCTCCGAGCTTGAGGCATTCTTTTGCTTTGCAAAGTTCATCGAAGAGTCGTGTCCCCTGTATGTCCAACCTACCCTGGAAGGCGTCCACCGAGGGCTTAAGGTGAGCTAATCTGGCCCCCAGTCTCGGAGTGTAGAGGTTACAATATGTGTCATACTAGCTTCTTGATCGGTGCTTGAAGATTGTCGACCCCGAGCTTTACGCCTATTTGCGTGCCAAGAATTTATCTGCGGAGATTTATGCCTTTCCTTGTAAGTTCATGTAATTCATAACAGTGAATCGTACTCACTCCGCTTAACTGCAGCCGTCCTGACGCTTTGCGCGTGTACGCCGCCTCTGGACCAGGTCCTGCAACTCTGGGACTTCTTACTTGCTTTTGGTGTTCATCTCAATGTTTTGTGTGTGATCGCTCAGCTCCTTCTCATGCGTGATGAAGTCATGAAATCGTCAAGGTATGTCATCCTCTACTTTCTTTGTGGATCGTACCTACGAAATTGGGCAGCCCAATGCGCCTTCTGCGAACATTCCCGCCTCTAGAAGCCCTCCCCGTGATCGGAATCGCTGTGACCCTCGTCAGGGACATCCCAGCTGATCTCTACGATGAACTTGTGCGCCACCCTTACGCCGTGTCCGAGTAACATGAACCTCGTCTTCCTTCACTTGTTGTCGCTATTCTTGCTATCTTCCGCTCTCTGGAAACCTTAATACCTTTTAATGGCCTCCTGTCCCAGCTTTGTCTCGTGTCGTTGTCTTGTTGTCGTCTCGCACCTCATGTTATTGTTTGTATTTATATTACTGTATCATTATCTATGCCAGGTTACCATAGGATTCTGGAGGTCCGCGAATGTAACATGCACAACTCCAAGTCCGTCACGAGGGTATGAGAGGCGTTAAGATGACAGAAATCGGAGTGCATATGTACAAATTCAGAGTTGACTAGCCAAATCTGACGTCTATCATATAGTACGTGAGAGTGAGTTATTTTCCAGCCACTGTCTTACGCCCTTCTTCGAGACCATCCCGAGAACGCGAGTTCGATCCTCAAGACTGCGAGGCCGGTAAAGGCGCATTATGAAGCCGCAGACGCTCCACACGTCCTCCCAGTCGGCATCGAAGAGCTCCCACCAACAATTTGGCAACTTCGATGGTAACGGGATACCCAAAAGCCGTGTCGTCAAAAGTATCGCAGCGCTGACTATGGTGGGAACCGGATACAGAGCGTAGACAGGTGTTTGCAGGCTAGGAGGCAGACAGTGAGAGCACAGGGTGCGACGAGTCCTTCAACAGTAGAGGGTGGCCACTTACGCGTCATTGAGGTAGCCCCAGGCGCGAGTACACACGTCTTCTCGGCTAGTCAGCCCCAGTACTCGGAGATAGTTCACAAGGGTTCCATAAGGTAACACGACATGCACATGGAAGCCTAATCGTTTGAGTATTTGCATCTCTGCCACCACCAGGGCATCCTTCAGGTCATAGAAAGTGCTGCCGAAGTATGACATGGGGACATATTTAAATTCGCCTTTGTGGGGATTTGTCGTTTGAGCCGCGAGGGTGTCTGCCGTTCTTTGCAGGAGAAGGTCATAGATGTTGATGAGGTCGCGCATTCGAATTGGGCATTCCTCTAGTTTGGAAGCAAGATACAGGGCACCCATGCCTATGTCCTGCAGGAGCGAAGTCAAGGATGCATTCGGGAAGTATATGTAGAGTACTCACACCTATACCAAACTGTTTCATGGAGGTCACAAACCAGAATCTTTGGAATAATATTTGGGCAGTAGCAACGGCTACCTGCTTTCTACGAAAGCATAAGGCACGGATTCTGATGGGAGAGCTGCTCATACACTCACTGCTTGAGTAACACACCAGCCTGGTGAATGAGCTTGCACCCGAAAGCTCGGAGGTCCTCCTCCAGGTTCTCAGGTATACCATCATCACGTGAAGAGCTCTTTTCTATCTGCTCCAAAGACGCGAGAGGGTATAAGGAGACAGAAGCCATGGTACAGAATCGTTCGTGGACACTGAACGTGAACAGAGCCCTGGAGCGCCCAACTCGCGAAAGCAGGCAAAATTATATTGTCTGTCTGTCTTTCGACCTTGACTTCCACCAGCTCTTTCAGCTCTTCCGGCTTCGCCCGCCTTTCGCAGCCTTTCGCAAGCTGCGCAGACAGCCTTAGGCATGCCAAACCTCCCTCCGAGACCTGATTTCGCAGACCCTGCCCCTCTATCTCGGTCAGATCCACGATCCCACTACCACGGCGCACGGCCCATACCGCCCGAGCATTATCGCGAACGAGAACGCGAACGGGACGTCTACATGTCTGGGAGATCCTCTCCGAGGCACAAGCATCCTTCAAGGGGCGCGCCCGACTCGTACGTCGCCGCTGACAGAGAGCGGGACAGAGTCACCTATATGTCTCGAGACGCATATCCGCCATCCTATGACAGGCGCGAGCATGACGACCGGCATCGGGAAGGATATAGGGCAGAGCGTGGTTGGGAGAGGAGAGACTACCGAGACTACCCTCCGCCGCCCCCGCCGTCACATTCAGATTACCGCTATCGTGAGCCAGACCCTCGAGGGTGGACCAGAGAGTCAAGGGATAGCGGACGACCGAGATACGAGGACACTGCTCGCTCCGTTCATGCTCGAGGCTCGCGCAAGAGTCCGCCTCGCGCTTGGACACAGTCTGACGAGATTGACAGACACCCGAGGGGAGGCAGGCACCGTGAGGCGCCACGAGAGCCACACCACGATGAGGACCGTCGCTGGCAGACTCGACCTGGACTCTCACCGCCACGGCGCTACGGTCAGCTCATTTCATGTCGCCGCTCTAAAGTGTGTTAAACTCTGTAACAGTGGGCAGCACACCTGGCTCTCCTCTGGCGGGCTCCTCAAACCAATTACCCCGTTCGCCACGTCGTCGTTCACCTTCGCCAGATGGCTCGAGAGCGGCTTCACTACGGCGACGAAGTAGCCGTGAAACACTCAACCCGAAGCCAGGCGACCATCCAGTACCTGCGAGTCCCTTACGCCACCCGCCTTACATGTCCAGGAGACGGGAAGAATATCCTTCGCGACGTGGCTATCGTAGTCGCAGTCGTGGTCCTCGACACAGGAGCCGAAGCCGTTCGGCATCTCCGCCAAAACGTCTGCGAAGCAGAACACCAGCAAGGAGGGACACCAGGGAAGAGACACTGAGTCCTGGCCGAATACTTGAGGAAGGTGAAAGAGAACCCTCGCCTGCAAAGACGCGAGAGCCGTCTGCGGCGCTTCATAGCCGTAAAGACGAATCACCTTTACGCGCAGGCTCATCTGCACGTCCCTACCGAACAGATACACCGATGGACGTTGACACTAAGCCTTCGGAGCAGCTGCCAGCTCTCAAGGTGGATGCTCCTCCAGCAAACGTAAAAGCTAGCGAAGAGCTGGAACCACCCAAATCCACTTCTGCGGGATCTGCCACTCCTCAGAAAGCAAACGGCGAGAGTATGTCCAGGCCTCGCTCGCCTCTCCTGCAGCAGCGTGGCCTTACCAAAACACCGACGACACCAATGTCACCACAGAGCCGCTCGCCTATGGCGCCTTTACCTCCAAAGCCCGAATGGAGTTCAACCCCACAGTCAACGCCTACAGTTCCCTCCGCGCCGCCGCCTGTTGCAGAACCCGCGGAGGACAACCTCGCAGCCATCAAAAAAGAGCTGAAAGACAGATACCGTATGGACTTTGAAAACCCGGAGCCTTTGCCATGGGCAAACGACGAGGTGTGTAGCAGTTTTCCTGCAGTGGCGGACCGTACGCTCATGCACCACGGCGCTCACCAGTACGACCGACTTAAGAACCACCAACGGCGTCTGGAGCTAGACTACTACACTGCGGCACGCACAACGATGCAGGCTCTGTATGAGCTTGACATAGCTAAGATCGAGCTCGCGTCGTCTACTGCCAGGAGAGAGTTGGCCGTCAAGCAGCTCAACCTTGCCCTGGACGGTAAGGCGGGGATTGACTGGCCGTACGATTATGACGCTCTGGGAAACTCTGAGTGAAGGAACCATATTTCGCTTCTTTCAGAGTCTTGGGGAGTTTCGACGGGTGACATGTATACTGCGATTATATTCTGTGATATGTGTCTGCCGTCATGTTGGTGGTGCTGGACCGGCTCATGACTTGGGTATACGCTTGCAATCCATGTGCGTTCTGCTAGGGTCCATTGGCAATGCACAAAAGAATCCTTGCTCCTTATTGAGAAAATCAGCGTGAGCCATTCTGGAGACAGAGACGTATAGACCCACCTGCATGGCTTGGAAAAGTCGAGTCGAGTGCATCTGAATCTGTGGATGGCTGTCAGTCTGCGACACGAGGTAGACGCGGCCAGGACGCACCATGATGCACTTTCGACTCAGCTTGTCCCCTTCTCGACAAAGCTCAGACTGCTGCGCGTCCCGCTCGCTGTCGAAGGTGTACCTCGAGTTCGGGTCCTCCTGCAGGGTTTACGCGCAAAAGTCAGTCACTGCATTCTCGGACGGGTCCGCGCGTGCTCACAGAAATAAAAGCCTTCACAGTCTCTTCAGACTTTTCCTTGGCCATGGTGTTCCGGTCGTCAGTCGGGTTGACTCTGCAGAGTAGTTTGTGCGCAAGAGACATCCCCGCGTCGACGCGGCGTTCGGATTCGGGACGTCCAAATTCGGGATGACGTCGCTCAATGGCCGCTTACGTAAGCAAAGAATCCGGCCCAAATTTCTTCTTCCTCCAACCCCTCTGCTACAGGTCTACATGTGGCGTTTATTCATGATACAAAGTTCATTCATGATATAGTATATCTGTAGTATATACTAAACTGCATTACCAGCCGCGATTGGCGAAGTGGCCGCCAGGCAAATTTTTGTCGCTGCGCAAAGTTAGATCAGCAAAAGAAACATGGAGTGCAGGGGATACGCACATGGTGAGACCAACCATGGCTTCGCCAATGTCCTCTGATACCTCCGCAAGAATCTTGGGGTTGTTGAAATGTGTCACCTAGGTGTCCGATGAGCTATCTTAGCAATTGGTGTTTCACGTCGTGTTGGACTCACAGCCTGGACAATAGCCCGAGCGCGTTTCGCAGCATCGCCGGACTGAGATGTAGCAATCAGCATATGGAAAGAACGACAGACTGCAGATCGATCTCACCTTGAAGATACCCGAGCCAACGAAGACTGATCAACCAGGCGTTGTGTCAGCGTTGTGGAACGAAATACCGAGCCTCAGATACCTACCTCCATCACAGCCCAGTTGCATCATCAAGGCCGCATCGGCTGATAGGGGTCGTTGAATGCGATTTACCACAGATTAATCTTCAAACGTACCAGGGGTGGCAATGCCACCGGCAGCGAAGTTGACCACTGGTAGACGCTTCAGGCGCGCAGTCTCTTTGAGCAGGTGGAATGGCGCTTGAATGTCTTTCGCGAACGCGTAGAGTTCTTCTTCGCTCATTACGCCGCACTTGCGAATCTCGCCCATAACCGCACGTTGGTGGCGCACAGCCTCGACAACGTTTCCTGTACCAGCCTCACCCTTTGTACGGATGAAGGCAGCACCTTCCGAGATGCGGCGGAGAGCCTCGCCGAGATTTCTGGCGCCACAGACGAAGGGAACTTTGAAGGCGTGCTTGTTAATGTGATGCTCCTCATCTGCAGGGGTCAGAACTTCGGACTCGTCGATGTAGTCGATGCCGATGGCTTGCAGGATCTGACATAGCGCGCTTTAGATCCAGAATAGCTACGTGAGCAACAATGACCCTTCACCTGGGCTTCAACAAAGTGGCCTATCCGAACCTTGGCCATCACTGGGATCGTCACGGCTTCGACTATCTCCTTGATCATTTTGGGGTCGCTCTGCCGCCCGCTCAGCACGAAACAAAATCGATTCCGATAGGAACAAAGAGCCTACCATTCTTGCGACACCGCCATCCGCACGGATGTCGGCAGGGACACGCTCCAAGGCCATGACGGCACACGCCTGCACTTTTGTGAGTGAGAGAGCCAGAAGACATTGGGATGAAGTGACGTACGCCAGCCTCCTCAGCGATACGGGCCTATGTTACGCAATGAGTGACGTCCGGACGTGTCATTTCGTGTACACTGACCTGTTCTGCGTTGATCACGTCCATGATGACGCCGCCCTAGACATTACGGGTGAGCAGACGACTCTCCCGCAGAGTGGGATGCCACATATCCGCACCTTGAGCATCTGGGCGAGACCGGACTTGACCTACAGGCATGTCAAACGGCGTTCTCTGGCGAACATACAGTGTACATACACCAAAGGTGCCCAGGCTGCTGTTGGTCGCGCCGTCTTTGCCTGGAGCAGCCCTGGTAGGAGGCATGACTGGAGTCCCCGCAGGGTTTCCAACGCCATGGGGAACGGGAGGAAGGGGCGAGCCGCCATTGGGGGTGTGCGCTGGAGTGGTCATGGTCGTCGAGGTGAAGCGGAACGACAGGGAGGATAAAAAGGCGAGAGCAAGTTGACTCGAGCAGGCTCAGGTCGTCTGCGGAGTCGGTCCGTCGGAGAGCCATCTAATCGGGCTGGAGATCTCCTGTCGATCGATCCCGTCACATCAGCGCCTAACATGTGATCCTCGAGGCGTGGCCGCCTCCTCTCAGTCTGTTGCACAGCGACGGCGTCCTCACCTGCTCCCGGAGACTTGTGCAATTGCCTCGCGTTGTTATTTGTTTTCACCTAATTGCCCAGTTCATGTCCGGACTTTGCTAAAACACATTCATCACAGGCGCGGACGGCTGACTATAGTGAAACATTGTAGTAGTAATCACTGAGCCGCTCCTCAATCGATCCGCTGCATCTCCGTCTTACAATTATACAGGTAGCCTTTTATTCGTCGTGCGCAATAACTACATGTAAGCACACCACGCTTCTTCTCATGCCCACAGCGCGGTTGCTGCCCATGTACTCACCAATGTCCACGCAAAGGTCCCCATTAATAGACGGCCAGACGTCGGATCATGAGACGCCTCCTGTATGCGAGCCTACGACTCTGCATTCTGCACAACGGGCCGCCGCATAGAAGCTCGGGCTGTACTCGGATGAGAAGCCGCCTTCTCACATAGCCAAAGCCCGTCCCGTGGTCACCCCGTCATTCATGGGGCGACGCAGGAGAGGCATGCTTTGCTACCAGGTCGTGGACCCGCTAGATATATATCTCCAACGTAGACGTGCGCAGAGTTCGCCCGAGGGTCAGCCATGAAGTTCTTCTCGCTCCTGCTCCCTGCTCTCTCCCTGTTGCTCCCCGCGCACGCGCAGAACCAGATCGTATCTGGTGCGGCGTGGACGGACACCAGCGGGAATGCAATTCAAGCTCACGGTGCTGGAATCCTCGAGGTTCGGCTGTTGTGTGTGTGAGAAAGTGTACGTTAGGTCGCTGATTATGTTTATAGGTCGGCGGCACTTTCTACTGGTTTGGCGAAGACAAGTCCCTCAATAGCGCCTTGTTCAAGGCTGTCTCGTGTTACACTGTAAGTCTTCTGCAGGCACAGTATCTCATTAATAATTCTCACTTGGGTGGCTCCGCAGTCTACTGACTTGGTGAACTGGTCCCGCCAAAATGACGCGCTCTCGCCCATTGCTGGAACCATGATTTCCACCTCCAACGTTGTCGAACGGCCGAAGGGTCAGTGATTCTCACCCTGCACGCCCATTCCTGACTAAACCCGTCCATATCCACCCATTCATACCCACCCAGTCATTTTCAACCAGAAGGCATGTGCAAGCGCCCCCTGGAATTCCGCTTGAGCCGCTGAATGGCAAATCTCCCCAGAACTCCGAATATGTCATGTGGTTCCATTCCGACACCTCCGAGTGAGTCTAGCATTCCTCGGAGTCTCGCTTTAGCTCAAGTATGGTCGTATTAGCTATGGCGCTGCAATGGTCGGAGTAGCGACGGCGAAGACTCCATGCGGGCCGTTCACCTATATGGGCAGCTTCAAGCCGCTTGGAGCTGACTCTAGGGACGAAAGCATCTTCCAAGATAGTGAGTCATCGTTCTGTTCTATTCAGATGCACCTCGATTGACAAACTTTGGTCTCAGATGACTGTACGTCCCTGCTCCTGGGCATACCCGGGTGCGAAGATACGCTAATGCCGTGAATTGACAACGTCACGCAGCCGCACAAACGGCCTACCTGCTGTACGCGTCCGATAACAACCAGAACTTTAAGATATCGCAGCTCGACGCCAACTACTACAACGTGACTACCCAGGTCAGCATCATGGACGGTAAGTTTGGGCTCGAGCGGCGTGTGGCGTCGGGCTGAACAGACACCCTGATGCGCGCAGGGGCGACCCTGGAGGCACCCGGTATCGTGAAGCGCAACGGGGTACGCCTCCACCTGATGCACACGCACACCAACCGGTCTGACCGGGCTCACCACGCAGGAATACTTCCTGATCGCATCTCACACGAGCGGCTGGGCACCTAACCCGAACAAATGGTTCTCCGCGTCGGTGAGCCCCGTTTCTTTGATTGTCGGAGTACGCTCCTCGGCCGGGCTGCTCATGCGCCCTCGCAGTCGCTCGCGGGGCCCTGGAGCGCGCAGCAGGACATCGCGCCGTCCGCGACGCGGACGTGGTACTCGCAGAACGCGTACGACCTGCCGCTCGGCTCGAGCACGATCTACATGGGCGACCGCTGGCGGCCGGACCTCCTGGGCAGCAGCCGGTACATCTGGTATCCGCTTGATTTCTCGAGCGGCGCGCCGCAGATCGTTCACGCGGACGTGTGGAGTGTGAACGTCCAGGCAGGTGCGTGTACCTTCGTGTGTGGCAACCCCTCGATAACGTTGGATCCGGTTGCAGGGACGTACTCGGTCGCGAGTGGGACAACGTATGAAGCTGAGAACGGGCAACGCGGAGGATCCTCGACCATTTTGTCCAGTTCGGCGTTTTCTGGTGGAGAGGCCGTGGGATATCTCGGTATGTGCCTAGGGCACGCTTCCCTGGTTTCGTATATGAATGAACTCCTGGCGATAGGCCACGGTGGGACGGTTACGATCGACAATGTCCAGAGCAATGGTGGCTCGCATTGGGTCGCGCTGTACTATGCGAACGGCGATTCCACATACAGGAACGTTACCGTCAGGTGAGCATGAACATACTTCGCGAGCTAAAATGAATACTCAGTTGTTAATTACCAGTGTGAACGGTGGGCCAACTGTGCTCGTCGACCAGCCTGATACTGGAGGCGGCAACGTGGTCATCAGCGTACCTGTGATGGTTAGTTTGAATAGCGGCGCGAACTCGATCACATTCGGATCTGGGCAGAGTAGTAAGTCTTGGTGTGCTTGTGCCTTATCTGACCTTCAGGCACCCATGACAAGAATGAGACGCGCTGAAACTTGCCACACAGACTACGCTGGCGATCTTGACAAGATCGTTGTGTATTGAACAACCGCAGCGTTGACAAAGTTCTGGTGGGAAGGAGGTTAATAAAGGGTGCGGGGCCCTGAGCATGTGGGCGCCGTCCTTCCAAGATGTTCTCCCGCAACCGCAGTTTCCCTAGCGGTCTTACGTACCTTGCTTCGTATATAGGCTTCCCTAAAGTATCATCCATATCAACCGGGTACATCGCGCCACGGTCTCGCGCCGTGTTTGTTTCCTATCTGCCATTGCTATCTGCTTCCACGGGCTATCGCATCTCTGATCACAGCCTAGTGGACAGGGGGTGTGATTAGGGCGACACACGTCCTGGAGTTCTGTGACACGCTATATAAACACGGCCAGCGGATGAAGTGACACCACAAATGACATGTCTAGTGGGCCAGCATGCCTGCGGCGGCAAGCAACGGCGAGGCCGTCAAACCGAGATGCGGTGCCTTTGTCGTCCTGAAAAATTTTAGAAACCTTTTGATTGCAACCACTCCACGACATGGGTCTTCCAGAATCCGCCGGATAGAACGACGTGGCGGCCGCGGACGGTGTTGACCTTGAGCCTCTCTGTCTCGGGCGTACCGGGTTGGAAGAGAGTCTCTCTGATGTCTCGGGCGAGGTCCTGCACAGTGCGACACACACGGGCAAGAGGATAGCAAGTTCAGTCATAGAGCCGTGACTGCGAGCGGGCAGAACGTGCGCAGCGTACTGACCTCGGTGTTACCCTCGACGTTGCGGATCAGAACGAGGTGCTTTTGCGCACGGATTTCTGTGTAGACGGGGATGGATCCCCTGGTGTTCCTGCGGACAAAGTACGAATGACGGACGGTGTCGGTGTTGGAGGCGAGCGCGTCATAGGTGAGCTGCGAGGCGAGCTGCGTGCCTGCGGTGGGCAAGGATTGCGAATAGTAGCGCACGCGGCGCGCCGGCAGGAGAAACTGATTCTGGATCGACCTAAGCATTTGGCGTTTTGGGTCTGGGAGCGATCTGACGAAATTAGCACGTCTGCTGACTGTGCTCAGACGGTGCGGTGTGGACACTTTACTTACCGTATGTGAGCAGTGTTGGAAGCAATAAGAAGCTGTTCGCAGTTTCGATGTAGCCGGTGCGGTGTGGTATGAAACTGGAGAAATGGAGGAGTGCAAGAGAACAGTGGTGTGATGGCTCGGGACGGAGGAATTGGGCGCCTGCTTGCGAGCGGTGTGTGCCAGGGCGGTAACGTTGAACACGAGCAGCGGGCGAAGAGAAGAAAGAAACAGAGGCAGGGCGAGGATACGGGTATGGGTTACGGTCAGCTGTGGCTGGGCTGATCTGATACAAGGCAGCTGTTCGTCTTTTCTTGTCTCATGCACTCCTGATTAGGTGGAGTCTTCTCCGTTGATTCATCCATCCGCAAATTCATTTCATCGACCCTTGCCATCCCCGTTGCCGGCCTCTGTCATTTCGGTAACGCGTAATTCATCCACGACAGCCTCACTGGCCTACGGCGCCCAATCCCTTCGCTTATCCGATCCAGCCTCCGTCCCCTATAAGACCCAGGACTGGTCATGCCTCTGTCAGTCTCCCCTCCCACCCAGCACACACCATGGGCTATCCCGCTCTCTGCGCCTACCCCGCTCTCCATGTCCGCGACATGCTCCCCATCAAGTTTGGCGAGCCCTCTTCTGCGCCATACGTCTTCAGGGCACACTACCCGCGCTACGCATACGGTGGCGCGCCACCAATCCCGCCAACGGTCTGGCGACAGCCCGCAATGGTCACGGGCACTAGACCCGACGTGTACATGGCCTCGCAGCCCATCGTGCCGTCCCAGCACGTTCTGGCAGACCGCCAGAACGATGTGCATCTCCACAGAACCGCGCCAAACTTAGCGCAGCAAGGTAAGCACCGAGCTTCTCTGCTTCTGCCATTCGCGAAAGCCGTGCTAAACCGTGATTCTAGCGTATTCTCCCGCGCGCTCGGACTCGACCATGTCCATCGTGAGCGCCGCCTCGCCGTCGCTGTCCTGGCCGCAGCCGGTGCACGTCATTTGCACAGCGCCGCTCGTCGCGCCGAAGCCGCTGCCCTACCACTCGCCGACGTTCCTGCAGTTTGACCTGCCCGACGACGACGAAGACCTTTCGCACCCGCCATACTGCTCGCGTCCCCACAAGCGCAAGCGCCAGGACGCAGGCCTCGACGACGACGCAGACGACGCGGACGCAAAGCGCGTCGTTATCTTCAAGCGCAAGGCGTCCGACCGCCGTCGTGTGCATTTGCGCGGCGCGGGACATGCTGTGCAGCCACGACCCGTCCCACACCTGCAATCATACTCGTATCCGATGCCTCCTCCGGTCTTTGCTCATGCGACGTATCGTTGATCCCGTGCGCCGAAAATAAGCTCCATCTTCGTATGTTTCGCATCTCCCATTACATCTCGCGCTCCCAACCCTGACGTGATTTCAATTTTCTCGACGCGCTTCGCAGGCATTCCTCACACTGCTCTTCGCCATTTGCCATCTTTCGCCGCCTTTCACCGCAGGCACCGAGCGCCTTCGCTCCGTATTGCCGAACTGTGTCACATAGCACTCTCATACTCCCATGATTCAGGTGGCATATGCCCCCCACGACCATGGCACGCCATCAACGACTGTACACGAACAGAAACGTCGTCGTCGTCGCCGGGAGCAATCGGTTGCATTCGCCACGAACATCGGTTCGCAGGGCGGCAACAATCTTATACATCCATTCTTGCATCTACGCTATCAGCCGCTTGTATTTCCAGCAACCACATGTATAATTGCATCATCACTCCAGCATAGCGTAATATAATACACTTGGCATCTGACAGACGGAAAAATGTACATGGGTGGACAGCTTTCGGAGACGTCGTTCGGAATGCATGATCATACCGGTCTTTCGCATGGAGGCATACGTATATACTAATGCGGACTGCGGCCTCGGGCTCCTTCAGATGAAGTACATCTGCTGTTTCAGTATTGATTGGCCGAGGCCTTGCTGCCACTTCTCAAGGCTGAACTCAGACGTCTCGGTCGAGCTCTCGTCTGCATAGTCCAATTCCGGCCTGAACTGGAAAACGGCGCGAGTACACAGCCGCTGCGGAAGAACTGGTCAGCGATGACACCGACATGCTGTGTCGTTACGCGTACGTCAGCATCTAAAGTGGTGAGCACATGTCAGACGGCTGCGCGGAGCTCCCGAGAGGAATCGCCACTCACAGTACACCGGGGCAGGGATGGAAACCGAACGTGTCGCGGCGGCATAGACATGGCACAGCGCGAACGACAGCTCTTGGAGCCTGGGCGTGCGCAAACTTAGCTGAGACTCTACCGTTGCTTTAGATACGCACAGGTCAGCAGAGCGGTTGGCATCGTTCTTGAGCACGATATAGTGACTGGGACGGGAGGCTAGCAGACGTGTCAGGTCCGTTACAATCTCAGTCACGACACGGCCCTCACTTCCTTTCAGTCCACCCTGAGACTGCAAGTAAAAGTCCATGTACGTGGAATGGACGATCTCTCGGTCGACAACCAGCCCGGGGAAGCAGTTACCCGTCCGGTCTGCATCGGACCTGTGGCACAGGAAGAAATCATGCATGATGGCTAGAATAACAACGGATTTACCTGTCCTTGGGGAAGAAGCGCACGTGGTGCCTATAGACAGCGTGTCAGCAGTATTCGAGGCAACAACAGCTGCAACGTAATAATACACACACCTTTTGCCGACAACAATAAAGATAAGCTCCGCCTTGTGTCTGGTGTGTCGCTCCAAGTCGTCAAGTACGTCTGTGATACCCGCACAATTATAGTTCATTCAAACCCTGAAGTGCACAGCGTGTAGAATCGCACCTTTAATAGCCTGGATCTCATTGGTTTCGACCTGTGCATACTCGCCTTCTGACACGCCATCCCGATATATGACAATACGGCCGGGGAATCTGCGTTGCTTTTCCGAGTACCGCTTGATAGCCCTCTTACGAAGCAGTATCGCTGCGTCATGTGCATCGAGCGGATATGCTGCGCAGAGCACTTACCTCGATCATACCACCGATGCCGTCTATAGATTCCTGGCGTGGAGGCTGTACCTGTACCTCAGTAGAGTAACGAGTGGCGAATTCGTCTTCTGATGCCACCAAGCTGGCAATTGAAGGCCGGCTAGTGACACCAGGAGAGGGATGGGCCACATCGCAACCTGGCGGCACTGTCAACGGAAAGACATTAAAAGTGCATCATATCACGTACCAACTATCATGCAGTCCTTGAGGAAATCAGAAATTGGAGAGTGAAGGATGGAGTTGATGCCCCCAGTCTTCGTATTGATCCTGCGCACATCTGAGTAAGGGGCTAAAAAGTATAGATCGTGTGTACAAACTTCAAGGCAAGGTTGTTGCAATACTGGTCATTGGCTTGTTCATATTTGCCGGCACGCTAATAGACGACCCACTATGAACTTACGCTGTTGTCGCAGCAAATTATGATACTTACCACACACTGCGTAGGGATGCCCACAAGCATATCGCCCCATTGCTTGACCTCCTTCCGCAAGGGAGCTGCGTTTGCGGGCAAGATCACAAGAACAAAGCCTGGCTTTATCTGCGGATCGTTGAATCCCTTGACGGTGTCCATAGCAGCCTTTGTGAGGGACTATTCGGACACCTTTGATGAGAGATCCATCTGGGATGACAAAATAAACACACACCTCGTGCACTCTTGCTTGGTTGCCCGGACTGATATGGGGCTCCTCTTGCTGGAACACTGCGGATGGTCAGCACAGATCATATAGGTATGTGCGAAAAACTACCTATGCCTGGTCCCCAAAAGGGTGTCAGAATAATTATCAAGTAAATGTAGCATTAGGCTTACCGAGCTTCTTCATGTTGACACAAAGAGTCTGGGCGAGATGGACTGCACTGCGTTGCGCATTGGGATTCGCATCGAAGCTCACAACAGCCCATGCGATGATTTTGGCCGGGAGCTGAAAGGTCTTATTGACGACGTTCCAAGCTCCGTCCCTCACATGCTGAAGCGGGTATTAAACAGAGTGCAGACGGACACGGCACCAGATGTCTCTCACCAATGTACCGTTACCGTACATTACACCGGGAGGTTGGAGACGACGCCCTCTGGTTTCCAAAGGGTTAGTGTCGACCCTCATCCCAGCATCCCGCATGAAGGGCGAACTTCCATAATCCAAGGCCTACAATTTTTCGTGAGAAGGAGGCACGACCATTTCGCAAACACACTCACGTCACGCGAGATCGCCTTCCTGATGTTGTCGAGCCGCTGGTCAGGCCTCACAGCCGTCTCCCTCAACATGTCAGTAGTGGCCGGGCCATCGAGCTGCTTCCTGTATATTTGACCAGGGAAGACGTCACACACTTCCGCCGGGAAGATAGCACTCTTGCCGACACGGACACCAAAGGCTTCGGGGAAGCGGAGCGCAATGTGATGATGCTCGCGAAAATGTTCCTACGCAGCATGTCAAGGAGTGGACACGACAGAATGGTCGGTACGTACCTGCACAGTTGACATCTGACCGCTTTTCTCGAACTCGACAAACCCGGCACGAGGTACGATGTCCTCTATCTTCCTCTTGCTCTTGTTCGGACCAACGGTGACTATGACTCCCTTGTAGAACGACTTGAGCTTTCGCATCGCCTGTGCGCCAGCTCTTTCGTCTTTGCAGCGTTGTACCAATTCACGGGAGTCCCTACACCCCAAGAGGCTCATTGCGCCTTCGAGAAGAGGCCCCGGTGTGTAGCTTACCGTTGCTCCGTTAGAGCAGCCTTAAACACATAAGAAAGAGGATACCCACATAGCGGTAGCTGTGGTGTTGATATTGATCATGATGCTGTTGAGGACGGGACGAACACTCCTTGGGGGAACTAAGCTTCCGGCGCTATATGCCTTAGTGAACGACCCACTGGAAGAAGCCGTGCCATATTTGCAAGCCAGGTGCCAATTTACGGTCGGAATCGCCTCGGATGAAGAATGATTTAGCATGAAGGGCGAAATGATGCTTACTGGAAGCACGTCAGTAGCTGTTCTGAAGAAGAAGCACGGAGGCTTCACATGTTGGGGGCCTGGGAAATGATGATCTGGAGCAGGTTCACCGCGGTGTTGTTGGCCTGGCTCTTGTTTGTAGCGTCCGGAGACATCAGCCGCTCCAGGTCCCTGTGAAGAATAGCATTCGTCAACTTGGTCCGGGGTGAAATTGAGTGGACACCCTACCCAGGCCTGATCGTGTTGACACGCTTAATGGTAACGTGGAACTTGCCTCTGGTGGCGTTTGGGTTTCTGGACAAATTGACGACAAACTGGCAGATGTGGGCCACCATCAACCGGTTAGAGCTCGAACAGTGAAAGAAACGTACATTCCCTTGCTGAATGTCTGCGGTGCTGTACATGTTTTTCATGCCATCAAACGAAGCGCGGGGTACGAAGATGGCAGCGTTGTCGTTCTGCAGCTTCTCAACAATCTCTCTGGCGCGGTCGCGGACTTTGACTTCTTTGAGCGTACCGTTGGCCATCGGTTGCATGATGTCTGCCGATAAGAAGATCGTTAACATCGTCGGCAACCTTCAATGACGATGATGTGGCGTCTTACCAACTGATCGATAATAACATGAGGGGCAAGACGGGGGTGAGGAGCGAATGGAAAAGAGGAAAAGAGGACGATGGGAGCAAGATACGATGAGGACAAGAGAAGAAGGGATCGGGGCAACGAGAGAACGAGGGGAACGAAGAGGGGACATCAGCAACCATCGTTGATCCCAAGTGGCACCGCTCACCGTGATAATGGTAAAATTCCCTCTTGGGAAGGCTCACGACTCGAAACATATTGGCGTAGACCGCAACTGGAGTCCCTTTCGTACCAGCTCTGTCGGACATGTTGGGCTTGCACTGCAAGAAAAGCTGAGGAGGAGATGGGAGGAGGATGAGTGCGGAAGGACGAGCGATAAGGACGTCTCGACAGCCGTCGGCCTATTTGAGGGCTGAATCCCGGGCTCTTTGCCTCAGCGACGCGAATAGAGAAGGTAAGCACGTGAGCGTGAGCCTCCCTTAACTCCTCTTGCCGGTAAAGGCAGACCCCGCTCGACCTCACCACGTTGCAGCGGTATGCCGTATTATCGAGAGGCACGCTCAGTCCTTATTGCATCATGCGCATGGGCTAAAGCGAAATATGCGGAGCGATGTATTACGCAGAGAGCGGGAAACAAACCAGATGACAAGATTCATACGGAAAGGAAACCGTCCGAACAATTGAAGACGGGCTGTGTGCATAGATTAAACGGAAAGCAAGCACCCCGCACCGTCACACTCACATGCACGGACGCGCAGTCCTGGCCACCAAGCGGGCAAACTCGAGGTACCATACTGGATCATTACGCTACAGCTCAGCAGCATCCGCTGGACTGGTTCTGCTGTACGGTCTGGCCAGGGGTGATGGTGGTCGACTTGCCCGTGCCCGAGGTTGTCGAGGTGGATCCCATGCTGAGATAGCGGCAGGTGAGAACCCCAGCCGAAAACGCCACCTGCGACAGAAACTCACCGGTCCTTGATCTGCTTGGCCATTGTCAAGAAGGCCTGCTCGACGTTCGTCGCGTTCTTCGCAGACGTCTCGAGGAAGGGGATCGACAGCTGGTCGGCGAATTCCTGAACGTAGCGGTCAGCCCTCGGCCCATGTGCGGTCCATCAATCTGACACACCTTCGCCACGCCGTATTCCACGACCTTCTTGCTGGTCAGATCAGACTTGTTGCCGACGAGCAGCTTGTTCACGCCCTCGGAGGCGTAGCGGTCAATCTCCTGCAGCCACTGCTTGACGTTCGTGAAAGTGTCTGCGCGAAACTTAGCGGTGGGGTGGCGCAGATCAGGAAGTTGTCTCATACCATTGTCGGTCACATCATAAACGACGATGATGCCGTGCGCTCCCCGGTAGTACGACGAAGTGATGGTGCGGAAACGTTCCTGGCCTGTCGAGGAACATTGAGAACATGGTTCAGTTAATCTCTGCGTGCTTGTATGTACCTGCAGTGTCCCACTAGAAAGACGGAAAAGGCACGTTAGCTGACGCCTCGAGCTGCGGAGGGTGCGAGATTGACGGCGAATCCACCAGGCGCAGTGTGCACAGTCTCAATATCATGCCAGGAGTCTCTCCGCGCATGACCGCAACCTGCGCCCGGTGCACTCGCGCCCCCTCGCACCCCGAAAGGGCCGAAACACATACGATCTGGAGCTTCACCGTCTTGCCCTCGAGCTCGATGGTGCGAATCTTGAAGTCGACGCCGATGGTGCTAATGTAGCTCTCGGTGTAGGTGTCGTCAGCGAACCGGAGGAGGAGACATGACTGCGTGAAATATTGAGTGGTGCCAGGAGTGGGGATGACGGAAGCCTGCGACAGACCTTGCCGACACCCGAGTCACCGATGAGGAGGAGCTTGAAGAGGTAGTCGTACTCGCTGGTGTGCATGCTGAGGGCGTTTGGGGTCGTTGGGAGACGATGTCTAGGGGATGGAGGGCGGACGCTGGCGGTGGTGAGGTGAACGAGAGTAAAGGAGACTGTTGAATGGGGCGGTGGCAGTGACGCGTGTATTTGGCGCGCGCTGACCCCGACTACCCCGTCGACCGGCCGCAGCGGCGAAAGGACAGCAGACGACGACCGAACCGTCCAGCTCAGCCCTCCCGGCAGCGCAACGGGCGACAGCGAGGTCGCCTGTAGTTTTACTACAAACGCAACGTGAGCACCTCAGATATTCCTTACGTACTTGCTCTTTGAATTCAGCTTGTGGCACGCAACCTCATGCAGCAGCAAACTCTTAGCGGACCGGACGCACCCTCGCGAGAGAGGTGCTGCGGCATCGTTCTGGGTGTTCATATGGGAGACACCCTTTTTATTTCTGGAGACATCTCTGGAAACAATCCGATTGCGATACTGACCGGGGCTGGCAGAGTAGCCAGCCTCCATGCTTGAGGACGGCTCGGGGCCAGAGGCAGATCTGACCCAGCTTCCTGGCCCCCATCGTCCAACTGTGACTCGTCTCTCAAGATGATCGCGAGTACCGGCTATCTCATCCTGCTGCTGGTGTCGCTCGTCTTCCCGACGGTACACTCCCAATCCATCCCGCTCCTTCGGGTCCCTAGGCAGCACGCCAACCCGCCAAGCCTCTACAGCAGCAACGGCACCGTCTCCGACATCAACGGCTTGTTCGTACGGTCTCTCTCGTCCTGTGGTGTATTCCTAACGTGCCAGCCACAGCGCCTACCTAGTCCGCATGGAGTATGTAACACCACACACCAACCTGGGTGGCACAAGAGATTGAGTGCTAACTGTCAACCCACAGCGTCGGCTCGCAGCCTTTCCTAGTCCTTCTTGACACCGGCTCGTCCGACCTAGTGAGTTGCGTCGTTTGGTGTGCGCAGAGGGGACATGACCTCTCATCATCTCCGACGCCAGTGGGTGGTGTCTTCTAGCTGCACGGAGGACGACTGCGAGGCCGTGCCCAGATACCAGCCGACCTCGACGCTCGACCTGTCCTCCGGGTCCTTCGCGCTCCAATACCTGCTCGGCGAGGTGTCCGGAGCTATCGGCACCGAGACCGTCAGCCTCGGGCAGATTGAGATCCTCTCGCAGGTGTTCGGTGCGTGACTTCACCCGTGCCGTGCGTGCCGCGTGTGCCGTTGTCGTGGTGTCGCGGTCTCGCGGGGCGTCTTTTTCTCACCAACTCCCTCTCTTTGACAGCACTCGCGAACTCGACCGCGGGGCTCGGCCTCAGCGCGACGGGCAACAGCGGCATCCTCGGGCTCTCCTTCGCGACCGTGGCCGCGATCCCGGGCACGGCGGGGCGCACGCTGCTCGAGAACCTGCTCTCGCCCTTCGCGGCGCCCGACCGGTTCTTCGCCTTCCGGCTCGGACGCGACGACGCGAGCTCGTCCTTCACCGTCGGCGCGCTCGACCCGGCGTACGCGAACGCGACATCCGAGCTCGCGTTCACGGACGTCTACCCCGTCGGGCGCGACAGTGCCGGCGGCGCGGTGTACGACTACTGGAAGGTGCCCGTGCAGGGCCTGACGGTGAACGCGAGCGCGTTCGCGCTCTCCGCGTCGCGGCGCGTGCCCGGCGCGCCGTCGCCGATCGCCGTGCTCGACACGGGCACGACGCTCATGCTGGGGCCTGCGGATGACGTAGACCGGCTCTGGGACTCGATCGGCGGAGCGCGGAAGACGGAGACGGGCTGGCAGGTCCGCTGCGACCGCGCGGTCGTCGTCGGCGTCGTGCTCGGCGGAGCGGGGGGCGACGACTCCCGCGCGCACGAGTACGCCATCGACCCCGCGGACGTGAGCTGGCTCGGTGGCGGGCGCGACGGGGACTGGTGCATGGGCGGCATCCAGGGCAACGACGACGTAGGTGGTGGCACCCTTTTTTATTTATTTTTATTTTACGTATGCCTACTGTGCCCCCCTTCTAGATTTCCTCCGGCGACTGGCTTCTGGGCGATACGTTTCTCCGTGTGCGTCGACCGGCCTCCCTCTTGCGAGTCGTATCAGGGGGCTGAACTGACCGCGCGCTGACCGCCAGAACGTGTACGTCGTGCACCACGTCGGCAACAGCACCCAGCCGCCTTCGATTGGTCTGAAGGGCCTGACAGACCCCGAGGCTTCTCTGATCAACTTTCGACTCGAACGGGGCAACGATCCTACGGCTCCTGTCCCTGTCCTGGGCACGGTGGCACATGGTGGACACGCCATTAGCGAAGGGGCCATCTGCGGTGTCGCGGCGGCAGGGGGCTTTGTGTTTGGAGCTGTGCTGACGGTCGCGATCAGCGCATGTGTGGCAAAGGGAACAAGCAAGTACTAGATTGGCTATAGAGATGACGAATGCGTATTTTACAAGAAGCGGGAGAACGAGATGGATCGAGGATGCTGAGAGACATATTGATAGAGGAAGCGGAGAAGAGTGCGGTGGGAAATGAAGATGCTACATTTGCTTGTGTCCTGGGACCGGTTGTGGCGACTGGTACGCGGATGGCGTGGGGTATGCGGGGGCGTAGCCAGGCTGGAAGGCCTGGGGACCCATGAAGCCCTGCTGGGGAGGAGGCTGCTCGCCGACGACCTGAGGCTGCCATCTGATGGCGTACGGGTCAGAATGCGGCGAGGGACAGGAGGGAGGGGTGTGGGAAGGCTCACCCTGGCTGGATGGGCAGCGACCACTGGCAGATGGGGCAGAACCATAGGCGCTTGGACCTGATAGGAACGAGGGGGACGAAGCAGAGCTCGAACCACATGCGGGACTTTGCGGGGTACACGGCGGCTGGAGAGAGAGGGATGAGTGCCTCAATCTTTCCGGAAGCGGACGGGCTGACCGTTGTTGCAGCGTGGACAGACCCTCGGGGTGATGTCGCCATCAGGCTTGACTGTGTTCTTGCAGCCCACTGGCGCCGCGCAGGGTGAGAGGGCTGGAAAGACCTGAAGCCTGAGACGACGGGCGTACCTAGGACGGGGAGACAGACTGGCAGAGGAGATCAGGGGGTGAGCGAGGGCGACGAGCAGGGGACGACGTACAGATGAGATCAAGCATGGGGACGTCGGGGTGGGAGGCAAGGAGGAGTGGACTGCGCAGGGGCGACAGAACTTTGGACGTCGATCTTCCGGAAAAGGCAAGGGAAGAAGGCGAGGCGGCTGGCGGCGTGAGCTGGAGGTCGAGGCAGGGCGCGCGGCGCGGGTCGAGGAGGCCTCGCTGTGTGTGCGCTTCCCCCGGCGACCTAGCCATCTATCTGTTCCTGGCGTCTCCGTGCCTGGCCTCCGCTCACCCTCCGCTGGCCCGCTTGGCGTCCTCGACGGGCCTCTGCGCGTAGTTAGCTCGCCCCTCGGGTCGCCTGCGTTGCGCGCGCAACATATCACCGCCGTCAGAGCCTCGCTCGGTGGGTGCTGTCTTGCGACCCCGGCTAACATACAACCACCGTGCCCTCACGTTCATCCCGCACACTCCCGGTCCAATACAATCGCACACTCAATCCCTGATCAGCGCCGCGTCTCTCCTCGACGCGGCTCAACCGTGTCCTCTTGACGTCCGTCTCCGCTCGGTCTCCGTGTGCGTCTGCCTCCTCGTGATTGGCGGGCCCTAGCCAAAGCCAGCGGCTACAAAAAAAAGCCACCGTACGCGTGCTGCGACAATGCACCATCTATCAGCTCGGCATCGCGCAGTCGACGTCGAGCACCGCCTGCTTCTGCTGCGCGGCACTGGGCCCCCGCCACAATTCCCGTCGCGGCGCCATCGCCCCTCCCTCTTGGCAAGCAGCAGCGCCGCTAGCTGGGGCCTTCCGGAGCCTCCAACCTCCGCAATCTAGTGTCGCCGTCTAGCGGGGCCCGAGCAAGGCACGCCATGTTGCAGGAACCAAGACGGCTGGCCTTTGTTCTCTCCCAGGCATGCGCCACTGCTAGTAGTATCATGTCGCCTGCCCGTTCATCACCCGCGCGCGCCGGCGGTTTGACTTCATGTCCCAATGTTGGACACCTGCTCCGTAAAGTGCGCAGGCGAAGATGCGATCGGCGGCAAGTGGCGTGTCAGGATTAGCTAGATTATGTGGCTTCCGGTACAGGTCTAGAATATAGGCTGGTATCTACGATAGCGACGCGGATTGAGTGGTATGCGAGACAGCAGCACGACAGCAGGTAGCACACACGTGAGACAACAAGACGAGGAAGCCAAAAAAAAAAAAAAAAATAGCAACGAGTGCTACAGAGAGTCCGTCTGTCTGTCCGAGAGAGAGAGCGAGAGAGAACGCGCAAAGTACACTGGCTACAGCAGACGCGAGTAGGGGCGCAACTATGCAAGACATCATCAGTAGTATCTATCCGCCACGAACCGGCTCTCGTCCTCCTCCTCCGACGTCGACGCCCCCGGCATGAGGTTCGGGTCCTGCGCCATCGCAGCGCTCGCGAACGGCACGCCGCCCGCCGGGTAGCTCGTCGCCGCCGGCGCAGAGTACGGGTGGTGGTGGTGGTGCTGCAGCTGCGCGTGCGCGCCGTCGCCCATGGGCGAGTAGCCGTACGCGCCATAGTAGTACGCCGGGTCGGACAGCGTGCGCATCGCCGCGCCGCCGGGGCCGCCACCGCCGCCGCCGCCGCCGCCGCCGTTCCCGCCTGCGGGCGGCATGAGGACCGAGGACGAGGCGACGAGCGGTGCCTTGGACGTCGACGCCCGCGCGGCGGTGGGCGAGGTCCGGTGCGTCGTCGTCGACGACGACGACGCGCCGCCGCCCTCGGCCGACATGCTCGACGGCCAGCCGTCGTCGTGCGCGTGTGAGCGCCCCGCGAGGCCGGTCGTGGACGCCGACAGCGACGGGATGGTGAGCGGGCGTTGCTGCTGCTGCTGCTGCTGCTGCTGCTGCTGTGGCTGTTTGCCCGCGTACGAAAGCTCGTCGAGCGAAAAAGCGGGAGCGCCCGCGCCAGCGACCGGGCTACTCGAGTTCGTGCGTCCGTGCGCGCCGCTGCACCCCTGCTGCTGCTGGATCCGGGCCTGCCAGATCATCCGCACGGTGTGCATGCGCTCCTCGCTCTTGGCGAAGAGCCAGCGCATCTCGCTGAGTGCCTGCAGGCACGCCTCGACGTCACCGCTCGAGCCGCTCTCGCCGGCGAGGAGAAAGGCCGCGAAGAAGCACCCGTCCCGGACGATCGCGGCGTCGTACTGGAAGAAGGTCGTGCCGAGGTTCGCTTGGATGATCTTGACCACCTGCTGGACCACGCTGACGCAACGGGTCCGCGCCTTCTCGTACAGGCGGCTCAAACCTTCGCGACTGGACACCAGACCGCCTTCCACGTCCGGAGCACGGGGGGCCTGGGAGCGCGCCGCGTCCAGCTTCGTCTTCAGGCCCTCGCGGATAACATTATCTGGGTCACAGGTTAATAACCGCTTGGCTATCTCGAGATCGTGCTACTCACGGCACTCAAATATGAATATCTGTCGGGTCGGGCACAAGGCGTGAGAGCGGGTCGCATGGTGACAAGGTTCTGAAGCTCACCTGCCACCCGTGTATGAACCTTTCCATGTCCTCGACCTCGATAATTTCAGCTGTTCCAATCTGCCTGAGGCCATCGAGATCTTGCCAGCATCGATCGAGGCTGCTCCAGGCTTTCGTGAGCAGGTCTTCTTGGATCCCGTCGCTCTGCTTGGCCTTTGGCCCAGTCAAGGCAGCGTGGATCGTCCGGCTGACCGAGGAGATGCGGAGGGGGACCGCCACGTAGCGGAAGGTAAAAACGTAGATGGAACAACCCGGTGTATTGTCTGTACGCACGGGCAACGTGCTCTCGAAGGATGTTAGATCATCGTCGGACCTACAATGGACATATGAGCGTCACTGCGTCTGTAACGCGCAACCGAACAAGCTACTCACAGCCATATACGCCCCCCTCGGAGGCCGCTGGTCATGCCGTCGAGAATGTGAGCATACCAAAACACTCTGGCCCTGACGAGCACGTCGATAAACTCTCCCTGTCCGCTGCTGACCGTGGCAGCCGAGGCAATGCTGCACAGGTTGTACACCTGGCTCAGCGTGGCTTCGTACATGACCTCCACGGAGATATCAGCCGGATAGGGGGACCATGAGAAGCGCGGCGACCCACCAGGCGGTCCATGGGCGACTGCAGGTCTGTGGGACGTGAACACGGCAGCCAATACGAGCGACGGAAGGAATCCTACCCTGAGTCAAAGGCAGCAGAAGAAGCAGGAGCCGGACACCATCCCACGATGCCTTGCGGAGGATGCCGTGCATGTCCACGAGGTAGAGTATCTCCTGCAACATCTCATTAATTCGCTCCTTGCGCTGACGAGTATCTGTCGGAGCCTCCTGGACGTCTTCCTGGCCGTACTCGTTCACGCCGAAGCTGGCGGCCCAGACGACGAGCGCCATGGCGATAAGCTGCCCGGGCACATGGAGGGCGTCGGTGTTGCCCTTGATGAACTGCAGGTACCGCTCGCGGAACTCGAGGGGCTCGATAATCGGGCCTGCAGAAAAGAAATCGCACGTCATCTAGGGCGGGAGAGCGACAGGGCGGGATTCGCTCGGGACGTACGCTGGATGTGAAACCGCCAGAAGAAAGGCGACTCGAAGAACTCGGGCGCGAGACGTGGGATTACGTTCTGCGGGGGCGTGACAGAGCGCAGGGTACCCTGATCTAGAGGCACCTTGCCGTAAACAGCCCTGCGGAAATTCGTGTCCGAACGCATCAAGCTCAGAGTACGGGCCGCGCAATGACAGGATGACCTACTCCGCCTGCTGGAGGCGCCTGCCGCGCCTGAGCAGCTTGACAGCTTTGACCTCCGCGAACTCGTCCCTGTCCCCGCCAGTTGTGAGTGCGGACCAAGGCGGCGACGGCGGGGGCGGTACGTACACACACTTGAGGCCGCGCTCGCGACAGTTGGTGCACGAGACGGACTGGCCGGAGCTGGACACGGGAAGGTCCTTGAGATCACACCGAACGCTGTGCGGAGGGCTGGGTGAGCGTCGAGGAGCGGGCGAGGCAGGCGGAGGGGACACACCGCCTCATCCTGCACGCGCCGCACGCGCTGAACTGCTCTCTCTTCTTGGACTGTTGGGACCAAACAGGGACCCAGTCGGAAGAGCAATTTGTCAGATGTGGGCGGGTGGATGACGTGATGAATGCATACCTTCTTGGACGAGGTTGACGCCTGGGGATATGGGGACGTCGAGCGCGAGTCGGGAGAGGACCTCTGGGGAGACATGGGAGGCCAGGCGAGGACGGAAGGAGTGGGGATATCAGAATGAAGAGCGGAGGGAGGGACGAGGGAGGCAAGGTTTATATATGAATCGAGGTGTTTGTGTGTGATGGGTTCCCAAAGGGACGTCTTCTCAGACAGCAGACAATATTTGGACGGAGCGAGAAGGAAGGGTGGGGGGAGGAATAATGAGATTGTCGAGGGAGGGGAGAGATATGATAGGCCACTGGCCGTCAGTTGGGACGCGTGTGGCTCGTGCTGGGTGATGCGCGTGAGATTTATTAGGCGTTGGCCTGCTAGAACACGCCGCGAGAATCGTAGGCTCTGTCCCCTGGACAGGGTGCATTCTTCGCTCATGCCGCCGGATGCTACGGGTAGTGGGATTTGCATCCGCATCGGGCGCGTCTCCAGCTGCGCGTCTGCGGCTGCCTGCAGTGGGAGATCCCCGACCGCTGGACACTGCGGGCAGCGACTGTGAAAAAAATCTTTTGGAGGTCAGGCAACGGCTCTTGAAACAGGCACGGCGAGAAGACGGAGGAGCTCGAGGAGAATCATGGCCATCTGCTCCCGTCGAAAACAAGGGCGAGAGAGAGCGCCGGGGCATTGCCCACAGGCCGGATAAGGTAGGCTCGAGGGAGAACGTTAGGCGGGCCAGACGGCTGACACCTTCTGGGCCACGCCAGACACCGTACCATCGCACACGCACGTACTGCGCCCAGAGGCGCTCCGCCCCATCCAAACTAACCTCTTCGCCAAACAACAAAAAGGCCGGCACCAAGGGCAGCACAGAGGGTGAAGAAGAAAAAAAAAAAAAAAATCATTCGTGTCGCGCGCGCGCGCAAAATGTCATTGTGCGGGCAGCTCTCCCTGGGTATCACCGCCGCTACGCGAGCTCCGCTAACGCGTTAGCCCTGGCCAACAGCTCGTCCCCGGTTCACGCGTTCCGACTCCCACCAGAGCGTGTCAAAGAAAAACTCTGCACTGCTCCTCAGCTATCTGCCGCCTGCCATCAAGGGAGAGAATCCAACTTGCCAACACGCGTCGCGAGACTGACATCGCCATCGCGCAGCTAGTATCGTACATACACGTGTCCTAGCTTCCCTTCAGCAGCTCCTCGACGCCGCCAGCCTTCTTGATGGCGCGTACAAGCTGCCCCGCACTCCGCTGGTCGACGTTCAGCTTCCTGTCTCGGACCATCGCCTCGACGTCACTCCCGTGCTGGGCCACCAATCGATGCAGAACTCCGAGCTCCCCGCGCGAGCTGTGCCGCACGACCGGTCCCCCACGCGTCTGTCCAAGTTCTTCCAAGCCTATCGTCCGTCGCGATCGTCCGCGACCAACAGTCAGAATCCCAAAAGGCTGATTGACGACGATTGCCGGACTTACGTTGCACCACGTGTGTCCTCTCCGCGCTTGCCTGGCTGCCAACGCCAACCCAGTCTGCCACTCCCTTTTGTTTCGACGGATCCGGTATGTCTTCAATCAATCTCTCCGCACTCGCCGCCGGTCCCCCTCTCTCGTCCCCTCCCTCCCCCTCCTCTGGGAGCTCGACGTCGACCACATTGCCGTCCGCGTCTCGGACGATCCGCCCGTAGCCCTTCGGAAGGCTAGATGGACCCGCCACTTTCGAGCTAGAAGCTTCGAGGGCGCAGTCCACGTCCACGGGCGGTTCGTTCTTGCTTGCTGCTCCCAGCGGTTTCTCCACGCCGCCGGATGCCGTGGGAGTCAACGAGGCAACGAGACCCAGGGCTTCATAACTCAAGTGTCATCCCCAGGTAATATACGGCAATTAGCCTGCGTTGCGGAGCCACGGAGTTAATGTGACTAACTTTTGGCGCACCGTCTTGTGCTTGTCCCAGGCTTCCTGCAGAACCTTCGGACCGCGTATAGCTGACAGAGAAGAATGCAGCCGCGGTTAGCATCAGCGCAAGTTGGTCATCGCGGGAGAGAAGGATGTCACCTACGGGGTTGCTTCTTCAGGTTCTTTTTTGCGTGGCTCGAATGCCGCACTGGCTTGTGCGAGCCCGACTTGAGTTTTCGTCTTTGCCGCGGGTTGGCCATCGTCTATCCAAATTAGAGAGCGAAAGTCTTGGCTGCTGTGTACTGTTTACGCAACACGACAAAGTTCCGGTAACTTGGTGAACGACCCAGAGTGCAGAGACAGCGTCAACCAAGAGGCGAGGCTGACGAGGACACGAGAATGAAAGCCGGAAAGAAAGGGTTGCTCGACCGAATGCGAGCTCGATCGAAGCCTTGGGAGGCAGCAAGCGCCGCTTATGGGCGCCTCCTTCATATTCGGCGCCTGTTCCAAACTCCGCTCCTCCCTGCTCGCTGTTGGCAAACACGTCCGATCGTCTCCGGTACCGTCCACTACCCTCTCTCTACACCATGTCGCGCGTCGTATACCACCCGCGGTCAGCTGCTCAGTATTCCCAGGGGGTGCGCAGCCCTCCACCTTGTTCTCATCTTCTCCGCCGCTCACCTTTAGCCGATAGTTTGCCCGCAAATGGGCACCCAGCATGGCGCTTTGGGGTGCAGGCGTAGGCATTGCAGCCCTCTTTGTGCGTCGTGCCTTCTCATGGTCACCGGTCTTCGCGCTCCTGACTAGGAGCTCTTCTGTCCCACAGGTCCTGTCCGTCACTCCGAAGGTTAAGCGGACATTCCTGGTGAACGTTCCCCTGGTGAGCGTTGTCGTTCCCAGTCTGTGGTCATACAGCCTCAAAGCTTTGAAATTCGCGTCATAGTTGGGAAGCTACTTCGAAGACAAGACCCCTGCGTCCGACAAGCCCTTCTAACAACAATCCTGTGTCTATCAAATAATACCATATAGATTCGGTGATATGTACTCCAGAGTCCTATCACCATCCTGTGCCTAGGTGATGCACGTCCTCAGCAGCCGTCATGTCGTATGTGTGTTCCAGGCTCCCTTCAGCGTGCCAATGTTGTCGCTTAGAGTTTTGACGGGGTGAACTCGTTGGGTTCGTATCCACTCGTGAGGTCAATGCCAAGCTTCTGCTCGAGTTGCTTCAGGGCACCTAAAGACCCGCCCAGGGGAACATCTACCGCAATATCGCCACCTAGGTGAACGACACAGAGTCCTGAACAAGACAGTCCACTCACGGATGGTCTCCATGCCAAGGGCCTGAGCCGCCTTCAAATTTCTGCGCGTCCAATTAGTACAACGCTCGGCCACCGTTAGCGGTGTTACTCACATTCCTAGGTCGTCTAGGAACACGGCTTCGTGCGGATGGATACCACTCCGTTTGCAGGCTAGAACATAAAATTCTGGCTCTGGTTTCCTGTCAGACCCGCTTAGAGCGGGTCGCCAAAAAAAAGTGTCAATGGCTCGGGGCAAACTCACCGCATGCCCAGTTCGCTCGAATCGCAAAAGTCGTCAAACATGTTCCGAACGCGGGCGGGCACGGCGCCGTCTTGCCAACCCAGGAACGCTATTTCGTCCCTAAGGTTCAGATGAGCGTATGTTGCAGGCACCGGCTGGCCCTCGCCGAGGGACGCGGGGTTGCTTCGCGCCCAGTTGTTCGTCAACGCGATGACTCTCCATCGGCCGGCGGCTGACGCGTCCGCGACGGGGGTTCGCAACGGAGTCTTGTCAGCTGAGACATCGGGCAGAGACAAAAGAGAGAGAACGCGAGAGAGATCGTACCTCGGATACGCCGTATCGCCTCCACGACCCGTTCGTCAAGGGAGTTCGCCCGCTGCATTATGCGCCCAAACAGCTGACGGCGACTGGCATCAGCCGGGGTGAGCGTATGCCGCGCTGGTGGTGCAACCCACCTCTCTTCCGTCGATGTCCAATTTATCAGGAAGTTTGGGACATTCTGGGAAGGTGGAGACGGACATCAGCTCGCCCGACTTGTGCACAGCGCGGCGACGGGCGAGGTGGCATACCTATGCCCCTCCGTTCGCAATAGGCCCTGTACCACACGTTTCCCCGCTCGGTATCTGACAGATCTCGTCCGAATTGTTCGTAGAAGACAAAGAGTGGAATCTCGCCGCGCTCGAACTTCTGCCACGCCCCGTTTGATCCTCTGCGCGTGCTGCGCAGTGTGTTGTGCATGTTCACCACGTTGCGAGGCGGGCAAGGCAGTCGATGACACTTACATGGAACAGTTGATATAATTGTGCGGCATGCCCTTGTCCCGCTCGAATTCGGCGATGGTGATGAGAGGGCTTCGGCAGACGACTCCGCCAATCTGCGAGGGCGAGGTGGAGTAGCTTCAGACTTCCTGGGGGCGGCAATTATATTCTGCAGGGCTGATGCATACTCACGTCAAAGATGACCGCCTTGAGGTGCGGGGAGCTCATCGTGCAGCACGGCGACGGCAAACACACAGTCGGTTTCAGGAAAGGACGAGGTCTAAGCGCACCTGGCAAAGGGCCACGGTTATTGGGCGCCAACGCTCTGGGTTTCGCTGAATGACCGGACGCCCGGGAACGGTGATCTGGATTGCCGGATGATCGCATCACGGTTCCCGCTCTGTCTTCCCACTACTCTCCGTCGCACTCCGATATATTTCGTTCGAGCCTGTTCTTTCGAGCATCCTCACCAGACCCTGTTGTGTTTTTGATACCGCTGCCTGCACCCCGCACCTCCCGCGCCTCGTGTTGTGTATTCCAATTGCTGTCCAGAACCACTGCGTCTGATATATGGCGTTGCATTGCTACTGCTTCTGTGCCTGGAAGACATTGTCTCGATCCGCGTCCTCTGAGAACGACCACACCCGTTACGACAGTCCCGAGCCCGTCGCTTGTTTCTCGCGGGCCACAGTGTGGAGTCTACTCAGCTAGCGACTGGTCTCGACTGTGCTGAGACGGGCAGATGACCTGGAGATCCCGGATGTGGACATGACGCCCCAGGGATGCACGAATGGCACCGACACACTGTCGACGTCGTTTGTCCGCGTCAGGGTTGAACGTTGAAGGGGAGACAGCGCACGTCGAGCCACCGTCGCTACGCCATCGCAATAAACCGCGCCCTCTTTACACCGTTGCGCGAGCGCATCGCCTGCGACGAATGACTCCGTTGCACCGCCCGTTCCGTGCGAGACGGAAGCGTAAATACATCAGTAGCGCTGGCATGCTGCACGGAGCATCTTATCCATTGACCATCATCGCTTGCGCAATGTATCACACGTCGTCGACCCGCACCAGCCACCAGCCGCACTCACATCGTTACTCGCAATCGCGACCGCACGGCTATGCGGCGGCAGCTCCCGCCGCGAGCGACCCTTATCCGCCCCAGCAGCTCCAGCAGCGGTCAAGTTCCCACAGCTCGTATAGTGCTGGGACCCCCGAGCAGGCTCGACTCTGGCAGTGGTTCTGCCAAGTCGACACCGACAGGTCTGGGGAGATCAGCGTGAACGAGCTGCATGCCGCGTTGATCAATGGTGAGCAGGCTTGTGCGGTTGCGGGCGGACGTGGACAAGTGCTGATCACGACATGTTCCCGTTCAGGCGATTGGTCCCGTAAGTTTCGCACTATGTGCGCCCGTCTCCGAGTGGAGCGTTGACTCCACCCCCCGCACAGGTTTTGATATCGATACAGTGAAGATGCTGATGAACATGTTTGTACGTCGCGTCCGTTCCATTGAAGCTTTTCTCTTTCGCTCACAGTGCGGCCCAGGACGTCGACCGGAGCGGAACGATAGGCTTCAATGGTAAGGCATCTCCCGCGGACATGCTTTTTATGCTCAACGCAACGTGTTCAGAGTTCCAGGGCCTGTGGAAGTACATTGTGGATTGGCAGAAGGCATTCAAGTACTTCGACCGCGATGGCTCGGGAACCATCGACGGTCACGAGCTCTCTAACGCGTTGCAGAACTTTGGATACAACCTCTCCCCGATGCTTATGTCCCTAGTAGAGCAGAAGTATGGTAAGTTATCGGAGTCCAGGCTCAGAAATAACGTTCGCATGACACGCTGCGCTTTGCCACAGCAGCGGCGCCGTACGCAGGCCACGGGCCTAAGCCTGGCATAACTTTCGACCGCTTTGTGAGAGCTTGCGTCGTGGTGAGAACACTGACGGAGGCTTTCCAGAGGTGAGTCTCCGTGCGAGGTCCTGACGATCTCAACGCTTACGATTGCGCACAGAAAGGACACAGACCGCGACGGCTGGATACAGGTGAATTACGAGGATTTTATGGCGGTAAGCCTTGCAATTTGGTCAGCCAGTCATGCAACATGTGCGACTCACATCTTCAGATGATACTCTCTGCCCCTTGAGCGGAATATTTAACCTGATACCAACCTGACACTGAACGCCTCTTGGATGACGACCCCTGCCATGTGCTATGTACTACCTATGCGTCTTGAAGTTCCCCTACTGTTATTGATATCCTTGCTAACATACCTCTCGATATCCGCGATTCGCATGTAATTGTATCCAATCGATTGGCTTCTGTACTGTGCGACCGAGCGAGCAGCGAGGCAAAGTCTGATGCGGATGTGCTGGGACTCAGACGCCCAGGGAACCTGTGTGCTCCCATGTGAATTTACTGTACAGGAGAAATCATGACGCCGACGCCCAGGCCAACCCTGGCTAACCGAGCAGTCGTGCCTCTCGCGCTACGCGGCTCGTTTTCATTCCCCAACTTCTACCACCACCCCTCGCCCCGAGCCAGTAACGTCGGACAGCACAGATGCCCATCCCAGATGTTATTCCAATACCGTACTCGCCAGATGCGGATCATTCCAGGCAGTCGTACGAGGTGCCCGGGACCAAGAAGCCTGGCCAGACCGGTACGTTTCCATGACCTGTCGCGAGCAACTCAGCATTGAGGCAGCCATTCGCGTCGCCCAGGACACTACAGAAATGGTGAGATCAGAACTTCTCCTTATGCGTCCGCTGGGGATGCTAACGGGCTCGTCTAGGTGCCTTTCCGTTTCTGACGCTCGACTCGCCGAACGCGTTCGTCAACCTCGTCGAGTTTTTCGACTCTGGCCGGAAGCACGTCCCAGGCAACACGCCCATGCTTGGCCGCCGCCCGCTTCTGTCGTCAAATCCACCGACATATGCGAACCACTACGAGTGGGTCACCTGGGAGCAGGCGGATGTGCGGAGACAACACATTGGAAGCGGCTTATGCAAGCTCTTTGACGACGGTATCGCCGGTGGCGATCCTCTGAGGTGCTTTGGCATCTACAGCGGTAATTGCCCAGGTATTTACTCTCGAAACTTGCTGTCGCGTTCCAAGCTGAGTTCCGATAGAGTGGCAATTGTTGGACTTGGCTGGCCATGCCTACCAGTTTGTCTCTGTGCCGTTGTACGACACTCTGGGGAAAGATACGGTCGGTATGTAACGTCGCTCTCGTCATGGATAACGATCTGACGCGTTGACGTGCTTTAGAACATATGCAAGGCCTTTTTTCCGTCACGGATTATCATGTGCTCATGAACCTATAGTATCAACCACACAGAGATGACACTAGTCGCCGTCTCTCCGGCACACGTATCGACTGTCTTGAAACTTGCGGGAAAGATCCCCACTCTGAAGGTTATTTTGGCCATGGGTGCGCTCTCCACAGAGTCGAAGCAGATCTGCAGGGCATGGGGCGAGCAGGTTGCAATCAAGGTGATGGACCTGCCAGAGTGTAAGCAACATTTCTTCCGTGACAGACTGTTACTTATGTTGAGATGCAGTGGAGGAGCTTGGCGAGGCGAACCTCAAGAAACCGACTTATCCCAGCTCCGACGCACTCGCATGTATCTGTTATACTTCTGTACGTCTGTTCCGCTAGCTAGGTATCATTTTTCTTGTCTGATAATGTACGTAGGGAACAACTGGGCTCCCCAAAGGTTCAGAGAATCCCAGTAGCTGCTTTTACTCATGACGCTCACTCATACCATCAGGTGTTGTCCTAACCCACGGTATGATGGCAAATGGCTTCTACGCCCAGCTGTTCGGCCTTAACCTGTCCGAGGCTCCGGTCTGTATGGGCTTCTTGCCGCTGGCTCACATCTATGGCGTACGTCTTTTGTGACAGTGTGCAGCTCAGAGCGGTTCCTGACAGTTGAATAGCGCATGATTGAGGCTATTGTCATCGCCCGTGGTGGCACCATTGGCTATTGGTCTGGTGACCCACTTCGCCTTTTGGAAGATGCTCAAGTCCTTCAGCCGACATTTTTCCCCGCCGTTCCACGCGTCTTCAATAGAATCTACCAGGCGGGCATGGCCGCGGCGCAGCTGCCTGGTGTGAAGGGAGCACTCTTCCGTCGTGCGCTTGAGGTGAAACTCAGCCGGTTCCATGCCACGGGTCAAACAACACATGCCCTCTGGGACCGCCTCGTTTTCAAGAAGGTTCTCCTCGCCTCCCCAACTATACTCCGGATCGTCAATTAATTTCACGTCTCTTGCAGATCCAAGTTGTGCTTGGCGGCAAAGTAAAGTTGCTCTCTACAGGATCAGCGCCGATGAGCGCTGCTGCGAGCAAGTTTATTAAGGTCGCATTAGGGGCTGAGTTGCTCGAAGGCAAGTTTTCGTACCAGCTTCCGACAGGATGGCTTGCTTAGTCGGTGTACCCCCAGGCTATGGCGGCACGGAAAACGTCGGCACAGCCACGAAGACATGGTGGGGTGACTCCAGATCCGATGGCACGGTCGGTCCACCGCACCCATGCGCGGAACTCAAGCTCGTCGATGTTCCCTCCATGGGCTACACCGCTGAGGACAAGCCGTATCCTCGTGGAGAGATTTATATGCGAGGCGACCACTGCTTCAGGGAATACTACAAGGGTGCGTACATCGCATATGTCAAGGGTTTTAACTGACTCGAGTTTATGCAGATCCCGAGGGCACCAAGGCTACCGTCGACGAAGAGGGTTGGCAGCGTACTGGCGATGTTGGTGCGATCGACGAATGCGGACGTTTCCGCATCATTGATCGCGTGAAGAATATCATGAAGCTCTCTCAGGGCGAGTACGTCGCGCTCGAGCGTATCGAGGCACTGTACAACGGATGCCCCATCGTCGCGCAGGTGTACGTGCATGGTGACTCGCTGCAGTCGTACCTCATCGCAGTCGTCGTTCCCGACCCTGCTCAGCTGACCGCAATCGCAAGCAAAGTTTGGAGTACGAATGTGTCGCTGTCAGATCGCGACGCCCTCGACCGCGCGGCGCATGACTCGAAGGTCCAGCAACAGGTTTTGAGGATGCTGGACGAGACAGCGAAGGCCGTCGGGCTGAACGGGTACGTTACAACTTTCTCGAACCGTCTTGCAATTGTTGACGTGTCTGTTTGCTATAGCTTCGAGATGATCAAGCGAATTCACGTCACGAATGACCCCTTCACCGTCGACAACAACTGCCTGACGGCCACGTTCAAGATCAAGCGGTTAGTCTCCAGCCTTTCCTATCCTTCTTTCTTGGCTGAGCACACCTCGTGTGATTAGGAAGGATGTGTACAACATGTACAAGCAGGAGCTCAATGCGCTCTACGCTCTTGGCGAGCCTACGAGCAAGCCTGCTATCAAGCTCTGAGCAGACCATCAAATTGCTCGCCGTGCTCCCTTGTGCCATTCGCATATACCTTGCTTTCGGCCCTTTACTCCAATATACATACACTCAGATGGTACATTCCCTTGTGATCGATGCGTATCACGCGCTGTGTGTGTGTGTGGAGGACGAGTGATTTTAAAAAGAAATTTGTTACAAGGTGCATCGCTTACTGAAATACAAGCTATAACACATGCATCTAGGTATCTACCAAAGCGCAAGATGTTTTGAGGGAATCGGCGTGTGAGGAATCTACATGTATAGCCTATGTTTAACTCTGCAGCCAGACCTGTATAGCAATGCAGCAAAACCCCCGAAGGAGAGGAACATGTACCGGCGTGCACCTCAAGATGGTCGTTGATGTTGCTGGATCGCGACGGCCTTCATGCCGTCCGCGATCCTGCGGGACAGCGTCGTGGCGAGCGTCGCGAGCACGACCATGATGACGACCCAGACGTAGCGCGCCGGCCACCAGCTGGAGCCGACGCTGAACGCGAAGAGCGAGGAGGCGAACGCGGGGCCAAACGCACGCGCGCCGCACTGTCGTTGGGCGAGACAAGCCGTGTGTGAGCGGAACCGTGCAGAGGGAAAGAACTTGGGCAGAGAAGGGACGTACCATGGCAAACAAGATGAGGCCGTTCGTCACGCCCAACGAGGCGGGGTCGGGCGCGCTGTGCTTGATGAGGATCATGTTCACGCTGCATGTTCCGCACCCCGTCAGCAGCCGCTCTGCCACACGCGTACCAGAAGTGGAGGCACTCACGAGAAGGCTAATGCTGCGCTCCGTGCCAGAGCGAGCAGGATGCCGATGCCGACCCAGAGCAGCGCCTTTGTGGCGGGCGTCACGCTCTCGGCGCCGTCCTCGCCGACGATGACGCCGCGGCGTGCGATGAGGTTGAGGAGCGGTAGGAGCGAGAAAACCCATGGGAAGATCGCGACGCAGGTGTTGTACATCTTGGCGTGGTCGAACCGTCGGAGAAGGTACGGCATGAAGAAGACCTGGAGCCCGGCCGCGATCAGGCCCGAAGAGGCGAGGGCCAAGCCGATTTCCGCCGCCTGCAAGAACATTAGCGGCGAGAGACGTCAGAGGGGCCATCGGCTTACGGTGAAGGCGATGCCGCCGGTGTTGACTGGCGTGTAGCAGTAGAGAACGAAAATGACGTCGAACGCGGTGTTGCTACAAGTAGTAATGAGAATTTTGAGGTGTGGATGCGTATACGCACGGCGGGACATACGTGAAGGATAGTGCACCGCCGCTTAGGCATAGCGCACGGATGAGCGGGTTGGCAAAAAGCGATCCTATGCTGGCAGGCTGCTGCAGTTTTTCCTGGTAGCCATCAATTGGAGACGACGGCAACGAGTCGGCACGTCTTCGACGCTTGCTTGGAAGGGTCTGGCATGGCCGCGTTATTCCTCAGATGCACATGACAAACATGTGGATGTACCTCTTCCAGAGCAAAAAACCCAAAGACAGCACCGCAGAACGCAATAGAAGCTGCCAGCAGGGACGGCAGCAGGTACGGGAAGTTCCTGAACAACTCCGTGTCAAAGAGTCCCGGCCATTTGGTTGCTGGGTTTGAGAAGGTTCCACCAAGGAGAGGGCTAGGCACAGAAGGGAGCTTGAGCACCTGAGCGGGTGGCGCGGTAGTGTCATGACGCACCCAATGATAGCGCCAAGGGGCCAGCATAACCCGTATATCGGGAACGCAACAGCTTGGTTAGTGTGGTCTGTTATCTCTCCAATGACCGACTGCACGACTGCGGAGTTCCCAGAGAAGAAACCAGCTGAGGGGGAAATGGATCAGGCACCCAGACGCTATGACCGGCGGGTGTGCGCACCTAGACTTCGCGCAAAGATGACGCCCCAGAAAGTGTTTGAGAGGCCCATCATGAGTGTGCCCGCGGCTATACCTGAGATACCAATGAGGATCACGGGCTTACGCCCTATTTTGTCTGGGGGGAAAATCAGGACGCGCTCTGAGGTATTAACGTGGGTACCCACCGGACAGCCGCGCCCATTGGTAGATGGTGAGGAGCTGAGCGATGGCGAAGCTACTTTCCTACGGTTGAAGGATGCGTCATTTCTCGGTCAGGGGATCCGCTGCGGTAAGGTTTACTGACCACTATGCCACTGTATAGCCCGGTCTTTGAGGGGTCCTCTGTCAAGTGGAGGTGGTCGATCATCTCATTGACGTATGGGAAGATCTGTGTGAACATTATGGGATCGACCAGCCTAACGACGCAGAGGGTGGCGAGCTGGGCCATGGGGAGGGGAGTGACGCCATGACTCCTGGTCGGCCTGGCCCTGTCCTCGAGCTTGAAGGCGTCGTCGAAGTCCTCGTGGAGGAAGGGCTGCTCCTCGTCGTTCAGGAGGGTCTCGTCGCTGGCATTAGACTTGTAGCTGGTAGAGCCGGTATGGTGCGCGATGCCGACCATTCTCTCTTAGTGACCCTAGCAGGAGGAGGGACAGAGCAGGAGAGGAAGAAAGCTGGAGCTGGACGCGGGAAACATATTATTAAACCGGCGGGTTACCGAGAAGTGGATGCCGCAGGCCGGCCAGGAGAATCTGCTTCCAGAATACCCGATAGGTTCTATGTTTTACGTATGGAAGAGGGTCCCTTCCCTCGACCAGAGTCAAGTGACAGCCCAGTCGGTGCCTATCATCGCGAATTCTGATATGCTAATTCAAAGGTTAACCGCATTACAAAATGTATTTGCACTCTGCACCTTCGGCCGCTGAGGCTGTTATCTACGCGCGATGCTGTCAGCTTGCCGAGGCAATATTTTCTGGGAGGACTTTGGTCATGCATTCGTGACTTGCACCGGCACGGCGCTCACTGGCGTCTGGGGCGTAGATGACGCGCTCTAGGCCCGGAGCACTCCGGTCCGTTCACGTGACCTTTACTCCGGCCGCCCGAGGGAAGAGCGCCCGGTCCCTCTGGTGTCCGCCGCTTTTGGTTGTTGTCTCTTGCCACCAGCTTGTTGCAGCGCAAACTAGCGGGCGCATCTTTTCTTTGCAGTTTTCTAATCGTTACTCACTCCTGTAATTCAAATCATGCCCGCAGACGAAAATATTGTCCTCGTAGCACCTCGCCCGGTGCGACTAGCCGCTCCCACTCCTTTTTACCCACCCTCTATCTTGCACCGGCCCCAGGCAATGAACGCTTTCCGCTTCGCATCTACTGTCTCTGACGCCCTCGAGAGGTTCAAGCTAGCCGATGACTCGGTAGACGACGATCCAAAGAGCGAGCCTCCGGCACCCTCTGAGCGTGATCGACCCATATCTCCTCGCGCATCTCCTCGGTGAGTCTTCCTCCTGCCGCAGATCTCTGATCGCACAACAGACCTCGTCTCGCTTCTTGAACCATTCCTTTCTGTTGGTGCGTGTATGTAATGGTTGTGCTGAACTCTTGGGACATAACAGGTCGACTTTGCCGTCGGAGGCTATGGAGGAATTCTTGTCGATCCTCCGCCCCTCCTCCTTCCTATTTCCGCCCACTTCACCTATCCTCCGGCCCAGTAACGGCCTCGCGCACGGCTTTGTCTCTTACTGCCGCCCTGGCTCTTGCAGCCTCTCACCGGCGATGTCCAACGAGGGTCTTGGGATCACGCTCGTAGATCAAAGCGATGAGATGAAAAAGGACGGTGACACTGTCGCGTACCCATTCAAGATCATTGGTCCAGGCCATCTGTGTAAGTGTTATCTCACGATAATCTCGCTTAACCTTCACCATTAACCCTATACTTCCTTGATCGCTGCACACCACCTACACATCCACATGTAATCGTCTGTCTATTAGCCTCGCCTGTCGCACGTGCACACACGCGCAACCCTTTCCCTCGTCAAGCTAACTTTGAAAATGGCCCGTCCGCGTCCATCCGCGCCCAGTCGGCGTCGCCTTCGCCCTCTGTCAACGCCCTCTCCCCCACGGCGGTGCCTCTGCCACTTCCTACTCCCGACGAAATCGAGCATGAACCTGTCTCGTAAACAAACGACTACCACGAAACCTCCGCCTTATCACACTTCTGTCGATCTCCACCTGCTTATATCCCCAAAGATACCATTGTGCCATAGTGTAACGTAACCTATCCCGTAAACTTATTGTCTCCCTTCAGGTCTTTCTTTGTGTTCTACTGTTGACTTCTGTACTGTGGTTTCTCTTTCGATATGACTCGCTTATCTCTTTCTACTCTCTTCTCACCTCTACCGATAACAATCCTTGGAACTACATATGATACCGATATAGGCCTGTCTGTGGACATAATACCTCTGTACTTGGAATACAAGAAATCGTCGATTCTAATAGCGCGCTCTACGTGGGCTCTTACTTGTCTCCATGTTACATTCACAACCAAAAGTACACCGATAGGTTTACAGCAGGTTTGTCTCGTACCCAGAGCTCTACCCAAACCCCTACCCCCAGAGGTGCATCGTCTTGGGGTCCGCTCCGTAGTATCTGTCGCCCTTCACCTCGTAGCTGTTGATGACCTCCCAGATCGCGTCCGACTCTCCTTGCGTCAGCTTCGTGTCTGCAGAGTACGTGTTCTCCAGCGTGCGCTTCGCATTTCTGTCCGAGCAACAAGTTTTTGGTCAGCGTCCGGCTGGAATCTGCGGATGAGCGAGAGCGTACGAGGATCCAGGGAGGGCAATGACCCTGTCGCCCAGTGAGGCGACGAACGCAATGCACAGTTGGGCGGAGGTGACGCCCTTCTTCTCTGCGATTGCCCGCAGCCTGTCAACCAAAGTCAAGTTGTGCTGGAAGTATTCCGGGTTGCGGAAGCGCGTAAAGTTCCGGCGCATGTCTCCCTCTGCAGAGCATACCAGGTCAGTCTGCATAGCTGTACACTTGGAACGGCACCAAACCTGGGAGATCCTCGAATTTCGTGATCTGGCCAGTCAAGAAGCCGCGTCCGAGAGGCCTGGTTCAAGTCAGCTACTGGACTGGGTACCAAAAGTAAGTGCCACGCACGCGTAAGCAACGACCGCGATGCCGAGCTCCTCAGCAGTCTGGAGGACGTCCTTCGTCTCTGGCTCGACAGACCACGGGCTGACCTCGATCTCGACCGCAGCGATCGGGTGCACCGCGTTACCCTTCCGAAGGGACTCCGCACCGCACTCGGACATGCCGATGTGGTCAAGCAGGCCCTCCTTGACGAGGCCAGACAGGATACCGATGGTGTGCTCGACGCTATAGTTGGAGTCGACGCGGGCGCACTCGAACAGGTCAAGCTTCTTGGTGCCGCGCAGAGCGGCGTTGATGGCGGTCACGCTGCGCCTGAGGTTCTCTGGACTGAATGCATGGAGAGCATCGAAGAGAAAATGAGACATATAATGCGATTTCGTTCGAATACAGCACTTACGATGCATCAGGAACGGGAGCGTCCTTTTTGCCTCCCCCTTTGACCGAGAGGAAGGTCCGCTCCGCATACTCAGGATACTTCTCAAAGAATCGTGCCAAGAGCTCGAGGTTCGCAGTGCCAAAGTCTTGCGCGTAGAACTCGCCTGTGCGACGAGTCGCACGTCAGGTGAGTCTCGGGAGCTGGAAGTGCGGTGAACGGCTGGACGCACCGCTGTTCAACAGCATCTTGACACCAGGCGGCATGGCATCCACACCTGCCTTGATGGCTTCGAAGCAGGTCTCGTCGGGGACAGGGTTCGGGGTCCATCTGTCTGGTGGGTTAGCAGGGCACTTGTGAGCGAAGAGAGCGCGGGAGCACGAACGTCATCAGCATAAGGCCATGCTAGCGGCGAAAGTTGCGTCAGACTCTCAGCTGGGACACAAAGCAGGAATAGCTAGATACTCACGGCGACTTTGCCCACCTTGACGTGGGAGGCGGTTCCGCCGAGGGTGGTGACACTCTGGACAGTCATGTCTGTGCGGTTAAGCTCTTGAGGTATGGTGGAAGAAGAGGATGCGATGATATCGTTGTCAGTGCTGGCCGGCCGACTACTTATATGGATGCAGTTAGCAGGGCGAGAAGGTTTGATCTGAACGGTGCGGTGTGCTTGCTTACAGATCAAGCCTGTTTACCCATGCCACTTCACCTCGTCGCCGGGCGATAACGTCACAGCCAAGGGTCCGTGACAGCTCGGTCTCCAGTGTGCCACAAAGTCTGCTGCTGGCGCCAAATTAATTGATATACTACCACTTGCGTCTTGCCGTCCACTACGCGTCCTCCCGGCGGCATACTCGACATCTCCTGTAGCACTTAACCGGGGCTGTGGTAGGTTCCTGCTTCATGTAATCGCGTGCGGCAATTTTCTTTTCCGATGCGACTGTGTTGGTAATACTTAACGTTGGAGTGGTCACAAAAACAGCGCCACAAGATGTGCCACGTCCAGATAGACTCGTAGCGGGGTCGCGGAGATCACTCGCATCGAAGGCGCCAGTCGGGGCTGTTCTACTAGCGACCCTTCCATACATATTTCTGCATCGCTATCAGCTGTAAGTGGGTTCCGTGGGAGTGGCGGCAAAGATGACGTGCATTCGGCTGCAGATGGCCTATACACTAGGAGTCGCTGGGTCACTATGTCCAGAAGAATCAACGAAAAAATTATCTCGTGCATCAGGTGTAGCATGTGCGTCCAGGGGCAACGGAAACAGCAGGAGACAAAGTGCGGCAAGTTTCGCGTTCCCAGGAACAGCCTATGGATTGAAGTCATCTGGCGGCATAACCGGACATCTGGGCGGCTGACTCTTGCTGCAGCCAAAGAAATGTGCTGTCTTGACAGCGTTTAGCGTTAACATGTTAACAGTCCGACTGGAGCCAGGGACGCTACAAGAACAACACCAACCCTGGATCCACTGTACAATCACCTCAGCTTCCTGATCGCAGTGGATCCACGAAAGCTTGATGCCACGAATCGGCGGATGGTTAGTCTGGAGCTTATAAAATAGTCTTCTGTCTGGTCTATAAGCACCAGGGAAGCCATCTTTGTAGCTGGCAAGTTTGTTGTACCATCTAGTCGTCGCAAAGAAAGCAAGCGGAGTAGAGGATGATTAGTCGACTTCTGGAGCCGAGAAGAGGAGCAGACTGATGGCTTTTAAACTCACCAACACTGCCGCTGTTGCATACACCACACCGGCCACGAATGCTGAGGAATCAGACGCAGCTGGCGATCATGAGGAGACAGGATGGTCAGCGTACGATGCGAAGACAGTGGCCGTAAATAGTCCAAGGAAAGTCGTGTGAAGGCGAAGGTCGATGGAGGAGAGTAGGGAGGGAAGTTGAACGAAGATGCTTCGATGACTTGCCATGGAACACACGCATTGAAAGCGCCAACATGTGGCTTCGTTATTGACGTTGGCTGATTAACGTTTAACAGCGAAGTTGTTCGTACCATTAATATCACTGCTGACGAGCTCGGACGTCACGGCAATGTCCATCGGACTTGTCAGCAAATTTACGCAGATTTCTGCGCGTACCTTGAGCGCACTAAGGTGTGCGCTTGGGAGCTGCGATGGCTGCCCTCCTTCGTGGTAGTCAATGCTGAGTAAATCCCCATCCAAACTTCGGAATGCCGTAGCATACGTTGGGATACTCGGCCTTCGGAGGTCGTTGCGGCCGAGCTTCTAAATCCACTGGTACTGTCTCCAAGGAGACACGAAATCAGCGACGTATAGACAGCATCGAGAGGCTGGCAGCATTGCATGTATGATAGGTTAATGAACTAATGCGACAGCCCTCCTGAGCAATGCCACAGCACCTGTATGGTAGGGGAAGACGTCATGTACACTCGCGTAACGAGCCTGGACCTAAAAGCAAAGAGCTACTAGGTCGATCCGTGGAGGAGTAGCTCGTAGAATAGCTCTGAAAGTCAACCTTCGCGTGAGCGATGTGCGCTCCGAGTCTGGCTGAATACTACTATGCAGTATGAGTACTAGACAATTTGCAACCGTTCCAACTTGAATGCTATTTCCGAAACGATCGTAACGAGAGAATATTGTACTTGCCAATTCTGATTACGCTGTAGTACTAAGCAGACTAAGCAGGAAACAACCACAGTTCTTGGCGGGTTGGAAATATCATCAAGTGATCAAGCTCAGGCATGCTGCCAGGAGGACGCGTAATGGACGGCAACACGCAAGCGAGCGTTAAAAATACTTTGCCGCTGGCAGCGGGCTTTGTGGCACAGAATCGCTGAGCGCTCTCGGAGCGCGGCTTGGTCGTCGCCCGAGTCGCAGACAACTTCAGGTAGGTCCGCGCCGTTGTGTGTAGAGCTCCTATTGAATTATCCTGAGAGCAAGCATGCCGGACCAACGATATCGAGCCTTCTCGCGCGACCCACAGCGTCCGTTGCTCGTATAAATACTCAGCCGGCTGGCAGCAACGTACAGCTCTCAAAACCACACAGACATGACCGTCCAAAGCGTTGCTACCCTCGGCGGAACCGCCTACCACATCACAGTGGGCAAGGTCGCCGTAAGTGCCAAGCTCCTTTACTACTTCAAATCAAACGAGTCAGAAGTCTGACGCGATTTCCCTTGCTAGCATGGTCTTATGATGATGACGTTCGTACCACAGCATTCTCTGTGCTCGCGAACGCACGTCTAACCTAACGGACAGATGGACCCCGAACCCCGTCCCGGACGAGATCTGCTTCGACGCTATCAAGGCAGGTGTGGATGCCATGCCGCCTGGTGTCAAGATGCTGTTGAACAGCGGTGCGTCCAGCCGTCCGCCGTACTTCCAGCTTCCGAGGCTTGTCTGACGTGCGACTCGTCGCACAGGCGAGTTCTACGCGCAAGACTTTGGCACGGCGAACCTCGAGCTCTTGGCACGATTCTTTGAGAAGTATCCTGAGTATGCGGAGCGGACCTTCCTCTCGGTCAAGGGCGGTGCCAAGACAGAGGGCTTCCCTGTGCCTGACGCGTCGTAAATATTTTCGAAAGGCATTTACTGCACTAAGAAACTGATTTTGTGTGTGTGTGTAGGCCGGAGAACCTCAGGCGCAGCGTGACCGCCATCAACGCCGCTCTGCGCGGCACCAAGAGGCTCGACCTGTTCGAGTGTTCCCGCGTCGATTCTAACTATAGTGTCGAACACACCATCGGTATCCTGTCTGGCTTCGTCAAAGAGGGTCTGTTCGATCATATTGGCATGTCCGAATGCAGCACAGAGTCACTCCGGAAAGGTAACGCGGTGCATCCGATCTCTGCGGTCGAGATTGAGGTTAGCCCGTGGGCTATTGAGCCAGAAACGAAGAATGTGCTCAAGACTGCTGAGGAGCTCGGTATTGCAGTTGTTGCATACTCGTAAGTAGCCATAGTTCGATTATCAGCCCAGTAATCGACTTGAACCAGGCCCCTCGGACGTGGCTTCTTGACCGGTCAGATCAAGAAGTTCGAAGATCTTCCAGGTTCGTGATATTTAAAGTATATGGCAGCACTAGCTAAGTCCACGTGCTTTGCAGAGGGAGACGTACGCCGACACTTGACACGCTTCCGCAATCCCGAATACTTCCAGCACAACCTGACCTTGGTTGACAAGCTGACCGAAATCGCGCAGAAGAAGGACATCACTCCCTCTCGACTTTGTATCGCATTCATTGGTTCCTTGGGAAAGAAAGTCATCCCTCTCCCTGGTTCCTCGTAAGCCACTCTTTTCCTGCACCATTAGATGAAGTCTGAAGCGGACACTTCGCTCACACAGACACGTGAAGCGCACGCTGGAGAACACATACTCTGCAGATGCTGAGCTGACGAAGGAAGAATTGGACGCGATCTGGGAAATTATCAACAGCTATGAGGTGAAGGGCGATAGATATTTCGGAGCAGAGCAGGCCATGCACCTCTGGGGATAAATGTTTGCAAGAGTTGTTAGGCACGAGACTTGCTTGCTACAACTTCTTTCGGTGTATCTGTATTTCCTGGAATGAGAAAAGCTATAATGTCACATAGAACCTGCCACTGGTCGCAGAGCACGAGGGTGCCGGTCGCAGGGTGCCGGTGGCGGTCTAGGGTCATGTTCGACTTGGAGTAACAACGATGTTCATATCATTAATGTCACTGCTGACGAGCTCGGACGTCATGGCAATATCCAGACCTGTCAGCATGTTCATGACAATTTTCGCGCGCACCTCGAGGCTTGAGCATACCGAGACGTGTGCTTGGGAGCTGCGATGGCTGCTCTCCTTCGCAGGCTAGTGCTGAGTGAATCCACACCCGGACTTCGGCGCGGATTGAGATGTCGCAGCATATGTTTCGATTCTGGGCCTCCGGAGATAGTTGGGGCCGGGTTTCTAATTCCCCTTTCCCCCAGGAGACGCGAGGCAAAATCGGTGACGTATGGACGGCATCGAGAGCTTGGGGTTGGAGGCATTGCGCGTCTTCTAAGAACGAGCCAATGTGATGACCGATGTGTGATCCTGAGCAATGTAGAGGGAGACGCCACATACGCTCGCGTAATGAGAGTGACAAGGGCAGCGAGTAACCAGATGCAGAGCACCTGAAAGCATAGTTCTCGGGTCAATCTGTGGACGAATCGCTAGTAGAATGGCTCCGAACGATACCTTTCATGCAAGTGATGTTCGCCTCGCGTTCACAAACGCTAGTAGGGAGCCGTTCCAATGTTACTTCAAATTTCCAATGCGGCTGTGACGAGACTGCTTTTAATTGCATCGAACAGCAGTTCTGGCGGGCTGGAGAAGTTACCGTCGAGTGTATGCTGCCGGGAGGACGCGTAGTGGACGGCAGTTGCCGCCGGCGGGAAGGCTTCGGTGTGACGTCGCGCGGCGGCAGACAACTTTATTTTTTGAGTCCGCGCTGCTGTGTAGAGTCCGAGAGCAAGCATGCATCGAGTCTTGTCGTGCGACCTTCGGCATCCATCGTCCGTATAAGTAACCAGTCGGCTGGCGAAAACGACACAAAGCCCTCTTCTTCCACACCTCTCGACTACAGACATGACCGTAGAAAGCGTTACCACCCTCGGCGGAACTGCCTCCCACATCCGGGTGGGTAAGGTCGCCGTAAGTACCAACCCCTCTACCATACAGAGCCAAGAACCTGACGCGACATCCATTGTCAGCATGGCCTTATGATGATGACGTCCGTACCACGACGTTATCTATGCTCGCAAATGCACTTCTAACACAGTGGACAGATGGACCCCGAACCCCGTCCCGGACGAGGTCTGCTTCGAAGCTATCAAGGCAGGTGTGGATGCCATGCCGCCTGGTGTCAAGATGCTGTTGAACAGCGGTGCGTTCAGCCGTCGCCGTACTTCCAGCTCCCGAGACTCAGCTGCATGTGACTCGTCGTACAGGCGAGTTTTATGCGCTAGACTTTGGTACGGCGAACCTCGAGCTTCTGGCACGATTCTTTGAGAAGTATCCCGAGTATGCGGAGCGGACCTTCCTCTCGGTCAAGGGTGGTGGCAAAGCAGAGGGTAGACCTGTTCCTGACTCATCGTAAGTGTTTTCAAGAGAAGTATACTGCATTCAAATCAAGAAACTAATCTTATGTGCGTGTAGCCCAGAGAACCTCAGGCGCAGCGTGACCGCCGTCAACGCCGCTCTGCGTGGCACCAAGAGGCTCGATCTGTTTGAGTGCGCCCGCGTCGACTCCAACTATAGCGTCGAGCACACCATTGGAATCCTCTCTGGCCTTGTCAAGGAGGGTCTGTTCGACCACATTGGCATGTCCGAATGCAGCGCAGAGTCACTCCGGAAAGGTAACGCGGTGCATCCGATCTCTGCGGTCGAGATTGAGGTTAGCCCGTGGTCCATCGAGCCGGAGACGAAGAATGTGCTCAAGACCGCCGAGGAGCTCGGCATTGCGGTTATTTCATACTCGTGGGTGGCCATGCTTCATTATCAATATCCAGCTCAGTAACTGACTTGAACCAGGCCTCTCGGACGCGGCTTCCTCACTGGACAGATTAAGAAGCTCGACGATCTCCCAGGTCCGTAGCGGTTGTAATACGTGGTAGAATTAGCTCACTCCACGTGCTTTGCAGAGGGAGACGTACGCCGACACTTGACACGCTTCCGCAACCCCGAATACTTCCAGCACAACCTGACCTTGGTAGACATGCTAACGGAAATTGCGCAGAAGAAGGGCATTACTCCCTCTCGACTTTGTATCGCATTCGTTGGTTCCTTGGGCGAGAAGGTCATCCCACTCCCTGGATCCTCGTAAGTGATCCTTTTCCTGCACCATTAGGCGAAGTCTGAAGCGGACGCTTCACTCGCACAGACACGTGAAGCGCACGCTGGAGAACACATACTCTGCAGACACGAAGCTGACGAAGGAAGAATTGGACGCGATCTGGGAGATTATCAACAGCTACGAAGTGAAGGGTGATAGGTACGGAGGGGACCCTAAGGCCATGCACCTCTGGGGGTAATTTTTGGAAGAGCTGTTGGGCACGAGACTCGCATACTACAAGTTCCTCGGTGTACTTTCGGTGTACCTGTAGTGCTTGAAATGGAAATGACCATGGTATCGCTTAGAACTCGCCGCTTGTCGCGGAGCACGAGACACGAAAGCGGTCGGGTCGCAGGGCGCCCGTGGCGGTCCAGGGTCATGCATGTATCATGTTCGACTCGGACGGGATGGGATGTGGCACAGCCGATTGCACGAATATGAAGCAGTGTCGGAGAAACGGGAAAGGGGAGGAAACTTGAGAAGAGACAGAGCGAGATGAGATCGCCTTGAAATCACACCGGTCGAGTCAAGGGAGTCACTTCTGAAGCTCTCCGCCCGAGTCACGCTGAACATCCTCCCCCTTCTCTCATCCTCTCATCCTCGACCACGTCCGCTCCCCAGGGTAACCAGCGTCGACCTCCACAATGTGTGGAATCCTCGCCGCTCACGGACTCGAGAAGCCTGCACAAGATCGCACGCGTCTCATTGCATGCTCTAGGAAAATTAGACATCGGGGCCCGGACTGGTCGGGGTGCTATGTCGGACAACAGTCGGTGCTCGTGCACGAACGTCTCGCCATTGTCGGTGTTGGTGCGTATCAAAGCACGCTTTGCCCTCAAGTGCTCGTTTAACGGGGCGAACAATAGAGTCTGGTGCTCAGCCTCTAGTGAGCGACGACGGGAAGATCATTCTTTGCGTCAACGGCGAGATCTACAACCACACGAAGCTGCGCGAGGGACTCAAGACTCCCTACAACCTCAAAACGCATTCTGACTGCGAGGTCATCATCCCCCTCGTGAGCTTCTCTGCGCCTTGCACGCTTTGCCACATTCCCCTGATTCTGGGGCACCCCCCTGCACACAGTACAGGGAATATGGCAAAGAGCTCTGTAACAAGCTCGACGGCATGTTCTCTTTCGTGCTACTCGACGAGTCCGTGTCACCTTCCCGCATCATTGCAGCGCGCGACCCGATCGGTATCACGACGCTCTACCAGGGCTGGTCTTCGAAGCGTCCAGGCGCAACGTACTTCGCGTCCGAGCTCAAGGCGCTCATTAGCGAGTGCGACAACGTCATCTCCTTCCCGCCTGGCCACGTCTACGACAGTGTGGACAACAGCACCGTGCGCTACTTCAAGCCCTCCTGGTGGAACGGCGACCTCGATGGCCCCGAGGGGACGATTCCCAACCAGTCCGTGAACCTCACCCGGCTTCGCGAGGCACTGGAGGCGGCAGTACGTAAACGGCTCATGTCCGAGGTCCCGTATGGCGTCCTGCTCAGTGGCGGGCTGGACAGCAGTCTTATTGCGTCGATCGCGGCGCGTGAGACAGAGAAGGTCGCGTTGGCACAGGCTGAGGTCCGGAAAAAGAAGCTCAGGGAGGCACAGAGCGGTCCTGCATCGCCGGCTGACACCTATCATGAGATTGACGAATACGGTGCGCGTGTCGTGAATATCTCTCTCATTACCTTCTCATATTGGTCTTGTAGCTACTATTGCATCGTGGCCTCAGCTACACTCTTTCTCAATCGGTCTCGAGAATTCCCCCGACCTGCTTGCCGCACGAAAGGCAGCGCACTTCTTGGGCACTGTGCATCACGAGTACGTTTTCACGGTTCAGGAGGGCCTCGATGCTATCCCGGACGTCATCTACCACCTCGAGACATACGATGTTACCACCGTTCGCGCAAGTACGCCCATGTACCTCTTGAGCCGTAAGATCAAGGCTATGGGTGTTAAGATGGTGTTGTCTGGTGAGGGGAGTGACGAAGTTCTTGGAGGTATGCCCCAGTGCCCCGGCAGAATAGCTTCTTGCAAAAGCATTCACAACTTTTGCAGGCTACCTTTACTTCCACAAAGCCCCCGACGCCACGTCCTTCCATCAGGAATGCGTGCGGCGCGTAAAGAACCTGCATACTGCCGACTGCCTGCGCGCGAACAAGTCGACGATGGCGTGGGGCCTCGAGGCGCGTGTGCCGTTCCTCGACAAGGCCTTCCTCGAGGTCGCGATGAACGTCGATGCGGCCGAGAAGATGTTCAGCAAGGGCGCCGAGCAAGAGACCGACGCGGACGGCTGCCCGCGCATGGAGAAATATATCCTCCGCAAGGCGTTCGACTGCGCGCCCGACGGCAAGCCGTACCTCCCTCGCTCGATATTGTGGCGCCAGAAGGAGCAGTTCTCGGACGGCGTCGGGTACTCGTGGATCGACGGGTACGTTCTCACAGCTGTCTGGAAGGGTGCATGCGCATGCTGACCGGGTTTGACCACTACAGAATCAAGGATTATGCCGCGCATGAAGTCTCGGACGAGGCGTTCGCCAAGCGTGCAGAACGCTGGCCACACGACACGCCAGATACGAAGGAGGCGTACCACATTCGCGATATCTTTGACAACCTCTTCCCTTCTGAAGCGGCCGCGAAGACCTCCGTTAGGTATGATGTTCCGTTTTCCTCTTTAGCAACGATGTTGACACCGTACGCGTAGGTGGATACCGAGAGGCGACTGGGGCTGCGCTTCAGATCCTAGTGGCAGAGCTGTATCTATTCACACAGCGGCGTACGAGACGACCAGTTAATTAGATACAAGAACAGAGGCAGAGGCAGAGGCGAAGGACGAGAGCGAGAAATAAAGAATCCAGAGAGGTTGTAATACATCTTGACTCTAATAGAGGGAATGAACTACGGACTGTACTAGGACAAAAACACATAAAGAGCGGTGCGGGATGGGGGCATCATGCGAGCGGTGGTATCAAGGAGCGAAATGGGTGTCGAGCGAGCGAGTGAACGATGGGAGATACTAGGGTATCCGAGCCATAACACTGTATGAGATGCAATGAACGGACGGGTGAGGTAGATTAAGGGGATATGGAAATGTATGTGCAATAACGAGGGTAATTACGGTATCATTGATAATCGGGGATACTCAGTGGCAAGACGTGGAGGAGAAAAATCAATATCGATGTTGCAGTGATAGCAGGAGCAAGTCCGGAAAGAGAGACGTATGTGCCGTGAAGAAAGGTCGTGAAGGGCTCCGTTAAAGCAGCGTTAAGGAGAAACGGAAGGGGAGAAGACGAGATCCGTAGTCATGAAAAGTCGTCTAAGGGTTAAGCCGGTTCAACGAAGGGTTTTGAGCTAGAATCGACTTATAGAAGCCGACCCCTGAATCTTCAGATGGCGCAGGTGAGGGAAGTTTGGAGGCGGCAGTGGTGGCGACAAGTGCGGCAGCAGTCGTCGGCGTCCGTGTCGATGTGCTCGTCTGAGAGATGTTCCGTACCCGTTGGTTCTTGGGAATTGGTGTAGCCGTGGCGCGGGTGCTCGTATTCCACCCTGGCTTCTCTCTGGTAACAGTCGCTTTCACAGCGTGACCATCGTCCGACTGGGTAGGTCGTCGATTGGTTGGCGTCTGGGTACGGCGGCTAGCAGGTCGCGCAACATGAGGTGCCTCCGCGATAAGACGAGTGCCGAACTTGGCGTTCGCTGAAGATTCCCTTCCGTATGATGTCGCCGGTACGCCCCGTCGCGCACCAGTCCCAGCGACCGGTCGAGGCTTAACAATTGGCTTTTGCAGAGTCACCTTGTCAGCACCCCAGTAAGAGAAGCTCATCTTGCTCTTGCGATCAGAGTCATCAGAGTCCCGGCCTTCATCGTCATCGTCTGGCATTGGCACTATCCGTGGCTGAGGTTCGCCAGAGTGCACTTGCTGCCTCGACCTTACGACACTGCGGAGGTGCACGTCAGAACAAGAGCGGATAACGGCACTTTCAGAAACCTACTCTTCCATTGAGACGACGCCTTCACGTGGCTGTACAACGTCCCCGATGGCCCAAGTCTCGATCTGCGAAAGTAACGTATGGGATATCGACCAGTATGTTGATGACTGATGACACACCTTGATGAACTTATAAAGATTACGTGGCCTCACCTGTGACGTTCGCCTTCGCTCCGTACCAAATTTGTTCTTGCCCTGCAGATCTGGCATAGAGGCAGAGGCTGTCCGCGCATTGCTCGAAGACCCCATGGGCAGGGACGTTGTCCCAGTCCTCTGACAACGCAAGACGACATCGTTGAATACGACCAACCACTGGTCCTTCTTCCCCCCGATCCCACTGCTGTTTGACTGCAAGACATCGCTCAGACGTTTGAACGATGTCTTGCCTTTGACAACAGTAGTAGGCTTTGCGGCTGGCGGTGGCGAGATAGGCTTCCCATTCTCATTGATGGCGAGCGCAGGACGTTCTTCGACTAGCACTCGCGAAGGTTTCGGCAGCATGAGCTGCTTATCCTTTTCAAGGCCTTCAATCCGCCCGAACACGTCTCGCGTCTTGTCACGCTCTTCTTTCTGGATCTTTTCGTCCTCGATGCTTCGCACGATCGTCTCGACCTCCGCGACCATCTGCAGCGTGCTCTCGTACTCATACGTACTCGGGTCGGTGTGAAAGAGGAGATTCTGGAACAGGAGTGGGTATTTAAGCAACCGCTGGAACGGTTTAGAGAGCGAAATGGCCAATCCTGTCTCGGCCTTCTCCGCCGCGTTGTTCTCGAGTTGCTGCAAATAACTACAGACCTTCAACCATTGGTCCACGTCCTGCTTCTTCGGCCTTTTGGTTGCAGCTGCGGTGGAAAGAGCATTGTCGACTTGCTCCAAGGCCCGTTCGAGATGCAAGACAAAAGTGGCATACCCATGCAGGATATGCGACTGGAACAGCACGAGGATCTTAGCGAGTACGATGAACCAATGGTAGCGCACTCACATTAGCAACGAAGACGTCCGCGAGCGAGCGAACCAGCGGATACTGGTCCTCATAACGCTTCCGCAAACTTTCACTTAGCTTGATGTGACCTTCAAGAATACCACCCTCGATGACTTCGAGACATTTCCTGAGATCTTCCGGCAACATTGTCGGCGGGATAGCGCCTGAGATATTTGCAGGTGTCGGACCGCTTCGCTTAAATCTCTGCAACACTCTCGAAGGCGCGGTAGATGCGGGCTTTGGCGACATCACCGGTATGTTCAGGTCATGTTCATGCACGGACTGTCGTCCAAGTGATTGTGTAGAGCTAGCCATTGGGTTGGCACGTGGGGGTGGCGGGAGTGATTGGTGTGAGCGCGCAGGGAACGGTACAGTCGTCCCATACTTTCCTCCTGCACGACTCGCGCTTGTACCATACGGCGACCGGGGATGACTATGCTTCCCTCCGAGACCCTTTTTGGTCGAATAGAAGGCCGCGCCCAGACGGTCCTCCGCTTCGTCCTCTTCGTCTGAATCTAGCGACTCCGCATCAACATTCGGGTGCTCATCTCTGGTTGGCGAGTCTGAACGGAATGGGGTAGGCGTGAGGAAGCGGGCAGCAATAGGGAGGTGATCAAAAGACTCTCGAGGTGATTCTGTCGGGAAGTCATCGAAAGCAGGGGATGCAGGAGTCGAAGCAGAGTAAGGATGTAATAAGGGATCAATGAAAGTCTCCTTCATCTTGATTAGCTCAGTTACATAGCTACAAGAGCCTCAGCAATAATATACATGCCTCGTGAGCGAACATACATACCGCTCTTCACTGGCTACGATTTCCCACAGGACTTCTTGTCGTGTGCGCTCTCGCTGTCCAATATTGGACACGAGATCATCTTCTGCTCCTTCGCTCCAAGACTGGGCTGAGAGGATGCGACTGCTGGCATGAGTCATTTGAGAGTATGGCGTGCCCGATCGCAGTGACTGGTGGATCGACGCTCCGTCACCGTATCCTCGCGGGTAAGGAGACGAAGCGGTGCGAGTCGAGCCAGGCTTCATAGACTTCACCGTAGAAGCAACATCTGTCCTGGAGGACGTGGCGGTCGAGGTAGAGCCTCTCGAGTCCTTGGCCTGTGTAGCGTGGAAACGAGAAACAGTGGTCTTTGACGGGCCTGGTGTCGGTGTGTCAGAAGGCAGTGGACGGTCGTTGCTTGGGCCAGGGGTAGGCGGTGGTGACAAGAACGCAACCTTCTTCTGCACATCGGTATGCGCGCCATTCGAGCTGTTGCTACTGTTATTAGTCTTTCGTGAACTGCGACCAGCGGAGTCCGATTGCACCACGCGCGGCGAGCCAGTGGTCACAGTGACCTCGAGTATGTGCAGGTCGTCCTTCACATCTGACGGAGGCAGCGGTGCTATTGAGCCGGTGGGTGTAGGTGTGGGATTGGCTGAAGAGTCGGTCGAGGACGACGTGGGCTCGTCTACCGGCGGTAACGGTCGCGACGATAATTCTGGGAGCGGTTTAAAAACCGAGGTCGGGGTTGATTGGGAGCGTTGGGACGGCCATTCAGATATAGGCGACAACTGGGGTATCTTCTCCCTGTGTATTTGGTCCTTTTCCCTGTCCTTCTCCTTGGAGAGACCACGGTTAATGCGGTTGAGAAACGCCTTCATGGGTCGCGCTTGTGCGGCGTGCCAGCTCTGTCACTCTCCAGAATGCTCCAAGATGGTCCAGAGACGAGGCTTGAAGCGTAGAGAGGAGAGCGGCGATTAGGACGGTGTGGGAGGACGACGGGCGGTGTCGAGGACAGACGGAGGTTCAGAGACGCGTGCAGAAACGGCGCTTTGGCGCTTTCAACCAGGCAGGCGATGACCGGCATTCCATGCCTCTGCCTCGTGTACCTCGACCGTCACGTTGCTCATCCTAGTCCCCTCTCCAACCTCCACCAAAATGGCAGATAATGTCGCACAACCACTACCCGCTCACAAGACGAAACACCTCGCTGTCCTCGAATACCTCTTTAAGAACTCTGTATTCCGCCTCGCTCAACTTGACGACGGCAATACAAATGGCACTGCACTCTGGATGGGCGCACAGGTTCTTTCCGCATGGCTCTCCTGTCTTCTCGACAACAAATACCGTGCTAGGCAGACCCTGTCTCCCAAACGCCCCACGGTGCTTGAGCTTGGCAGTGGAATCGGCCTCTCTGCGTATGTACACCTTCTCTTGCCCTGCGCCCGGACTAGAAGGCACTCTTGCGGCTCGTTATCGGTCTCCTCCGCTCTCCATTCTGAAATCATCTCAGCTTAGTCGCCAGTTCCTTCGGATGGAACGTCCTGGCCACGGATCTTCCAGACGTCATAGACTCTGTTCTCGCTGAGAACATCTCGAAGAACGTCGGCGATCTGCCGCCAGAGAGTGGCACCATAGAGCTTCGCGCTTTGGATTGGGCCGTATCTCCGTCAGAGTGGACATGGGCAGATAACGCTATCATAGCGTCTGCAGACAGGCCCGTCGCACCGTTTACTACGTCTCAGCCCTGTTCGCTTGCTCCTCCCTTTGACCTCATCATCACTGCGGACACTGTTTATTCGCCTCATCTGGTGGATCCTCTTCTTCGGACCTTGGATCATATATACACAGTTTCAACAACTTTAGCAAACTCGGGGAAGGTTCACAGACCATCCCTTTACGTCTGTGTGGAGCGCCGTGACCCGATGTTGGTGGATGACTTTCTTGCGAAGGCCAGCAAGATCTTCACAGTCAGTCGAATCCCACCACGGAAAGTAGCTGATGCCATGGAGAAGAGCGGCATTTTATGGTGCAAGGAGGACTGGGATGGGATGGAGATATGGTCATTTGCAAAAGCTCGAAAGGCGGGCGAAGTCGTGTAAGGATTCTGGTGTATACGTACTCCGAATGGGCCACCAATGCGAAATTTAGGGGAAAAACAAATGTAGTAAGTGATGCGCAGAGCCAATCAAGTTGCAGAACACGTAGTAAATTAGAGAAATGGTCATGATAGTGTGCAGGGTATGTCGGACAGTATATTCTAGGCCAAGGGCTGTCTCAGTCAACGTGAAAGTGAGTTCTCAGTGTCTTCGCTAGGTCTGTACAGGCTGTCAGTCATCACTCGAAACGAGGCCACTTGCACAAACCTGGAGAAGCTAGCGATATCCGTTTCATCATCCATATCCTCTCGCCGTGTGGCGACCAGCTTCAGTGTCCGATCGAAGCCATGAACGGACTGGCGAACCTGTCAGTCAAATGTTTGGTCGGCTCACTACCTGAACGCGTACCAGGTCTCTCCAAGTCTCCTCTTCGTCAGACTCTTTGGTTTAAAAGGTGCTATATACATGTACAGAGAAGGAGCATTAGTGGAGCGTTACAATGAACAAGCAAGGTGTGATGAAATTGTCGCTCCGCCTGATTTCAGACACTTGAGGAGAGACTTCTCGGCAGAGGCACGGCTCGACGGCATCTGGTGTGACACTTGTGACGAAATTTATAAAAAGTGGGAGCAGGACCTACTTTGTGCACCGGAAAGGATCCGCTGCCCTTGCAAGACCTCAATAAAATATTATAAAAATGCGAATATATAGCTAAGGTGTGTGCACATCGACTCATGCGAAACCGCCTGCAAAGCATGAATGTGGTAAGCTACAGGATGCAGATTTTCCCAAATTTTATAAACCAGGGTACCATCATAGTAGCCAGGCCGAGCCGCACTGAGCCAAGCCGCTGAAAAGCCAGCTTGGCTGAGCGGCTTATGAGCCGAGCCGTTAGGAAAGTGCACGAAGTGCACGGCGTGCACTTTCCTTTCTGGGAATGGGTAATTCTTCAGCGCCTACTCCAAGCGCGACCGTGATTGACTTCCCGCCACGACCGCCGCCAGGCTCGGGTTCAGGCTATCGACTATATACGCTCCCTTACGCATCTGCTCGCCAGCAAAATGAACAGAGCGGTCGAAGAACTCAGGTCTGCGTCACACCTTCGCTTCGAGAGTCCTGAGCCCGAGTCTCGGCAAGGCAGGAGAAATGTGCGTGCGGCAGGCGTACAGCTCCTTGACGCGGACGGCGCGATTTCTGTAGAGGTGAATAAACATACAGTCGCATGAATCAACACTGGCTCATAGTTCCGCGAAACGCGTAGCTGGAAGCGTGTCTCGCTCACATATTCGCGAAATACTGCACACCGCGGCCTGAGAAACAACCTGGTCTACTCGTGCCGCCACCGAGCGCGTACCTTTCATCGGAAGGCCTTGACAACTGGGCAAGGGATACCAACGGTGCAGCATTTGACAGTGATTCTAAAGAGGAGCTGCTCATGTTCATGGATTGCACGGACGAGGGCGGGTTGACGTGCGTCGTGCAAGCTTGCTAGCCGCGAGAGAAGCTGACTAGTCGCTCCGACAGCTTTGATGGTTTCCTGCAAGTTTATCAGCTTCAGACATATATTGACCAGTCATGTCTGGTGTAAATACAAAAGTCTATGAATGCAGTCACCAGAATATTTGGTGAGCGAGATCTGGTTGGATCTAGCCATCGGTAGCATTTTTTGGCCAGTTTTGGACTGCTTCCAAGCACCCACAAAAACACCATATCGTCCCTTGCTGTATATCTGCCATAATATAGGTGTCATATTATAGTATGAATACAATTATATCATAAAAAATATTCACAGCACCTCCGGGGGCATATTGCAGCAGCAAGATTGATTTTATAAAGCAAGGAGCCCCTATAAACCAGGGGGCCATCATAGTATGGCTCATAGTCGGTTAAGCTGTCCCAATAAGGCAAGGGCCATGTCTACTCGCTCGCCACATTCGATTCAAGCCTTCGAAGGGATGAAGAGGTCTGCGGCCACCTCTATCAATGTGTTCGAGACTTGATTCAGCAAACCTGCATGATGCTTGCCCTCAGTGGGCAGTGCAAGTGTAACAACACTGTGACATGATGTGACTGGGTGCTTGCTTAATCCGGTTGCACTTCAGCGTGAGGCATGGTGAGGCCTCTGCGACATTGTAGCTCTATTACATACCTCTCTATTTGTTTCTAATACCACTGCTACCACTTTGCTACATCATGTATAATTTTTAATGGGCAAATACACCCAATTTTAGGCCAGAAATAACAATTCTTGCTGAATGGACTGCCTGAGTCTGGCTCTCATGTGCTTCTGAAAGCCCTCAAACAAGAGATGGGCTTTGACTGGGTGAGTGATAAAAAATCCAAGTAGACAAGCCAATATATTTATCCACCTATCATTTGAGAACGAGTCAGGAGCTGTGCAACCCAATGCTATCTCATGAGAAATTATATTCTGGCTAGAAAAGCAAATCTATTGCCTCTCACTGCTTAACTTTGCTAGTTATAATTTGTGCATACAATCTGTAAATGTTTAACCTGAAAATTTTACCAGAGAAGACTCAACAGCAAAGGGTTTACAATCATCTTGCTCAAAAACAAATGAAAGGCCCCAGCAGTGCACACAGTGGAGCAAGAGTGGCTTCTATACATTAGAAAGCTCATAAATTTAGCTTTCAATGCTATTCTATACTGTAAAGTGAGTACAGTCTTTGTTGAACCTTGTACTATTCTTCTTTCCATTTTTCGACAAATTTTGACATTTCTTCAGTATATTAGGTCTCAACAGCAAACTTTCACTATTTATAGCACTGTAGTTAATAAATTGCACATTAAAGACTCAGCTGACTCCTGTGAACATGCCTCTGGCAAGATAACTGCCACAGATAGGTGCAACAGCATGGAAGAGCTGTAGATATTGAAGCCCTGGTTAAGACCAGGTCACTCTCTGTCTTTCACACATAAACTGGATACATATGGGGAGCTATCTGACCTTGGAAGTCTTAAAACGAAGAGATATATTCATATGTAGCATCATTGAAGTAAAACGGTCGATGCATTGCAGGATTTTGCGGTGTCCGTGTGAATTACCTTCCATTTTAGGACAGGCAACTGGCTCAGCTCGGCTCAACCAAAAAAGGCAGAGCCATCAAAAGCTGAGCCGGAGCCAAGCCGCGCCGAACCGTGGCAACACTAAGTGCACGTGATTTTAAGGAACGGCTGTCGCGCTTGCATTTCCGTGCGCACTCGTCCTCGGCAGCAACATGGCGAGTTCAAGATCACAGCCTCTATCCATAGAGACGCTGTTGCAGAAGCAGAAAGAAGAGAAAGAATCCGCTGCCAAGGTATGCGTTGTTCGTGTCGTGCCTTGAAACGTCCTCATTCTATACATTGCAGCCCAAATTCCTCACGAAGGAGCAACGAGCCAAGCTTGCTCTGGAGAAGAGGGAGCAGGAGATTAGAGAACAGAAGGAAAGAGAGGAACGAGCTAGGCAAGAGCGCGAGACGCTAGAGAGAGGAGCGGAGGAGCATCGTCAAAAGCAGAGGGAACGTGAGCGTGCTGCACGTTACGGGCCAGGTGGCGGGGGGCGACGTGAGTTATGCCCAGCTGTGATCGTGCTTGGGCACTGATGTTCGGCCAGATGATGACCGCAATGACCGAGAACGCTATGGCAAGCGTGACTACCGGGAACGCAGACCGCCACCTCAAGATGAGCGACGGCAGTCGTACCAAGGAGTTCCTACCGGTCCTCGTGCTGACCGGGGGAAGGCCTCTGCAAGCGCGTCGGGCTCGTCGACTCCGTCTATGCCTCCTCCTCCTCCTCCTAGTGCGCTGGGTACTGGCAGTGGTGCAGCCTCAACACCTCTTATCACCGACTCTGCGGAGTACGTCCCGCCCATGACCGACAACGACCTGTCGGCTATCCGTTCGCGGTATCTTGGAGTGGATAAGAAGAAACGTAAGATACGTAAGATGAACGATCGCAAGTTCGTCTTTGATTGGGACGAGCAAGACGATACGTTCTCTGCGGAGGCACCTGCTGCGGTGGGGAGTCAACGACAGGGTGCGCAGGTCATGTTCGGACGTGGCCATATCGCTGGTATGGACGATGGAGGCACTGTTGTGCCCGGCAAGAAGAATGATGCGGAAGGCCCTGGAACGCAACTGGCGGATGCATTGGAACGTAGGAGAGCTGCGAAGACCGGTATCGACGAGAGGCACTGGTCTGAGAAGAAGCTGGAAGAGATGAGGGAGCGTGACTGGCGCATCTTCCGAGAAGACTTCAGCATCGCTTCCCGAGGTCAGTTCAATATCCGCATCGTCATGTACGTGTCGCTCAAGTCGTATCGCAGGTGGTCAAATCCCCCATCCATTACGCTCCTGGACAGAATCCGATATTCCTCAGCTTCTATTGGATGTAATCGAGCGCATTGGCTATAAGGAGCCCTCGCCCATTCAACGTCAAGCCATCCCCATCGGTCTACAGAATCGGGATATCATCGGTATTGCTGAAACAGGTCGGTGTTCGCGCGATGATCTCTGGACAGCAACTAACAGCCCACCACAGGTTCCGGTAAGACTGCTGCTTTCGTCATTCCGATGCTCTCCTTCATCTCCAAGTTGCCCCTGTTCACGGACGAGAACAGACATCTCGGTCCCTACTCTCTCATTCTCGCTCCTACTCGTGAACTGGCTCAGCAGATTGAGTCGGAAACAAAGAAGTTCGCTGGTTCGCTTGGCTTCACTTGTGTGTCTATCGTTGGTGGTGTAAGTAGTCGTTACACACCGTGACCATATCGTATAAATCTAACATATTCGTTTGTAGCGCGCTGTCGAAGAGCAACAATTTAACCTGCGAGCTGGTGCAGAAATAATCATCGCCACTCCAGGTCGTTTGAAGGATGTTATCGAGCGTCATGTTATTGTGCTATCACAATGTCGGTACATTGTCATGGACGAAGCCGATCGGATGGTCAACCTCGGTTTCGAGGCCGACCTGACGTTCATCTTGGACAAGCTACCGAGTGATACTATGGAGGGAGAGGACCAAGGCGAGCAGATGGACATCGACGGCGAAACGATGATCAAGAAGGGTCGAACGCGAGTCACGACGCTCTTCTCTGCTACTATGCCTCCGCCCGTCGAACGGCTTGCGAAGAAGTACCTAAAGCGGCCTGCTATCATCACGATCGGTGAAGCCGGTCGCGCTGTCGACACTGTGGAACAGAGAGTTGAGTTCGTCACTGGAGACGAAAAGAAAAAGTCAGTTAATTGTTATATTACCGGTGTACGCTTCCTCACAACACATCTGTCAGGCAACGCATGCTCGAGATCCTCAACAGCGGTCAGTATGCGTCTCCCATCATCGCGTTCGTCAACCAGAAGAAGACGGCGGATATGGTCGCCAAGGATTTACAACGCGCTGGGGTGTGTATCGAAAGCTGCATTGTAAACAGGGCGTTTTGCTGACGCTCTTCATCCTAGTGGAACGCAGCGACTCTGCACTCGGGCAAGAACCAAGAACAGCGGGAAGCTGCCTTGCAGTCCCTCCGTACAGGAGAAGCCGACATTCTCGTCGCTACCGATCTTGCCGGACGTGGTATCGACGTGACCGACGTCACATTGGTTATCAACTATCAGATGTCCAACACGATCGAGGCCTATGTGCACCGTATTGGTATGTGTATTCTGCCGATCATGTCGGAAGAGCTGTGCTTGACTGCTGTCTCCTTCACAGGTCGCACAGGTCGTGCTGGCAAACAGGGAACGGCGATTACCTTCCTGACCAATGATGACGAGGAGGTTATGTGAGTATTCTGTCCTCCGCACTAGCTCCTGTCTATCTCCACATGCTTGTTTGTTGACCATCCTTATTTCGCCCGCAGGTACGATCTCAGGCAAGGTACTGTATCTCCTATCAGCTCCGCTTGGTATATTCCAAACTGATCCGCGTTACTTTACAGAAATCTCGAAGAGTCCAGTGTCCAAAGTCCCGCCGGAGCTGGCGAAACACGAAGCTGCGCAGCACAAAGTTTCAAAAGAGATGAAGCGCAAGAGGGACGCCGAGGACCAAGGCTAAGGACGTTGTATCTGGCTAACATCTGTACCGCTACGGAATCTCATGACATGTACCTTATGCTATACGCTAGGTTTCGGCGTGGCACGGTCTATTCGTGCTCTCGCCCTTACCCCAGCCCGCCCTGGGACGATAGACTCTAAATGCCTCTGACGAATACACGTACCGCGAACCAATCCTCGCACTTCATTTGACAGTATAACTCCTCAATCAGTCTCCGACGCTGAAAATTTATTGGAGCAGCCCGCACTAGAGCGAAGGAAGCTAGGACCACATGGGTGTGACCGATTCATTCATTGGGGCTACATCACATGCAAATTGCCCCATCGTCCGCCAGACTCAATGAGCTCAATCGATAACTCCACTCAGCTCAAAGCATTCACAGCTCGACATGCAGAAATACAGCGGTCTGCAAGCGTTGTCGGAGCATGTTATCACGCTGCCTGTGACGTCGACGCAGTCCGAGCTGCCATCTCCTTGGTCCTCGTGAGGGATCCGATGGGGCATCAGAATCAGCGGCTAGTCGGCTATGAGCTCGGTGGCGTGATGGATGGTGAGCTCGCACGCCTCGTTGCCTGTCGACGCAGAAGCCCACGGCATTAGCTTCTTGCCGTAGTCCGGTGGAGTACACCCAGGTCATCCGGCAAGCAGAGCAGACAATTGGGCTACGTCTGTGATTCCGGGGGAACGTGTCCTTCACCGTCAGCGGCGAGCCCAATGAATCGTATGCACGTTGGCAGCCAATAATGCAATGATTGGCTTTGCCACGCACAGTGGCTCTCTGCCATAAACCGATCACTCCTCTCAAGAAATTGGACTCCGCCGCTGCTGCTTATCGCATCTCTTACGATAGCTCCTCCGGAGCTATCACCAATTGTCACCCAGTTTTTTTTTTGACAGTAGCCAATTGTGCCTTCAGAAAATTCACGAAAATGCCTCAGGCAAGAACTCGCGTAGATACTCAAGATGCGGGTCCAGTCGAAGGCCTCCGGAGCGCCGGGCGTTAAGCTGGGTTGATGGGGGATGTTGTTCCGTTCCGTCCCACTGGCAGGACCCTTTGTCGGCACCCACTGGTATACACAACCCCTTGCACGAAGTAGAGCTGAACCCCGCCAAATTTACGGTCCAAAGGGGGGCTTACCTAAATGTTTGGTCGCGCGTGCTCAGTTACAAAAGGCCTCTCTCCGGCGGTCGGACCCGACGGCAGCGCGCGCAGGAGGATGAGTAAGTTCGAAAATCGCCTGTGTTTGCTGACAAAGCCAGGGGTATTCACCGCGGCGCGCGGAGGCGCGGGGAATGCGCCATCGGCGTGCATGTCAAATACGAGAGCCTACCGGCGCGCACAGTGGGGTGGAAACAGGTAATACATGGCCTCTCTAACGCTATGAAAATTACAAGAAGCGGGCCCGACGCGGGTGGACGCCTTGGCAGTGTCTAGCCGTTGTCTCCGCTCCATAACCCCCTTACCAAACGGCGGGTGGCGATTGTGAATCGGCCGTAGGAGAGCCTTCGTCCGAAGGCGTGTGACTGCGCGGCCGGCCAGTAGGAGCCTTGCTTCCAATTCAACCTACCCCCTTTTTCGCCGACAGTGTTCTAATGTTGGACACTCTAGTCACCGGGATACGAGGGCATTGGGCACCGTCAAACGATCCCTCCGGCATCTCAGTGCGCGGCGGGCTCGGAGGTGACCGATCTACGGGTAACGGAACAACCTTCTGTCGGCGGCCGGCGGCTCGTACTCGAAGCATTGGCAGAACCGATTGCCAAGTAGCCAAGGTCTGGGCATGGCGGGGAAGTACGGCGGCACAATAAACTCTGTATGCATTCGTGTTGCTGCGCGTATTCTCCGGACGCAACAGCTACGATCTTCTTACAGTCAGAGTACATAATTTGGAGGTCGCGCTGCGGCTCGCGTACATACATCGCGAGGCGGTGTGCGCGTTGTAGTTAGCGCGGCCGACAGTCGCGACAAGGTCATGTGCGCGTGTCGCAGGGTCGTTCTGGGGGTGTGCAAACACTGTGTGCGGGGCATCAGCGTCAACATCAGAACATCAGACGAATTCAGGTCTGAGGAACGTCTTCCGCGCAGGAATCGCCGCGGTTTCACGCTTGCTCTCTGGGGGCTAAGCCGGCTGGGACAGTCTTGCCGTAATGTGAAGATCACAAGCGAGCGTCGGGAAGTGTGCTGCACTGGCTCACCCGGGGAGTTGACCATCGGGACTTGGCTCGTTGTCTTGGTTGCTAGCCGCGACCAGTCGGTGCACGTCGTTTGCACCGGACAACTGCGCTCGGGCTAGCCATCTGCTCTCCAGGTGATGGGACGTTGCCGCGGCACGTTTTGTGCTCACACGACCTGACCCTGGTTGTGCACGATGCGTCCACCACTGACTCAAACTCCGTGGCTCCCGTAATGTAACGAGGGCAGGAATTCGCCAAGAAACCACGCCCTTCTTGACACCACGCGCCAAGGCGCAGAACAGTCAGCATGATTGGCAGCGAGCAAGAACTCACGTCTCTCACATTTTCGGCCAGAATTTCCTATTTGCTATCGGCGATGGAGCATCCCGCGCGACCCCGGACAGTGCGAGCTTGGTAATTCCGGAACCGCCATAGCTGGGTGACCGCCGAGTAAGATGCGAAAATTCGAAAGGCGGACTTGCCTGTCGACCTGCCGAGCAATAGCGTCCGCAGCGGGCAGGCTGACATGCACAGCTGACCGAGACCGAGCCAGAGTCACCGCGAAGCCCCACGACGTACACGATCTGCAGCACCACGCATTGGGTGTGCTTGACAACCCTAGGACATAGGCGGAGTGAGGGGTAGAGAAAGCCGTGCACGTCGGGCAAGAGAGCGTCATGGGTATGTGCACGCGCCAGGCGTAGGAAGAGACCGAAGGAAAAATGTGGGATACAGGCCGTGATGACACGGACAAGCAGTGACTTCGCCTTACCGCGAGTCGTCATCGTTATATGTGCTCCGGTGTGGTCGACAGCAGAAGTCGTACTCATCCCCGGCGGGGTCGGTGCGGCCCATTGTATCCATGCGCAGCGAGAGAAAATGAATGCGCTGCCCATGACGACGTAGGTCAGGTGCGTCTGCGTTGCCCGGCGCTAGGAGACGCTAGCCAGTCAAAATTCCAGAATCTCCGAGTGTATTCGATTCCAGCGAGTGTACCGTCCGGCGCCGCTACACATACTCCTCGTCCTCAACATGGGAGCTTCCCTTGCAGTGCCGTCGAACAGATACCGAGAGCATGCCGTCGTCCGATAGACTAAGCAGGCCATGCCGAGCGCCACGACTGCCGCCTAGACCACCCCTGGCAGGAATTCCACAGGAATGCGGCCGGATGAACTCGAAGATAGGTGCTTTGGAGCCTTGCAGACATGATAACTTCCCGTGGCCGCGGCACGAGAAATGCAAGGGCGGACTATGCTCCTGGCCGCTCCCTGATCAACGGCGGGGCGATCGCTGGGGTGTACGGCTTTGTGGTTCCGAGGGCCCAAGAAGATTGGCTGGTGCAAAGCAATCCATGCGCCTTGATCACGTCAAAAAGCCACGTTCGTTCATCTCGCAGAACCCTCGGATAGACTCGACTGCTTTGGCTTTGCGGCAATCGCTGCAGATCCTGTCCTGCTTGACCGGAGAATGCACTCGAGAAACAAAAGTTTAATCAAGGCCTCCGACGGAAATACGACTGTTACTCACTAAAGATGAAGAGCAGCCGTCGCTGATCTGGCAGATAGTGTTAGCGAAGCGAGAAACGGCTGTCGGAGGGCGTTTCAATAATCTACGTCTCGCCGTGAATGTAAAGTCAAGCTTGAGCGACATGTTCCGAACAAGCCGTGAGTCAAGATAAGACAAGTTCAGTCATTAGTGACCCGCGACACGTAAATTCTCCTGCTTCCCTGTCGGACAGACTAAGTACGATGAGCAGCGTGGCGTTCGACGGTCGCTGTCCTTGAACGTATGGTACTTCATTGAAAACGTCTACTGCTCTATACTGAGCAATAGACGCACCCAATGGAGAACCAGAGCATGATTGGACAGTTCTCGACCTCAGGATAGAAAGCGACCTATGGCCGCACAGCCAGTGCCTACTGCATGTAGAATTCGTGATGTGTAATTTGCCTCTTACTCTAGTTTCTGAGAAGGCGGTCTGGACGCGGGTCAGTTAATATAGAATTAGCAGCCAATAAAAATACGAAACGACGTCGCTTACCATTAATCAGCTGCAGTGCAAGCTACACGAGGAAACAAGCAATATGGAGTACATCTGTGCCCTAGATGCAAGTGTGAGCCAAGTTTCTCCGGATGACCGAGGGCTGGACACGATCGACCATATCGTTCCGCAGTGTGTCAGTTCACACGTCGGATACCAATCGCGGAAACGTTTGCTATTAGTACTGGGCGGTTTGAGACATGTGCGTCGGATAACAAGATAGCACATCCCCACGGTCCTGTGCGCTCAGTCGCATTTACGCTCATTTACCCTTGTCGGAGCGCGGGGAGCCGTCCTGTGCCGCACGAAGCCGCACGAAGACGTCGGCTGCAGCTGTGGTGCGTCAAGGGGAGGTCCACTTGCCGCGAGATCAATGCGAAAGCATACACTGCATGTCAAGAAGGCGGTGCGCATGACATTAGAGTTCGAGCTTGGAGTGCACCGGGCTGTCGCGAGCGGCGGCCGAGAAGCAGGTTTGAGCGACCTGTGCGACCTGTGAAGCTACCGCGCCGAAGATGACAGAAAAGGGTCGAGGCTGCGTGGACGCGTTGATGCAATGCAAGGGATTGGACATGATAGGCCGGCGAGGTAGTTTTGCGTAAGGTGCATGGCCAGGGAAGGCAAGTGTATACGTCAAAGGAGAAGATCCTCTGGATTGGGCAGGCAAGTTGGGAGAGGTACGTAACGTCCGTTCTCATTTGACCAGCTGTGCCATGGTGATTGGGAGGCAGAGGGAGCAGGAGGCAAGTGCGGAAGAACACAAGGTTAAACCAGGACGAATCGTCATCGAGTTATCGACAGGGTCGATTGCACGGACAAGTGGTCATTAAGCGGTACGCTAGGGTTTCGAGCGTGATTGGTGAGATGTTGCTGCATGTTCCTGGGACATGCTTTGCTGGCCAGCCACGACTGGATTTCGAAGCCAAAAGAAAGAGTCCAGTTGAAGTGTGGCATGAAAAAAACCCCGCTGTAGGAGTATATAGTCCCACTAGTACCGACTCCGGGTAGACGTGGTAGCGCTGGAGCGCTTGGGTACATGGAGGTGTGATGTGCAGAGCTGGGGTAAGTTGATTGGCCAGGGAACGCTGACATTCGCGTCGAGGACGCGTCGTCGGACTACAGTGACATATTGCTGTGCTGCAAGATCGACAGAGCCTAGGCAGCAGTGCATCGGACGGACGTTGAGCGGGAGCAAAGAGTGGTACAAGCACCCGGTTCGGAGTGATGGACTGAAAGGGTCGATGTTGCAGAGAAAAGCAGGCTTTACTACCAGTACACTCGTGAGCTATCGGAGGGACGGACTACAGTAGGTGTTGAGAACGCTTGTGGGCCAATGAGATCTCGAGCTATGTTGGTACGACACAGGCGTTTCGGGACATTGATCGAAACGGGACCGTGAGAAACGTGGCTCCGCAAGGGCGGATCGTGATATCATCTTAATATCTGGAGTAAGAAATCTCCCGCGCACGCATGGGGTCCTTCTCCTGGCGGTCAGCCTGATTGGTTCGGCGCGGCCGGCATCTGGCCGGGTGCCCCCATCCGGGGGCGGGTGAGCAGCCATGTGGAGGCTTGCCGCTGTTTCGCACTCAGCCTGTCCGCTGGTGCAATGCGTTGGCAAGCCTGCGAGCCCGTGACGTTAGAGGCGGCCTCAATTACCGTGCGTGCGGCTTGTCAGGCTGGCCACCAGCTGGGCGCCACGAGGAGCGCAGCCAAGTTTCGGACAGGCCAAGGACGCCATCGGGATTGGAAAAAATCTGGGCGCACAGAGATGCCGAGGCTCGGCATGGTGAAATTGGGGGCGGGGGCGGAGGCTTGGAATAGGATCGGGTGCAAGTGGAAATCGTCAGATCTGGATCGTTGTCACTCTGCCGGTCCCTCCTTCGCTTACCTTGAATCTATTATACCATTCACATCGCCCTCCGTTTCCTGTTCCCTCCTCTCTTTCCTTCTCTCCATCATCTCTCGCTCGTCGAACAAATTTTCTCCGTCGCCGTTAGGCATCACATCTCTTTGTCGTCGACAATGTTGAGCGCAAGACCCATGCAACCCCTACCGCTGGACGTTCCCCACTCCCCCTCCCATCTATCACCAGCCGTCCCCTCGTCACCGGCACTCAACACTCCACACCCCTCTGTGCCTCCGTCAATATCCTTGCAATCACCCTCGCCCATGTCGACGCCCGTCTCGAAGCCGATGCCTGCCCAGCATGACGCTAAGCCGTCGGACGAGTCTAGTAGTGCACCGCAGCAGCAGGAGCAGGTTTGTACCTTGTCTCTTCTAATAGCAAAATACATCATGTTCACACTCCATCTTATCCACCCTCAATACTCTCTTATAACCGACTCTGCTGTTCCAGGCTCCTGAACCCACTAGACGTCCTTCCAAGAGATTCCTCTCGGCGCTACCCGGACAGCGAACACCGTCGCCCACCCGCACTTCTTCTGCTCCTTCAACTCCGGAGTCCGAGCACCCTCCGTCGCCTTCGTCGACGAGCTCTGCCTCGCGCTTCCCCTTCGCTTCTCGCGTTCGCAAAGCAAGCCAAGTGTTCTCTTCGTCTTCCACTCCGGCATCGCCCAACTTGGCAAGCCCTGTCAACACCCCACCGCGGAAGAATTCAGACGCCGGAGAACAGCAAGCTATGCCAACGAACTCCGGCGCGCCTTCCGGCCATTGCACTCCGCCCGACGAGCCGGCACCCGGCGCGCAGGTCCCTCCCTCTAGCAGTGCCCCTTCTATGAAGAGCGCAAAGCATAAGGATGGACCTCTGCACGACCTGAAGCGCTTCCTCAATCACCATATTCCCCACCCTCATCATCACCATCATGCGTCGTCTTCCTCTACGGCTCCCACGTCCGTTGGCTCTGCCACACCTGCGGAATCAGCGCAGCCGCCATCGTCGCAACGGCGCGGTAGTCAGTTTGAGCAGGCCGGCGACTTGATCGATGCTGCTCATCAAGCTGCAACGGTTCATGACGCAGCACCGGAGGCCGGCAGCAGCAAACACAGGGAGCATCGGCTCACAGGACTTCTTCGGCCGCACAAGGAGAAGAAGGAGAAGGAACATTCAAGGGAGCTTCGGAAGACTCCTTCGCCTAGCGCGTCCTCTGTTGCAACGGCAAGTTCGAAGGCTTCACATTCGCCGCCTCGCTCGCATGACTCGTCGTCGAGCCGGGAAAATGCGCCGATGCACAATTCGATTAAGCGCCGATCACCCGAGAAGAGTCCGTCGCTGACGATTCCATCACTCTCGTCTGCAACGCAAGTGCATTTGTCGAAGAAGTACGGCAAGTGGGGGCGGACACTGGGCAGTGGCGCAGGTGGTACAGTGCGGTTAATTAAGTCTTCCTTGAAGCATGGAGGCACGATATTTGCGGTGAAAGAGTTTAGACCGAAGAGGCATGGCGAGAGTGAGCGGGAGTACCAGAAGAAGGTGACTGCCGAATTCTGTGTGGGGAGCACATTGAAGCACAAGAACATCATTGAGACTGTTGACATCGTGAGCGACCACGGGCACTTCTATGAGGTGAGCCATTCCTCGCATACCGCTCGAGTCTAGCTCACTGACATCCTTAGGTCATGGAGTATGCCCCGTACGATCTATTCAACGTAGTGATGTCGGGGAAGATGACGCGCCCCGAGATCTACTGCGTTTTCCGCCAGATCTGCGATGGAGTCGAGTACTTGCACTCGCTTGGCCTCGCGCATCGCGACCTGAAGCTCGACAATTGCGTCATGACATCTGACAATATCGTCAAGCTCATCGATTTTGGCACTGCCACGGTATTCCACTATCCGGGTAAGAAGCATACGATGGCCACCGGTGTCGTCGGTAGCGACCCGTACCTTGCGCCGGAGATCTTGCAGACGGACGAGTACGACCCTCGCAAGACCGATGTTTGGAGTGTTGCGATCATCTTCCTCTGCATGGTCTTGAGACGGTTCCCGTGGACGATCCCCGATCCCAAGGTCGATCCTAGCTTCAGAGCATTCGTTCACGCGCATCCAAACCTGTCGGAAAAGCCATCTGAAAAGAAGAAGTCGATAGAGCCGCCTAAGCCTATCATTGACGCTAAGAACGAGACGGACAAGGAGGCTCACCAGGAAGACAAGGAGGACGCGAAATCAACTACGTCGTCGTCGAATGCGCCAACATTGGACGACCGACTGACCTCTGACCGCGATCCCCAGCGGGGTGATTCCGGCCACTCGTCCTCGGACTCATCATCCTCGACGTCACAGGATGGCATCTCCCGCACCACTTCGGCTGACACTGCCCATACCAGTGACACCTGTCTCACCGTTCCTTCGAACGACATCCTTCCATCGTTTCACTCGGGCTGTATGCAGTCTTCATCGACCCCTGTGCTTCCAGCTCTTCTTACTGAAGGACTATCTCTGAAACCTACTGAGAGTCCTGTGGAGATCGACATGGATTTGTCTGTCCGGCAATTCGCTCGTCCGGCGAACTCGACAGAGAGTCTGCCGGCGACTGCCTCTCCAACGATCTGTATTCACGACGCTCCTTGCAGTCCTACGCTCCGCCCCGCCCATGGCCGTGCTTCGACGATCCATAACATCAGTAGCAATAGCTTGAAGAGCTCTGAAGTTCAGCAAGCGCCGAGGCATGACGGTGTCAAGGAGCACGATTATATCGAGGAGAATAGGGGTGGCGAGGAGCGCGGTCGCGTCTCCGATAAGACTCCACAGCAGGAGACGAAGTCGGAGAAGCCTAGGACACCCTCAAAGAGGGTTGCCCCGTCCCCGAAAGAGACTCCACGCCGCAGGCCACGCGCTGACAGTCGCGCTTCGGTCGCTACCTTCCACTCTGGTGGTGCTGAGTCTATCTTCAGACTCCTTCCTCGTGAGGCTAGGCCTGCAATCCAGAGGATGATGTTTGTCGAACCGAGCGCGCGATGCACACTTACCGACCTGCTCAGTGGCAAGGGCCGCTCTGGCGACCTCCTCTGCGGCTGCAACTCGCACGACAAGGACAGCCCACGCTGCGCGGACCACGAGGATGACCCCGATTCCGAGGACAGCGGCGACTTGTGGCTTAAGAGCATTCAGACGTGCTCAGTCGGTCGTATGTCGAATCATACACACATCAGGGTTGCTGTGGACGAGAAGTCGCCTAAGAAGCGGTTCTTTTGATCCATCCCCTACACTCGCGTCGCGGGTTCATGATCACGATGGTTATTGCATTCTACCACTCCTCTACCTTATGATCAGTTGTGCGCATCCCTTGGCTCACCGCTGCCTCAACTTGTTTACTCTTACGCACATCGCATTAAGTATAGACTATTATGCTTCTAGCTATTCATCATTCTTCGCATCTCGTTGCATCGTCGTTGTGACTTCGGACGTCTCAGTCTGTGGTGCCGTCTTCTACTTTATTACTTTCGTCGCATTTACACTTGTTCTAGTCAAAGAAGGGTTTCGGTGCATCCCGGGCCTAAAACACCATCCTGTAATACATGCTCATACAAATAGAAAGCGTGCTCGTGTAATTGTACGCGTAAATCTATAAATCTGATGTTCATAAAGCACGCAAGATGTACACGCAGAGCGTTATCTATTTTGGGGCATTCGGAAGATACGTGGTATAGATCAGAGTTCGTCACGGACGTAAGCCTCACGCCCCTCTTGATGTCCTTCTCTCACGTCGTCTTCGTCAGAACCATCCGGCGAAGGACCTGTCTTAATTTCGACGCCAGCTCGACGAAGAACCTCGTGCAAGGTGGGCTGCTGGCCCTCAAAGCCTGCGTCTTCCCAATCAAGGAATTCAATAATGACCTCTTCGTCTCCTTCGTCGACGATCGCCACCTCTCCAGGCTTGAGATCGCCGCCCTGGATGAGCTTCCCGAGGGCGCGCTTGATCGCTTCAGTCTGCTTCGCGTTGCCGTCCTTTCCCTTAGCCTGGTCTTGCTCCTCGGGCGGCGGCGGCGCGGGCGCAAGGACAGCCTTCGCCGCGCGGGGCGGCATCTTGATGGGCTGGTCCGCCTCGAGGAGCGAACGATCGATGCGCGCATGTTGCTCGGGAGAGACAATCTCGCGGCAGCGGATGTACGCCTCTTCGCGCGCGTCCCGGCTCGAGCGAAACCCGGGCTCGCCGCAGAGGCGGGGCGTCGCGATGTGCAGAACGTAGCGGCACGTCTGCGTCTCCTTCACGAAGAGGATCGTGTCCGTCATCGTCATCGAGCAGTGGAACTGCAAGCAAGCGGTCAGCGTCAAGCGAGCGAGCGACAACGGAAGCGTGTGGACGCCAAGAGGCGCAAGAATATACCTGTTTGCGCTGGGGTGGAACCTTACCTGGATCTCGATTTCGCGCTTGCGACCAGTTTTCTCGCAATAAGTTCCATCGCCCCAACGCTGAACCAGATATTGCGAGCCAGCGCTTCGGGCGAGCTCAACGTTGGCTGCAATTGCCGCTTCTTGGGCGATCGTGAGGTCGGCACCGGGTTCTGGGGTAGGCGGTGCGCGCCCGAGCGTGTAAGCTTCCCACTGGGGCAGCGTAAGCAGGAAATGTGGCGCATATATAGGACGGAACCTGCCTCTGTGTCTTCCAGTGGCTTGTATTCACCTAGAAATGGCATCAGCAACTATTGGGGATCAGTTTCATAGACTGCTCACCGGGCCGCTGATTCTGTGGGCGGGCCAGTTCGTGGAACTGTCGCACATGCGAATTGTGGCAGTATGCGTAAGTGAACCAGCCTTGTTTATGCTATGCGCGGCGATGCGTTAGCGGACACAGCTTAACCATGCTACAACCTGTCTTACGTAGAGACACGACCCGGCCAGCGGCTGTAGCAACGACCAGGTATGCACGGGCGTCACGTCCGTGGTAGAGTCTTCCGTTGGGACGGACGTATTGTCAATTGGCGGCGGAGGGATCAAACAGATATATGAGTCTCGCGGGCCCATCTTCATTAATTCGAGCTTATGGTTCGGAGGCTCTTGCTATCCACGAAAATGTACAGTAAGCTGACTTTTCATCTTGCAGCAAAATACGGCAGACCGACTTGAGCCGCCATCATCTGCTCATCCTGTCTCCCGCCGTCGATGCTCTTCACAGATGGGGTCCTCCACTTTGCACCTTCCTCCCAGGGTTGGTCCAGAAACTCTAGCTCGCCACCTGACAGCCCATGCTCTAACCATCGCTGCGCAGTGTCGTTTAGCACCGGGAGGCCGTTCAGAAAGGCTACACGATATTTGGGGAAAGCGTAGGGATCTTCAGGCACGAGCGAGTTGTGTAAGCGTGCTACCACGAGTGACCAGAGGGAAACAGGTAAGATCGCGGAATATACAAGCCCTGGACGCATCAGTAGATACCGACGGGCCTAGCAACGGATAGGACAAGAGGTAGAAATCCAGAGGCCGTGGACGTTGAGCACGTACAACGAGAGCCACGACACAGGCGCTTCAGGCACGGCACGTCGGAGTTAAAAACTTTGGCGCCGCGACACGGCTGATTAGGGAAGCCGAAAGAAGCGGTTTCGGAAAACGACGCCGGCCAGATTCTGGCTCCACTGGAAAAGGGGACTGGAAAGGCACGAACGGCGATTGCATGGGGAATACGGCGGTTAGCAATGTTGCGAACAATATTCTCTGGAAATATGCGAGGCCGAGATGCGACCCGGAAGACAGGGTCGATAATGGGCACGCTCACAGAGGCCGAGCGAGCGAGGAATTTTTTTCCAGTGGCGGCAAGCCGGCTGGATATTGTCTTGTGATGCAAAGCGAAGCTTGGTGCATTCCCGCTTCCTGGGAGCGCGGCTCGGCCATCGCACCCCTGTCGATGAGGGGGGACGGGGCCGAGTTGAGGGCGCACCATGGTTGTCCCGCCGTTGACGAGAAGGACAAGGACGGTCTGCGAGGTGATGACGATCAATGGGCAAGTGGGATCTGCCCGCCTTTGTGAGGGGGGTTATTACGTATTCTGAATTTTATCCTGTTCGCGAAAGACCGGTTGGAATATTCGAACGAGAAGATAATAATAAAGGCCTGTTTTGGGTCGCCAACACTGCACGCGAGCTTGAACTGTATTAGATATTTATCGTCTAAAAACGAGGTCCATTTCCCCTTCCCACCTCTCTCCCCACCCAACGCTTTATCCCTCTCCTCTGACCACAACCACCATGTCCTCGCCAGAGCACGAGGACAGAGGGGACGACAACAAGCAAGACGAGCTCGACGACACTGCCGGCGAGCATGAGACGGGTGAGTCGCGCCGATCTCTTCCTAGTTCGTGCACCAATGCCCGTTCCTGGAAGCGCCTCCTTCTTGCTGACCGTGTTTATTCCCCTTCTCCCCACCTTTGCCTGCAGCCGCTAATGATCAAACCCCCAAGCGCAAGAGGGGTCGCCCACCTGGCAGCAAGAACAAGAAGACCCTCGCTGCTGAGGCGGCCAAGGTTGCCCAAGCGACCACCGCTGGGACGTCGACTGGTGAGGGCACGGCGTCGGATCCGCCGCCCAAGCGAGGCCGCGGCAGGCCCCCCAAGGTACGTCATCTAGCTTTCTCCCCTAGCAACACGTTAGCTCATCTTGCGACCCCCGTCGCCCGTGTAGAGAAAGCCCGAGGAGACCGCCGGTGCTGAGCCTCAACCCAAGCGCAAGCGTGGACGTCCCCCCAAGCCGAAGCCTGCCCCTGCCCCTGCCCCTGCCCCCGCCCCCGCCGAAGCGTCCGGCGAGGGCGAAGAAGGCGGTGCAGCTGAGGGTGAGGCTCCAGACCCTCCCAAACGCAAGAGGGGCCGCCCTCGCAAGGACGCGTCCACCTAAGCTAATACACGAGCGGCCCGCGTATTCTTGATCCCCCTTGTTCCGGTTGCGGAAATAATCGCCTTGCCTCCGTCTATCACAAACGTTCCTGCTACGCTTTCTACGACCTTTCATGATTTTTATTCATATCCCTGGTCCTTCTTTATGCCTCGTTTTCGCACTGTACCCTACAACCAGATCTCTACTTGCTGTCAATTTGTTCTTCCTACCTTTGGTTGTAGCCCTTTACTTTCCTGAGGATCTATTGTGGTTCGAATGATCATCATACGCCATATTCCTGTCCTCGCGACGCCGGGTACTGTTTCCTTGCGCAATTCCCATGAGAAATTGCTTGCCGCATGGCCGACATCAGGGCACAGGAGATGGCCAGTCAACCGCCGACGACAGAGATACTCCGAAATCCCACAAACTGTCTTGTTCAAAATATCATTCATTGCATCTATTAGATTTGACATGCTACCCTTCCTGAGTATTTTGCGTGAGTCAGCATCCCGCGAAGAGGGGCAAAGTCTATTATGCTCCAAGCGACATTATCTCCATTCGTGCAGCGGAGGAATGCTCCCACAGCGGCGGGCCAGACTTTATAAATATATCATTGTGTTAGGCTGTGCTGGGGGAGGCTCGGAACCGCCGCCACAAATTGACACATGTGATACCGATAGTTCCCACCGCCACAGCCCAGCTCACGTAGGTCAAAATTTCTGACTGCTTGCGGGACTTGCGTCGAACCGTGGCGTAGCTGAGGTCGGGGCGGAAGGAGACCATGGTGTAAAGCGGGAGCCATCCAGACGGCCGCTTCGTGGGAAAGGGGTCTTGATTTACGGAGGCTCGAGCGCTGAGATCTTCGGGAGTGACTATCGACTGGCTTGGGGCCGTCAAGAAGTAGAGTATGTTGTCGAGGGACTTGCAGAAGAGATAGCCCGGCGTAGTGACCGAGTGCCTCATCTCCGTACTATATAAGAAGGGAAATCAATTATTGTCATGCGTCTCAGTTGCGTAAAATCAAGCGATAGACCCACTAATTGTCCATCGCGAGGTCGGATATGGTTATGAGATCCTCGTATCTGGTTTCTGAGTACACGTGCAGTGCTCGTGCAAGCCTTGCGTCCTCTTGACCTGACTCGGGATGGTACGCCGGGTCGACCTTGTACTTTCGCAGGAGAAGGTCCAGCACTCTGACATCCTCCAAGCCGCAGTTAAGACCTTGACCATAGAAGGGTACCATAGAGTGAGCGGCATCCCCGATTATGATGCCACAGTCCTTGTAGTGATACGGCCGCGCCTACATCGAAAGACGTTCAGCCCCCAGGGTCTGGGCCTAGCTCAAGGCGTGTGAAACGTACCTTTACCGTTATTAGTGCGCTTCGAGGATTTTTCTCGAAATCTCGCAAAAGGACTTCCTCGCCAATGAGCGGTAGGGCGTCGGAGAAGTGTGTCCTAAACCATTCCAGGGTCTTTTCTCGTGTGCTCAGCCGCTCGAACTCGCTCGTCGGAGCGAAAAGGGTACAAGTGAACGTTTTGTCCTAAACAGACCGACCAAAATGGTGCTTGAGCGCGATGCTAGGGCCTGACGTGAAAGAAGTGGAAGACTCGGCCTCGAGGCCAGTATCTAACCTTATTAGGTAGCGCTATGAGCATGAACGAATGGCGCGGCCATATGTGAAGGTGATGCGGGTCCAGCAAGAAAGTCGGTTCGCCGTCCATATCGCTTGGCGGACCAGTGGGCATTCTCAGCTCTAGGTATTCGTGCGGAATGTAAGTCTGCTGATAGTCCATCCTGGCGGATACCGAAAAATGAGCGGTGAGAATATCTTGTTTCGCGAGGGAACCCATGAGGAAACACGGCACACACCGAACAACTCTCATCAGCTGTCGCCTGACAATGGAATAGCTTCCATCTGCGCCTATACACAGGTCAAATGGCACTTTAACTTCCCCTCCTGCTTCGTTTTTTGCCGTTATGTTCTTAGCGTCAAAGTCTATAGACAGGACCTTGCACTTGAAGAAAACTTTAATATTCGGCACGCAAGCTGCCTCTTCGAGGAGATCTTCATTTAGAAGCGCACGGTCGATGGAGTTGATACACTGCGTCCCGGTATCAATAAATGGTAAGTGCGGGGAACGCAAATTCACGTCGAAAATGGTGAAACGAAAGACACGGACTGACCTGTCCATTCCTATCGTAAGGCTGACTGTTCTGCCTCCCTTGTAGGTCGTGTATCATTCTACCCCGCATGGGGATGGCCGCATTCAAGAAACGACTGGAAGCTGCAGGCTCGATGGCCTGCAGCGCCGAGATTCCGCGGGATGAGATAGCGAGATTAATTGACCGCTGCTGTGCCGCTGACTTTGAAGAAGGAAGCCGAAGATCTATGACTCGCTCTTTCAATGCAATGACGGAGGAAAGACGGTATGGACATTGACAAGGATGCCTACCTGGACGGCCTTCGTAAATTTCCACTAACCAGCCCTGTTTGGCCAAAGCAATAGCAGAAAGGCATCCCACGGGACCTGCACCAACTATGACCGCCTTTCGCGGCGAAGCTTCCCTGGACATCTTCGAAATCGCGCTTTCAAAGCATGACATTAGCTGCAAACGGTGTAGGACCATGAGTTCACGGCCATACTTGATGAAGCCAGACTGTTTCATTGTATATTAAGTACGCACGAGAGCTATAAAATGAGCTGCTTCCACTGACCAGATTGTGCAAACCCTGTTGGTTATGATCAAGCACAGTATGTACTTCAGAGAACGGAGCGAGGCGTCACTCACCAAGCGTTGTAAGCGTCACTGGCCAGCATGTCGACCTGGATCAGATCCGATCTCGCGGATTGCCGTTTTATTCAATTTACACACCCTGAGCGACACTTACTTTTGCAAACCAGTCGCACGCATTCAACATATAAAAAAAAGATAATTTTGGGCTTCAACACGCTTCTAGGATTTCTATACAGATGTTTCTCGTTCCCGGGAGGGTCTCCTTTCGACCTCTATCATCGTTAGGAACGCGGTGAAAAGTAAGTTCTGCCCACTTCTCTTCCGCTCTTTTTGTCTGCATTTCCATTGTTTACGAGAATCGTGCACCCTTAGAAAACGAATGCCTCCTCTCGACCCAAGTGGTGGATTCTCAGCTCGTCCCAGGAGAGCGGAGTCTTTTCATTTAGGCCGCGTCTCGTGATGGTCCTTTTCAGGACTGTAGCCCGTTTGACACGACAGCCTTCGTATGATTATTGTCAAGCGGCCTCGTGCTCCTGCGGCGCAATGATAGGCTAGGGTCTCAGGAGTTTTGTACACCTGCACCCTTATCCGATGCCAGCAGAACGGTACGTCCGGTCGACTTTCAGGAAACGTATACATGTTAACGAGACTAGCCATAGTCCACATCCTAAACTGAGCAGCCTCTTTGTATCGGCCCGCAGGTGCCCGCTACATCTACCGACATTATCTGCTGACCCATCGGACTTACCCTAATACCCAGTTCTACCGTGTAGGGCCACCAAGAACAATCCATGCCGTACGTGACTAACGGGAAGAACTGTAGCCCTGAGGCCGCTATGCATGATACTGTTTTTCCCCGTTGTTCTTCGGCTTTTAGTGTACAGGCCACACTTGGGTATTGGGATATATGAGAGTTGCCCATGGGAAATTTCCCGTGCGAAGCACGTTATAGTGGCCTGATTGGAGGACACCCATCAGCCACACATTGCTCTGCGATCTTATGAGGTGACATTCCATCGTGGGTGATTGAAGGATGCTTGATGTAGCGGCCCTAAAATGCTTCGCGAGTCCCAGGATCACCCGCATATGTAGCCGTCGCAAGAGTGCTCTTCGGCGTCCGAGCCCTTCTAACCTCCCCACGGAGGATTCTGCCTCCGAAGCTATCATACTTGACAACTATGGCTATCCCCATACAGACCCCGTTTCAGAATCTGTCTACAATGGCAGTCGTGTTCTGTATCTTGAGCTTGCTCTTTGGTAGGTAGCTCCGCCGATCCATGGTCCGTATCCGTTCCCACGCCCTTGAAGGCACATACTTCATCCTCTTCATCATCGCTGTGTGGGTTACCTTTCTTCGGACTGGTCAAGCCTGGCAGCGCCTTCGTGTGGTCACCGTTATACTGTGAGCTCTACCGGTGTTTGAAGGGACATGCTACCGATTTTCCCTTCAGATTCTTAGTGTTGTGCGCGCACTATTGCGCTCGGGCTCTCACATTTGCGAGAGCACGTATTGAAAGCCCGCCAGCCAGTGAAGAGGCCAAATGGACCGTGCCACTGATATTTGTCGGAGCGTGAGCCTTTGTCGTTCTCCGACTGACCTACGCTCAATAGTAACCTCTTTACTCTTAGGATCACGTCGACACTCGCAGTGAGTTTCAGACATCTTCGCTCTAAAGTATCTTGACAAGGAATTTAGGGCTTTATCTCGGACGGACTGCTTGCGTGGCGTTTCTACGTGATCTACGGTCGGACGAAGATTGCAATGTACCTGCCGACTGCCATGGTCGTTGTGACTGCGCGTAAGACCACCTCTAAACTTCACCGAGCCGCATAATAACCGCAAAAAAGTCCTAGGTCTCTCCGGAAGCTTCCAACAGCTGACCATATATCGCAGTGCCGAACTCTACAATAACCGCTTTGCAATGATTGCGCTTGACGTTAACGCAGCTTGGGGATGGTGCACATTCGGTGTGAACACGATTCTTACTGCATCGATTATCGGTCGAATCATGTGAGTTCAGCACAAATAGATCCCTCATGAATCCAAGACTAATACTTCATTCGCGCACAGGTGTGTAGCGCGTGATGCCGACGCTCACCATGCCACAGGCACCAGCCACCGCCAGTACTCGCTGGTGCTAGAGGCCATTGTTGAGTCGGCTCTTGTGACATGGTTTGGACTCTTGTTCTACGAGATTGCATCCTTGGCGCCGACTGGGCATATCACCGTAAGATGGCACCCCTGTTACTAGGCCCTTGTTTTGATTTCTCCGCTACACAGGGCAATTTTGACATCGGTTACGTCACGGTTTGCATAACGCCGATATATTTCGTCAGTAGTCTCCACTTTTCATATCATTCGATTCGTGAGCCCTGACGTGGATATTAGGGAATCTCGCAGTGCTTGATTACTGCCCGCCTTGCGCTTATCACGGACAGTGATATATGCGCGAGGGATATCTCCGGCCAACTAGGGTACGGCACCCGTCCGGCCGCTCAGACCGGTTCACAACATCGTGGTAGTCGGATTTCTCCAATGACCTTCAAGGTCCCGAAAATGTCGGAGACTGATTCCATGGATGACAGCACAGTCGAAGCCGCCAAAGCCGAGTAGTTCGCGGCAGATTGGGGCTCTGCCGAAGCCGTCTGAGACTGGTGAAAGTAGTACTGCCTTTCCACGCCTTCTGCAGGCTCTTATGGACTTGACCATTCAAATGTACGAATTTTTGTATATAGATGTCCCGTTGCATGCCAAATAATACGGCCGCGGTCGAAGTACAGCGCAACCCCGCCACGATATTTCTCGTGTCTTTCCGTCCGCCCTCGTTCCCAGCAGAACCAAACCAGCGCTTCTGTTTCTCGGTGTCATCAGTCCTGACGCATCCGGCGCTTGCTCTCGGCACGGAGGCGCAGATGCGGTCCTGAACTTGCACTGTCATCGTTCCGTCGCACAAGTTCGCCTCCTCTCGTTCCCAGAGGCCCTTGAGGGTGCATCTCGCCATGTCCGAGTCAAACGGTATCATCAGGAGACGGGGATCAATCGATATAGTGAACGCGAGAGTCGCCGTAGATCTCGCAACAGCACAGTCGTACAGAGCCAAGGAGAATGTCTTCCTCTTTGTGCCCAACCTCATTGGCGAGTCGCATGAACATTGCTCTGTGTAGCTTTGTGTAATCTGACCATAACGTGTATACAGGTTACGCGCGGATTATTCTCGCTGGTGTAGCTCTACACTTCATGAGCTATCACCCCAAGTACTGTACGATCGCCTACGGCATCTCATGTTTGTTGGACGCGGCGGATGGCCACGCTGCAAGAGCACTAGGACAATCTTCAAAGTTTGGAGCAGTTCTGGACATGGTGACGGATCGGTCTGTCCTCCTGCATATACGCGTTCTAAGTGCACTGCTCACATGTAATGTAGTTGCACCACCTCGTCTCTGTTGTGCTATTTATCCTCAGCATTCCCCAATCACACTATGGCCTTCCAGTTCCTTATCACTCTGGATTTCGCTAGTCACTATATGCACATGTACAGGTGAGTTGCGCGCCGCTCTCAGGGGTCAAATTCACGCCCATCATATCTCCAGTTCGCTCGTCACGGGTTCTCGCAGCCACAAATCTATCGATACCAAAGTTAGCTGGATTCTCAGCTTGTACTATGATCCTGTAAGTGGCCAAAGCTTCTCGATGTAGATTCTATCGCTGCAGCAGACCGTTTGCTAATAATTTGTCCAGAAAGCGCTATTCACAATCTGTGCAGGCAATGAAATGTTCTTTGTCGCGCTATATCTCACCAAATGGGTGCATACTCCACTGTGGCAATCTTTCGACCTGCCCGTCAGCTACCTCACATCCTTCACATGGGCTGAGCTCATGGCGTGGGTGTGTGGCCCCGTGTGTATCCTCAAGAATATCATCAACTTAGTTCAGCTTTGGAAGGCTTCGAAGATTTTAGTTGGAGTTGACCTCGCGGAAAGGGCGAAAGCGAGAGAGGAGGCGAAGAAGAGCTAAGCGAGGCCCGCGAAGTACTTAGTTCACGTCTCTATCAAATGCCTGCGAGATTGGTAGATATATATTGCTTACTGTTACCCTACGTGCTCTTCTGTCTGTAATGTTAACGCATAATTCTCTGTGGACTGGCATGGCAAAGTACTGCGATCACAATCGGCGTCTGTTTAGATCTTCAGCGGGATTTATAAGCGCCCATCGGCTTTTGTCTGTTTGCTTTCACCTACGCCGCTGTCGAGCGCGACGGCATCCAACGATTGAATGCGGTCGCTACTAATATTGCGCAGGACGCGGTCACTAATCAGGCATCCGTCTATCACTCACCGTGCACTACTCTCGTCAACGCGCGTTGCTCGATATCCACGCAAAGAACCTGCCCGTGCTGCTGCTCCCCGACTCTCAAAACGCTCATCGTCTACTACTACTTCCGCCCTCAATGAAACCGACTCGGAGGCCCCGGAAGAGGCACCCCAGCTTCTCGCCTCAGGTACTCCGTCAGATGTTGAACCCCCTTCCGAAGATGTAGAGAGGCCAAAACGACGAAGAGCGGCTTCGGTGAAAGAGCCCGAACCCTCACCACCTCCCCACGGTCTGCCCAATGAACTCGACATCTTGTGGCTGCCGCAAGACGTACCTGTTCCCGAAGTGCCCGTTGATGGGGCCACGTCCATCCCGAATACTGCGCTGCCTCCTCCAGAGCTCTTGAACGAGGTGCTCACTAACTTATACATTACGTTACATCCTCAAACTCAACACCGAGCTGCTTATACATCACCAGCAGGGCCGCCGGTTGAGCCTACTCTCGCTCTCTACTGCCCCATAGAAGGGGGCGACTACATAATAGATACCACCGTTCGGGAGCTCGCCCGACAGGCCGGTGCTGAGGTGGTGGTCTTGGACGCCGTCCATCTCGCAGCAGGAGAATGTGGTCATTTCGGGAAAGGTGTGCTGTTAAACCCTTCTGCATCTGCGATATAAATAACGCCATCAAAAGCTGCGTCGGTGCTGCAACTGCCCAGCAATCCTCTGCATGTATCTTCCGCTTCCTCTGGCCGACCATCTAGCTCGATAATGGAAGAGGAAGATGAGGACGAAGATGACTCGTATCGGCCTTCCTCACTCACGCTTCATGTTCTCGCTCCGGCATCGTCACGGCCAGGTCGTTCGTTGGTGGCCACCCCTCGCAAGGCCCCCAGTTCCATGCCGAAGGTGAAAGGATTCTTCGACGAACTCATCAATGTCCTAGCTCCAGCCTCTGAAGAGTCGGTAGAATCGAACGTTCGCCCTCCTCGCATCATCTACGTTCGTGATTTTTCTACTCTGGCTGCCACATCGTCATCGTGGTATCCAGCCCTGCTTAACGCAGTTCGTGCGCGAAGGCAAGGACCACTACCTCGACAATCCTCTCCTGTGTTCAGCCCTACTACTATCGTATTTGGTATCACGCCGCCTATGATTCCCAACGCGGGCTCACCCAACAATTCGGGCTCTGGTCCTTCGCCTGGATTGTTAAGCTATCTCATGAGCCGACAGAACATCTCAGTTACCGCTTCATCATCTAGACCTACCAAATCCGAATTCAGTGAAGACGAAGCATCGGAGAAGGCAAGAGAACGACGCCTGAAGGAACGTCTACGGAGATGGGAGCGGGGTGACCCGACTTTGTTGGAGGAACTTCCGCTGCTTACGACAACTACCGAAGGTGAAGAAAATCCTGGACGTGGATCGGGAGTTGTGATTATGGGCGGGGACCAAGACGGCACGCCTGGTCTACCTTCCGCTCTGGTACAAGCTCTAGGTGCACGTATGAGTGGTCGCAGTAGCGCACCAGACGGAGAGAAGACGACAAAATTCTACCGCACCTCATTCATTGTCCCTGAGGTCCGCTCACTTCTCATGGAGAGAGCTTGTCGCGTAGACAGGCGTCGGGAGATCAACGAGCTTACGATACGTATGGCCGTCGCAACAGTAGGCGGTACGTTACCGCCGATGCACCCCAGGCCCGATGAACCGCGAGAGGAAGGGGGAAGCGCCGGGGTTGAGCCTGCTGCTCGGCGGATGTGGGAAGAATGGAGTCGGGAGATTGAAGTGTGGTCCAGCGTGAGGAAGATCGCTGACCGCGCCGTTGGCAAGGCAATCGCGGAGAGGGCGAAGAAATCATCTCTGTCTGCGAAGGCTAGTCTCCAGCCCTTGCCCGTTGAGTGGAATGCTGTTCACGAAGCGTGGACTGCGCACAAAGCCATACGTGACTTGAGGAAAGCATGGGTCCAACATTCAAGTCCGAAGGTACAAACGGACCAGGAGAAGAAAGGCGAGCAAGAGAAAGAGGAACCAGTGGATGAGGTTATCGAACGGTTAAAGCGGGATCCAGACCTTGACCAACATGAGCAGAGATTACTGGGATGCATTGTCGATACTGGTGGGTATATTTGTCGCTTCGCAAGGATAATGACTAATTTTTCTCTTTCCAGCATCGATCTCAACAACCTTTGCTCACGTTCATCTACCAGCGAAAACTATCGACTCTGTACGGACAATAGTCTCGTTGCCTCTTCTGCATCCTTCTGCCTTCCAACACGGTATCCTCAAAGAGCATGCTATGACAGGATGCCTACTCTTCGGTCCGCCGGGTACGGGCAAGACCCTCGTTGTGCGTGCCTTGGCGAAGGAGGCAGGCTGTCGCATGATTACTGTCTCGCCTTCTGATGTTACGGACATGGTGCGCCAGGTGCCCTCGTATAACTTCATCTGGTGTTCTAATCATACACTTGTTCACAGTACGTCGGAGAGGGCGAGAAGCTTGTCAAGTCCGTTTTTTCCCTAGCACGGCGATTGTCGCCGTGTGTAGTGTTCATCGACGAAATCGACGCACTGTTCGGTGCACGTTCATCTGCGCGCGAGTCGGGCGGAGCCATCGCACATCGAGGTGTGCTCACGGAGTTCATGCAGGAGATGGATGGTCTCAGGTCAAGTAAAGATGACAGCATCATTGTCATTGGCGCAACCAACCGGCCATTTGATCTCGACGATGCCGTCCTCCGGCGGCTTCCTCGGAGACTGCTTGTAGACCTCCCAGGAGAAAAAGAGCGAGAGGGTTCGTTACGTTACTGCCTTACGTCCATCTACATGCTCATCTCTTCCCGCAGAGATCTTGAAGATCCTTCTGCGAGATGAGAAATTCGCGGTAGATGTCGATCTGAAGCAGTTGGCTAGGAAAACTGAGACTTTCTCTGGCTCGGATCTCAAGCGTATGTTTTTCTCCACTCCCTTTGTAAGCGTGGCTGACCGATGGTATTTCTTAGACCTCTGCGTGTCGGCCGCATTGGACGCAGTGAAAGAGCGGGTCGAAGTGCCATGGCGACAGGCCAAGCCGGCGGCCGAAACTGCAGCTGTGTCCACAGCTGAAGAGGCTGAGACTACTTTTTCTGTCAATCGGGCCGAGTCATCAGTAACTACCATTGCTGGAGCTGAATCTCAATCGAGCTCGACTGTTCCCGAAAGTATCCCAGAAACCTTTGGTAGCTCGGATGCCGCTGCTGCTACTGCTCCTTCAACTACTGAGCCCCCTGAGGCAACACTCCCGTCCGCCGACGCTTCCTCAGCCCTTAGCGCAGAGTCATCGGAAACGAACCCAGAGTCGAAGCCGGAACAACTTCCAACACCACCAAGGATGCTGCACTGGCATAATTTCGCGACCGCCCTGAGGGAGATTACCCCATCATCTTCGGAAGCACTCGGCTCGCTCGCAGATCTACGCAAGTGGAACGAAGAGTTCGGCGAGGGCAGGAAGGACAAGAGACACAAGTCGGTGTGGGGCAAAGGCAAGTTTGGTTTTATTCCCAAGCCTGTCGGTGGCGAGGGAGAAGGCAAAGTCGCGAACCTCAGTGCAGACGGGAGGAAGACTGGCGGGGCTAGAGACGATGCGGGTGCACAATAGTGTAGCCGTTAGTGCCAGTTAATTCTATACTGTTCAGACATCTATACTGCTTTAGACTCGAGCATTTGTGATCTCAGCTTATATGATATTGTAAGATAGATAACTACACCGACGGGCAACAAGAAAAGGAGAAAAAGAATGTATCACTACCTGCTCTTGCGCTTCCTCTGCGTCTTCGGTGGCGGAGTCTTCTCTTTCTGCCCGTTTGCGTCCATCTCTTCCTCGTCATCGCTTTCAACGACCCTCTTCTTTCCCTTCTTTTCTTTCTTTTCTTTCTCCTTTTTTACAATCGGCCCCTGACTTGGCTCGTCCTCCTGCTCCTGCTCCTGCTCCTGCTCCTGCTCCTGCTCCTGCTCCTGCTCCTGCTCCTGCTCCTGCTCCTGCTCCTGCTCCTGCTCCTGCTCCTGCTCCTGCTCCTCCTCGTCTTCTTCCTCGTCTTCCTCCTCCTCGTCTGCGCTTCGACGCACCCTGCGCCCGCGGTTCTCCTGGCCGTCACGAAAAGCACGCTCGCCGACTTTGCCCATCGCGCTTGCGTCATCGGCGGGGCCCCAGCTATTCCCACACACGGGGCAGCTTGAGTGCACCTTGCGGTAGTTGGTGTAGCAGTGTTTGTGAAGCCGTATCTTGCACGCTTGAATCGGGCAGGCATAGCCCGAAGTGACCATCTGCACGTGCGTTCAGGGAGGGGTAAGATGAGGGAAATTTTAGTGTACACACCTCCATGCAGATCGTGCATTCAAGCACCTCCTCAGGGTATGTCGAACGTAGGTATGGCTGCAACTCAAGGATGGCGCGTGTTGAGAGAGAATAACGTCCTTTTCTGGGGTATACATCATCAGTGGATGGGTAAGTAAATGTGAGTGACAGAAGGGATACCCACTTGCTCTTGACCAACCAACCACGGGCGACAAAACTTCCCAGGACATGCTCAGCTTGGGTTTTAGTCATCGTCGCCTTCAGATGGCTCACTTCTCGAAGTGCGGCAAGAGAGGAGACGCAGTAAGACTCATTCGGAGCAAGCATTACTTGCTCGAGCTGTTGCAAGCAGTGAGTCGAAGCTCTGCGAGCATGAGGGATAAAGGGTGACTTACGATGGCCTTGAAATACATGATCTCTGCTGGGGTGTACTCTGTCGCTAGTTGTGCTATCTCGTCACCCTTTCGATTGACCTGCAAGAAAACGCTCTAGCATCGACAATGACATGAAATACCACCGCGCACAATAGCATACATGTCCTTCCCTGTCGCTTCGTCGAGGATGTGGGCAAACTCAAGGTCTAGAGGGTTCAGAGCAGAGTTAATCTTCGTGACCCACGCGTCCCATGACGCCCTATCCTCGCCATATTCTATTTCAAGAGTTTCATCAACAGCTATAGTATCCTGTCAGCCTTGGAAGGCACGATTGGAGCACAGACGAAAACAGTACCTTTGACTGCCTCAGCGCACTTGTACCATATCTGAGCGGCCAGTTTCTGAGAGAGTATCCTCCTCGAAAGAATCGCTTGAAGATAGAGTCGTTGAACATCGTTTGAAGATACCATTATGATTCGTGAATCTGAGCGAAGTCGTGGTTTGGAGCAGGAATCATTTCACGCGTCGCGTCGCGCACACTTAAAAGCGCCAGCGCGTAGTATTATTTCCGCATTATTCCGCTAAATATCAGAAAACGGTGGCTAGTCGTCCGTGTGCTAGGCATAGAGCAGAAAGTCGGAAGGTATTGTTGGCGTCGTGAACAAGTATGTATCTCCTTTCCTATTGTTAAATCTTCGGCACCCGCAGCGTCTTGCTCACCATCGCTGCGGCCCAGCACCCGAAGACAATACTGACCAGGTGTAAGTCACCATCTCCTCCAGACTTTCCCCACAGAGTCACGGTACCTCCTGGGATACCCTGCTTGCCCTCGATCCAGCCATGCTTAGTCCAATACATCAACACTGAGACGAGACCAAGTGAGGATGGGATGGGGAGACCCTCGAAATACCGCGTCTTCCCTTTTGCATCTTTCGGCACGAGCGCAACTGTGGCATTGAAGCGTGCTAACCGCGCAAGGCCGCAGCAAATGAAGCCCGTAAGGATGATAGTGTCCAGATACGTTCGGAGGCCGACTGCGAAAGCGAGTAGTGCAGGCGCAACACCAAAGGAGATCTAGAAGTAGTTTAGGATCTAGTAGTGAGATGTTGAGATGTGACGTACGAGGTCGGCAAGACTATCCAACTCCTGTCCAAGCATGCTGCTCTCTTTTCTCCAGCGTGCAATCTTGCCGTCCATGAAGTCGAACATGAGGCCGGCGACGGGAAAGACCAAGGCAAACCACAGGTAATCTTCGTCTTTCGATAGCAGGTACTTGGCCGACATGAAAATGGACAGCGAGCCGCAAACACCATTCATAATAGTGACCAAGTCTGCTAGTCGGAAATTCCTGGAAAGACGTAGATGTGAGCTCCAGCAGAGGGCTACTCGTCAGAAAGGGGGCGCACCGGACCAGCGAGAAATGGCCTTCAGTGTCCCTGTACTGCTGGAGAGCAGCCATTTTGCCCGTGTCGACGATATCCCCGCCGGCTGGAGAGTGGCCATTTTCACCATTTTGCGTTGTCTTGCGTTGGCTCATTATTAGAAGTGAGAGTTGTTCGTCAAGTCGTGAACAGTCGTCCCCAAAACTGTACGTGGAGTTGACCTGCCACAGCAATCACAGGCACGCGACTCTAGCCTTGACGCATCGTGCCCTCGGGTTAGGGTCTCGCGCAGCTCCGCGGTTGACTGACGCCCTAAGAGACGCCCGATCGCCTAAATCGCTACGTTCTTCACGTGCAAGATGAGATCAAGGGTGCTGAAAGTCGCTGTGACTTATATACACGTAAATTTTTGTCGCTTGAACAGTGTAAAATCCCCTCCGAACGTATCTGCCTCAAAATATACTTAGCTGTAGCCTAAACTCGGCACCTCATATTTGGTTTAATAGTTACACTTCGCGGCACACGCATCGACAGCAGGAGTACGATCCTTCAGTCACGCAGTCACGAGTAATGGGGCGCGTGATGTCACGTTGTTCTACTGTGACAGACGCGTCTACGTTCAACCTGAGGAGTGCTCCCAATTACGGACTTCACACGCTACATAGTTGCCCTTCTGCACTTTCTAGGTTGAGCTCGAGCGTAAGATGTTCAGCATTAGGAAGAAGTTCGTAGCAGAGGTCGAAAAACACTCAACACTCAAGTACCCCCACCGTCTCAACTTGTACGTCGTCCGTCGCGTCCTGCTCCTGCTCCTTTAACTTTCATCTTCCTAGCTATGATCAACCCCCACTTGGGGAAGTTACTATTGAAGAATTTGAGACGTGTGCTTTGGACCGGCTGCGCATTCTCGCCGAGATCGAATCGTCGTTTGCACGGAATCGGCCATGGGAGGAACTCAAGAGGTTTACCCTCGAGCAGTGCTCCAAGTATCTCCGCCTAGACGCATCGTCTGCACACAAGCAAGACACAGAGGCACAGAGGAGGAAAGACCACCTCGGACACTTTGTGCTGAGGTTGGCATTCTGTCGTTCGTGAGTATGCCAGACTGGTGATTGTCCCTGTTGGCCTTCACGCCGAGCTGCGAACAGGGAAGAACTTCGGCGGCGCTTTGTGAAAGCGGAAACAACACTATTTAGGATTCGGTACGAGGAGGATGACCGGCAAGAGAGAGAAGAGTTCCTGCAATCGCGTAAATTCGGCTGGGAATCCGTTCGTGCCTGAGACTCACCTCCCGATGACAATTAACATCTTTCGCAGGTAGAGCCAGAGGAGGTGAAACAGTATGCTAGCCAGCTGAAGGCAGCAGCCTCGACATACTTGCCGCCGAAAGAGTTTGAACCAAATCTCGAAGCAGACAAGTACTACAAGGTAGGCAAACTCGAGGTTTTGAATGAACGTCGTATTGACATGGGCTGCAAGGTGCCGTGGACGCGCGTTCCAGACTTGGTTGAAAGACGGAAGGTTTTCTTGAAGGGTGGAAAGGCATACGTGCCTTCCAAAGAGCAGTCGAGTATCGTCTTCGAGGAGTTCCAGCGTAGCTTGGAGAAGGCGCTGCTGGTGCGCCGCCTCTCTACGCCTTGATAAGTATGAGGCTCATGCGCGTCGCAGGTGACACTCAAACACCTGCCTCGTCTGGACGAAGATACTCGCATCTTTCCCTTGCTTGACAACCTCTCACAGGGCTTCCTTGCCGGCGTATCATCCGAATGGTCGTCCACGACCTCTTCGGCGACTGGAGACGAGATCACCGCTGACATGGTCGATGAGCTCTCACGGAGACATTTCCCGATGTGCATGCGCCACCTGCATGACACGTTGAAGCGCGACAAACATTTGAAGCACTTCGGGCGACTGCAATATGGGCTATTCTTAAAGGTCAGAGTCCGCTGTGAATCGGCAGCGCGTGATAATTGACATGGCGAGTTTCCCGAAGGTTCTCGGTCTGTCAATCGAGGAGGCATTGGCGTTCTGGCGACGCTCATTCAGTGGCATGACGGACGATAAATTCAATAAGGAGTACAAGTATAATATCCGCCACTCCTACGGTCTCGAGGGAAAGCGCGCAAACTATCCCGCGAAGAGGCAAGATCCAGCCTACTGTTTTGGCATGGCTCATTACCTGACGATGCATATTTCTGTAGCTGTCAGCAGATCCTCCTGAGCGATCAGCCTGGCCCACAAGACTCGCACGGCTGCCCGTACCGCCACTTCTCATTGGACAACCTGCAAACAGCCCTTCTGTCCATGTACTCAAGCCAGGGTCTGACTGTCTCGGATCTCCCTGAGGTTGTGAGCACTGTGAAGTCCGGGCATTATCACGTCGCGTGTACGAGGGTATTCGAGATCACGCACACTGCACAAGGGCTGAAGAAAGGTGAAGGCGTTGATGACGGCGAAAGCGTCACGCATCCGAACCAGTATGCTTCCCGTAGTCGAGAGCTCGAAAAGAAGGTGAAGGAAGAGATGGATGTTGATGTGACCGTGACTTGAGCAGTCAGAGTCTTCCGTTGGCTGTCTATTGCATTTTGTTGTGCTATTGCAATTTAAATTATTGCACTGTTGCTCTGCCACTTTATATGTATCACTCTGTTCTGCACATTCGGAACCCTCTTCATGTGCTCCACTAGGCTCCCCACCAATATCAAAGGGCAGAAGCCATCAGCTTTGTGGCACTAAATCTAATAGGCGCCTCACTTTGAATAATTTTTTTTTGGCTTCATCTGCGGAAGCCGTCCTGCATGAGCTTATTCACTAGGGAGTTGCAGATAATAAAAAGGCTAGGAGCAGGCGGTCAGTATTAAATAGTGACGGATCTGTCAGGAAGAAGTAAGTAGGAGCGTGCATCCCCGTTTGGTCTCTGACCCACTGGAGGCAGAGCAAATAGCAATAGTCAAAGCTGTTGTACATGGCATAAGTACATGGCAGGCATTCCATCTGACACTGTTCATGAGAGGTCAGACATGGTGTGGGCGGAGTGCAGCAATAGAATTTCATCCACTGCAGATGTAGGATGCAAGTGCATGCCTTCCAGTCTGACACCTCTCGGTCTGTGTGCATTTTCTCCGCTGCACAGCGGGTTCTGGGCCCTTGGAGGGTTTATGACACTTTCTTACACCTCCAGTCCGGGCCTCACTGTAAATAATGTAATTTACAGTATTTTACCTACTTATTTACTTACATGTAATTTACACCGACCTTTCTGACACAACACTAGACCGCACCGCTGTCCGCGTTCGTCTACGGTCGGCAAGTAAGAGCGAAGAATGCAAGCGAGGGCGCATGTCTATACAACCGTATGCTACTCGACGTCTATTGTCCAATATGGTTGTGCAGGTGTATGAACAAGCCCTCGGGCCCAATCAGTTTCGTGCCGTTCATCAGCACGTTATGTCTTTGCAGACGCTTTTGTTGCTTCACGCCCCATCCGATCATTTGTTGTGCATCCTTCCTGGGGAAGTCAGCATCGCATACAAAGTGTTCCGTGAGCTAAACGCTACCCTCTACCATCCCAAGGCCATCAAAGCTGCCATGAAGGCTCTCGACACTTCCCGGAAGTGAGGGGAGAAGAGAGTGACGGCGGCGGTGGCAGCGGAAGATGGTGGCAAAGGCGAGGCAGGAACTTAGTTTATTGTACATAGAGATGTTACTTGCACTACAGGTGTGCCTATGGACGCAAAACAGCGCGAGTCATTGAAGATGTAGAGGCTTGGTGCCTAATCCGCATCCAAACCCGGCCGTTAGGCCGGGGCCGGAGGAAAATCCGTACTTTTTTGAGCCAGAGGGCCAAATTTTTGTGCGGATAAAAAGGTCGGGTCAGGCGAAAATCAGGATCAGGCCTCTCCGCCCAATGTCAGGGGTCCTGTAGAACGGCTGCTCCGACGTAAAGCTTAAAAGTCCAAACTGCTGCAAGCTTTAATAAAAGGCCATGATTGCTTGGGTTATCTGACTTCCCAAGTCCTGACTAACTCTTCGTGGCGTAGTCGTGCGATAGTGGAACCAGGGCTTCCGTTTGATTATTTTCGGTGGTCACAAGTATACCTTCGCGGTACTCCACTACTGGATGTTTACGGGTCAGGCACATGACGCCCAGATTCTGTGATGCATGACCTTCGACAAGCTTTCCTCGGCTTGGGCCAGTACCTTGAACACCAGCCTCATTAGAATTTAGTACCACAGCTCGAGCTGCCTTGGATGGCTTTATGGCATTAGCAGGGTGGTCACAGTCTCGCTGGTGACGATATCAAATCATCAGTAGACTATCTTCCGAGATTTTCTCAGACAGACAGATGCTGTCTGTTCTCAAGGCGAAGATTGCAGCATTGGATTGGCAACGCCGTGCACCGGGCACTGACAAAGAAGCTTCTGGGGAGTGTTTCGACAGCGCACCCATCCCGAAAAGTGCACCAAAACAATCCGCGATGTTGGCAGTGCCCTTGGAAATGGCGAGGCCTCTCATCTGGGGAGCGTCTCGTCTTTCTGACCTTTTCTTACCATTATTGACCGTAATTCACTGTAATTTACTGTAATTTACAGCGGGGTAAACGGACAGTAGCCTCCGGTAAATAATGTAAATTACAGGACTTATTTACTTACAGTAGGCCCTGGACTTTCTTACATGTTACCTACACCCCCGGGGACTTTCTGACGCAACACTAGTGCGGTCTGAATAGCCACGAGAACGATTCCCAATTGAGGCACACTTTGTATTAAATACTGCACTAAAGGCTACCAATGTTGACAAGAAAAGTGATTCAAAAGATTTTTAGACCTTGGGCATCAGCCAAATGGGGCTACCAACATGCCCCAAAAATCTGTATACGGACGGTCCTTAGGCCTTGTAGAGCGGCCGCTGGCGCGGTACGGATTATTCCTCCGGCATCCTCGGGCCCAAGCCCAGTTTTAGATGCGGATTGCCTCAGGCATGGGGGGTCCCGAGACCCCATTTTGGATGCGGATTGTCCTCAGGCCCCTTCGCCTGATGTCAGGGGTCCTCGTTCTACACTTCGGGCCAAGGGATTTATGCAAAAATAGATATTTTAAATCCAGAAACTACAAAATAAACCACATCTTGGAGATAGTCCATCAGACTGACGTCTGACCCGCTGGCGAACCCCCCATGCGCCCGAAACCGGTACGACACTGAGTGGTAAGCCAAACGTCCTCGCGACCCCGCACCCGAAGGGCGGGGCCATGTGCTCAGTATGACGGGCGGACGCGATTGTCATCGACTGAACTTGAAGGATGTGGCATGTGTAAACATGCGAGACTCGAGTTAGAAACTATAAAATAGATCCTAGCTGAGTATGTTCTGAGGAAACCAAAAGGTTGCGCAGGTTCTTTTATACCTATGAGTTTAGGGCAGGCTGCCGGAGGCGCCCCATGGTCCGTGCGTAAGGCGAGACGCGCTGGCGCCCACCCTGACGCTACGGGACGCCTAAATAGATAATAGTACATATATACAACAGACATAATATACAATCATTTCGCAATACTACAGTAAGGAAAGCGCGGGGGCAGCTAGAAGAACATAGCAAAGCCAGAGCATCTAGAGGGGTATGTCACAGTCCAAAAGCCAGCCGCGCAGCGCAACGGAAACCGCATATGCAAAGACCAGGAAGCCAGAAGTTGTGAAGAAGTCGTCAATACGTGCGGAAAGAGCCATTATTACGGATGTCGCTTGCTCGCTTTGCGGCTTATGGAGTGGTGCGTTTCAGTGTCAGTGAAGTCTTCGCTTACGTCGAACACGACCCCAGGGCGGCGGCGCCTCCACGTCCCGCGGTCCATGAGCTCAGCCTCCTCTTGGTTAATCCATACCTCCGTCGCCGCCTTCGGATCCCTCAGGGGTATCGGAGGTGAGAGCCTGCCAGCGGTGGAGCTCCTAGCGGACTCGCCCCCAATTATCGTGCTCGTCTACGAGAGAATGTCAGCTCAAGGAGTCCGTTTATACGAAGCATACGACGTACAGCCTGCGTGCCATGGTCCGCTTCGTTCGACGCTGCAGAAACCGTGCGATGTCGTTTTGTGATCAGCCGGAACGGCGTGAAGACCTTCGCATTCGGGCCTATTTGCACGGGCTGTTCAGACACGGTGCGCACCGGGCGCGAGGCTAGGACCTGAGGAGGCGGAGGAGGCGAAGAGGGCTCACGTCGCCTCATCGACCTCACAGACTCTGAATCATTACCTGCCGGAGCACGAGTCCTTGATCGCTCGCCGGACGTCCTAGGCGTGGAGGTAGGCGGGGGGTTAGGGGCGGGCTGAGGCGCGGCGCTACGACTTGGATGAGGATGAGGTGCTATGATGTTGCGCACAGAGGCAGCGACAGCGTTGATAGTCCCCTGGGAGGTTGAACGCTGCCTCGGCTTCGCCACAGGAGGGTCTGCGAGAGCGTCTGCAACTCGTGCATCCTGCTTCGGAGGAGATGACCTCGAGCGAAAAATTCCAAACAGTCCTCCCCTCTTTCGTGTACTCTCTTTCGTCGATGGCGGCTTGGCGAACTGCTGAGGGGCGGGTCGAGAGGTGGGAAATGGTGTCTGGTTACCGCCTTGGTTACTGCCTCCTTTCAACATGGATGGTGCGAGAGACGATGGGGTCATGAGGAGCTCTTGTTCGGATGGGGACGTCAGCTGTGCTTTCGCAGGAGCAGGGGTTGAAGGATGACCAGATATCGCTACGCGCCCCGCCATCACCATCTGCTGTGGGTCGGAAACAGAGCGTGAATGACCAGTCGCTGCAGGACCATTCACACGCGCGGCGCTGGGGGTAGTAGATAGTGCTGCGCCTCGAGTCGCTTGCAGAGCGTAAGCAGTCTTTGGAAGTGCCGAAGGCGGCTGCTGCTGCTGTGCTGGATAGGTTGGCGCCGGAGATGGAGCAGCTCGGGAGGGGACGCGCTTGTCAGGAAGGGGCTGAGAACGTACAGCGCTGTCGGTACCGTACATGCCGCTCCTGTACGCCGCCGCTATGGCTGACGCTGAAGGTGCTGCAGCGGGACTCGGTGGCACAGCCGCAGGCAATGTGTGGCTTCTTGGCGCATGGCCGTGGCTATCGTAGGTGGGGTTCGGTAAAACAGGCTGCGAAGCGGACCTCGTGTGATGACTGTGAGTCGGTTGTGAGTAGCTGTCGTTGGACTGGTTGGCAATGGGAGGCTGGTAGTTGAATGTTGGATTTGGAGTAGAGTATCCGGCGGGCTGTGGGCGGTATCGAGAGGTATCTGGGTATTCATGCGATGCTGGCTGTGGTCGTGATGGGTTCGTGTCGGGTCGTGATGGAGCCTGGAGATTTCCGGTACTGGTGCGGTGTGGTATATGTCTCGCAGAATGACTTGGGGACGCCTTAGCGCCAGGATAGACTACGGTCTCAGTCGACCCATTCCGAGCTTTGAGTCTCATGGACGGTGATTGCTTCGGTGTTCCACTACTCATAAGCGGTATTCCGTTCAGGGTACTTGGTGATCGCTGCGGCGGTTGCTGAAAGCTCTGCCCGGGTGAATGAGAAGCTGCACTGAAATTGCCAGATGCAGAGGTAGACACAGGAGGCTGCGCAATCTTCGGAGCCACGTTCACGGGATTGGGTACAGTATGCGTAGGGATATGTGCTTGCGGTGGCATGGGAGATGTCTTCGATTGCAGCGGAGTGGCTTGGGGCCTGGCCGACGGCTGTTGCTGATAAGCTGCGGAAGAGGCCATGGGTTGAGACGGGGCAGAGCCTGGTATCATGGACTTCGGATACGGGATAGGAATAGGCACGTCATTTTCAAACGGCGCGGGCTGCTTTTGGGATGCTGTCGTGTTGTGATTATCCGGAGGAAGCCAAACCTGTGGAACGAGTTCTCTGTTCGGATAGCCCTGAGTCGTCAGATTCGCCCCAGGCGGATACTGCGCCAGGGCAGCAGGTCCTTGTTCGGAGCGATTGGTTCCCGCATTGAGAGTGGATGACGATGCGGAGGTTAGGATGTCTTCGTTCAAGGGGAACTTGGCTGCTAGGTCCTTGACCGTAGTCGTATTCACTGTCACGGACTGCGTCTGAGGCTGATGCATTCCGGGTACGAAGATTTCTGCCGAGGCCGCATAGTGAGGAGAGTGATATATGTTGAGCTTAGCATGATGCCCCGGTGCGTTTGTGCCATCGTGGCGTATCTGGGCGTCGATGTTTTTCGTCGGAGGCGTACCATGACTGATTTTAGTTGGTAGACTTTGCTGATTGTGGGCGGGAGAAGGGCGGGTCGGCACGGTCATACTTGGAGGTGTTGCGGTTACAATAGGAGCAGTGACGCTGGACGGATATGTGGTACTAGGATGGATCCCCTCAACCCCAAGTGCAGTCTCCCTATGCACCGTAGGTTGATTGCCTGGGCCGCCCTGAGTCCCAACACTGAACGGTGTAGCGGTGCTCTGCGACTGTGCTGCGTGGGGCGCATATGCTGGATTCGACATCGGACCCGTGCCATATCCCCGAGGCATGTCGCTCTGAGAGGGACGATGACTCAAAGTGCGTGATTGCTGTTGCGACCCCAAGTCATGGTATGACAGCTGCTGTCCGGACTGTGTCGACGACTGCATTTGCACAGGCATCGGCCCAACATCCCGCGCGCGGTCTTGCCCTGGTGTAAACGGAGTCTTGCTACGCACAACTGGCGTTTCGGCATCTGCCGGCCCCTGTCCAGCACGTATGCTGACTATTTGCCGCGTATAACGTTGAGAGCCACCTACGTATGAGCCATGCTGTATGGACGACGGCATGTTTGCATTGACTTGTGGGCCCACGGAATGCTGCCGGAGAGCGGCGTACGGGTCTTGCGCCGCCTTGTATTTGCGCTGCTAGACGGTTAGGGAAGCTCGACCATATACACGCGTCAGCTTACTCGCTCATAGCCAGGACCACGTTCGTTCTCACTGCCTGAAGGTCCCGAGTAATGTGCATCACCATTGGCATCCCGAAGGGCGTGTCGTCTGTCCCTCTTTGATGGGGGAGCACAGAGTCAGATATGTCTCATGTAACTGAGTGCCTAGTCACGCACCGTAAGCCGCTCTCGGGCCTGTTCTTGTTCGCTGCTCGACACGCCCGAGTCTTGCGCGTACTGTTGGGCCAGCACTTTGTCGCGTTGAGAACGACGAGCTTTCCGTTCCTTCTCAGGTACATGCGGTGGCGCGGTTTGCATAGAGGAAATATTATCACGGCGTGGATCGTTCGTGACATGGGGGCGATTGCCAGCAGCGATAGCATATTGTGTGGATGGAAGTGCAACGTTGGAGCTTGAAGATGGCACTTGGTCGGTCTACACAGGAAGGATGTCAGAAAGAGAAGGCGTAATGCATGAACCAACTTACTGAACCCTGATGCTTGGATGCGACGAGCGCCGCGTTGGGATAGACAGTATTCACGGTGCGGGATTCGTCTCTAGCACGAGACCCATGTCTGCGGGCGCGTTCCAACTCCCTCTCTTCACGCCGCCGCTCGCGTTCCTTCTCTCTATCCCGCTCTGTCCTACGCTCTTCCCGTCTCCTCTGCTTTTCCAGCTCCTTCTCAATAGCTGCCCTCTCGCGCAATCGCTCTTCCTCTTCGTGTATCCGCTCCTGGTCTCGACGTCTATCTCTCCGGCGTTCCCGGTGTTCCCCTTGATCTTTGTTTCGATCCTTGTGGTGCATAGAAGATGACGTAGCGTCGCGTGCAGACTGGTACTGCGAGGACGCAGCGTACGCAGTTCCTGACTGAGGAACGGGGTTCGCAGTGTGGTGTCCACTACGTAGCTGTTGGGTCGCTCTGGATGGCTTGATCTGGTCAGCACCATAGATCTTCTCCTCTGACGAGCGAGGACTCTGCTTGTCCGTCTTGCGTTTTGCGTACGCATAGATGTCAGGATCGTGTGCGCGTGACCGCGAACTACTTGCTACTCCGGTGACCGTCATTGGTCCCGTCGGCACCTGAGCTTGCGGCTCCGAGGACGTGTAATAGGAGGGTCCACGCATGTAGGGTTGCTCTCTTGGGCTGGAATACTTGTTGGCTGAAGGCACTGACTCGAAGGCAAGGGGGTTCCCTGAAGTATCGGCACGTCTGGAATTACGATGCGGCTTGTCAGGCATGGCAGTACCCACTCCGTACTCGCTGGTATACCTCTGGGTCGATGCGGTGGTGTGACGGGGACGGTCAGGGTCAGACTCGTAATGTTTTCGAGGGGCGGATACATGCCGGTCTTGACTGCTCAGCATGGAGGTCGCGCAGGGATCTTCGTTGTAGTCGATTGAGAGCACAGATTGTGAGTTCTATTTGGAATATGGCGGTATGCTAGGAGTGCGAATATAAATGAGCGTAAGTAGAGGGTGACTTGAGGAGCGTGCCGACATGAGGCACTGAGCCGGAAGAGGCAGAGTCCCACCTTCACGTTTCCATCCACGCGCTCTGCCTGCGGGCGTCCGTGCCTCATTGCTCCCAACTCCCAGAGCCACGGTGCCATTCGGCCATCTTCATCTGTGAGCGTGATCCAGCTTGGTATGGGGCAAGGAGAAAGTCAAAACCGGACATGTCAATATTCACCCTCTGGTCATGATCCGTCACCTGTAGGGCTGAAACAGACTGAAACATGCGGGATTGCGTCTTGCAAACGATCTCAGCTCATATAGCGAATGCAGATCCTCGCGGGTTTCCTCTGGCCGATGCGCTGTAGTGAGACGTGGACCGGGCATCCCTTCAGGCCCTCAGGCTTTAAAACCGATCCATCCATTACAAAATATGTACATGGAACTAGCTAAACGCAATACCGAGAAAGAGGGGTGAAAATGTGAGCCGACAGTGGCAAGAGAGCAGATCGAAATGGCGTCACAAAGACTTGATGAGCTCTTGGACACTGAGGCAACGCTGGACAGGATGATGGGCAAGCCCAGCCGATCCCCTCCAAGACGGAGAAAAGCGACAGATCACGAATTGCCCAGCCTACTCTTACACGATTTTGACTCATTACCGACAGTAAGACAGCGGCAAGGCTGGTGAAAGCGAGAACACTTCCCCTGTCGAGACAATTTAAGGATCGTGTGGTTTAGACATACAAAACACGTTTAAGAACGTAGAAAAACTCAGCGTGGGAAACTTTAACATGTGTACGATCCATGTGTGGAGGCATTACGTTCCCGCTCTGAAGATTGAGAGCCGTTGTGTTTTGTCAAGAGTAAAAAAATGTTAGAACACGTCGCAGGCTCGCAGCCGAACCTGCTATATATCACGCACGTGATGTCCACGCTTGGTAATCGATTCCCACGTCCATCGCTGCCGTCAATTCACAGGCCCTGCGGAAGACTAGCACAGAAACGCACCCTGTTTGTCGACGACTCCTCTCCTCTCTTCTCGGACACTGACCTTGATCTCGGACCTCTTGTCTTGTGCATCTTAATTCAGCACTGTCTAGCTCTGGGACGTTACAACCATGGTTTGTCCCCTCCTTTCGCTCCCCATTGAGACCGCTTACCGAGGCTATGCGTCATCCCAGAGTGACATGGAAGTTATGGACGAGAAGGCCAATGGTGGCCCGCCTTTGGAGGTGGAGGAGATGGTCTCTGTTCAGGATCGTGCGTGCTACTCGTCGTATTGCATCATATGGGTACCTTACTGGGTTTTATCTTACAGACGATGCGTTCGCGGCGAAGCATATGCCAGATCTCGGGCATGAAGTGAAAGAGTTTACGGTACTTCACTGGAAACTGACGAACTGGAAGAAGCTCGAGAAGAAGATTACTAGCCCAGAGTTCGACTGTGGAGGTCACCGCTGGTGAGTCACGATATTTTCTTTCGTACCTTGCGTGCGTCGTTCTCATTACTTTCAGGCGTATTTTGCTCTTCCCATTCGGCAATTCAAATGCACCCCCAAATGACACTGTATCTGTGTACCTTGACTACGCGGATCCCAAGCGAGCACCGGAAGGGTGGCACGCGTGCGCACAATTCGCCCTCGTAATTTCGAATCCTAACGACCCAACTATCTACACCGTGAGCCGTAAGTGGCTACCTTATAGGGTATGTGTTCTCGTACTGAAACGGAGACAGACGCGCACCATCGGTTCATTGCCGAGGAGTGCGACTGGGGATTTACCCGCTTCAGCGAGCTCAGGAAGCTCTTCAGCGTCCAGGATGGACATGCTCGGCCAACTATTGAAGATGAGTCGGCAATTGTCAGCGTCTTTGTGCGTGTTCTCGAAGACCCGACGGGTGTGCTTTGGCACAACTTCGTCAAGTGCGTAATCTTGCTTCTCGTATCTCATGCCTGGCTTACCTCGGATCGACACTTAGCTACGATTCAAAGAAGGAGACCGGATACGTCGGGCTGAAGAATCAGGGCGCAACGTGTTACATGAATTCATTACTCCAGTCTCTCTTCTGCACACGCTATTTCCGGAAGGTGCGTGGACGGGCCATTGCTTGACTGCGTGGACACTAAGCGCTGTGTAGGCTGTGTACCAGATACCCACCGAAGATGACCTCCCAACGGAGAGTGTATCCCTCGCCTTACAGCGTGTATTCTATCATCTTCAGACGTCGGATCAACCAGTCGGTGAGTATATCAGCAGGTAGGTTGCATGGCTTGGTCTGATGCATCACAGGGACTACTGAGTTGACGAAATCCTTTGGCTGGAAGTCGCTGGATTCATTTCTGCAACATGATGTGCAAGAATTCAACCGTGTGTTGCAAGACAAACTCGAGACAAAGATGAAGGTGCTCTACTATTATCAGCACTTAATATGACATAAGGTATTGACCATGTCGCTTAGGGGACGAAAGCCGAAGGCGCCATTGCGAAGCTGTTCGTGGGCAAGATGAAGAGCTACATCAAATGCGTCAACGTGGATTACGAGTCGTCTCGCATTGAGGAATTCAATGGCAAGCTGTTTCTCCATGATATCAGAAATCGAGGTCTTATCATGCTTCCAGATATCCAGCTGAACGTGAAGGGCATGAAGAATCTGTACGAGTCTTTCAGGGACTACGTTGCGGTAGAAACTCTAGACGGAGATAACAAGTACATGGCGGAAGGCTACGGCCTACAGGACGCAAAGAAGGGCATAATCTTCCAAGCGTTCCCTCCTGTTCTACACCTGCAGCTCAAACGTTTCGAGTACGATATTCAGCGCGACGCGATGGTCAAGGTACGAGATTGCATTCTCGGATGCAATACCGGTATTCACATCATCTATGCAGATCAATGATCGCCACGAGTTTCCCTTCGAAATTGACCTTGACGAGTTCCTCGACGAGACAGTAGACAGATCGCAACCTTGGGTATACAAGCTCCACGGCGTCCTCGTGCACTCCGGAGACTTGCACGGCGGCCATTACTTCGCCCTCATCAAACCCGATCGCGAGACACGATGGCTGAAGTTCGATGACGATCGTGTCACGCCAGTCACTGATCGCGAAGTCCTTGAGGAGAACTACGGCGGCGAGCCTTTGAACGGGCTGGTTTCGCCAATGCAGCGGAACCAAGTTAGGGCAATGAAGCGCTTCACCAACGCATACATGTTGGTGTACGTTCGCGAAAGCATGATAGACGAAGTGCTTGCTCCCTTCAAAGAGGAGGACACGCCAGCTCACTTGAGTGCGTGCTGTTGATGAGTGAGTAGATCAATCGCTGATTGTCGGTTGTTCAGAGCGCCGCCTCGATGAGGAGCGTATGCAGATGGAGGCCAAGAAGCGTGAGCGCGAGGAGCAGCACCTATACCTCACTGCGAAGGTATACTCCTTCCTTCTGCATTAATGAACATTACTTACAACGTTGGTAGGTCATCACCGACGAGACATTCGCCCAACACGAAGGTTTCGACCTGGCGAGCTTTGATGAGCGTAGCTGGCCAGCGTCAGACTTACCTACGTTCCGCGTTCTCAAGAACGAGACTTACAGTACATTCAAGGCGCGGGTCGCACAGCACTTCAACTACCCCGAGAATCAGATACGACTATGGGTCTTAGTTAACCGCCAGAACAAGACAGTGCGCCCTGATACGCATATACCCGAGAACGAACCTGCGTTGAGTGAGTCTTGGTCTTACGCATATAGCCGCATGTGTTAATCTTCACGTAGCTGTCGAGGTTATCCGGAACAACATGGCCATCCGGCAACAGAACGATCTTAGGCTTTATCTGGATGTAATACCTGACCCTATCAAACCGGAGAGTCTCGCAGGATCTATCATGATCTTCCTGAAGCACTTCGACACCTCAAAGCAGACCCTCTATGGTGTCGGCAAGACGTATGTTCCTCGGAGTAGCAAGGTCGGCGAACTCATTCCTATCGTCAACGAACGGATGAGGTGGCAGCCGGGTACTCCGCTCAAGTTGTATGAAGTGAGGCTTGTTCTCTGATACGGTGGCTCGTGAGCTCACCGACGACTGTAGGAAATCAAACCTGGCATGATTGAGCTCATGAAGCCGAAGCTCACTTTCACCCAGAGCGAGATTCAGGATGGTGATATTATCTGCTTCCAGGTAGACATCAACGAGAAAGAGTACGTACTCTTTTCTACCTCCCCTTGTTTTATGCTCAAACGGAGCTTGCAGGATCCATGACCTCGAGAATCAGGGGCTGCACTCAAATCCCACACAATACTACGACTTCCTCCAGAATCGTGTGATGATCATCTTCCGACCGAAATTCGAGGAGGCAGATCGGGACCATCCAGAGTTCAGCTTGATCCTTAGCAAAAAGCAGAATTATGATATCGTACGCTACTCGTAACGTCCTCGACTTCTACGACACTCAGTTTTTACTTGCCACAGATGTCCCAGAGGGTTGGCGAGTACCTCAAGCACGACCCGATTAAGCTGCGATTCACGACAACACATGCGACGAACGGCTCACCGAAAACTGTTCTTAAACGCTCGCTGAACCAGAGTATATCAGAGATCATCTCGCCGGCGTACTCGAACGCACAGACAACTGTGATCCTCTACGAGAAGCTTGACGTATCAATCGTGGAACTCGAGACAAAGCGCAGCCTCAAGGTCACCTGGACGGGCAGCCATAACAAAGAGGAGTCGCAACACTCGTTCCTACTCCCGAAGACCAGTGCTGTTCATGAACTTGCTGACCATCTTGCGAAGCAAGTCAACCTTGCACCAGGCGGCACCGGCAAGATTCGGATCTTTGAGGTTTCGAGAGACGGCAAGACGCAGAAAGAGTTCACCGGTTCGGAAATGATTGGTAACATTCCGGATCCTGTCGACCTTTACGCCGAGGTATGGCTGCCTTGTCGCTGTATTTCGAGGATGCTCACCACGTCAAACCCACAGGAAATACCAATAGACGAGCTTGAGGCTGACGATGCCGACAAAGTTATCAGCGTCTTCCACTTCTCCAAAGAAGTATCAAGAACGCACGGCGTGCCCTTCCGTTTCGTGGTCAAACCTGTATGTCCATGGGATCATTACTGCACTTTGCTTGATCTAACAAATCTTTTCCCTGACAGGGCGAGCGCTTTGCTGACACCAAGAAGCGCCTGCAAGCGCGATTGGCGGTCCCTGACAAGGACTTCGCCAAGTACCGCTTCGCCTTGATTCAGGTCGCGACTTTCAAGCAGCCATCCTATATCGAGGACGGTATGTACCCATCGTTTACTACTGCGAGGGCCGAGCTAACCGCGCGGCACCACTGCAGACGACACAATATACGACCACAAGTTCGCGCCAGAAGACGTTCTGGGCTTGGATCACGTCGACAAGTCTGGTAAAACGCGGACAGGCGCGGGGGAGAAGGCCATTGTAATTAGAGGATAGGTCCGCTCCATCTTCCCTCCCTCTCGTGCTTCACACGGATACCGTCTGCTGTCGGTTTCTCTCACTTCCCCTCTTGTTCTCGTGGCACCCTGTATTCGCTATGATCATCGTACGTTACGAACAGTCCAAATGTATATCATTTCTTTCAGTGTGCGAACATATTGGCGTTGGCCAGGTCCTATGCCTGACAACTCTTCTGACAGTAGTGAACGGCGGCACTCCGGCGATATCATCCAAAGCGCATGTCGAGCTTGGAAGGGTATCAGCTTGCCTTGTCCTCAAAGATATGCACATGCTTTTCAATCCATCTTCAATAATATTCGTCTACGACTGTATTACCCAGACATCCTTTTGCCACTGAAAATACTGAACGCGTATACGAGGCGGGAATAATGCTCGAAAGTCAACCGGACGCACCAAATGTGAGCTCAAGTTATACGGAGCCCTAATGCATCCTCTGCTGAGAAATCGCCAACGGCGTACCCGTGCGGGTTCGATTTGCGTCCGAGCGGGACTCATATGTGAGGTCATGGCCTCAAAGTGCGAGCGAAGTACTACTGTCGAGCGCTTCGTGTCTGGAGCTCGCCCCGCAGGATATACACTGAGCGTCAAAAGTAAATGAACACCCACTCGACTCTCTCGTTCTCTGCGACCCCCAAGTTTCAAATATCAGAAATATTTGTGCGAGATGTATCATATATAAGAACGCTAAATTTGAAAATTTGAAAGCTTTAAGTAAACTGCAAGAATGTTATGAAAGGATGACATCTCAACTCACACTCAAGCTGGCACTTCCGACGGAAGTTTGGCCATGCTCAGCCAAAATACTGTGGCCTATGCACCCAAAAATTTGTGTAGGATGCTTCAACCCTTTCTCCTAGTAACCAGAGCTATCCATAAGGGCATGCTCCCCAGAGCTTCCAATGTGACAGACAACATCATAGGTCCCATCTCACAAGTCACTGTAAACATCTAGCGAGATGGAGGGTGATGTAAGCGGGGGAACAGGCGCAACGGTGCATGTGAAGGTTGAAATTATGTCTGTAAACATAGAATATAATCTGTAAGGGGGGTCCGACCCCCCTTCCAGATTTCGAGTCTGTAAACGCAGCTGTTCAGACCGAAACTACGGTAAGTATGATCGTCCGAGATGCCGCATCTGATTTATTCTGAAATCTAGTCTACGAAGCTCTGTAGACGGCTGTGGAAAGGCATCCAGTAAACGAACACCCACGCCACTCGAGATCAACCACTGTTGCAGCATGAGTTTCCAAGCTACTCCTAAGCTTTTATTTGTGTGCATTCTACAAGGTCTTGGCTTGTATATTTGTGGAAAACTGTAATATATTGTCTAGCAAAAGTTGTGCAATGCAGCCAGTTTCTAGAGCAACTTTTGCGTACATAATGCAGGTTTAAATGTAGAATCTGTACCACAACCTATCAGGCTCCCTGGCAGCTATTTATGATGTCTACCTTGCTCAAATAAATTTTTGAGACCCTTTCAGGTATTTCACATGAAAGATATCATGCTCTGGAAATTTGAGGAGCGGAGGTGTTACATATTCTCCCAGAAGTCCATGTGCATTCCCCACCGCTCAGATGGTTATGATATGACTTGGAATAGCACAGGGTGGAGTTGTCATCTAGTACAATCTATTAGGAAGCATATATTTGGTTGAGAGGAGGAAATTATCCGGGGAAGTGACAAACCGGAGAGCATCAGTCAAGTATATTGGATCCCGGCATTGTAAATCCCCACAATTATATTTCAAACCTTTGCAAATCTCTTGTATGCTGTCTTAAGAAGTAATAGAGTTCTTTAATTGCATCCATCTCTATGTAGAAGAATGCTCTGGTGCACACTTTGGAGGGAACATGCAAGCAGTCCACCAAGGAAGGTGTGTATGCTTTGCCTTCATCCTCTTGAGATCCTGATCACAACTCTGCTAAGCATTTGCAAGGTTTTTTTTGACTCATTGAGTGGAAAATAGGGGCCTTCAGTCCCTAGCCGAGAGTCAGCAGTGGAAGGCAATGTGAGAGGAGGAATGCTGCCAAGATCCATTATTAGCTGTGGGTGAAATTGGGGTGAACGTAGGGTATGTGGTGAGCCCATCGACACCCAACGCATGTATACCGCACAATTGGCTGGTGACAAGAGTGATGCCGCCACAACGGCGGTCTCTTGGAGAACTTCATCGGCGGCAGACTTGTCCGCGCCTTCTAACTGCTGTCATAGGGACGTTATGTTAGGGTCTATAAGCAATAGTCAGAGCGAACGTGTCCACTCGAGCGTGTCGACCCCCAGTTGCACTTTCAAACTCCGCTTACGAAACAATTATTACATTTCTTCGCTCTCAGTTGCTGTGGTTTTACAGACGGGTACCATTCGATTCTAAACTGCAGTTTACGCTCCGCACTACACTTTAGAATCTGAAAAAATTCTGTGGAAAGGCATCCACTTTTGACGCTCAGTGTATCTCATAATGCATAGGGCGCTTCTGTTCCACTTTTCGCTCAAGCACACCTGAGGGCACGCGGGACGTGCTCCAGGCGTTGGCAAGCACAAGACCGCCAGGTTCTCGGAGCATAATAGAGATCGCAATTTCCTTATAAATTTTCCAATTTTATGGATCATGAGATATTCTACTGTAGTGTGAACGGAGCTTTAAACTCGACTAGATATTTGCGTGTTCTATCTATATTACTCGTATATTATTATTACTCGTATTACTCGTATCTTTAACCAGATGGCCTGAAAATAAGAAACCGTTCACTTATCCCCTAATCGCCCGCATGGCCGCAAACAACACTTTCTTTTAGCCATTAAAACTGTGCATAGCGCCTTTGTGCCAACAAACCTGCAAGCGTGCCCCACCTAGGCACACTGTGACCCGAGAGCTCTGGTACCTGGTGAGTAGCCCCTGTCTGCCAATTGTTGCGATGAGAGTCGGGCGCCTGCACTCGCTCAGCCGAGCCTCAAGCTCAAGTTCAGTGCAAGTCCGCTCCCCTCATCTCAAGTTCTCCACCTTCGTCGTTGCAGCTCTCCTTGCATTTAAAGGTCGAACGTGTACAGGATGTCTGTAATGAGCCCAAGCAATTTCGTCACTTGTTTCACATCAGGTGGCGCGTGTAAGGCGCGACCAATTTCCACGGCAAAACTTGTAGCAGTGCTCGATCGTCACGGATATAAGTCCTACACATCTGAAATACTCCTCGTTTGCAGGTATCCATCTATAACACATCTGTGCTCTTTATAACGGTAGGTACTGTTTTGTTCTATTCAAGCCAATTGCTCACATTCGAGGCTGTCCAGGTCCTCTGCCGAGATGGAAGACTACGTTGCCAACATCGATCCTCTTGCAAATCCCTCAGCATTGAAGAGGGCCTTAGCCTCCGTGCTCCATGGCCCCGACTTCACCGGCTACCACACACTACCCCTCAACTTTGAACTTTCATTGCACCCGGCTCGCAGAGCTGGTCCTCTATCCGCGACGCTCACTCTTCCGAGCCTGGGGGTCGGGAATGATTTTCTCTGAGAATATGGGGGTCGTCGACCACGGAGAAGAATCAGAGTCGGGACGCCATTAACGTTCGACTGGGGCCGACATGAGCCCCGTCCGGAAGTGATTCGAAAGATCTTGAAGTTCCCTTACGTCGATCCGGTACATGAGGAGGAACAATTTGAGCTTGCCAGGGAGCTACGCAAACATCTTGTTCACATTGAGGCAGTACAATTCGGCTGGGGATGTCGCGATGATGTCTTCTCTGCCGAGTATGAGAGGGATTGTGAAGGCAATGGTCGCTTGGGCTTTGATGGCGATAATCGTCATTTTCGTCTCAAGATTCACGAGGAGGACCGGAACATCATCCTTGTCAGCTTGGGATATTATTCCGAGTCCCATCGCCCGGTTATCTCCTTATCTCTGAATTATGCACCGACATACGAAGAAGAGGAACTAACCGGCGTAATTTTCGACGACACTCTCGACATGTTCGACTTCAGCAAAGCAAAGACTAGCTCTGGTCCATCACGACGGCGACTGTCAACACTTGATGACGACCATGAGATCTACGCCGAATTCACATATCTCTCTGTGCGCCTCATCTGCCAGAATGAGGCGTCGGCGCGGGACTTCAGGTGGATATGCGAGCGTGCACATGTACCGGTGCATGTGGGGGCGCTCCCAATGGTGCGACGAGAACTCTTTTCACAGGCTACGGTGGATATCTACGACAGTTGGCTTTCTACGTTGCCTTGGGAAGTAGCATTTCAAGTCGACGCTCTGGCCAGAGCAAACATTCTGGATCTGCAAGAGATTATGCGCCTCCGTACACCTCTGGTACGGCTGCTGCAATGGCGTGGAGCCGCATAGACAACTGCTTTCATTCAGTACTTTGGTCAGGAGGCTTCGGATCCGTCTTGGTACAAACAAAGTTCTGGATCCGTCCATATCGACATCCTAGAAGCGCTCTTCGCACGTTGCGGGAGCAGGTTCCTTGCCCCTGTCGACCAAGTCACACAAGAAGTAGAGCTGAACCCCGCCAAATTTACGGTCCCGCGCCGGATGACGTAAGCATCTGCGGGCATTCCAAAGGTGGAAGCGAGCCAGGGAAAGGCCTGGGGACGATGTCAAGGAAGCCTCGAGCGTCGGGAGGTCACAAAAATTCGTAGACACACAAATAGAGTCGTTATTGATGTGTGACAATATTTTTGTGATTTATGTCGCGCCAGGAGGTACATTGTGACGCGACCTGCACTGAAGATATCTGCACTGAGGAGGGGAAGGCACACGGTGCGCAAGGCATTGGCTAAAAAATTAAATTTTTGTTACGTACAGGTTCTATGCTGGTTCCGTGCGCTGTGCCGCCAGGTCCGGGGGGCAAGAGGCGTGTCGAGGAGGCGTCGAGCGAGGCAGAGGCACCGGACGAGGCGGGAGGGCGGGCAAGCGCTTGGGACCGTAATTTCTCACGTTGGGACCGTAAATCTCGAGGGCAGAAGGGAACTGCG